GCCCCCCCCCCCCCCCCCCCCCCCCCCCCCCCCCCCCCCCCCCCGCCCCCCCCCCCCCCCCCCCCCCCCCCCCAGCTAACATCACGAATGGGTTGCACTGAGGCAAGTATTCGGCATCCAATGCCGCTCGAGCCAGAACTATCGTACGCTGTGAAGCCTCCACACAAGCCTGAGAAAATTTGTCCAGTCTTGAACTGACGTGGGGCGATTTCTTAGAACTCCTAGACAAGTCATCACAACCCATCTTGAGGAGATATAGAAAAAATGGCCTTGTTAGGAGTAGCACGGAGTGGCAGTGTAGGAGGTTGATATGTAGGGAAGCAATGGCCTGTGCTGAGTCGATGGAGGCATCTATCAGTCGTTGACAATGAAGATTTCCATGGAGTTGCCGTTCCCAATCTTCGAGGCGATCTGCAATTTCTTGCGCAACGGGAGTTGACGCCTTTCTTTCCGCGTAAATCTTCTTAAGTGTTAATCCAATTATATAGCAATTTTTTACAGCAGCATCCAGCGCTTCTGGATCTGTTATCTCGCTCATCATGTGCTCGTCGGTTGTAGTGCCTATCGAGTGGTCCAGCACGTAGTCAGAGCAATCTTCTAGCGATATTGTTATCGGACGTCCAAGACTCGCTGCAAGGATACGATCGAGGACGAATAGCGTCTTCCACACGTTTCTTCGAAGACGTATAACATGCGGCTTAAATACCGGCATGCTCTCTTCCCTATGTAGTCCCAGAGCCTGCGCAGATCGCACTGCCATTCCTGCTTACCACAATTAGACCAAGTCGCAAATTAGGGGTGAGGGTAAGGTGCCAAGGTAGACATATGCCGAAAGAGGCGAAACAGGAAGTTTTCTCACCGTGATATGCGTGTGACGCATTTCTGTTAGAGATAGATAGCGTATAAAGGGACATGAGGATAAGGGCCTGAATGGACCAGAAGTCCGCATCTTCGAATCCCGAATCCGGTCCGTGGGTTTTGGCGTTTCGAAAGAACAATTCGGCACGATTAGCAGGTTCAGAGTGTAAGTCTTGAATAACGGTTGCCTCGTTAGTCCCCTGCAACGGACGAGCGATAACCAGGCCAATAGCGAAAACCAGGTTCAGTAAGCACAGGTCTGACGAGCTAGTGTTTAAAGGATCGCTATAGCATTCCTCCACTTGCTGGAGGAAGTCTGCTTTATGGAAAACTTCCACAAGCCCCGACGTCTGCAATGTGCTGAGTTAACCTGAATCGCTATTGGATTGGGATACGTACATTTGTAAAAAACGATTCGACTAATATGTCAGCTGTCTTTCGGTCCGGGAGGACCCCAGTTGGCCTCGTGCCTGGCGGGAGCTCGATTCTATTCTCCACAAAGTTGTGTCTTTCAGGATCATCGGTGAAGCTAGATGGCCCATAAACGCTTTCAACGATTATCCGAATCAACTGCAAATAAGCGAGACTTCCAGACTCGCCGACATACTCTGCCCAACATATTAGCACGTCAAAGACCTTGGTTTAGAAAAGCAAACTTGGAGTCTAAGACCAAGCATAAGAGCTTCTCGGAGAAACCACATCATTTTTTCGCGTTTCGTAGCAAGATATTTCATTGTGCATGAAGCATAAACAACATAACTTAACGAATGATTCTGGAGAGCAAGGCCACATAGACGAAACCATCCATTGGGAGGGCATTTCCGGGGCCATACTTACGTAGTCTTCCCGTTTTATCCTGAAGCATTCTGGGTAAAAACATGACTGTAAATTCATCTGCAGCTCCGCTGACATTACTGATCCGTGAACGAGTATCGAACTCGCGTTCGTTGCTCGTGAGCAAGTGGCGCGATGTTGCCATGAGCTTCTTTTGGTTCGGCTCAAACGGTTCTATTTCTACTAGGCTCATCGCCAACCTGTTAGTAGACTGATCCCACGACGCCAAAAACGGAGTATGCGTCGTGATTGTCTGACCAGATTCTAACTTTATTGCCCTCGGCGAGCTATCGGTATGTCGACGTTTGGACGGCGATCCAAGGGGCTCCTGCGAACCGGTTTCCAAGCTTGTCGGCGTGTACAGACACTCCAGACTCCGTTTATCGCACGTACTGCACGGTCTCAATCCGTTGCACTACGACAATATCCACATTAGCAACTATAACGACCACAAGCCTTGCTTCCCATCAGAATCGTACGATAGTTTTGAAGTGTCCCATCCACAAACGGCTACACAATTACACCAGCCATTGTGGGACCAAGGAAGCCATCCGAAAAAGCGACATAACACACGTCGTCGTCGCTCATGCTGTGCGCTATTAAAGCAGAAGAGATTACAAGACAAGTTTCTCCGATATTCCACTTCATCTTACAAGTCTGTATGTTTCGCTATTAAGGGTTTCGATGATCTTACGTGCCAGCGCAATATGATGAAATGGAGGCGAGAAGAGAGATGTAAAAAGGGGAGAATGAAATCAGAAAGCGACAATGAAATAACTGACCTTTTGTTTCCTACGTTTACAAGACTCGCATGCCTGCGCAGTACGTTGCCTCTTGTCTGGGTCAACCTTCGGTCGTGTCATGATGGTTTGAGCCACAAAGAATCCAGGTCACATCCGCCATCCGACGCTTCGCCACACGGTGACAAAAATACAAGTCGGACGATAGAAAGAATAAAAGCAAATGATTTCGGGGCGGCGCCGGTATTACGGGTACAAGAACGTTGGTCTCGGATACGGACAAATTCCTAGGTTCAGCCTTATCGGGAAGCAAACGGGACTCAGGTCCAGAATCGTGGGATGATACGAGCGATTAACTACTCGTCTATCCGGCAGAGTATGAAGGTCGACCCGCATAGGTTGTAGGCAACTAAGGAAATCCGCCAAGGGTTGTTCGAGACGTGTGAATGGTAGGCTACCAAGTGGAGAAGAGCACAGCTGAGTATACGTATACAGACCGTACCTAGCAGCTCACTGGAGAGCTATAGCGATCTACCACAACAGAAGGTGACTGAAAAGGGACGCGAGGGAAGGTAAAGAAACTCAAAGACCGACGGGAAGTGTCGGAAGCGGGAGATTGACATGAGAAGGGCTATTATGAAAGGTTTAATGGAGAGAACGCAAGGGCCGACTTTGCTAGGTAGGTTTTTTTTTTCTTCAAGAGGAGCCAACATAAAGCCATGCACTCCAACTTGCCGGCTTGGCTTCTCCCTCCTGAGCCGGACAATAGGGCGGCGTCGGCCGCCTTTGACTTGTTCTAGCCATGATTGCAATGGAAAAACCGTGGCAGGGCTGGGAGGGAATGACACCGTGATTGGGCAGCTGGGCTGTAGATCAATCAAGTGAGACTCCGTTAGCAGTTAGGTGGCGTTCTAACACCGCCTTAAATACGGGACATAGCGGATTATTTATTTCTTCTTTTGACGTGGACTTTCTTGACGTAGGAGGATCTTGAAATGATATTAGGAGTGCGGACTTTTCGTTAGAGAAACTAGGATCCCAGATGAAACATTGCGAAGATCGCCGAAGCCAGAACCAGGTTGTTACTTTCTTTTTTTATCTTTGTCATGGAATCTGACTATCGAAGATTGAAAGATTGAGGAGATATTAAAAAGTGACTGGTCAACTCCGCGGCCATGGCAAGTGGCAGATGTACTATGTAAGATGTCTCTGTATCGCCATCAATTACTAGATCTGATTTCTCATATTAAGTTAGTTAAGTCACTTAGAACTTTGTGACAATAAGGTTCACTGAGATCTGATAAGGCGACAGGGAAACATTAAGGTAGAGTTCATTCATTAGGTGCATCCCTTGCGAGGTATATATTGTTGTTCAGAAAATAGCGAAATAGCGAAATAGGGAAGAGACGGCGGTCGAGAAAGTGGTTTGGATTTCCACGTGGGAAAAGGTACATGATACTCCGTACTCCGCAAATACATATACTAGGTACCTAACCTAACCTAAGGTAGGTTAGGTAAAAGGGCAGCTTGGAATGTGCGTACCTGCGTACCCGCGCACCTTATCTGTCGTTAGGTAGGAGGTAGGTACCTAGGTGAAGATCGAAAGCTTAGGTAGAAGTCGGTACAAAGGTTTAGTAGTGGTTAAAATTGTCGGATAATGCACCTAACTTACCAGAATGTCTGGAATAATGGGACATTGACGTAGACATAGGTACTGGGGGATACTAGGGGATACTAGAAAATACATAAAGATCAAGGATAGCTACACGCGTATTACCTTAGAGTGTTAGGTATCTCGTGTACTCTCTTGTACCCCCGTCCAATCAGGTGAGGTATTGTACAAGGTAATAGCTACCTAACCTGACCAGGGTCTGTTGTGCAGCTAAGCAGGTAAGACGGGAGCTCCAGTTTGCGGCTCAACCGTACCTACCCTATCTAGGTGGTCACGGTGGTGTGTACGGAATAGAATGTAGGCACCTAACCTAAGGTACCTTACGTAAATTTCAATTTGTACCTCTAGATAGGTACCTACTGTACTAAAACACGGACTAAAATACATGGTATATTAGGTACCTCGGTACTATATAGTATACATGGTTAGGTCCAGTGTTAGGTACAATACTTCCCCCCTAAAGCTTCTTCAACATTTCAATACCTATTTCTTCATCGTCCATTATGCATCACCGTTCAAAATCTCACAGAATCATCTAAGACAAGCCCGTCAGCGTCGTTATGTTATACCCCAACGTGCCACCGAACAGCCGTTAGATATCACAATCTAAGGAATGACAGGAGGTAGATTAGATAACTCGCATTTCCTCGGATAGTGCACTTATTAGTTCTCGCGTCAAATACCTTGCGGCTGATTCGTCAATAACTTCTCTCACCTATATGTCAGGTAGGTATTCACATTTTTACCGTCGCTTGCATATCATATCGCCTTGAAACCCCCATCTCCAAAAGAGCTCGATCTAGTACTTGCGATCTGCATGTAACCCTTTTCAACTAAGACTTCTTCTTACAACATCATCACATGCCTCTTAGTTTATGCCGCCGTCACAGTCAGCACGAATTGACATGTACTCAGAGATGGCTCGTTTTAATATGTCAACGCCAAATTCAAATGTCGGCAATATTGGTTTTTGCATTTCGGCATTTGCAAGATGCTTCGGGGTTTCTTTGACTAGGCGCTTAATTTACTCCTGCAGAGAACGGTAGATAGGTAGGTAGGCTATAGGTAGTCATGCTCAAAATCCCCCTCGTCTTCCTCTCGACCTGACAAACTGACAGTCCACTAGATTCGCTCGAGGTCATGCTCAGGTATGTACTCGTCCTAATGGGTTAGATTTTACGGGTTTTGCGTCCACAGCTCCCGCATCGTTGGGTGTACCGCTCGAGTGAACCTGTTGATAGAACTTGGGTACTCCTGGTCCGTGACTACAGAGTCCGGCGCATGTCTGGCTTCAAGGACATCGCACATGTCATCGTGTCGTAGCGTCCGTGACACGTTTCTAGACTTTTTCTACCTGTCAATGTCGACAAGTACATTTGGGCCAGATGAGTCGTTGGCGTGGGCCTGATGGGACATGTTTTTATCAACTATCCTATCCCTAGGCTGAAAGGTTCCCTTGCTTGTATAGATCCGAGTCACGATCTTGCCTGTGGCATGTTCTAGTAAGTGGTCCCAGATCTGATGAATCACAGTATGCTATAATATAAGCATTGCTATTATGATTTGCCTCCGCTAGGATTTCCTACTTAAATAGCAATGTGGCGTGCTCTCCTAGCGGTTTCTTCTCCATCCTCAGTATAGGCACATTCTTGTCTCATACCTCACCTAGCTACCACTATCATGACCGTTAAGCAAACTAAGACGGCGCCACCCGCTACTCGGGAGGAATCCGGGACCCACTCGGTAAGTGAAGGTTCAAAGGATGCTTTCAGTCGTCTTTTGAAGACCACCAAGGCCGAGGTCCCAATGGCTTTCCTACGATACATTGAAAATGTCAAGTTCTTGAGATATTCTCGTTCCGGGGATACGGCATGCTTCCCGTGCCCCTTGCGTGAGCAAGAAACAGTAGCAGCACTTAAGGCATTGGAAGGGTGTGCCGCTGCCGCCATTGCAGATATTCGAGGGACAAAACGTAAACGAACAATTAACGTCACTTTGGAAAGTGTGGCAGCCTTTTTAATGTCTACATACATCACCAGTATCGACGGCTTGGATAAGTGTAACCCCAAATCCAAGGAACGGATTCCAGGTTCGTCTAACATGATCTCCCCTTTAGGCAAATCTTCGATGCCGTTTCGCTAACTACAGTGTTAAAGATACCGATCTCAACCAAGCTCAATCGGTCTTATACCGGCGCCTTTCGGCGGGCTTATACGAAACAAGGAACCAGGGCGAGTACTATCATATTCATGGGTCATTGGAAGCTACCAAGACCCTGAAGATGATCGGCCTTCCCGCTTTTTCTCCCGGCTTAACAGATTACCATGCTTGTATTAGCACTATCGAAGGGGCTGTCAAGCAGTTTTCCGGAGCTGAATTGGAAAGGCTGAACCGAGAACATGGCCAGGCAGGCGTCCCTGTCCTCACCAATGAAAAATTTCGAAAGAGCAGCCATGGCAAATCGATGGCATCTCTTCCATTATTTACCGTAAAGCCCTTGAACATAGATACGCCACCTGTCCCATTTACGGAACAGCCCATTAATGGGCCAAGTCAATGTCTGCAGGGACTTCGTGTTATCGAGCTGTGTCGGGTAATTGCAGGACCAACCATTGGTCGATCCCTAGCAGCGCATGGCGCATCTGTCTTGAAAGTTACATCGTCACAGCTACCAGACGTACCGTTCTTCCAATTGGACGTCAACACCGGGAAACACACGACATCCTTACATCTAAAAAACGCAGGTGATGTCGAGATTTTTCGGTCTCTCCTTGAGACAGCCGATGTGATCATCGATGGATACCGACCGGGCGTCATTGCGAGACTCGGTTATCGTCCCGAGGATCTTGCAGCAAAGGCGGCTCGGCGCGGCAGGGGTATCGTCTACGTGGCAGAAGATTGCTTTGGCGGAATCGAAATAGAAGCAGAGTGGGCGGGCCGTCCGGGCTGGCAGCAAATCGCCGACTGCGTTACGGGCGTGGCATGGGAGCAAGGTAGTTTCATGGGACTTAACGAGCCGGTCATCCCCCCTTTTCCCATGTCCGACTATGGCACTGGGTGCGTCGGTACTGTTGCGGCGCTGTCGGGCATCTACCGTAGGGCTACGCAAGGTGGGAGTTGGATTTGTCGAACTAGTCTGTCACAGTACGACATCTTCCTTCTATCCCTGGGCATGTACCCGGCTGAGGTCCAGAACAAGCTACGTCGTGAGCACGACCCCAATTTCTTCGAGCTGCGTCACAACGATTCTGTCGACGAAATTGGTCGGCGAGCCTTAGCTAGTGTCAGGTCTCTACACCCGACGCTCTTTGCTAACCATCTCATGCAGAGCGCGTATAGCGAGGGATTCGGCGGTATAGTAACGTGGCCTAAAGAGCCACTAACAGTGAGCGGGATCAAGATTGGCCACGTGAGGCCAACACGACCGAATGGTTATGATAAGCCCACTTGGGAGCATTGGGAGAGGGATGAGTCTCTATTGGATGCCTGATGTATTGTTGCCCAAACGGAAACTTGCTTACTGATGGTTTACGAAGGATCCAATGTGGTCACACGACAGTAGCGGCGGTTATCGTACCCTTTTCATCATAGCGGGCGTCGTGGTATTAGTCGTAGCTAGCGCTGCATAAAAAGCGCATGTTATATGAAGTAAGTCAGCAGCTGAGGGAAATCATTCCCGGTGTGATATTGGAAGTGTATTACCACTAATGAGAATAGCATCGTACATGTACGCTGCGTTCTTACGGTGATTGTTGTCGGGGTAAGAACCTCTTCTTGATTACCTAGCTTTTAGGAGACATGATAGATTTCTAAATATACTATTTGCCTCCCAAGCATAGCTAGCTTCTACTAAAGCTCGGAGGTTTAACTGGTGCTGGTATCAGTTCTCTACTCCGGGTGAAAAAGAAGAGCATGCTTCCCTGGAATACGAAGGGTTTTGATAATGTGGGCACAAGTAAGCAACCAAATCATTTATGTATCTCATCTACTCGTACATGAACCCTCAGAGCACAGCAGTATATACACGTGACTTAATGCCGAGAGTATGAGTCTAAAGATCGCATCAAATAGCCTAACGAGCGATGAGGTGATACGATCTTTTTCGATAGAGATCGGAAATATGGATACCATTGTCTAATTGGTCTTCTGATCCTATCGCCAATAAGCTTGGTCGATGCTACGAGCGCGGAGTTAGAGTATAGTGGACTGCACAGACTCGTCAGTGTGATATAGGCAGCTTGTTAGTCGTGATAAGTCGAATTAGTCGGGAGGTTTCACCATAAGATCTCATATCGCTCGCGAGTACCTAACATATCCAGTCGAGGAATCGCTTTATCCCGGGGACGGGTTCGTCGGCCCTCGTACATGTTGTACGTATACCTTACTTCCCCCCTATTGCTAGTTACTATGATACGACATGAAATTCATGGCAAGAGAGAGTTGGCCCCTTATGTCATGAATTGAGGACGTAACAGCGAAAGCGGTAACTAAGATACATACCTCCTATCTGGACTCAACGGAGTACAGGCACAAAGGTATAGAATATCAAAAATACCACCTGAAGTATATCTCGTCCTCGAGAATGAGCCTCCTACCGCGTACGAAGCCATCGTACTTCGGCAAATCACATATGACGTGCCTCGGGCTCGCATGAGAGTCAGGCGATCTGATCTGCCCTACGCTCCCAAATTTCCTCTTTCATACAATAATTATTGCCCCAATAATCGATCTCTAGAAGCACTGGCAACCTAGTACCTATTCGCTGCCAAGACTTAGCTGTCGCCGGCTACTTACATGCAGGCAGCGAGCAGGAACCCAGGAATAAAGAAAGGAAGAAGGAAAGAAATTGGGAGAAAATGAGCTTATTCCATCAGCCCGACGAGTAAAGCTCGCTATGCTCGCTACCTAGCTCATTGCGCTCGTATTGTCTTGGATTTGCCGAGGCAAGGCTAGGCGAATGCGAGTTACAGCCACCTATGTATGAGGTATGTATATACGAAGCTGATAAGTAGACCTGAGAGAGGAGATGGATTAGCTACTGTACCTGGTAGGTAGGTACGTTGCTCGAACGCTGCAGGGTTCGAGATCACACACATACTTACACACACCACGCACACGCCGGATATGTAGTGCACTACTAGATATGTGCGACGATCGCTTCGCAGCATGCCAGCCAAGATGTCAGGTCGTCCAGCGCAGCAGCCCTACATCGTCGTCATCATCACCATCATCATCATAGGTATCGCGACTTCACCTACCACTTGACTTGGTAGGCGCACTAGCGCAACCAACAATATTCGACGCGAGGCTTTCCTCGCAACCCGGATATCCATCTATTAGGGTAGTATGTCCGTTCATCGAGCGCAAACCGGGGCCGTGGATACGGGATAGGCGTTCATCCAAGTGACCTATCATTATTCTATTCTTCTTACTACTTCTACAATATCCTCCTGTAACTACTGGATTCAGCAATGATCTATCCCGAAGTCCAACGCCATGACGTACCTCTTTCGTGGACATTTGCCATGCCATACCATACTGTACTATGCTATTCCATGATATAGGTATTATATTGTACACACACATGCACATAGACACACACAGGCAGACAAAAGTCATACATACATACATATAGGTACATACTGTACGCGCCCACCCCCCTGCCGCAAGCCGAAACTCTACCCACGGAATGGCGTGACTGGGATACGAAGCGGACATGGTTACTACTTATATCAAAGCCCTCTCGGCGAAAAGATTTATATACCTAGATGCCATTCTGTCAGCGCCCATTTCGTATTCGACGGGCTGGCATAACAGACAGCGGGCGTTGGCATTTTCGACGACATTGGGGGAGGGGGAGCTGCGCCACCCCTTTTTATTATTATTGTTGTTGTTTTGGGGAACAACCATTGAGAGAAGGGAGAAAAGAAAATTGGAATAAAAAATTTAAATAAATAAACAAGTAGATAAATAAAATAGAAATTCGCATTGTCGGACAATTACCGCCCACTGCTGACAACGGCCTCCCGCATCGAGGTCTCACCTTTATTCCATCGGTCCTTGTTTTTGCTGCTGTCAACCAACGAAAAGAGTGAAGGGAAAGGGAAAGGATAGGACGGGATGGGACGGGATGGGACGGGATGGGATGGAGAAACATACAATCGCCCAATTCCTTGCCGTTGATCCTCTCGGGATTATTCAACCGACGAACTTGTGGTTCATCCGTACCTACCTCAGGTTTAAGAGACCTAGATAGAATAGACCAAAAAACAAAAACAAAATGAGGATGAGATAAAATAGAAAATAATAGGTTTAAAAAAAAAGGTGATAATAATAAGATGAGAATTGCAAAAAATAGTCACGCCGTGGATCGAACACGGAACCTTCTCGGAACTTTGAACACATCAATGTGAACGAGAAATCATAACCATTAGACCACGCGACTTGTGCAAATTTGGCTGTTGCTAGCATACTTGTAGCTTTGGTGGGCGTTAAGCCGGCAATTTGCGTTTCTTCTCTAGTTCCAATTCCGCTTTGGTCGCGTTCCTGAACTCAATTGCACTAAAAGTGGGGGTTTACCTGGGGTTGTGGTGGGTTATGCATCTAGGTACGTACCTAAAGTTTTGGTGGGAGGAGCCCACTAATTAGAAAACGCAACATCTAGACTTCAGGGTCTACAGGTTTGTTTAGGTACCTAAGGTAGGTAGCATAGCTTAGCTTATCACGAACGTATTGAGGTTGCTGTTACTATCGAATTCCTATGACAAGATATACAGATATACGACACAGTAGTTTCCGAAAGTAGAACACAACCTTGAAGCAATTTCCAGGAGCATCTAAAGCTCCAAGCTATTAGGTATCATTAAGACATTAGGTCAATACTTCCAGTGATACCGGTTGATCGAATCGACGATTAGTAGCGTCGCAGCAGAGCAACTTCTTATTAGGCACAATACTCCACCGAGAACGAAGGGCAGGAAGACGACGATGAACCAGCGAATGATCAACACTTCAAACGATCGATTGGTATCGTAGCATTGCGTCGGTCCGAGACGAACGCTACGCTACGGCTTCATGCTTTTTGTCATTTCAAAGCGTTATGCTATGAGTAATTTGCAGCGCAATCGGATTTGATCTATTGCGACGTTAGTTATCGCGATATACTTCGTACCTGCCTTCTGAAAGGATGGATACCGGGCCATCGACGCCTCAGAAAGGGGGGGGGACATCCGGGCTCCGTTCCGGTCCCTAAAATGGGTTGACCGCAAAAAGACTATTCGGCAGTCTTAGGTCACCTATACCATCGAACATACCTACCTGGTACGTAGCAGGTGCAAATATCTATACAATATCTACCATGTCTCTTTGAAGGGCGCCCTTGCGGTGGAGTTGCAATACCTATCTCAAGATGTAAACTACACGGGAAGAACTACAGTTAGTGTGAGTAGCGATGTCGAATCGGTATACAACAGTAAGAATTTGAGTTTGGGAGTGAGCAAATCGATTGAACTGTCTGAACGCGCAGCGAAGTTTTTTTTCTTCTTTTTTGCTATGAACTTTCCATAACGATAACATGTTCTATATCTGTTTTGAATTATATTCTTGTTGTCTTATCGACACCAATGCGTCCAATAGTACCTAGCCAATACACATGCCGGTGTCATCTAGCGAAAGGGGAGCTTCGAGCCCCGGGCCCCGGGCCCGAACCGGAGGATACCACCGCGGTCCGTATAATATCTACCCGAGTATCACATACTTCCTCGGACGCTGCATCTCTCGACAAATCGCCAGCTAGAAGATAAGATACGTTGTCCCAAATTACACCCGCCCACATTGCCAATATAATGTCCTGGGGTTACGAGAGGGTTTCTCGGTCTTCCACCTCTATTACAAGCAAACCATGTATTTGCCAGCTGCTCAGGTATCGTGGATAAGCTCGATACAGATATTCTTATGTTTCCTTGTCGGGATGATATCCGGGAGACTGCCGGACGCAGGATACGCGCGGACCTTGTATGCCGTTGGGGCTATAATGTGCGTATTCAGCATGTTCATGACGACCACGTACTGGCAGATTCTGCTGGCACAGGGGCTCTGTCAGGGAATTGAAGCTAACTTGATGTACATGTCAGCAACTACAAACATCGCTAGATTCTTCGAAAAGAAGAGATCGCTTGTAGTAGCTCTTACTGACTGCGGGTCGAGTAGCGGTGCCATCTTATATCCAGCCATCGTCAAATTCCCGACGCCTAAAGTGGGCTTTCCATGGGCAGTCCGGCTGTGTGGGTTCATAAGCATTGTTTTGGCCATCGTTGGATTCCACCTGCTAATGCCGCGGGGACTGAGGAAGACTCCCGCGCCAATTCTCGACCTGGAGGCCTTCATAGCCGATTTGGTTTAGCGAACACTTGGTCTTAAAGTGCTGATCGTATAACCATCAGATCAATTCCTTCGCCCGGGAGAGCTTTGAAATTGGTGACCTGAAGTCTATTAATTTCGTTCTTATTTCCAATGCCGTTGCTATACCGGCGCGCCCCTTCCCCGGCTGGGCCGCGGACCATCCTATTGGCCCCGTGGTTACTTACGGGCTGAATTGTTTTGCCTTGGGGATCACGGCGTTTGGGTGGATAGGTGTTCGTCATAAGCCAGACATATATGCTTACTCTGCCCTTACAGGACTTGTGAACGGAGCTGTGCAGGGCATTTTTATGAACGCCGCTAGCAGCTTTGTTCAAGATGTGAGGAAGATGGGAACGTGGATCGGGATGAAGTTTGGTATTTGCGGCTTTGCTACACTGGCGGGACCTCCGACCACGGGTGCCATAGCGGAGGCAATTACTTATATGCACAGATTTGGGCGGGATCAACAATCATTACTGGGAGTTCCATAATCCTCCTAGCATCTAGGCTGCAAGCGCGGAACTCGGCGGGATCGGGTGAGAAACCAAGTGTAGAACTGAATACGGAATCAAGAACGACATAAAATGGTGTGCTTAATTAGTGACTACAGGTGAATGCTCTCCTTACTTCGGTTAATGAAGGCTTCATTTGATTTTTCAGACTCTCGAGCCATGTGCGTCTTGGGATAATCACTGAGGTGGTCTTTTGTCTATGAGTTAAACCAGCGGATGAAAGGGGAAGCTATTCTCATAATAGCTAATGATAGATAGATCATAGAAAATAGCTTAGCGGTTGAAGAGACATATTACCTTGTATAGGGTAGAATAAACTTCTTAGGCGGCTTCCAATGTTCGTTAGTTATTGAAAATTAAAGAACTTCCCTAGACTTAATGTTTTCCTAAATTGTTTCAAGGGTAACCAGAAAATGAAAGGGGAGGCCTCAAGCAGTGTTGGTCTAGAAACACGGGATGGTGGTGAGTTCAATGTTGGAATCGATGTGGATTGGAGTTGGCAGTTGGCAAAACAAGTGTGGCTGAATAGCTAAGCCACTAGCCACATGACTAGCCACATGAGATACATGTACAGAATTACAGTAAAACCTGTCCATAACGAATCTACGATATAACGAATACATTCTATAACGAATTTCTACACCTGATTCCCGAATTTTGTATGTAATTTAACGCATTTTTTTGTTAACGAAATTCGTTAGATTTGGTGCTTAGTCACCACCAAATTCGTTATGGAGTATATGAAAAATAAGGGGGTTAAGGATTAAAATAAGGTTTAACCCACAGTGACTAACCCAATTAGGCTAAGATAAGGCTGTAAATTCGTATTAATACCTATTACATATCTCGTGTTGAAAGTGGAGAATATTCTTGATAACGAATACACTCTATAACGAATTTAGACCTTTGATTTTTCCAATTCGTTATGGACAGGTTTTACTGTACATCAATGGGTTCCAGCTCAACCCGTCTTGACTGCCACTAGCAAACATTCAAGACAGGGATTCTCTACATGTTGCGCATAAAGCGCGGTAGATCCCTTAACCTTAATTGGATTAATGTATTTAATCTGTGGTTTGACATCATCATTTCTCTGACTTGTTATGACTTGGCTGCCTCTTTTATCGGCGCATTACAGCACCAATCACCAAGGGACAAAACTTGAAAAAAATCATATCCAGGGTTACGTATTTACCTAGTTAGACCGCCACTGTCTTGTTAGTTGTCAATACAAGTTTCAATAAATAAAAGGCTTTTTGGTCTTCCCTTTGTTCCCACGATTTTGAGGGAGAGTTCGATGTTTCAAAGTGTTCTGGTTGCAAATACCAGGTACCCAACCGTCGCTCGCAGTCGACCAGAACAACTAAGGTCCAGCGTCTAATAATTACCAACAATTCTTACCTCTTTCTTGACCGTTCTTAATTCTTCACTGCTAGACAGTTAGTTAATTCTACATCATCCCCTAGATAACAAGATGGCGGGTGTTCTCGCGAAGTTTGTATCTAAGAAGATACTCAAGGAAACGGCGGGGAATCAATTCGGAGCAGAAGTAAGCGACGTCTTTTTCTTTTCTTTTCTTTTTTTCTCTATCTCTTAGCAGAATTGTTCGCTTGTAATTAAAATATCAGTATTGGGTTGAGTGGCAGATCTTACTAACATGGCATAAAACTACAGGATCCGTACTTCGAGCATGTCCCCGCGACAAGACTTGACGGTACCCCGACAGGAAAAGTAAAGAAGGTCCGCAAAGCCTTGCCGCCTGGCCTTTCGGAACACGATGCGAAGATCTTGACCAAGGTGAAGAGAAGAGCATACCGGTTGGATATGAGCTTTGGTAGTTTTATGGGACTCAAGTTTGGCTGGGGTAGTGTTATAGGCCTGTTCCCTTTGTGAGTGGACCTGCTCTTTTTTTGGATTTATAATCATCGCGTACTGACGATAACACTTGTTTTAGTGCCGGAGACGTCGTGGATGCTCTTCTTGCGATGATGGTTGTCCGTACCGCTAAGCAGGTCGAAGGAGGGCTTCCGTTTCGTATTTGGGCTTGGATGTACGTGTTAGTATTTATAGATCTCATCGCCGGGTTGGTTCCGTTTGTTGGAGACATTGCCGATGCCGTCATTCTTGCCAACACACGTAACGCGGTGGCATTAGAGGATTACCTGCGAAAGAAAGGCAAGAAGAATCTTCGCGCTAGCAAATTGCCGGTCCCAGACGTGGACCCCAGCGACCCGGCCGAGTTCGATCGATATAATTCGGAGTCACCTGAGCACGCGTCGTCTCGGGCTACGCGTCAAGGAGAGAGGTCTGCCGGCCAATTGCGAACGGACCATGTTCCCCAGGAAACTGGTGTCACGCCCGAATGGAACCAGCCGTCACAGCCCGCTCAAGCAAGGGTACATGATGATCGACGAGGACGCTCGAGCAGGAGTTTCTTTGGGTTAGGTAGCCAAAGATCTCGTCCGGCTGATGTCGAGGCTGGTAGACGGAATTAAGGACCCGCTAGCAACCGCAGAAGTGTGGGGATTAATTAAGGAAATCGGGTCGCGTTAATTGCTTTGGAGGGGCAGCTTTTACGCGTCACGCTATCACGAGCTTTGGCTTTTCACTGTCCCGTACGAGAGATCCTTGGCTATCTCCGAATTGTATTTTTGACAATTATACCTTGGTAAATGCGAAATTAGGATGTTTACGTGTAACGAAAACGGCAGAGGAATAGGTAGACGATATCAAGATACCATACGAACATTGCATCATAATGGGGAGTTGTCGTACCCTAGGTATTTAAGGAAATAGCGAGTTACTTATCGGATTATCGTGAGACAGTGGGGGCAGTGGATTGGAATAGGCAGATGAAACGATCAACACGTCTCTGCTCAGGACTGTGTTGAAAGACATTGTCTGACTGGGTTTATATGGCATGGCTCGTACTCCGAGGACAAGGAAGCCGAGGGCAAAGACCAATATTAGGCCCGGATTCAAACCGCCGCAAAGCCACCCAAAACCACCTAAAAACAACGGTGATTCGCAATGCCGAATAATCATTAGCTGATCCTGAATCAGCTGCCTACTAAGGTAGAAACTAGACATCCTATCCATACCCCATTGGGCTGCTTGCTTATCTGAATGACTGTGATCTGTAGGTAATCCTAGTTGGTACCTATATCCCTGCTTTGTGACACGAGAAGCCAGTGCTAAGAGAACCGAGCTGGCCGAAGCCTCCTGCGTTCCTCAGAGAGAAAAAAGAGAGAGAAAAGAAAAAAAAGAGAATCCGGGCCAATTATAGGTCAATTGTGACATTCACCCTTACAACTGGAGGCTGACAAAATGCCCTAAGTTTTTAAACCAATCAGATCAACAAATCCTTAAGTTCAAACTTAAGCCAATGTTTTAGTACCTTGTATTGTACCTTGCTTTGTATCTTGGTATTGCGCGGGTGCATGGGTGTATGAGTGCATAAGTGTGTGGATACTTTTATTTTTTATTTTTTTACAGTAGAAGTGGTACCTACATAACGCGTAAAAAAAAGTGGCGGGAGTCTAGTCGCGTTTTTTTAGTCGCGTCGCCCCCAGTTATTCGCAACACGTGACTTGTCGAGAGACAGCTTTTAAAAGATCTTGGACCCGACAAGTTTTGAGTACATTTCCTGTCCTGCATCTCATCAACAAAGATAACTTCCACTTTACGCGTGATTGTCAATCATACTTGGTGATCACTGCAAGTCAATTGTCACTCCCTTGTCCAATATACAATAATTATACAATTGCAATTTCTACTTCCAACCCTCACATTGTCGCAATGGCTGCTAACATCACTCCCTCTAAAAAGGTATATGACTTCGCCTTCCTTATTGTTTTGCGCTGCCTGGAAGAATGATGGCTAACCTGTTATATTGAATAGGCTGCCTCTGCCATGGAATCATTAAAGATGGACTCGCCTGTCAAGAAGCTTGATTTCTCTGCCGGCAAGGAGAACGCGCCTTTCGACTCCAACATTGATGCCCTCTCCAAGGAGATCGATTCTCACCAACAGATCCAAAAGAAAGAACAGAAACCTGTAGTTGCGCCTACTATCCGAGCCGAGGAGGTTGATGAGCCTATCCTACAGGAGAACCCTCATCGCTTCGTTCTGTTCCCCATTAAGTACCATGAGGTGAGTAACGCGCCTCAGACGCGTAAAGTGGTTTTTTCAACGCGCCATATTCTAATTGAATTTTACCCCACAGATCTGGCAGATGTACAAGAAGCACGAGGCATCCTTCTGGACTGCCGAAGAGATTGACCTGTCCAAGGATCTTCACGACTGGAACAACCGGCTCAACGACGACGAGAGATTCTTCATCTCTCATATCCTTGCCTTCTTCGCCGCTTCGGACGGCATTGTCAATGAGAACCTGGTTGAGCGATTCAGCGCCGAGGTTCAGATCCCTGAGGCGCGATGCTTCTACGGTTTCCAGATCATGATGGAGAACATCCACTCCGAGACTTACTCCCTGCTCATTGATACCTATATCAAGGAGCCCGCCCAGAAGACCCATCTCTTCAACGCCATTGACACAAGTGAGTTTCACTATATATATCATGCAAGTGAATTAACCACGTAGCTAACCCTTGTTTAGTTCCCTGCATTCGCAGGAAAGCCGACTGGGCTCTGCAATGGATCTGTGACAAGAACTCCACTTTTGCTCAGCGTCTGATTGCCTTCGCTGCTGTCGAGGGTATCTTCTTCAGTGGTGCATTCGCCTCCATCTTCTGGTTGAAGAAGCGTGGTCTGATGCCCGGTCTCACCTTCTCCAACGAACTCATCTCCCGTGACGAGGGTCTGCATACCGACTTCGCTTGCCTTCTATTCACACACCTTAAGAACCGCCCCGGCAAGGATGTCATCCAGAAGATCATCACCGACGCTGTCGCCATTGAGCAAGAATTCCTAACAGAGGCTCTGCCCTGTGCTCTGCTGGGCATGAACGCCAACTTGATGAAGCAGTACATCGAGTTTGTTGCCGACCGTCTACTAGTTGCTCTTGGTAACGAGAAGGTCTACCGCTCTGCCAACCCCTTCGACTTCATGGAGAACATCTCCCTAGGTGGCAAGACCAACTTCTTCGAGAAGCGTGTTGGTGACTACCAGAAGGCAGGTGTCATGGCCAGCACCAAGAAGAACGTATCAAATGACGACGCTGCCACCCCTGGAGAGCGAGAGAACGGAGGTGACTTCACCTTCGACGAGGACTTCTAAGCTTTCTCAAACAAGCTTAATAAGCGCCATTTCTCTTTTTCTCTTTTACGTCCTTTTTTCGATACCCCCTTCTCATTCTCGATTAGATTCATCCCCCTGTGTAATACTATATTCACGCCTACTTCCCTCAGCACCACTCTCCGGGTAGAGCTTAGAGGTTTTTTATAATAAACCACCATAGACCGGCGAGCGATTGCCTCGACGGTAGTGGATTGTGGTTGGATTCCATCGACTGGGGGGCGGTTCCCGTTGGATCTCTTTTAAGGCCCAATCTACTTCTCTTTTTCTTCACTTCCCTTTTTTTATTCTGTCACGACACGGTCATCATAGGGCGTTATGGCGTTGCTGGCTGGCATCTTATAGTATAAAAAAGAAATAAGAGATGACCTGCGGAGGAATGAAGGAAAGAAATCAAAACAAGCAAACCAAATCGATCGCCTCCGAAGAATGGATGCATCGTATGGATGGATGGGATGGATGCAGGGCAGGAATGGGGGGTATAAATGACATGATGCATGCGACGCGGACGTAGTGATAGCTCAAGTGATGCAATTGATGAAGATACATATATGCTGAGTTGATCTTGTGTGATTTGCGCGAGTTGAAGATATGCTTTATTCTTGTGCTGCTATGTTCACATATCTAGAAGTTGTATTGGTAGGGGCTTTAATGCTGGGCCTTTTATAAACCTATTGGTACTTTGCGATCTCATTCTAACTCTGAAGTGATCCTGGACTTTATAGCAATGCTATGACCTCGTCAATGCATGGAAGTAGTCGTTCCTCAAAGAGCCTAGGATTTTATCTTTTCCCCTTCTTCGCTTCTTCTCTTCCTTTCCATTGATCCATCCACCCATTCTTTTATCCATCCCCTATTTCTTCCCACGCTTCTTCTTCCCCTTCCCACCACCACCTCCTCCTCCCGTATTTGCACCTCCTTGCCCTTGCCCTTGTCCTTGTCCTTGCGCCTGTCCTTGTCCCTGTCCCTGTCCCTTCGCACCCGCACCCGCCGTTCCAGCAACAGCAGCAGCGGGCACCACATCCTCCGCCTTCTCGTCGGCGGGCGTAGAGCCCTGCGCCAGCGGCGCGTCGGCCATGACCTCGTCGGCGGCCTCGGGGAGCGGCAGCGCGGCCATGCGCGCGCCCAGCGGCCGGCCGAGGCTCTGGATCAGCCGCGAGACCTCGGCCGCTTTGGTCGTGCGGTACTTGAGGCAGACGCCGGAGCGAGGGTCGTAGGTTTTGAGCGTGAGGGAGCCGCGGGGGGCGGCGGGAGCGGTGGTGGAAGTTTCGGTGGAGGGGGCAGAGGTGGAAGAGGAGGATTTCTTGGACCGGCGAGGTTTGGGCTTGGAGATGTGGTATTTGGTTGTTATGCGCGTCTGCGGGGGGAGATGGGTTAGTTAAGGTAGGTAGGTAGGTAGGTAAGTTAAGTTAAGAAGAGATCTAAGAGGATATGGGCGGGATGGGATGGGATGGGGTATATTTTGGAGATAAGGCAAGACGCTGTGCGTATATTCAAGAATAGACGTACGGTATTAGGTTGCGCTTCCAGCAGCAGCGACGACTGGTGCAGCCATTCCTGGCTCGTGGCGTAGTAGGGCATTGCGGGCGAGAGTGCCGCTTTGTCGCGGACTTTTGATGTATATGATAATATAATAGTCCCTAGCAAACAGCTACTTCGTACTTAGGCAAGTCGCCTGTCGCTTGTATGGTCTTTTGGGGGTAGATTGTAATCGGCGTCGTGGTTATAGATATGCGACCGTATGTCGTCAAAGTTGATTGTGGAGCTAGACTTTGAATTTTGGCAGTTTCGCCCAATGGAGTGACGATGAAGTTTGGTGTTGGCAGGAAAGTTGGCAGTTGGCGGGCGGATGTGGGGTTCAAACAGCCCAAGCAGGGATTCGAAAGCTCTAGTAAGGGTCGCGGGGTAGGTACTAGGAGGTAGCTTAGCTTACTATGTACTTCATAATTGCATTAGGTGGTTTAAACGTGAGAAGTACCGACCTTAACAAATTTACCTAACCCAAGATATATTTTAAATGTTAATTCTCACAATTTATTTCTTCTTATACCCTAGCACAAGTTAAACTCTTTTATTGGTTATACATAAAATAGTCGTCATCTCTATTATAAGAAGCCGTCAAGACGAAGCCCTTTTAGACGCCTTTCGCAATGCAAATGGGGTATCTTCCATGCCCTAAGCCTGCCAATAGCCTCACGTCCTTCTTCACTACCAACGATGGACTTCATATTGATTCTCTGTCCGTTACTCATCGTCCTTATCGTCCTTATCCACGTTTACACCAACTAAACCAGACATTAACGATTTAACATCCACGGTTTCATCGTCAGTTGCCTTCTAGGCATGTGGATCTGGCAACCAGAACACTAAGTCTTGATCTGCCGAGGCAAAGAAATTGAACCGAGGATTAATAGCAACCACTGCCGCAGGTCTCTCGTCTTCGAGCACGTGAACCGGGTCCAAGATCTTACCAGTTGGGTTACCTAGCGTGTCCCATACCATAACCCCCTTCCTCCCACCGCCGAGAACGAATCTTCCGTCATGTGTGAAGCAACAGTCGCCGCTGCTCTCCACACTGGCACCACTCGGTCCACCTCCATTAAGCGTGTATTCTTCACCGGGCGCCAGTCTGTTACTTCCACCTTCGGTCTTTCGCAGGTATGCTTTCAAACTGCCGTTGAACGAGTCCAAAAGGAAATGGCCTCCCCCCTTCGTACCCAATAAGATAGACCGCCCATCGTTGGCAAACTCCAACGTAGTCCAACCGTGCATAATATGGTGGGGATCGACTAAACCGCAAGCTTCCACGATGTCGAATTCTGCGAATGGTGCTTTGTCGAATTTCCGATGGTCGTAGAGTAAGACCATGCCGCTACTAGGCGATGCCACGGCGAAGACTTGCCCGCTCGGATCGTAAGCTGCGAGATACGGTGTGTTCAGATAAAGGATTCCCGTCTCGTTTTTAGTCCCAGCATTCCATAATCGTATAGTATTATCTTTGCTACAGGAGATGAAGTCGTCGTTGCCGGGGTGCATCGCCAAACATGTAACGGCGGCCTGGTGGCCTTCAAAATACCGTATAAACGCATTATCGTGAGTTGTCAGATATCGGATCGCGTCTATAAAGTAAAACTGTCAGCAGGTGGTCAAGAAGTGCAAGATATACCGAGGTCATAGGAGTCCGAACCATTCTGTTTTGTGCTCGCGTATATTATACTCGAGCTATTGTGTGTGAATTTGGCGTGTTTGACTCCGTATTTCTTGCTGAGGAGCTGTTTGTCGTGACGTCCTTCTCGAACCTTGTAAATCTGAATAGTCTCGTCGCTCTCGGACGTCATTAAAAGCTCGCCGGGATCATCATAATCGAGGCTAAGGATAAAGGGTTGGTGTCGTCCGTCTTTGATATCATCGCGCTTGAATAGCTATAGTCCAAGTAAATAACAGCCTATCTGTGGCCGCAGGTATACACGAGGAGGGTTACCTTGGTAGGTCTGAAATTGGGAATAATATCGGAAATCGCGGATGTGCTAGGTAGACCGCCACCTAGAGTACGAGTGATGTTAAGGGAGGTGGACGAAGTGCCGTTGGCAGGAGATGCGTTGTCGGGAACATCAAGATCCATTGGCGTGGATGCCATCTTGAGAAATACCGATGTATAATGTACCAATATGAGCTTGAAAGGAACTTGGAGAAACAAGAACAGTAATATGCGCTTAGAGATGAATCAATTGGAAGTGGATGAATGAGAAAAGGAACGCAGTAGCTAAGGTTGTAAGATGAAAGCGACAAGGCTAAATCGTAGCCGTGCTTTTAATGTTTATCGCTTATCAATTTAGCGGTACGAAGTACCTAGGTATCTAAGGTAGGTACCTCTTATGGCTGATATTAGCTTAGGTATCCGCTATATGCATACCTGTCATTACCACATCTTTGATGCTTTTAATGAGGTTGTACGTTGCCACATGCTAAAGAACAGGCATGGATGATGATATTTTTAAAGAGGTAGGTACCTCCTATGTACGTTGTTAATGCTACCTTCTTTAAAAAGGCATGGACAACTGGTAGTTGTTCCTATCATACTGTATAAAATGCAACAGCAAAGGGTTTCTATTCTAACCCTAACCCAACCATACATTTCCTAGATAATGTACCGATTACCATATACACTAATACAGACATCAAGACCTGTAGAAAGCCTCGTTATGAGTACGAGCAATACCTTTACTTCTGGATGCTTTGGGGGCAAAGCAGATCATGACGATGATATGACAAGCCCGCTACCTCGGCCGCCAACAGAAAATAATTATCGTGCAACAAGCACGATGCTTGAAGACTCATCCGGGCCACAAACGTGGCATAAACTCTTCGGACAACTAATATTGCATCGCAAAAAGCTTGCCACAGCACAGGATGTACCTCTCTATGCGATAGCCTCAAACAAAGCCTTGGAGCAGCTAGCCAAGATTCGCCCGACTAATAAGAACCAGCTTTTGAAGGTGAAGGGCATCGGAAACCAAAGAGTCGAGGCGTATGGCGACGAATGGCTAAAGATTATTTCGGAAGACATCGCTAAGTATCCCAAGAGGAGCGTTGTTATGACGGATTTGCCTTCAGAGTCTAGGGTTATGAATGGGCCTCGTCAAAGAGATAACTTCCAGGACCAACAGGAGTCTGATTCGTTCAAAGAATTATACAGACGCCTGGCAGAGCATCGGAGGACCTGTGCTATTATAGAAAACCGACCCGCATATATAGTTGCTTCTAACTCACTTCTAGAAAGTCTTGCCCGGACGCGTCCCTCGAATCAGCGTGAGCTTCTAAATATACATGGAATAGGTTTAGCCAAGGCAGCTGAGTACGGGTCCGGTTGGCTCGAGATAATTGCAGCCTTCGAAGCCGAGTACAAGTCCAAGTCCGCCCAAACATCTATCTCAGACGCTCCTGTGACCACATACACTCGAGAGGATAGCCAACAACCGCAGGCAGGGGATCAGCCATCGAAACAAAGGCAGATCAGAACTGTGGGACGTTCAAAGGAAATAATCCTCACACAACCCTTCCCAGGCGATGATCTATCATTCGAAATTAGTCAGAGACGACCGAATGCAGTCGAAGCAGCCGAAGCCTCGTCCGAGAAAGACGAAAGTGGAGACTACGGTGACCCAGGCATTGAAGACGCATTAGAGACACTGGTTACTCCCCAGTCATCTCAACAGCTAAAACGGAAGCAGAATGATGGCTCAAACCTTACTGCTGAGACAAATCCTTCCCTAACCCACGACTTTAATTCAACGTCAGCCCCCACCGTGCAACCGATGGATAAAGGAGTGGTAGACCCTGAGCCGTTAAGCCAGGAACAAAAAATACTACGAAAGAAACTGGATGCCTACGTCAGAAGCGTAGTTTGGGCGATGGATCCGAAACCTATTCATCCAATAGTTTCTGAAGATACTCTCCAATGTCTCGTTGCTACACTGCCGCAGACACAAGACGAATTACACCAAGTACCCGGCATCGAGAGGTTTCTCCGGGCTTGCGAGATGGCAAAGAAGGATCTCTGGCGGACGTTCTCAACATGGATACAAGCCCCAGGGCTCATACATCGTGCACAAGCCATATAATGGGGGTATAACCAGATTCTGCAGGTGTTTTATTCGGCCAAGGTGCTTATAGGTACTTCAACATTTACTCGCGACTTTCCCTCGACATTGATGTCGCTACGATAGTAGGACGGCAGAGGCTCCAGTTATAGCCCCAACTCAGTAGGTACTCAACAAGGATGTCTAAGAGGTAATCAGGGAGAGAGAATATTATGATCGTCTGAACGGGATAAGGGATCCTACGGACGCCTTAGGTACACCTAAGGAACTGTGAATTATCACCGCCTTCCAAAGCTATAGTCGTATCCAGCGAGAAAACCTCCGTTATCATTTAAACAAACCTAAACCTAGGTGAAATCACCCACTAATAATAGAATAATGTATGCATGCTAGTCGCATTTTCTCGCCGTTTTAAGAAAAGCATACTAATCCCATCTAAGACAGGGTATGGCTGGATTGATCAATTAGGTACAGCTATGCTTACCTATACTGGTTATGGCTGAGCTCGTCAGCTGCGCAGGAAGAAACCCCCGGGTAGGTCGCAGCGCAGAGTACCATCAGGTCAAAACATCAAACTCGCTATCAATTGCACGATCTGAATACGATGCAATACGAACCGAAAATATCGTGTAACTGAAGCTGTGACGAGTTTTGGAATCGCTATTACCAGGTAGGTAGGTAGCCAGGTCGCCTAATTGTGTCTTTGTATTTATGCTTAAGTATTATTAGTAAACTCTCATGTCCCCAAATTTCGGATCAACCCCTGATATTTGGGGGTTACATGCAGATGCAGTGCAGGTAGCATCACAGCTACTACAGCCCAGGGGCACCAGCGTAGGATATAACATAAAGGGGAGAGGGGCAGCATAGCATCACTGGTGCCTAAGTACCAGAAGCGAAAATATAATGACTACCTTAGGTACTTATGGTTCTGGGTTGCTACATAGGTAGTTCGTCTTGCTAGGTTCTCGCAGAACTGCCGCCGTCGCTAAGAAGAAAGATGTACTCGACGATGGAGGTTGCGCCGAGCACCGCGCCGGAGTTCAGTAGCGCGGATTCTTCGGCGCCCGAGGTAGCTCCCGAGACTTACCATCATCCACAGTACTACCAATGTAAGGACTACTATACCGCGTCGCAGCAATCACCACCGCAGCTTAATAGCCCGCCATCACCACCGGGCCAGGCCGAGATAGCCGGCTTGAAAAAACCCACGTTCTGGTTGTTGGTCGCTTTGTTCTCGGCCGTGGCGCTGGCGCTTGGGTTAGGCACGGGGTTGGGGTTGGGACTGAGGAATAATGGTGTTGTTGATAATAAAGGTTAGAATATGCACAGATAAGACGTAATACCATGGCATATATGATATGGTAGCTTCTAATGCTGGGTTTAGGGGCTTCTGCGGATAACGAAGCTATAACCAACGGCGCTACTTCGTCGTCGCCTACGAGAAGTGAATCGACTACGAGCACGAGTACAGGCACCAGCACTACGGGGACTACGAAAAGCAGCAGCAGCAACACACCGGTCGTCGCGGTGCCGACACCGACGGTCTTCGTGGACTCCGGGTGTCCCGACCGCAGCGGCGGCGCGATATCCGGGAAGAACCGGAGCTACGACGTGTACTGCGACAGCGACCTGACGGGGACGGACCAGGCGTCGCTGGTGGTGAACTCGCTCGAGGAATGTCTCGCGCTTTGCGACTCGCTGAACTGGACGCAGAAGCGCGGCGATGTCGGCTGTGTCGTACGTGATCTGATAACCTACCTCCTACTAAGCAGATACCTATTCCTTTTTTTTTTCTTTTTCTTTTACGGGTTAGGAGAAGAAGGAAGTTGCTGATGCTGGGTACTGGTACTGATACTGACTGACTCATTTGATAGTGGAACGAGAAAGGGGTCGTGGGGCAGAAGAAGGGGACGTGTTGGTGCAAGGGCGGGGATAGCATCAAGGTCACCTCGCTGGCGGGAATCGTGGTTGCGAGTCCGGCTCCGTGAGATTCGGTTATGTTATGCTTAATGTATTGTACCTGATTTTGAATTTGTATAGTACGGTGGCTGCTTGCTGTAGGTTGTTTGGGTGTAGGTACTACTGGAGTTTGGTATAAATGATTGGTTGATAAGAGCGTTGCTAGCCTTACCTCAGGTACTTGCTTGTACATAGTACGTACCTAAAAAAAACTGTTAGTTACGTCAGATTTTCTAGCGATAAGATAAGGAATAATTAGGTACTTTAGTGGATATAAATTTCGATATAAATTTCGATATCGATAAATTCACTTAGACGGATTGACGGATTTACATGCGCATTGAATTGGCCGTAAGAGTCATTCTTGATACGGCCCATCCGCTGTAAACCCTCATGAGACAGCGTAATGTCATTAACAAGACACTGAGGTGGCATTTCACTTTCACCAAAAACACAAATCCGCATGTCGTAGTCTTACCAAAATTCCACGGTCCCCTCAAGTCCGTCTTCGCAAAAGCACCTCTTCCAGTTGCGCTCTTCCGGAAACCCAACCTCTCCGTACTACGAGCATCTCCCAGAGATCGTAAGTACGGCGCTCAATTTCTACTTCTTGAGAGATCTCCACCTCAACAGCGCCTGGAGCTGTTACGTGGAGTCAGGATGTTGAACTATGTTCAGACCATTACAACCCCTACCGCCGACACCCACGGCACCTGCTTGCTGCTTCACTTCGACAACAAGCGCTATATAATCGGGTCTATCGCCGAGGGGACGCAGCGTGCTGCCATCCAGCGGAATATCGGCATACATAAGGTCGAAGATGTTTTCGTAACAGGTGTGGTTAACTGGTATAATGCCGGTGGCCTCCTAGGTTTTATCCTCGTCCTCGCCGATACCCTCATTTCCAAGGTAGAGATGCTCAAGCAAAACATAGGGGAGCGTAAGGTGAAACCACATGCCCTTAGCGAAGCTACCATGCCACGACTTAGAATTCATGGAGGTAAGAATGTGACACAGCTACTTGCCACCGCGCGCCGGTTTATTTTTCGAAGGGGGCTACCTCTGGACCCCCAAGAGATTCTCGAGGACCCTCGCTTGATCGAGCAGCAGGAACTTAAGCCGGATTGGGAGGACAGCAACGTTAAGGTGTGGTATATGCCTGTTCAATCGACAACGACTATGTCGAGCAGTCCTCGGAAACGGACACACAGTGAATTTATAGAGGCAGACGGATCGGATGAGCAACAAGATACCACAGACCCAGAAGAGGACAGAAAGCTGGTTCAAACTGTAGTCACACAGATGTTCGACTCGGACTGGAAGATGGACGCCCTGGTAGAAACCACCTTACACGAAGCGAAGTTGCCTGCGAAACTATTCGTCCGGGATGATAAGGGTCATATCCAAGTATACACAGGTCCCTTGCCGGGAAGTGGACAGGAGGTACCAGATATACCCGTATTAGTACGTCAACCTTGGCCCGGGGCAATGGTACAGTCACTACCGCGTACGAAACCCTCGACTCAGTCCATGTGTTATATATTCAAAACTCACGAGCGACGGGGAAAGTTCAACCCTCAAGTAGCTGAAAAACACGGCGTGGCCAAACATGACTACAAGAAGCTCGTAGCTGGCGAGAATGTGGTGGGTCAAGATGGGGTCGTGGTGACCCCAGATATGGTTTTGGCAGAGAGTGTTCCTGGAAATGGATTTGCTGTGGTCGATTTACCCGACCCTTCCTATATCGATGCTCTCGTGAACCGCACAGAGTGGTCAAACGATAGTCTAATGAACGGTATTCACGTTATATACTGGATCCTTGGCCGCGGGGTTATAAATGATCCCCGACTACAAGAGTTTATGCAAAGGAAGAGGAAGTCGGAAATCAAACACATAGTATCTTCGCCGGACACCTGCGCGAACAGGATTGTGTTTGATTCGGTCACAGCTCAGACTTTCAAATTACGATGTATTGACCCCGATCGGTTCTATTTGCCTGTATTCGACAATGCTGTCTCAATATCGAATACGTCGACGAAAGAACCCTCTCCTATCTACGAAGGGAGCAAGCTTGGGAAGGTTGTGCAGTTTGCACCCCAGTACGTGCATCAGGATAACAAGATCTTTCCATTCCCGGATATTGAAAAAATGGCCTCGGTGGATTTGAACGATGAGATATTAGAGATGGCTCAAAGGGCTAAGGAAAGGGCGACAGATCCCGAATTTCTTGCCAAGATCGAAAAGGTGGAATCGGATATCCCAAATCGAGACGCCGAAATCATTCCCCTGGGAACCGGTTCTGCTCTACCATCCAAGTACCGCAATGTCTCTTCGACGTTCCTTCGCGTTCCGGGTTACGGCAACTACCTATTTGACTGTGGTGAGAATACACTAGGTCAATTGCATCGAGTTTTCGGTAAGGAGTTACCTGAAGTCTTGAGAAACCTCAAGGGCATATGGATTAGCCATCTCCATGCGGACCATCACCTGGGCACCGCTTCCGTTATCAAGGCGTGGCACGAGGCAACGACCCAATCCGACCCTTCTGCCAGGCTATTAATCGCGTCCCACACGCACATGATAGACTGGTTGCGTGAATACTCTGATATCGAAGACTTCGGCTTCAATCGCCTCGAGACCGTCATTTTCGGTAAATGGAACCCCGTAAACGGAGGTCCCGAAGGGAAGATCCTCAGGCCTCGCGAGTTCTCGGAAGAGGAAACGAGGGCCTTTGGGCTGAAGCAGATCGACGCCTGCTACGTGCAACACTGTTTCGGCGCCATGGCGACCGTCTTTACGTTCCCGACGGGCTTCAAGGTCGCGTACTCGGGCGACTGCCGACCGAGCAACGACTTCGTGCGGATCGGCAAGGGGGCCACGCTGCTGATCCACGAGAGCACGTTCGAGGACGAGCTGCGCGGGGACGCGATCGCCAAGAAGCACTCGACCATGTCGGAGGCAATCGCCGTCGGCCGCCGCATGGGCACCCGCCGGATCCTGCTCACGCACTTCTCCCAGCGGTACCAGAAGATCCCCATCATAGAGGAGAACATGGAGATCCGGCCCGACGCGAGCGGGAGCGGGAGGGTCGGGTTCGACGAGGTCGTGCTCTTCGCGTTCGACTACATGCGCGTCAGGCTCGGCGATTTCAGAAAAGCGCAGGTTTTCCTGCCGACGCTGCAGAAGCTGTTCGAGGAGGTCGTGAAGAAGGAAGAGGAGGACGGCATAAAGGAGGATGAGTAAGACGAGCGAGATGAGTGGATACCTAAGGTTAGGTGCAAGGTAGATAAGAGGTAGATTATAAAAATATAAAAAGATGCTGTACTATCAGGTCGAAGCTTTGTTTATGCCTAGAGTGAATGATAGCTACCTCGCGTCGTGATGGTGGTTTGTATACTGGTTATTCCCTACTCTAATCATGTATGACACTCTGATGGTGGGTCAGGTTGGCTTAAGCTTTCCGTATGAACAGGTAAATAACTTTGTAGATAGAGTAAAATCTGATTATGTCTTACCTATGTCGTAATTAGATACCTTAAGTTAGGTACCTACCTACTTACATATGAGGTAGATAGATGTTATTACTAAATGGCAGTCTAGATGCTCTAACTTAAGTACCCAGGTAAGCCATCTATCTACCCAACCCTAACATCCTCCTCCCCTTCTCTTTCTTTCTCTCCCCAATACACATTCGCTCACTCACACTCAAGCCTCAGAGCTCAAGCTCATAGCAGCCAACAGCCCCGTCCACCCCGCGCCCTCGCCCCCGACCCTCTCCAGCGGCGCCTCGATAGCGATGGGAGCCCAGACGAGAGAGACGCCGTTAACGCCTAATACCGCCTGGAACTCCTCCTCCTCCCCTTTCTCTTTCTCCTTCCCTTTCCCCTCTTCTCCTTCCCCGCCCTCTCCTGCCCCCTGCTGCTTCTGCTCCGCGCGCACGCGCGCAAACGTCCGGTTCCCGCGCCCCACGACATCCAAGCCGAACCAGGATCCCAGGGGCACGGTGGTGTTTAGCCGGTAATAGTTGCCGGAGGCGAACAGCGTCAGGTTCGGGGTGAGCATGAGCGCGGAGTCCCGGCCGGAGAGGAGGGTGGTGGTAGCGGTGGCGTCGGCGTCGAAGGAGGAGACGAGCAGGCGCAGGGAGAGCGTGTAGTTCCTGCCTTTGGAGGATAGGGGCGTGACGAGGGAGCATGAAGAGTTTATGGGGATAGCGGTGGAATCGGATGCGGATGCGGATGTGAGGGGGCAGGTGGCGATGGCGTCGTACCCGTTTCCGGAGTGGTCGACGACGATCGTGGTGTCGGTCCGTTTCTCTAAAGAAGTAAAGTGGTAGTAGTGGCTCTTCAGGGCCGAATTAGAAGAGCAGGAAGAGGAGGAGTCAGTGGTAGTATTAGTAGTAATAGTAGTAGTATAATTGAAAACCGTGGATCCGACAGACGGGATCGCGCGGTCGAGATTCTGCGCCGGCGCGAACGGTTGCAGGGCGGCGAACGCGGCGGCGAACTCCGCGGCCGACAGGTCCCCGCCCCACTGCTTGTCGGCGAGGGCGGGGATGCCGTCGCGCCAGGCGTAGTACGCCTCGGAGAAGACGGACGCGTTGGCGCCGAAGTCGTTCCACAGCGGGGTCACGGCGCCGAGGACCAGGGGGTTCGACCGCTCCGGGTTGTTCGCTGCCGTCTTCGTGTCAAACACGTGCGGCTGCCATATCCCCCCTCCCCCGCCGCCCGCCCCCGCCGCCGGGTCGCCGTTAAAGGTGCGCGCGACGTTGACGACCTGCGGGTAGCTGCGGTGGTACTTGAGTACGGTGTAGTAGGTGTCGTCGGAGTTGAGGACCGAGTAGTTGTTCAGGATGTAGTCGTGGTACGGGTCGTCTTCGGAGAAGGTCCAGTGCTGGATCGAGACGTTGGTGTAGATGTTGCTGTACTCGGGCTTCGGGGGGAACGTGCCCCATATGCGGATGGATTTCCCGGATTCCTGGTAGATGTAATCGGCCATCTCGTTGACGAACAGGTTATAGTCATTGGGATCGCCGGTATATTCGTCCGCGCCGATGTGCACGGTCTTCACGTGGAACCAATCTAGAAAAGTGCTCCATATGGTCTTCACGGTAGGTATCGAGTCTGGATGTGAAATGTTTAATAGCGACAATTCGCCTTCGAGTCCCAGCTCCGGCTTCCATTGTACGATGACTAGTGCGTGTCCTGGGGCCTCGATCTCCGGGATGATGGTAACTCCTCGAGAAGCACATGTAGTCTGGATTTCTTCAAATTGTTCTCTAGTATAAGACTCATTCTTATACTTATTCAAGCCAGCTAGTTCTTCAGAATCAGACCACAGCCGGAACCGAGCGTATAGTTCCAATGACTGCTCCCTAGTATATAGATTGACATTGTTATATAGATTATCACTTAGATGTATTTGGAATGTATTCTGCTTAAAGAAGCTCATGTAAGAACACAACTCAATTATGAACTGCTCGACACCTCTCGTTAGCCAAATTACCCCTATTCATATACTTCATATACCTAAAATTCGGCTTATACATACCTCCGGTGGATAATAATGCCGGGCTGCGTCGAGCGCCATGCCCCGAGTCCTCCACCCAGGAGCATCGTCTGCTTCCCCATAAGATAAAGAGCCATTGGAGAGAACTGCTTGCTGAAGAACAGTTCGCGTACCCCACCACACGCCTAGAGGGCTGGCGCCGGTTATAACGATCCCCGAAGAGTCGACTGAAAGGGTATATCCTTCGGAAGTTTGCGAGCCCTTGACATCGGTATACTTGCTAGGGTCTCCTAGCGTGAGAAATACGGTATCTGATATAGGTTCGTCGCTAGGAGAGACGCTGATGTCGAGGCCCAGAACATCATGTAAGTCATCCGCGAAAGTTTTGGCGAATTCTTGTAGACTTGGCGGAATCAACGTCTCGCCAGATTCATCACGACTCTCAGCCAACTTGGAGTCTACCAACACCCCCCTGAGAGACGAAATCGGATATGACCCCTCATCAGAGCTAGTAAAGGGAACGGTAGGTATTCCAATAGATCTTGAAGTCGCAAAAACAGCTTAGATTAGGTAGGTACATGTGTTAGTTCTTGAAAGTTTTAAATTAAAAGGACTTGAACTATAGATAGTGTAGCATCGACGAACCGTGAGACAGCGTGGTAAGCCACAGGTAATATGAATGAAGAAATACCATCACGCCAGTTACCTATCGCTATTGATATTTATTATATTGTATATCATATATCTGCAGGAACAGAAGTCAAGATCGGTGGGACATGATCGTATGGCGGGAAATACAATGTCTACCCCGACTAAGACACATGGTGGCAGGCGGTAGGCTTATCCTTATTATATCTATTATATCTACCTAGGCATGTATCTGCACACGGGCATTTTATACTTGCAGGATTGCTTTTCTTGGCCGTCGCCATATGGGACGACGAGCGAATCATATCGCTGTCAAGGTGATGAAAAGCAAAGTCGGGGCTTGACGATCGCTCGGATGTTGATGTAACCTTGGGGGAGGAGCGGGGGTTGATAAGAATTATACGAGGAGCTTGGGGGATATTGAAGTCTGAGAGTACAGTAAGTATTGATGTTTTATCTAACTATTGCATTGCATTAGGTACATGTAGTTTTGGTTCTCCAATTGAGATATGTTATGGATGGTGGACCTTTGTCACAATAAATACAATCAAGTAAACATTGAATGAGGTACCTAGGTACCTCCTTATGAAATACATTAGATAATACTCTCGGGTATGTACATTAGCTTTTGATGCTAATGTGAGCCACATGTGTCACGCGAAGGCCTAGTAACACAGAGCCCTAAAGTAAGGTTCGTCTATACCGTAGATGTAGGTACATAGTACCTATATCCCCTGTGCGTGAACCGACATACAAGGTACATGATATAGAAAGACGTCCAGGATGTTCAAAATGGTCCTCATTCTTACATCACACACAATTTTTATTTTTTATTTTTTTGGTCTTGTCTTAATAAAACTTTTCTTCACTTTTTCTTGATATTAATCATTGTCGAGCAAAGCAATAAGCATTGAAATGAATATGTTCTTAGGCAGCTTAAAGACTTTAGTTTATGTACCTAGGTACCCATCTTAGATAAAGAATTGCCACTTTTTCTGACGTCTTTTATGACCCTGTCGGCCTGTGTGATAAGATAAAGTTTGTGTTCAAGGTTGGTGGGCTGGTGGGGTCGACCCTGCCTGCGCCTGTGCCTGTGCCTACGTCTGTGTGCTACTTCTAGAATTATAAACCAGCATTCAACAAAAGTTAACTAAACCTTAGCATTATTTTATAAGTTCTAAACTTTTCACATCACCTTTCACATAAATAAATTTACCCTCTTCCTCAATCGTCTCTGAACATTTCGAAAATTTAAACCGAAAAAATAAAATTCTTGAAGTAGCTCTTATACATCTACTACAGCATATTATCGAGTCCAATATTCCTTCAACTGACGAAGACAAACGCGTGCGCACTCTCCGAATATCTATAATGGAGACTGAAACCTCCACCACAACAACACCCGGGCAATTGCCTCACTCGTCTGATACCAACGTTCATGATGAACCAGCAAGCCGAGAAATCCCTAGAAATTTAGCCGACGCCACCCCAGAAGCCTACGATGATGATGACGATCTAGACTCTATCTTCGACGATGACGATGATTTCTACGAGGGCACCGGCCCAGATGAGAAATCAGACGTTCCCCGAAATTTTAACCGACAACGGCAGTTACATTCTAATCAGCAGAAACCGGCCGCCAATACTCAAGCTAACATAGACGACCAGATTGCCGCCCTCTCGAAACACGCCGCTAAAATACGATTGGATGATGTCAAGGAGGGTCAAGATCGAGAAAAGGACAAGGCTGATAGGGCTACGAGTGATCAAGTCCTTGATAAGGCCACTCGGATGATTCTCTATCAAATGATAAATCGAGGTCTAGTTGGCGAGATCCACGGCGCAATTAGTACCGGTAAGGAAGCCAACGTATATGGCGCCCTCGCGTATCCTGACATCAACGGACCCCCCGTCCATCGAGCTGTGAAGGTATACAAGACGGCTATTCTAAGTTTTAAGGATCGTGAGAGATACATCGTGGGCGAGCACCGCTTTAAAGCCGGCGCGGAAAAGAGCCACGGCAGGAAGATGGTTAAGCTATGGGCAGAAAAGGAACACCGAAACTTGCGGAGAATACACACCGCCGGTATTCCTTGTCCTGAACCCTTAGAACTCAAGTCCCACGTGCTCCTAATGAGCTTCCTCGGAGACAAGAAGGGATACGCGTACCCGCGATTACGCGACGCGAATATCTCCGGTGATGATACCGATCAGGTATGGAGAAAGCTCTACATTCAACTCCTCGGCATCATGCGACGTATGTACCAGGTTACCAGGCTGGTACATGCGGATCTGAGTGAATATAATATTCTATATCATGATGGGCAACTCTACATCATCGATGTATCCCAGAGCGTGGAACCTGACCACCCTCGATCATTGGAATTTCTTCGGATGGATATCAAGAACACCGGTGACTTCTTCCGCAAACAGCAAGTCGATACGCTATCCGATCGTGCCATCTTCGACTTTATTACTAGTCCCAAGGGTCCGGTAGAAGAGCCAGGTCTATCAGAAACCATAGAAGAGCTATACGCTTCTAGGCCATCATTCGCTAGCGACGAGGCCGCTGCTGCCGAGCTAGAGGTTGATAACGAGGTCTTCCGAAACCAGTATATCCCCCAGACTCTGGAGCAGGTTTACGATATCGAGAATGACGCGCAGAAGATTGAGGAGGGCGAGGGAGATAAGCTCGTCTACCGGAACCTCCTAGCGGACCAGGTAGTACTCAAGAAAGAAGAAGGGACCTCGGAAGACGAGTCGGACGAGGGAGCAGCTCTAGATAGTGACGACGAAAGCAAGTTCGAGAAAGGAACGCCTCGGGGCAAACGGTTTGAAGATAAGGAAGACAAGAAGGTATACTATGCATCAATGCTACATTTCACCTTCCCTACATGTACCCCATACTAACGACTTATAGCAACGCAAGCAAGCAGCCAAGGAGGCCAAGTCTGAGAAGCGGAAAGAAAAGATCCCGAAGCATATCAAGAAACGTCTGGTATCACTCACGGCGAGAAAGAAGAGATAAACCCGGATTGGATTCAAACTAAAAAAGAAGAAGAAAAGGAGAGCGCAAGTTAAAAGCGGTTATTTTATCACTTAGTATATATATTAAGTACACATACCAGCGCCAAGACCATTGAATCTGCGTAGTTTCCCATGCTATTGGTATTTGGAAATAAAGGGGTAAGTCGTTTTAATCTCGTACTCCACACCCGTACCGATTTCCATCCTATCCCGATCCCGATCTCCATTTCCATTTCCATCTTCCAAACTACCACCACCCAAGCAAGCAAGCAATCAAATGACGAAATCTTGAAAAGCGCATTACACAGCTTTGGGCCGGCCCACTGCGTTTTTGCCAACTTTCTCCTGGTGGTAATAACCGTGGCTTTCGGCTTTTCCTTTTGGCTGGAAAATGCGTTCCTGAGCCAAGCTTTAACCGCCCCCCCCTTTTTTTCCTGGCGGGAAGTACCGTGCTGATCAAAGAGAGCCCTGATGATTGCTTGCTTGCTTGTTTGTTTGCTTTGCTGCCTGTGAGCATATGTTCCCACAGCACTGACCTCATACATATATACCTACCTCTTACTTACCTTACAGACCACTGTACCTGCATAGTCCACTATTCCTCTTTTAGTATGTAGAAAATCAAGTCTGTTGAGTCCGTATGACGATCTCACGCAATTGGATAATGTGGGTTAGTTCTTATTCATCTTCTTGGATGTAAGGGCTTAATAAGGGGGGTACCTATCTATTTACCTAAGTTATGGCCTGAAGCAACGATGTCGAGTACCTAGACTAAAGAATCATTCCTTTCCTTTAATCCCAGGGGTTATTAAACGTTCCTATTATGTACCTTATGTATTAGAGATATCTAGGTACCTCTCTACCTTCACATAAAACGCAACTGACGCCGTCTCTCTAAATTGAACTGGCAAGTCTCAACAAAGTAAATAAATATACCTAGGTATATAGGTATAGTATTATTATCTGACTATCTACAAAGAATGCGCACAATATCAACTCTAGTACATGATTTTCCGACACAACAGTCTGTCTACCTACCTAACAGGTAGATATCAGGTATGTGTGTTTGTTTGTTTGTTATGTTATATGAGATTCTTAGTGCATGCCGATCTTGGAGTGTTTTCATCGTTCTGTTTTGCTTTTCCGTGTTATATATAAGTGTATAACAAATGTTCTGTGTGGGTCGTGATACGTTATATATAGGTAGTAAGTAAGGTTAGGTTAGGCGTATGGTATGAGGTATTTGTAAAAAGTAAAACAAAAGAAGAATAAAAAGTATAAGACTCATGAACCAACTTTACTCAATCTGGAGTCCGAAACCATTGTGAATTACCTCCGAAATCACTTTTTTTCCCTTTTAACTCTGCGCGCGTCATCCTTAATGCTTGTTATGTGTGTTACACCCATCCCTCCCCCATCCCTTGTTCCTGAGCTATCGAAAAAAAAGCGCTTTCGTGACACGTCATCGTCATTCTCATCTCGCAAGTCCTACACTTCCCCTTCTGCCCATAAGGACTTCCATCTCGACCAGTTCGATGGCATACTCGGGCTCGCCCGCCAGGGTCTCGCGTATAAGATCCACGGCCGCAATCGTCGTCGTGGACTGGCTTTCACCTTCTCCTGTCGTAACTTGGATATCGGCGTTAGGATCGGCGCCGTGCTGGAGTAGCGCCTTGATGGCCGTAACCCATCTTTCTCGGTTCTCCATGAGCCTTGCGCTCGATGACGTTTCTAACAGGTGCGTCATCGTAACGCTACCTCTCGAGAAGTAGTTTCGCCCAGCCTTCAATGCTTTGGACCACATCCTCTCGTCCTCGCGAGGTGAAGCTCCTGCTTCGAACAAAATATCTAGCAAGCGGGAGTCCGGCATATCGTGGTGGAATTCCTGATAATCACCACTGAGAGCAGCGCAAGCGCTGATTCCATCAGCCTTGGGACTGACAACGAAATGTAGAAGCTCCTGAGCCTTCTTCCTCTTCGTTTCTCCACTTAGCCTGTTTAGCTTTGTAGCGACGTATCGGACTAAGCTGGACTGAACAGCAAGGGTCAGGAAGTCTTTGCGCTTAGGTGGCTTGCCAATATCCATGGGTTCGTAGCTTGACCAGTGTTTCTTCAGAAGACTTGGGAGCTTGCTCTCATACCAGTCGGGGTCCTCATGAAGAGGTTTGTGGTTCTTCAGAGCCGCGACCCAGATCCGTTGACATGTGCTATCTACATCGTCTAACAGTTCGCAATATTTCTCTAAATCGTTGATTTTGTCGTCAATTTTCTCAGCATATCGCATGGCATTCGAAATCAACAACCATGCGTCAGGCCGAATTCGCCAGCTTGGCCATGCCAATATGGGGGATCGGGTAACTCCAAAAATTTTGATGTGTCTCGCAAACCCACTAAGCAGCGAAAAGTCAAGGTCTATGTCGCTAATTGGCTCGACGCCAGGGAGTCTTTGCCATATATCCTTGCGTCGTACCCATTCTTTAGCTGTCTGATTGGAAAAGACAACGCGTTTTCCCGTTTCTACGCTATTGGAGTTGGTGGATATTCCCGTCTCGGCAACCAGAAGGCTGAAACAACACGTTTGTAACCGCATTTGCATTTGATCGGCTATACGATCGACGGTTTCATTATCGTAAGAATGCTCATCGTCACGAATCAACCATAGCTTGCCTGTACTGGGGTCCAGATAGCCTTCTTCAGCAAAAGCGAGTGTAATTAAGCTCAGCGGTTGCTGCGCTCTGAGAACAATATGAAAAATCTTAGATGCTTTGTTTTGATCTTCATGGCTTAGGTTTTGTAACATGCGCATGTACAGACCGTCGGGTCCTCCGAGGTGTGACGGCAAGGAGTTTAACATGCTCCTTAGACTGCGCAAACTACAACCGACAACCATATCGATCGCTAATCTCGCCCATAGTATGTCGCCGTGACTCTTCTGAGCTATCTCCTTGCAGAGGTTGTTGGTATCGGGTAAACCGGGAGCCTCGTCTTCAAGCCGGCCTGCTACATATTGCGTGATAGACCGTTCTGTGTGATCTTGTAGTCTGATTCTTGGAAATTCAGCAAAAGATTCTTCAAACACCGACAGTTCACGTGAAGAAATGATGAATTTGATGTTATCTTTGCCGCTCATACTGTTGACGAGTTTCGAGACCTCCACGTGGGAGTCCATTGCCCATTTGCTCTGGCCCCAAAACTCATCTCCTGCGTTTTTGTAAGTAACGTCAAGTTCACCTGGCTCGTACTGATCCTTCCGATCTATAATGCGGTATTCGTCGAGTCCATCCATGAAAATGAAGAGGCGCACGTCGTCGGATAGCTGAGCAAAGATAGAATAGAATGCTTGATTTAGGTTGCTGTTGCTGGTGAACTGGACTGGAGGTGGCCAAGAACAGTCGAAAAAGCTGGGGAATGCAACTCTAATCAGCTCACGTCTGGCCGATAGAATCTGATATAAAATGCTGCGCTGGAAGCCTTCATATGATTTCTGGATAGGGCCGCCACCTTCAAACATAAAGAAACAAGCCATATGCAAATCGTGTCCTTCCCCCCAACCCTCAAGGAGTTGCTCTCGGAACTTTTCTGATCGATATAGGTGCTTCATCAGCGTCGACTTTCCAGATCCAGCAGTACCACTAATCCACTAAAAAAAAGAAAAGAAAAAAGTTAGTCAAAGCTGTGGAATATTTTCTCGAAGATGGAAAAGTGTAAAAAAAACACGACAATTATTTGAGTCTTAAGTCGCACTATAGCTGCAAAAACGCAACCGTAGCAGAATAATCAAAAGGAACTATTATAAGATCAAGGCACTTACTAGGACAGCGTCTTCAGATTTTAGGAATTTGGGAAGAGGAGATTGGCTGGGATCCAGAATCCAATCACACGTATCACCATAAGCTGGGTCTATTCGGGATTCTCGCTCGGTCATAGAATCGAAGTAAAGAGTATTGAGAATTTCTAAATCAGAGTTAGGACGCACATAATGATGCATAATGGTAGAAGAGTCGGGGGTATTGCATACCTTGGTTTCTAGGCTCCCTTGCTTGTATTTCAGCAGGTGATAGAGCAGTTGCCGCCTTGACGAGATACTGAACTATCTGCGCATATCCCGGGTCGTCTCTGCTTTTGCATCTCGCGAGGTCCTGGTGGGTTACCATCACATCGAGCTTGGATACGTTGAAACCCTCGTAGGTTGCAGAATCCCTTGGAACCATCATCTGGATCGTTCCTCTCCCCAGTTCCATGCCATCAGCATCCTTGACAACATCAGCTGATGCGTTTATCGTCGTCGGCAGCTTTTCTCGAGCGCATATGATTCTTATGTCTCTTGAAATCATAATAAACGTGCTGTGAAGGTTCTCGAAAACTTTGTCGCTGTCCCTGAAAGCCTTCAGCAGCTGGGGGGAAGGCGGTGTAGGTGACAATAGAGCGGTCGTAGCAATACATTCGCCCAGAGAACGCTTTCCGCCTCTTACGTGAGGCGTGCCTAAGAAGACACATCCGATAGTCTTGGGGTAAACGTTTCCAAGTTCGACGTGTGCACCGTATATCCGTGACATCGCCGCCGTGACCAAGGCCTCCTTGATGACCAAACCACCCAGGCCATGGCCTACGAAAATGAGGGGACGTTTGGTCCCGGTACGGATACGAGCAATGTCCGTTAGGAGGCTTTCCGCTTGCTCAGAAAAAGTGCCGGCGGCGCTCAAAGTTCCGGTCCATCCCCATACGATAATTCTGACACCCGGGATGTCCTGCCCGAGAAAGTCGCGAGGGAAGCAGACGCCGGCCTTGGTCCAGGACCCGCTGCGTTGGCCGAAAAGTCCGTGGACGAAGACAATGTCGATGCCGTCGTTGCCATGTTGGGTACCGTCAAAAAGGACAAGAGGTCCTCGGCCATCGGGGCGGACTAGAACCTTCTCCCGAGAGTCAAGAGTCGAGCTACTCGATCGGCCTACGCGATCTAAACGTAAGCTCGAGGAAGAGGCAGGATCGCGTGATCCACGAGCGGCACGAGCTATTCTAGCTAGAGTTTCCTTAATCCTATTCATTGTTCATCGACGTTATCTCCCCCTCCTCTAAGCATCCTAAACATGGTTAAGAAAATGATTGACGCAAAGGGCGGGAAGAAAGAGCAAACTAGTGTAAGTGTAAGTGAAGGAACATTGCGCGACGTTAGATGGGCGAATTTTTAGTCACGGACGCTACGAACGCTGACCTACATAAGGTCTAGGGCATATGACAACGACCCGTGCCGAGTCCATTAAACAGCTACCGGAAGGCTGCCGTTGGAGCCGTCGACTAATAAACTGCGTTGCTTTGGGGGGAGAGGGTGGGAAAGCCATGCAAGCGGCCAGGGCCAATCTGGGATTCGTGGCCCTGCGGAGCTGCAAAAATGATACTACTATTTACCAACAGGTTTCCAAACCCCTGTTTTTCCGTCTGGACCTTGTCTAGACTCCCCTGGGTCCTGTCTACCAGGTAGCCCTGCTTTTCACGACATAACTGTTCTTGGCAACCATGTGTCTTTTGCGTGGTTTTGCGTCCACATGAGTTGTATTTGATAATTGATGGCCACTTAAAAAAAAAGAAAAGATAAGAAAGAAAATTGGGAAATGAGAAAACTGCAAGTAATGTTTCATCCCGTCGATTGTTACTTTCGCTGACTTGGTTTGGTTATATGTAAAGGAGAAAAAAAATATGTTACGATCCTTTAGCCTGGGATTTTATTCCTGTAAGTAAGAGAGTTACATTATGAGGTAAGTAAGTACCTAAGTTAAGGTATGCAATTCCTACATAAAGTCCTTAATGTAAGATACTAGATAGACATTCCAAATGTGTATTCTAAAGAGTACAAGAGTTATTCATAATAATATACCTAATACATGGTATAATTCCTGAATTCCCAATTCCCAATTCCTACCTAGCATTATTATGTAAGTGAGCGCTGTTCCGTCTTTTTTTACTTTTGCCCTTTCCCACACCTCCGGTAAAAGTAAGGTGGTGTAACAAATGAACTAACTAATCGCCTTATCTACCGGTACTACTTTAGCCTAACCACGTTTACGGATTGTATATGTGTAACGTATTGTACCGTATATTTCCACCTATTGTGTTCAAATTGATCGAACCAATATTTGCACTAAACCTTAACGAATAACTACAGGGACCTACTTACACAAGTAGTTTGACCTAAATTATCCAGAGCTGCATAAGTACCGTGTAACAAAGTAGGCTAATGCAAGTGGGTATTTTGGTTAGGTAGGTACCTACCTGTAGTTATCATAAGTCAGGGGTCTTTTTACCTTTTCCGACATCTTTCACCTTACATTTACCTTCTCACCTTAACTATTTGACAGGTCACATCTGCAATTCAGTTTGCAACTATTTCGTATTGCCATTACCAATACTAGGGCACGCTTATCAGCTCATGCAGCGGCCTACATTCGGTGATATCGGAACATTACCTGGTAGGTTACCGAGTATCCTTTGCCACCTGCACGCTATAGGTACCTAGTATCTGCAACTTTGCAAGCGAAGCCAACTTCAAGCCGCGGCTCCGCAGAGCGAGCCGTCAATGTCTCACACATGTTAGGTACTACTTGGGCTACCTGTATCTACGTAGCCTAGGAGGTACTCAATCTTACCTAGATAATCTGTCATACCTAAAGTCTTACCTTAGGTAAGTTTCAGTTTAGTTACCTAGGTTGGTAGGTACTTAAGGTAATAGGGCTTAACGGCGTTAACGTTTGACGCCAGCGAAAAGAAAGGCTAACAAATACGGAATACAGTAATCTTCCTAGTTTACATATGTCAGTAACTAAATTGAACTACTAAATCCAAATACAATTGCTAATCCAAAAGTTCCTTACCGATGTGGATTTATAGATAATTCATAATTACTAGTGTATACAAAGTATAGCCTCGGCTAAGTAACTTATACTATACCGTGCGATCGCTATCCAATACTGTCCTACATTTCGGGAGCCTTGTCTTTTAGACCTTGAGAGAAAAAAGAGAGAAAAAAACACTCCATGCAAACTTCCTCTTACATCGTGAAATTTCGGGGCGGATAACGGGAACTGGAAGGAAGCTCCCCTCAAGGTCCCCTGCTAGAACGGCCCCAATTATCATTTAACTGGGTATCTTTTGGGTGCCCAGGTTGCTTTTCCTGTTTTAGATAAGTACGTTGCTTAGCAGCTTAGAAGAAGTTCTAGAGACAGAAAGGCTGGCCCCTGACCAACCCGGCTTTGCAAGGACTTTTATACGTGTACGGGAATATAAGGGCCTACTATGTACAACTTACAAGGAATCTACAAGGAAGATGAACGAAGCAAACATTTTCGCCGAATCGGGGTTCCGAACGATCAGCGGTTGGGATTTAACCCGCGTTTTTTCTCCTATAACCCTATAACCTATAACTCCTCATAAGCTCCATGTCATCATCACTATTTAAACTTACCTGGGTAGTTTCCGAATTTAAAGTAGCTGGCCAATCAGATGAGTCTGATATGACACTACTCGCAGATTGTTGAACCGTGTGTACTCCCAACCTAGTCGAAATCTAATAACATCTAATAACATCTAATGGCTTAAATTTTAAGCTTCTTTCAACATCCGAAATATTAGCAGTTTTTTTTTTAGCTGCTACGTAGTACATACATAGTATATTAGGTAGCAATAGCACCAACATACATAGTACTGCAGGATATGAATCAGATTGTATGTGTCAATGGCTGACGTATACTACATAGCATGGTATGTAGGGTAGGTTTAGATAGCTTTGTTTAGGTAAACCGCGGTGGGCTATGGACTACGTTACCAATCATTCAACTACTCTCTAACGTTATACGTGCATTATCTCCTCTCTCTTCTTCCGGACGTGTTTTTTTTCCTCTCTCTCGTTTTCATCCTAAGCATAATCTAGCGGATCTAGAACCCTGAGGGGGCTTAGAATATTATCATATGAAAAATCAAAGTGGATGTTCCTTGGCCTTGTTCACTTTCTAAGAAATACTACTACTAACCTGGGGAGTAGGGGAGTAGGGGGAGCAACTAGTTCAATATCGGGTTTTCTTATGTTGCATCACGCCAGTTAGAGCCGCTCGAACCATCGTCTGTTTGAAATTGGCTCTCCTAATTAGGTTGTCTATCCTATTCCCGATATAGCTAAAATCCTACTGCCTCACTTTGTCTCTTCTCCATACGACGCCATGAGATATCGAACAATTCCATTTCCCATTACGTTTCTTTTCTGGATTCCAAATACGACCCTCTCTCTCTCTCACTCAATGGCAACCGGCATCGTTAGCTACCCGCGCAGCTGATAGCCAGGTAGCTCCTGAAACCGGGCCGCTAACCATGCCAAATATCGTAATTCTAACGGACCGTGGTTCGACATACATAACCCTTACCTACGTCCCAATTATGTAGATAGCTTTTCCGCGTACGTCTCTCGATGCGGCTTTTCAGTATCCCAACTAATAACTTGACTAAACCTCGTTTGACCAATCTATATCAAGAGTGACATACCAACCTACTACTTCTAGATAGTCACATTGCATTAGACTGGACTAGAAGGCAGGCTTTAGCAATCAGGTTTGCCGGTATAGGCAACTACTCCTCTAGCTTCGAACTCGCTTGGGACTGAATTGCCAACTGCGTTAGTCTATTCTTGCATCATATTCCCAAGGCTTCGGAACGCTAAACAATCTTGCTCTCGTCTGCCATAATATATAAGAAGGGAGTAAAGGAACCGTGAAAGGAAAGAAAGGTTCTCATCATGACTACTACTACTACTACTACCATCACCACTACCACCACTACCACGAGCAGCTCGACAATCACAAAAAGCTGTTCTCCCCTGGAACCCTTAGACGACACTAGACGACAAGACCGCAATAACACAGACAAGATGAACACTCAGACACTATCCCCCTTATTCCGCCTGGCAGAGCTGGTGCACTACAAGTTATTGTCTCTCTTCCCTCGCAGCCACATACCGCAGACCGTCAAGCCCAGCGCCCACCCGGACCTGCGCGGCGATGCTTCTACTCTAGCCGCCCAGCTAGACGGCAAGACCTTCCGCCTGCCGGACCTGTGGAAGGTCTTCGCCGGGTGGCCGCTCGCCGCCAACAAGCACGCGCAGAGGCTCGAGGGCCTCGTCGACTCGATGCTCGAACGCATCATCACCAACGAGAAGAAGCTGAAGGCGTTGAAGAAGGCAGACTTCGGTCGTCTCATGTCCCTGTAAGTTTTTCGACCTAGCATAGGATCACCCCAGTTACCTATCCTAGTCTACTTACGTAGTTAGCCCATGCTTTTATTTTATTTTAATTTTTTTTATAACAATCGACTAATTTAGCTCGCATCATATAGATGGTACCCGGACGCGGAATGGCCCGAGCTCGAAGTAGCGACGGCCTATTCGGTCTGGATCTTCGTGTGGGACGACGAGGTGGACGCGGGCGACACTGACGTGTCGAATGACGAGGAGCTGGCCAGGGCGTACTACCAGAAGTCGCTGCGCACCGTCCACTGCCTGCTAGGGCTCGACGAGGGCTCGGACGACGCGGCGGCGGCGGAGCGGATCGCGCAGGAGGAGCAGTCCTTGCACCCCAACATGGCCCTGTTTGCCGATGTCGGGCGCGGCCTGCGCGGCGCCACGGACAGGATACAGCGCGAGCGCTTCTACCGCGAGCTCGAGAACTTCATGATCAGCGTGGGCGTCGAGCACGGCCACCGCATGCGCGGCGAGATCCCATCCGTCGACAAATATCTCCACATCCGATCCGGATCGGTTGGCTGTGCGCCTCAGATTGCGCTTACAGAGTAAGTAGCAGCATTGCATCCAAGCTTTTCGAACTACTATCTTGATAATCATAATAATAGAGATCTACCGCTAACTGTTTTTCTTTTCTTTTTTTTGTTATTTAGTCACATGCTCGGAATAAGGTTACCTGAGTCCATTATGGAATGCGGCCCCATGAAGGAGCTATGGAAGGAGACCGTCGTTATGTGTCTCATTCTGAACGACGTTTATTCCTGCCAAAAGGAAATAGTAAGCAAGCCCTTACCCGCGTTCCTTTTCTTTCTTTCTTTTTTTTTTCTTTCTTTTTCCCCCCTGTTTAATTAGAGAGATCTACAAACCTTCCATGCATGGCAGCATATAACTACATAATATACCCTTTCTAACAAGCAAACCAACCCCCACAGGCGCAAGCATCGCTCTTCAACCTCGTACCGGTGATGTACCACAACTGCAGCCCCGCGAAGCAGACGCTCGACACGGTGACGCGGGACGTCGAGGCGTCGCTGCGCGAGTCGATGCGAGGGTTCGAGGAGGCGGCCAAGGCCCTGGGCGAGATGGTGTCAGACGACGCCAAGGTGAGCAGGGACGTGCAGGCCTTCATCAAATGGTGCCGATACTTCATCACAGGGGTGCTGCAATGGAGTCTGGAGTCGAAACGGTACGGGATGGCGGAGTGTAGGCACCAGGACGGTTCGCTTAGCATAGTGCTTTAAAGTCGAGCCGAACCTGTTTTTCTTTGTTTTCCTTCTCGTATTCTTTTCACTAGGGTTTTTTCTTTCTTGGTTCTTTTTTACATTTACCATTGTAGGCGTTTCTACTATGGGGAATAGGGCTACTAGGACGGGTTTGGATAGGGTTTAGGGTTGGTTGGCGAGGCAGACAGACAGACAGACTACCATTGATGGGATGGGACTGAGGAAAACGTTCGTTAGCTTCATCTAGAGAGGTGCATACAATATACCCCCCCATGACAACAAAGCTGACGGGTTAGCTCGGACTATTCGAGTGGGACTCTTATGTATGTGCATTATTATTCCCTTACCCTGTCGCGTGGCCTGACGGGAGCGCAGGGGAGGGGAGGGGGAGGAAGATCATTCCGTATTTTTGCACGTGAAGAAACACGACGAACTTCCATCGAATGTCCTATTTACTCCAAGGTACCTATCAGCCGAGAATTCGCTTTCGTCTCATCCTGGGCCCTGCCCATACTGGGATGTTAGCAATCCTATTCGCTGCGTATGCTGGCGTACAAGTTCTTTAGAAAGCGTGAACTTTCGGTTAGGGTTAAGTAGGCTTTCGGAATTAAGACAATATTATGAATTGATAATCCGCAATTGACCAGGCTAATATGTACGTACGTTAGTTGGTAGCGTACCAGGTATGTACGGTTTGCGCAGGGTGCAAGTTTTAGTCTTAACCCACCGTTGTATTATGAATTCATCTCCTCAAGGAACAACGGCAGAGTTTTGGATTTCTGGGATAGTATAGAATTGTCGTCACCGCTATATGTGAAACTAGTAACCCCTGAGGGTTTCGTGCGGCGCAGCAAAGAAAAAAAATGGGGGTTGGCATGCTCTGGCCTGCCGATTGGTGATGCTACATCCGATTCCCAACATGATCCGGCCCGGTCCGAACTGGTCGCCAACGTCCCCCCGTATGCCGACTCGTCGATACGGACAGTGGTTACCCAGGCCATGCGCGTATGGATGTATGATACACTGCTACGTGCATGGCGGATGGTACGTTAATCGCCACCTAATGCAACAACGAGACTATTCTACACGTGTTAGGACCTTGTTATTCTCCTCCACTTCTCTACCAAGCGAAGGGATATTCCGTCTTTAGTTACATTTTTGTATGCAACCACGGGAGAACGGGTTGGACATCTAGACTCTAGATGGAGTAGCATGGCAAGTGGGTGACAGAATAATTTTTGCAGACTTCGAACCTCCTAACCATGTATGTTATCTGCAAATTATTTCGTCAACCCGCTTTTGCATGTGAGTTAACAGCTAACCAACGCCCACTTCAAGCTTGGTTAGATGGGATAGAATCGTACCACAGCAGGTATTTGTAAAACGGCCGTGAGAACTCTATATGAAACGCCTAAATTAGAACGAACGATGTCTTTTAGTGCTGAGCTCAGAGCAATTCCATGCAGGTATGTAATGTCGTACGTAATGTCGATCAACTTTAGACCGAGTTCCTTGCGAAATAAGGAACCAAGCTGCCAGGCTATTTGGATGCTTACTGCTAGGTGCCCCGTCTCACGAGATATTAGGAATTTGAGATGATCAATAGTCTTTCGATAGTATACGAACACCCTTCCCGTGGAAAAGTAATATTAAGTTGTCGTATAGGTATATCAAATCTTCACCCCTTATGTTATATGTGTGGGGGTTGCAAAGCAAACCATTTACACGATCGCCATAACACTCGAGTTAATGCTATGATCACGCCAGGATATGGAAAAGCACGGCCAACAATTATTGACGTTTGCCCCCAATTTACCACAGATAAGATTCCCCGGATATGATGATTACTTTAGTATTGCGCAATACTACTATAGCCAAGGAAAGTCATACTATACTACTCTTTACGCTATCCATGTTGATATGTTGTTGCTATATTACTATCCTAACGCTCTGTAAATAGGTAGAATTGAACTTGGTATACCTTGATTTTCCATATCATTTAGTTACGTAGAATAAACTAGTACTTACGTACATATGGATCGAGGAAAAGAACGGGGGAGTAGAGTTCATATACTCGTCGAATCTGCAACTGCTCTGGACATCACAAAATCATGTGCCATTCTACGTTGCTTGTTGAAGTGTTTTTTCTTTTTTCCCCGCCGTCCCCCACCGACACCATCAGCGAATGAAGTATTCTGTGCTCGAAAACAAAGGAGATATCACGCTGATTGATAATTTAAGTATGCCCTCCGCAACGCCATGCCGTACCGTACGCAGATAGATTTGTCTTGCCTCAAGCAATGTTTATGCCGGCGGAGGGGTGTGCGTCGAGATCTATCTCTTCGACTAAGCTGCGCTGGTGAGCACTCTCGCGGACCAAGTTCCCGAAATACTTGAGCGCTACTTCGCTTTCGCCCCGCACCTTCAGAGTCTCCTCTTGACGCTTACCGAGCTGTTCGCAAGAGCGCGTCAAGGCAACTCGGAGATTGTCTGCAGGATAGCGGAGTACCTTCCGAACCGAACTAGAGATGCGGTTGCTGTTTGTGTGGACGTAGTCAATTGCTGTTAGCTGCGCTGAAATCTTTTCAGACAGGCGGTGAGGTAGTGAATGCGGTATTTGCTGCACAACGTAAGCTGCAGCTGAGACGACTGGAGAGTAACTGTTAGCTGCAATTCGATATCGATAAGACGTAGTAATACATACCTGCTAGGACCAAACCAGGGACAATCATTCTTCGAAGATTGTCATTTCCAACAATCTTCACTATATTTAGGGTATGGTCCATCCATCCCATACCGCCAACTAGCCGTCCACCGATGGCAGTGGCAACAGTTAAAGCCATTCCAGTACCAGCCAATTTCTCTTGACGTTGCATAAGAGTAGACCAGTCGACGAAGTCCCATACCTCGGTAGGCACGTCGACTTGTTTGGCCAAGGCGTCACGTCTTCTTCGGAACATAACGTCTGAGCGGAAGTTAAGATCGTGATATTCATTGCCAAGGTGCATAATGCCAAGCTGCTTGATCATGTTTACGCCACCAACAGTCTTCGTCCGCGCATACTCCTCACAAGCCGCAACTGACTCTGAAATCTGAGACAGCATTGCTTCTTTCAAGTCTTCGGCGTAATCGAAAACGTGGAATAAACCTGGGTAAGGTACACCAGAATTACCTTCACCAGCTTGAGCAATAGCTGAGTTGAGAGTGCTTCGGGTGTGATCGTAAATATCTTTGCATGTCTCTTCGATGGTCTGGTCCACTTGTTCGCTCACTTCAGCTTTTGCTTTCCTTGAAGCTTCTAGCTGGGGCTCAATCTCATCCAATTCGCTCATCACCCGCTCGAGTTCGGATGTAGCCATCTCGGCATTGACAGTAGCAAGGACGTTGACATCATTGAGGATGTTGAGAAGGTAAGTCCTAGCAGGCGCAAGCTTGGACCGTGCTCGCTTTTCCAAGACGAACCGCCTTAGGGACTGTTCAAGCTTCTCGAAGTCCCGAACCTTTTCCTTATCTTTGCCTTTTCCTTTAGGGTCATAATCAGGGTCGTCACCACCACCACCGCTCGAGCTGCCACTACCTCCTCCATCCAGACCGCCAGGAGGTGAAATCGTAGGGATAGCATTACTGGATACGAAGTGCACCAGTTCGGTAGACTCCTTGAATGTACGGGGGCTTAGACCGTATACCTGATCCAAAATCATCTTCTGGCATCGCTCTTTGTCTCGGATGAGATCGTAACCGTTGACTACCATGAAGATATATGCTTTCTCCGCCGCGGCAGCATGGATGAACTCTTTTGCAGACTGGGTAAAATGATTTGCGGCGGAGACAACGAAAACAACTACGTCAATCTCTTCTTGACGAGCAAATACAGCCGTCGTCTTAGTAGTGTCGAAATTGAGACCCGGCGCATCGATCAAAGCAATATCGACAACGCCGTTATTGAGTAGGGATTCGTCAATCGTTCGCACATCCTTGATGTAAACTTTACACTGCATGTAATTGACATTGTCGAGAACAATCTCCTCCAAGTCGCTTAAGGGGAAAACGTCATAAGTCGATTCGTCGTGTCGGTTGTAAATCTCATCTTGATGGACGGCGTGAACCTCTTCGATCCCAGCGTTCTCCCTTGCATCCAAGACTTCACAGAAAATGCTAGTGCACGGCTGTTGGTCTTCTGGGAGGACCTTTCGGCGCAGTAACGCATTGCAGAAGGTGGACTTTCCGGCGTTAAGGTCTCCAGTTACCAAAACCTTGCTAGATGTATCCTCGATTCTCTCACGTAGTAGCTGCAGATGTTTGATGCTAGAGCTGATCTTTCCATCCAGCAATGCGGCAATGGATCCTTTCTCAAGGGAATGAACAAGCTCAGTCTGGTGTAAGCCGCCTAACTTGAGGTCCAGCTTCAGAATGGAAAACTCCCTGGCAATCTGCGGCGAAACCAATCTCGGCATTTCTGCTATGCTCTTGTTCCCAGCGTCCCTACTGGATTCTGCAGTGTCGTACTCATCTGTCGCCGTCATCGATCGTCGCAACGGTCGTGAGCGGCGCGAAGAGGGCTCCGGGCCCATAGTAGAGGTGTGTCGTATTCCCGGACGAGGAACGGACCGGTCGGGAGACGCCCTTTCGGCTCGCTGAACGGAAGGATAATGCGCAGGCCATGTGATGTTTGTCTCTTGGAGAGTTTTAAGGAGTTCGACAACTTTACTGATAGCGCGATTTAAAGATGAGCGATGCTGGTTATACCACATTTGGTGAATAGCTGCTGCCTCCTTTCGGTGTTCAGAGTCCGGACTCCCAGAAGAACGACGTTGTAGCGGCATGTCGCCCGAGAAGGAGGGGCCAGTTCGTGGAGACCCAACTTGTCGCCTAGACGAACCGATATCGTCTCCCGCGATACTACCGCCATAGCCAGAGTCGTCGTCTATAAGTGATTGTAGTCGTGAAGCATACTGGGAGGAACCGTTCCCGACGGTCATATATCCCGGGGCTCCGGAAGGCGGAGGTGATACGGTGGAATCTTCGTCCTGATTCCGTCCGCGGCGGCCCTTGCCCTTGCCTTTTAGATTACCACTCATCGCTTTCGTCAAATTCGTAAACTCATAAGTATTGCCGACCTCGAAATTATTGGAGAGGAATCGATCTTCTAGCTTTGGTTATTTGATTCGCAAAAGAGGGGCGATTCTAAAATGAAGGATTATTTTACCGAGTAAAGAAGATGGGCGGTGATAGCTTTTTTTTGTTTTTTTGTTTTTTCGAAATAGAAGGCGACCTCGGGAAATAATGGCATTTAATGGCATGGTGATACACACTCAAAAAAAGCCCTGATTGGTCAAGCTACCTAGGTACTGTGCGCTTTAACTGTCAGTTGCAGCACAACATCGACCCACAGCCCTGGATTACATCAGAGTTTTACCTGACGTATGATGCATCTTTTAGATGCTCCTTTAGATGCATATAAGTCTTATAAAAGGGTATTGAATACATTTAAGCGTGCGAATTAGGTAACACTTTAAAGAAGTACGTACCTACACTGCATGTGAGCCTGTGAGGTTTGATCCAACTTTAAAGTTCCAAATTCCCATTCATCGGTACGGGATCCGTATTTTACCAGGCTACATATCGCTGACCGCTGGGGAACTTATTGGGAACCAAACAATACCTACCTGTTATGCCTATTGGGGCCACATCGACTTGACGATAACGCGTAATCCACCTAAGCTCCTCAAAATCTCTAAGAGATCAACAACTCATTTACTTACATTACAATCCGATACCCTTCGCCGACTGAAACACCCTTCTCAGCTTCTTCGACTTTCGCAGCGATGAACGTAAGCCGACACCACTATGACAAGTTGCAGACAGATATACAAAAACAGAAGACTGACTATCTACGGTTAGATTCTAGAATGGGCTTTCGGAAAGCGCATGACGCCTGCCGAGCGTCTGCGCAAGAACCAGCGCATGATCGACAAAGCAATCCGAGAACTAGACCAAGTGCGAGTTAAACTAGAGAAGCAGGAGAAGACTCTGGTCGGCCAGATCAAACAGAGCGCCCAGAAAGGACAGATGGGAGCGGCAAAAATCCAGGCAAAGGATCTTGTACGAACGAGAAGGTAAGAAACTTAGGACCCTGAACGATTCATCACATGGAGAGAGGGGGAATTCTACTAATACCGGATTGCCCTTCCTACAGATACGTCGAGAAATTCTACGGAATGAGGAGTCAGCTACAGAAAATATCGTTACGACTACAGGTCAGTCGCTCCCAAAATACGATCATATTAACAACAGCAACAACAACAGCAACATATTGACGAGCACACGCTTTTAGACCCATAGAACCAACGAACAGATGATGCAGGCGATGAAGGGAGCCACCGTGGCCCTCGGCAGTATGAATAGGTCGATGAACTTACCCGCCTTACAACGTATAGCTATGGAATTTGAACGAGAGACTGCTATCATGGACGAGAGGCAGGAAATGATGGACGACGCGATTGACGACGCAATGGACGTTGGATTAGAAGAAGAAGGTGACGAAGTTGTGGAGCAGGTCTTAGAGGAGATCGGTGTCGACTTGAACCAAGCCGTGAGCACACACCATCCGATACGCATTATGAATTTTATTATCTAACAGGAAATAGTTCGGAGAGACCCCGACAGGCCTTCAATCTGAAAAAGCCCCCGAGGGTCGGATCGCTCAAGCTATCGGTGGACCCAGCGGCGGTGGTGGTGGGGATCCCGGGGATGACGATCTCCAGGCTCGCCTTGACAGTTTGAGGAAATGAATATGGATTAGATATGGAGTTTTACGACGACAGCGAAGGATTTACCCGAGACTGGACTTATTGGGATATTAATATGTGCGGTTCTGAGCGTAAGGCGTGGAAGCTTGGGGTTTTGTTTTATGGAACTTTATGGACGTTGCTCTATCTTATAAAGGGAGAATACACAATACGAACATACACACAGCTCATTAGAGTACCATCCTCAATATCTCTAGCACGCCCTCCTTATCCAGAGGAGCTGGGTTGGTTTGCACCCACCGATCCTTTAAACTGTTCTCGGCGATGTCGCTGAGCCTGTCTTCCCCGATACCAAACTCACTGAGCGATCTCGGTAGCTCAAGAGCACGGATAATAGCATCCATCAGATCCCCAAGGTCAGCTGTCTCCTTTTCCAGCCCTTTCTGGCTGAAGATCTCTCGAGCCTTGGAATCTTCCCAGAGGAGTTGGATAATGGCGTTCTGGCGTTCGACGTTTGCGCCCTTCTTGTAGTTATATTTGCACACGGCAGGATTTAGAATACAGCTCGTCTCTCCGTGGCCTACACCTGCTGGACCTAACTGGTGACCGATGCCGTCTAAAGTGGCTAGAGTCAGCAACAGTCTTTATCCAAAAGATATTCCAAGCTACCTAGATTATGACGGTGGGATGGTAGCCCCGGTGGTTATTGTCTGAGTATTTCACTTACGACTAGCCCCTAAAGGCACTCCCCGAGCGGCCGCGCTCATCGCATCTCTCGCACCGAGTTGGCACTCCAACCGAGCCTCGGTATCTTTGGGATTCTGCTTGCTTTTGATCAAACCCGGTATAAGCCGAGCCAACCCGCTCCTGGCATCTCGATCTGCCGCGTCGTCGCTCTTGAGAGAACAAAGAGTTTCCACGCAATGGTCCACGGCTTTGATACCGGTACTCAGCCACACTTTCTCCGGCGTCGTCGTGGCAAGTTCCGGGTCGAGGATGACCAGGGCGGGACCCTGTAGACCTTCCGAAAAGGAGTGCTTTTGCCCCGTCTCGTCGTTTGTTGCGCCCGCGAAGGACGAGTACTCGCCGCCTGACAGCGACGTGGGGATGCAGACGACAGGCACTTTCGACCGTTTGATATCGGCGCGCTTATTGGAGCTTGTTGCACTGAGCGATTCCAGCTCGGCGTGGGTTGATACATCGTTTGCTAGGGCCTAGGTAGTCACATGTTGTTTAGCATCATGGACCTACATTAGGTACTTGCTTTCTCCCCCCTTAGGTACCTAGACCTAAGGTAGGTGGGTAGATCGGTGGTAGGATGCAAGCATACGAATGAGACTATTTTGGCCGCGTCCGTTAGACTTCCCGCGCCTAGCGTCACAATCAGGTCCGCGTCGGCTACGATTTCGAGGATCTCGGACCAGAGCGAGTGAGGCTTCATGCCGACTCTGACGCCGGCAAGTTTATCGCCCAGTCTTGCTTTTAGCTCGTCGAGATACGCCGTGTTGCTCGCTAGAGACCTGGAACAGATGATATATATCCTAGTCGCTTTAAACGTGCTATCTGCGTGTCTGAGGAGTGTATCAACAAAGGACAAGCCGTAGCTTAGAAGTGGCCGGTCATGGCCTTGGAAAGCTGGACCAAATGTTTCTGGCATATTGGGCAACTCGGCTTTCTTTCTTTTTTTTCTCGTCACGATTATTATTGTTACTATTGGGTTTCGTATCCTACTTCAAGGAAGGCAGAGAGAGAGAGGCAACACGGACGGGAGATATATACCTAGGTACTTGTGTTTCTTTACAGTATACCTAACCTTACCTACGTTAAATAGTACCTAGGTAGTTATGAATGTTATTCTTTTGTCACTATGAGACTCACTATGAGAACCAACATACCTACCCTAGGTAGGTCAGTAGGTATGCACCTACTAATGTACGTGGTTATTACAAATATGCCAAATCAGTAAAACCATTACCAATCCTGTATAGCAGGTACCTAATATAGAGTTTCCATCTAAAGCTACTAATAACCTAGCGTCTTTAGTAGCACGCTAGGTTACTAGAAGTAGTAACTACCTCTCGATATCTGCTAATGGGTTACCCCTGAATAGCCCGGACGTTGGACGTACGCAACGCTTCTTTATAACATTTTGAGCCATGGCTTAAAGCGTTAGGGTCCGTCATGATAATTTGTTTCTGTACTATATTCTGAGCCATTTTAAGTGATAATAACTACCAGGGTTGGATCGGTATTGAGCCGTCATTGCGGATTCCAGACGTGGCTTTTTCGGGACAATGCGGTTTCGCGCTTTAGCAAATTATACTAGTAACAGGTACCTAGAGAGGTAGATGATATCCTTGTTCTAACTCTCATGAATTTACACATTAGAGGTACCTAGGTAGGTACATAACCATCTACACATAGGTATCTCAATGATGCTTTTCTATACTCGTACTCATATATTTGAATAACTTAATATGTCATCCTGAGTTGGAGATATGTTGGAGAATGAATGAAAGGTTACAAGATGTATGCAAACGAAATGTAGGTACCTAGGTAGGTTAGGTACCTGGTACGTATGTAGATGGATGCGTATAAATAAATGTGAGTAGATGTGAATAGAGGCGAATATATACCGAAAGCCGGGTGGGTACATGGCGGCATGGTACCTTAAATATGACTGGATGACTTTAAAGCTCCGAAGCGCCGGCGTCAGTAGAGATGCCGTCTCTTGTGCACGAACCAATAGACACTTAATAGTGACATGTCTATTGCGTCTCCATTCGTATATGTATACCTAATGTATAGTGATTTAAATAATAATTCCTCGAGAGTTATCTACCGTGTTTCTTTAGACCTATCCCAGGCTGTATTTTATTAGTAGCTTCAATGGCTGCTAGCGTTACCGATGTTGGGTTGAAGCGCTATATCGGCTTTTGCTAATCTCATTTAGAAGATCAGAGCATAATTACCTCGCAAAAGGCTCGTTCCTCACTAACCTAAAGTTAAGGAGTCTCTTACCTGATACCGTACTACGGCCCTGCGAGACTGGATATTCCAACGATGGGATCAGCCTGGAATGGCTCCCTTACTTCGACCAGCACTTGCGAGTTCGTTGCCAGTACACAGCTGGGGTTCTAACCTAATATACCGAGGGTTTCCGTTAACGGCTTGAGGCTTCCTAAATATAAGTCTCTACCTAGGTATCTATGGAATCTGCATCCACCGTGCCAGCCGTTAGTCTTAATAGTCTAGAATGCAAGTTCATCCATGGGAGTGTATACCACTTCTCTCCGGCGCAATACCCATTCAACTACTGTCAGCATTCACAGCCGCTCTCGCCGCTACCACCGCTCGCAACCCAGCCACCACCCTTAGGTAAACTGGCCGAAACACGTATTCGCGCTCGTGCCCCGGCACCCCCCAGACGGGCTGCGGGCGCTCGATCTCGGCCCCATAGTCCAGCAGCACCTCGACCATGTCCCGCCGGCCCCTCTCCATCGCCAGCTGCACGGGCCGTCCGCAAGCGAAGTGCACACCACCCTTCTCCTCTCCCGCCGCGGCATCCCACCCCTCGTCTCCCGCGCGCGGCAGATCGTGGTACCCGGCATTGGGATCCGCGTCGCGCCCGAGCAGCAGCTCCAAGAGCCCGAGGTGCCCGTGCCGCACGGCCCGCACCACCGGCGGGATATACTCGGCCGGCTCGGACTCGTCGTGCGGGTCGAACCCGTGCGCCCCGGGAGCACGCCGCGGCGGCCGGTCGCCGGCTTCGAAGTCGCAGCGGACCCCGGCGTCCAGGAGCGCGCGGGCGATCGCGAGGTTCTGCCGGTCCACCGCCTGGCCCAGGGCCCGGGTGCCCGCCACGCGCCCCGGCGGCGGGTGCTGCGCGCCGGGGGCGTGGAGGAATCGCTTGACGAGACCTAGGTTATCTGTTGCGGCGGCCCACTGCAATGCCGTCGTGCTCGTGCTCGTAGGCGTGCGGAAGAGCGGCGTGTTGTTGGGGTCCACACCGTAGTCCCGGAGTAGCTGCGAGACGGCATGGTCGTGTCCGGCCAGCAGTGCCGCCCTGAGCGCGTCTTTCTTTTGGCGCGGGGAGGGGATATGGGGCCGAGCAGAGGCAGAGGAGGGATCGTTACGTTGACCGACTATATCCGGCTTTGCTTGTTCTGATGGGATCGGATGCTTTGCGCTAGTTACTGGGTTGTAGAAATGGAACTCCCGATGCGTCTCATCCCACACAAGCACCCAGCTATTCTTGTCTTCTGTGGCGGATTGAGCGGTCGTAGAAAGCTGCTGCTGATTACTGGTCCTGGACGGAATTTCACTTTCCGGTACGGCTGGAATCGGCCTATGGTATGAGCATCCGGCGGCTTCGAACCGCTCCAATACTGATTGCCTTTGTTTGGTCGGGTAGCTAACCCCGTAATGATCGAAACTATCCGCCGTATAGCGGGGCTTGAAAGCCGGCTCGTAACCCAGCTGATGGAGCTTCCGCCAGTCGACACTCTGGAAGAAGGGATGGGCTTGAACCTCCGAGACCCCAGCAGCCCCCAATCGATTTTCCGACCTTGGGTCGAGGAGCTTAGTGATGACGTCTTGGGCAGATGGTGGCAGCGAGTCCGGTAGCTCGATAGAACGATGATCCAGTATGCTGCGGCGTATCTTCTCTGGGTCGTCGTTGTAGAAAGGAGGTAGCCCCGTCAACATTTCAAAGAGAAGCACACCTAAAGTCCACCAGTCTGCTGCCCGGGATCCATTTCCTTGGCTGCGGAGAAGTTCTGGAGCAGGATACTCGGGCATCGTACGGGCTGTGTAGTCGTCGCTCCCAACACGGGACCTGAAGAGACCGAAACCACAGAGACCGATATGTCCCCTAGCGTCCAAACGGACGTTCTCAGGCTTAAGCCAGGCAGCCGCATTAGGAACGTCGTGCAAGTGCAGATATTCTAACGCGCAAACCATCTCGGCAGCGTAGAGTCTAGCCCCATCGATGTCGAAGCGCCGTACAGTTTGAAGGTGATTAAGTAAGAGCCCTCCGGTTACGAATGGGGTGAAGAGGCGTAAGCAGTCTTTCTTATCGGGAACTTGGACCGCACCTACGAGCGGCGCAATAAAGGGATGGTCAATCTGGAAAGCCTCAGGCAGGAAAACGGGGCCTACCACCTTGACAGTCTTCATGGCATATTCCCTATTAGTATCCTTCTTCTGGCACAATGGGACGCCATCTCCCAAACTGCCTAGCAATGAGAAGTTGGATACTGTATCTTGCCCGAAAGTATTGTTCGTGACGTGTTCGTATTCCAAGCCGATGCGGATCTGGCCGGTGCCGCTCTGCACTGGCAGCCATTGTGATCCTGACATGGTCGTGCCGTCAAAGGGGCTCAGTCTCGACTCCCCAAGGAACACATCCCGGCCTCGGCCATCTACGGCCGGATCCCTCAGGTAGAGAGATATGGTCAGCTCGGCGGCCCGCGATACATCGAACTTTCGTTCGATTCCATGATGGGATTGGCCGAATACCCACTGGGGCCACTCCGTAGTGCCTGCAACGGTAGCGACAGACACTTGCGACTTCTCGTAATCCAGTAGTGCGTATATAGGGTGGGCGGAGGAACACGCATAGCTCTTGAGGAGTTCCTGGTGGGGGTTTGCCGCGGTAAGACCAACGCCTTCATATAGTGTCACGACCAAAATGCCGTTGGTGCTGGAAGTAGAGACTGGCAACAGAGTTCTAGGCGTTGCCAGTTGACCTGCGGTAGGGTTATGGCTCGCTTTTAGTGCTGTGATTAACTGTAAGCTGCGAATGTAATGGTTGCGGAGTGAGGTGCACCAACCTTTGGACAGTTTCCAGCTCATCTTGTTGGCATTGGCACGCACCGACCGATTCATATGTACCTAGCGAGGAAAGAAGTAGGAAGACTCATTAGAGTTGACCAGCAGCATAGGGTATATTTATATATACCCTTACCCCTCCTTTCCTCCCTAACTACGCTTTTCCCGCCACGTGATCACGATATCCTACCGGGTGACTCCATCGATACGATACATATTACACTAGACTGGTTGCACACCGACTGTATAGCAGCATACTAGGTACGTAACGACCCCTTTAAAAATGTCACGCCGGTGCATAAATAAATATTTTATTGGCTTATAACTCAAGACATGTACCTGTTAGAGGCCGACCATCAACAGGGTCATATGGAATCAACGGAGTCGTGCCTGAACAGGCAAATTCTTGCTCACTCACTCTAGCAGTCTGGGTATTTCATGGTTTGTAAAGCGCTCAATTTTATTAACATATCTATCATGTTTCACCTGAATTCATTCGTTCAAGGTACAGTACAGTAGTCACCATCCCGAGGCCTCCTCACGGATTGCTCGTCGACGCCTGGGTGGTAATACTCGACGCCGGACTGGTAGGCCAGGCCATCGGCGCGTAGGGGCGATACGTGCGGTTGGCGGCGTAGAAGCTGACAAACTCGCTCTGCTCCTGCTCCGAGAACGAGGGCGGCTCGGCGGCTGCCATCATCCCGTTTCGGTCGTCGCGCTTCTCCTCCAGGCCGCGTAGACCCAAGCCATGGTCGTTGCACGACAGCTTGGGCCCCCCGGCGGAGACGATGGCGCGCTCGACGCAGCCGTCCTTTATGAAGAAGGGCAGGTTGAAGTAGGCATAGGCCCAAGTGGTCGCCGTGGTGTCGTGCCAGTCCCAGCCCGTCAGCCCGCCGCACCCGCTCTCCTCGTCGTGCAGCGAGCTGCCGTGGTCCGCCGCCCAGTCCCGGATGTTGTACACCTCGAACGTCCAGCCCCAGCCCTCGTCCCAGAAGTCGCAGTTCGCAGCAGGGGTAGGGTCCGGCCGTTTGGTGGTGGACGAATTTGTTGGTTCGGCTGTGGTTGCGGATTCCGTGGTGCTCGAATCTGTTGGTCCGGCTGTGTTTGTGGATTTCGTGGTGGACGACTCTGTTGGTCCGGCTGTAGTTGCGGATTCCGTGGTGGATGAATCTGTTGGTCCGGCTGTATCTGTGGATTGCGTGGTAGTCGTGGGCCACATCGCGTAGATGCGAGAGAGCTCGTCGGAGTAGAGCGAAGAGAGATCGCCTTCCGCAGCAAAGGCGGTCGGGAAAACATCGTCGTACAGCCCGTTGTACATGACGGTGTACGAACTAGTCGGATGATCCGACGTCGACCGTGACGTTGTTGAATGTTCAGGGTCGTCAGGGTCGCCTCCGCCTCCGCCTCCGCCGCCGCCGCTGCCTCCAGGGAACACATTCGGCGGGCAGAAAGGGCAGTCTGGGTCGCAAAATAGGATACCTATAATTGGAGACATCACAATTAGTTTTACAACTCTTGGAAACGCACCCGACGTAGAAACTTGCTCTGCTCGGAAAGGAAATTCAAGGTCACTTACATGTTTGACCGCATCCCGGACACCCTGGCTTGGCCGTAGGTCCGGGTACCTTTCCGGACGTCCACGAAGGAGTCTTTTGGTTGATCACAGGATCGATCGTCGACGGCACAGTGGTCGGATAGGGGTTGGGAGTGACGGTGAGGACAGTCGGGGGCAAGACATGGCCGCCGATGATGGTTGTCGTCCCTCCGAGAGTCATTGTCTGTGGCGGCTGTGTGTAGGTTAGAGAGCCCCAGACAATGATGCCACCCGAGCTTGTACTGGTCGTGGTGGCGCCGATGATGGATGTGGTGCCGCTAGTGACGCTACGCAACGGAACGAGAACTCGAGTTAGATCAGATTACTCCTGGCCAGATGGAATCAGTAGATGGGCTTACGGAATAATAGTCACGCCGAATGGTGGCGGCTGTATGGAGCTTCTCAGGGTAATAGGCCCGCCGGTTTTGTTGTGATCAAGCGAGACGCCCCATAGGGGAATCGCTGTAGTCGTGACTAGCATATCGCACGACGGGTTAATATATTGCCAAGTGTAATATAATAAAGACGGATTAGAAAATATACGTACCCTGAGGGATTGTCAAAGTCGTCAACCACGATATGTAGAGATACCAGGGATATGTCGACGTCGACCCATCCTTTAGAGTGCTTGTGCGTGTCGTAAGACTCGAGTAAGAGACAGTCGTGGTCCACAGAGGAAACGTGATAGTCGTTGGACTTTCCAGCGGCATTGGTGGCCAAATGAGTGTCGCGCCCGGCGCCCCCGTGACCTGCTGGCTGGCCGAGGCCCAGATGTCGGGGTTGATGTAAATGGTGTCGCCAGAGCCGTCCTTGCCAGACTCCGAATCGCTGCCCGTATCGGATTGCAGGTCAACCGCCCAATCAGCAGTTCCAAGAAAGTTCAAGCTTGGATACAGCGCCTTTCTGGTCGCCTTATTATCTTCATCCATATAGGCGACCCACTGACTGTCGTTGAACACGACGATGTTGGAATAGGAGTCTTCATCCCACAGCTTTTGGGCCGACGGATTCTGATCGAGGATCTGGCTGATCTCGTAGTCAGAGATATACCCAGACGTGTTCGTGCACCTCCCAGGGTATGCTCCCGAGTCCGGGCCCGTGTACGTGCACTGTTCTGTCCAGCAGCCTGGCGTAGTCATCTGGAACGAACGGCCATAACTGCTAACACCAACGACGACCATATTAGATGGTACGCCGGCTTTAGTGATCATGGATAGCGAGTTGATCGTCTCAGTCATGTTAACATGGGATCGTAAGCAGTTCCCTAGCCCTTGGCTATACGATGGGCACCCGGGGTCGGCGTACTTGTTAGAGTAATCCCACTGTCCGTGAAGGTCGTAAGTCATGTAAACAATGTAGTCAACCACCAGGCTGAGGGCCTGGATGGGGAAATGTTGGAGGTACCAAAAGGAGGCTGGGGCGGTAATAGAGACCGTCTTGCCCGATGGCATCTTCTCCTTAAGCTCGTCCAGCAGCAAAAAGAAGCCGGTCGTCTCGGACTCGGACCCAGCAGGGATGCCGGGGATATCAGGCTCATTGGGATACTCCCAGTCCCAGTCGATGCCGTCCAGTTGATAGTCGTTCAGGAAGTTGATAACGTTGGCCACGAGTGTGCCGCGATTGGTCTGGGAACTAACGGCATCGCGGAAGATGGTGTAGGTGCTCGGATCTGTAGAGAAGGTCCAGCCACCGACCGACACAATCTTCTTGATGCCAGTCATGCCCCGAAAGAGCGGCAGCTGATCTGCGACGTCATCTGTGTTGATGGAAAAGTCTTTGTTCAGGGTGATAAAGGAGAAATGAATATGCGTATAAGCTGAAGTGTCGACACTCGTCACCGACATATGCAGGCAAGGGCGGTTCCAGCTGAAGGCTTCGAAGTAAGCGATGCTCATTATCTGGTCTGGGGGGGCTGACGCGACAATGTCTGTCCCGCAGTTGGAGATGCAGCCGTTTTCTCCTGGAGCTGCGGTACCAGGAGCGCCAGTGCTCGAGTTGGAGGGGACGCAAAAGTCATTCGTTGTTCCACACTGCCCCCAGATGTTACAACAGGCATTCAGGGGGCACTCATTTAAGGTGCTGAAGTCTGTGCCCGGCGGTGGTGTGGCCGTGTTGTTCACCTGCGGCCCACAGACCGCATTAGGGATACTAGCGGGCATAGGAGGGAAGCCAGTGCTGAGGCAGATTTTGTAGTCGGCAAACAACTTCTCGCAGCCATTCCAGCCCCAAGTATTATTGTTAAAGCTAGCGATCTGTTCATTGGTCAAATCAAACGCGGCTCCAATGGACGAGCAGGAGTCGCCTGATTTGACGAGATACGAGTAGCAGTAACCATCTGCATCTGGCTTAGGAGAGAAGTCTGGAAGAGTGCCAGAGCTGCAACAAACGTGCTTGCCTGGAGTCAAGGTGCTGCACAGGCTCGGGCTTGGGTTGTAGGTAGTGAACTATGCCGGTGTGATGCCACATTCAGCCGCCAGCGCAGCGCATGAGTCACCCGATTGCACCTGAATAGTGCGGCATGAGTCGGCACGCTTCTCGAGAGTGAGCTTAGGGGCGTCCCATCGCTTTAGGTTTAGGTCAATCGTGGTGATTGAACTGCTACTCGTCGAGTTGGCTGAAGAAGAGTTGCTAGTGTGCAACAGGGACGGAGCGAAATAGCTCACGGTCTGCCACTCCTCGATGCGACCCGCAGTGGTGTCTAGAGCAACGCAAGTTCTGTTCTTCCACGACTGCAGGCCGCGTTGAACAGAGCCAATGTTGCCCTTAGTGTCGGCCAGAACGCCCAGTGTATACCGAGCCGAGGAGTTGCTGCACATCTGGACGAGCAAGCTCTCGGCAACACTACCGTCATTGCTGATTTTCGTGCTGAGTTTATCCAGCACAGCGGTGAGAACATCTTGGCCAGCAAGTCCTGACCCCGCGTAGATACCAACGGCGACGTTACCAGAGTAAGCATATTTGATGGTCTCGTTACAGCCTGTATCTGGGATGCTGGAGAATGCCCGCAGTTGGTCCAGAGCGGCGGTAGTGTCTGCCAAATGTGATGGGGACGAGTTGCCAAAGGAGAGCAGCTGCAAGGTTGAGGTAGCCTTGGTTCTTTGGACCCCCTCTGGAACACAAGTACTGGTCACAGAGCCAGCTTTCGAGGCAGCTGAGTTACTAGAAGATAATTGCAGATCGGCCGTGCATGCAGAAATCGCGACTTTCGCCTTAGGCTCATTGACTAAGTTGTATAGAGCAAAGTCCAGTAACATAGTCTGATTGCATGCCCTACTGAGGCCCTCAAGGCTTCCATATACGGGCCAGTCGCTAGTGTCTGCGCCAACGTCACCACAGGTCGAAGGGCAGCGCTCCCTGCCCTGATGATGTAGCTTGGAAGTATAGTTCCCGGCTAGGACAGCAGCTCGGGCACTCGCTCTATCTGTTGGTCTGCCTGGCACGGTACCGGTGGCAGTGCTGACTGAGAGGGACGCCATAAAGGCACTGGCGGCATTGTTGGCTGGAGCCCCCAAAGGAGCCCAGGCGACTGCCACGGCAATGGCAGCCCCCAAACGAGAGAATGACATAACTCTGGTGCAGTATGAAGCTGGCACCGAGGGTGAAAGGGAGAGTATGCTTGGGAGGAGCTCGACACACAGTCTTGGATGGGGATAACACAAGCGCACTATGCTGCCAGCTTCCGAAGTTGAGCATCTCAGGGAAGGACCGTCATATAGGCAGTCAGTGTCTGGCCGAGCTCACACTATTCGACTAACGGGTCCTCATCGAAGCTGACCATATATTGTATGGCGACCCTGCCGCAGGTAGGTAACCATCGCCATTCAGGGGATGTTTTTGGCAAATAGCGGGTACGATTGTTTTACCGTATAGAGTTTAGAGAATTCGACACCAGAGCTAGCTTAATAGCCATGAGCTATAGGGGGTCGTTCGATATCATAGTTGAAGGAGTTGTAAGCCAGGCCGCCGTTCGGTATGTAAGCTTAGTAGGTGTTCGGTAGCGTGGCTAAGAGCCGAAAAACTTCAAGTTTGGGCTCTTGTGCTACCCAAAGGGTGGCACTCATGTTATATTTACCTACCTCCTAAGGCTGTATAGTGGTATAGATTCCATCAGAACTGCTACCCATCAAAGTATTATGTCCGAGCACTGTAGACCAGGAGCCCAATGTCCAACATGCTGACCCGCCATTTGCCTGCCCACTATTATCTTATTCTCCCATCCATTGTATTCATAGTATCATCAGATTTTTCATGGCCGGATACCAGGCAATATCGCCATGCGTCGCGAGGGGTAGTGCGCTATGATAGATCGGTCTATGCAGCCAGGCCAAGGAAATCTCAGCCAACACCCCTGACCGTCTTGAGTGTACACCTGCCTGCTTGCTTCTTGTCCAGCTCCCTACCCCTTTATCATGTAATTGGATGCTGACAATGGACGCACGACCGAGGGCATTCTCCAGTAGATATCCCTTGGATCACGGTGCCAGCATTTTCCCGAAAAAAAAAATCTCGTGGTCAACACATCTTCTGTCTTACAAGTTAATCCTGATTCTCCTTCGCCGACCTTGGATCCCTTGTTCCAATACTCGCATCTCTCGCACCGCTTGGCTGTCAAGATGTGGTGGCCTCTCTCTGTTCTGCCTGTACTGACCGCGCTTCTCAGCGTTGGCGACGCTTGTCCACTAGGACATCCTGTCGGTGCTCAAAATGCCTACCCCGTCAGCGATAACCAGACCCTCTGGCGCCGCGTGAGGGTTGGCGGAGGAGGCGGCGATGATGGAGCGCCCACGGCTTCTAGCCTCTTCAACATGGGAGATGGCAAAACCCCGGGAGACTGTAGTGGTCAGTCAGGCGTAATGAATGACTGGCTGAAAGAGGCCATCCTGCTTCACGACGCTGTCGAAACGGCGTATGATAGTACCAAGTCAAACAAGCGATTGATGCTTCTCTGGATTTCATTCTTTGGCATCGAATTCAACACCCACGAAGGAACCCCAGACACGGATGACGACGTGACGGAGATCCTGTGGCGCTCGATTGGAGGTCGGAAACACTCACTTATCTTCTGACCCTGGGTCAGGTCTTCCCCAGTCAAGCTTCAGACTCGAGAATCACGGCCTACTTTATCGAGGCTTTCAAGGGTTACAATTTTGAACCGGATACAGAAGATTCACTTTGCGGCAAAGCTACGCTCTACGCCCTCACTGCTAGGCCTCAACCTAACCCTGACAGAACAATAGTTGAAGAAACCGAAATCGAGATCGGCGAGTATGACCGGCACATTGTGTTCTGTCCACCTTCCTTCTCACCAGGGGCGGGCCATCCTCACAGCTATCCGTCTCTCTCCCAGGCCGTCTCGTCGGATCATTACCCGAAAGGAGACCCCGAGGACAGAACATCAGGAGATATGAAGCTTGACCAATATTTGCCCGTGAGCGCTACATTTTACCACGAACTCTACCACTTAGCGGATGCGGCGGGAATTACAAGCGATCCATTCTGTAGACACTCCAACTTTCATCCCACGTTGCTTGACACGGTAAACTCAGTTTCTTAACTCTTGCTGACCACACCCTCTGCGCTATAGACTCTTTGACTAGCGCACTGAATGCTGCGAAAAGCAACGGAAGAGGAGAAACTCATAGAAATCCAGAGTCATTTGTTTTCTTCGCCATGGCCGCATACATGTATCTCAACCCTCCCCAGGGTAGAGATGCTGTTCTGTTCGTTGGCGGCATTCCGGTCAAGGCCAGTTGGATTACTCCAAACTAGGCAATATCGTACTAAGACTCGAGAGACCTTTCCTCTTCTGCCAGTGGTAGTTTGTTTATTACAGACAGGGCTATTTCATCCGACGCCAGTTTACAGGGTGTAACCATGATGCAACGAACAATAAATTTGCTATGTAATTAGTCAATAATATAACATGCTGCCGTCAGCCGACACTAAAAATTGATATTCCTATACGGTTGTCCTAGAAGAAGTGCATACCTATTCAACCTCATCCCTCTCAAGTTAAAGGATGGGGGAAGTGACACCGATAATATCAGTAGCTTCTTGAAGAACGACTCAAAACGAGATACCAATTATAGGAATCGAATCTATCTCTACCTTTTATGGTGTTTTCCGGACTTCAACCCTGAACTCTAAGTAATTCTCCATTACGTATAACCCTAAATAAATCAAGTAAATTATTAAAGTCGAAAATTACCTAAATTAAGTAATTTTGGTATTATAATTATTTATTTAATTTTTAGCTCTATAAGTAGGTTACAATTGGTGTAAGACAGGCCGGGGCCACTGTCTGTATGTCAGCGGGCCGATATACCCAATTTATCTCTGGCCCCTATAGAGACCGTAAGATGCATCTAATTAAGATGACCACGTGGGGGGGGAGAACAGGTAACGATGATATCCAGGTCATCCGGCATATTCTGGATCATTTCGGCCAAAAAGCCGTGCCGAGGCCCTGCTTGGCCAGGTTGGGTTGTACGAAATGCACTTGGTCGCTGACGCTCGAGTTTGTACATGTAGCCGGTGTGCGGTCTTATAACCGTCAACAAGTAAGTTGTCGTTGCAATTCTTGTACTTTCGGTTGGCCTTCTTTAAGCAAAGGGCAACCAAGTAGAATAGCAACGGTTCAACTTAGATTGCAACTTTATCTTGGTCAGAACAATGAAGCCTTACACACTACTCCCCGTGCTCGCCTTACCATTGGCAAAAGCCTACCTTGTGGCGCCGCCCGGAACACCAGCACCAGGCGCCGCTTCGGGCTGCAGTGAATGGGTACAGCAGTCGTATGGACTGACCTGTGCTATCATTGAGCAGTTCTACGGTATATCCGCTGCCGAATTCGAGGCGTGGAATCCTAGTGTCACCCAGCTGGGTTCCGGCTGCAACCTCATCCAGGGGTTGTACTATTGCACCCAAGTCAACTATGTTTCCCATAGTTTTCTGTCAACGGGCCCGCCTACCACGTCCACGACTTCGTCCGGAGGCGGTGTCACGACGCCTTCTCCCGTGCAGTCCGGCGTTCCTAGCGCCTGCAACAAATTTTACCAAGTCAACAGCGGGGACACATGTTATGACATCGCCGCGGCTCAGTCTATATCCATCGAGAGCTTCTATGCCTGGAATCCGGCCGTGGGGGACACCTGTGGCAGCCTCTGGAGCGGGTATTACGTCTGCGTCGGTGTGACCTCCTCTGGTGGCCCCACGACCACACTCCAGACAAGCACCAAGACGACCACCACTGGTAATGGCATTACAACGCCGACCCCGACCCAGACGGGTATGGTAAACAGCTGCAACAGCTTCCACAAGGTGGTCAGCGGGGACGGGTGCTATGACATAGCTGCGGCTGCCGGGATCGCCTTGAACGACTTCTACACTTGGAACCCGGCTGTGGGAAACACTTGTTCCGCACTTTGGGCGGACTATTACGTGTGCATTGGAATTCTGTGATGGATTACTACCTAGAGATAGTAATATGCTTTCCTCCGGCATTGCATTTCATTGGGAGACAAGGTGTCCTGTATAGCATCTTCTACGATAACGCCTCTACTAAGACAGTAGTCATGGTATGCGTGATAAAGTTAAGGAAAAGAACAAAAATTACCTTACCTAATACAATCCCTTTACTGCGTCCAATGAGCCATTAGTATTTATAGTTTAGGTGATCCGCAGTACAGGTGAGATCTCATGTGTCGAGCTTGCATTCGGCGCGGGCATGTAACCCGTCCCTTTCTAGACAGTAGTCAGGGGTGCATCGGCCAGTGGCCACCGTATAGGGAATAGAGATACCCAGAGACCGCTGGAACGGCTCACGTGAGATTTCTCTTTCCGCCTACTACTAATAACTAGGGTCAATCGGTAAAAGTAGCGAGGTAGGGTTGGAATTGCTCTTTCTGCAGCAGGTCCTGATGTCCTCCGACGTGCTCACTAAGGCGCCGAGAGGTATTAAAAAAAAAAAAAAAAAAAAAAAACCTTAGCGGTCTATCTACGAGACGAACCTCTGCACTAACCCCTGCATGAATCCCCCATGAACTGCATAGGGTGGCATCAAGTTCCGAGATGTTTTTATTAATCGACAGCTTCATCATTCCATGACCCGCAAGGAGCAACGGAAATAGTTTACTGCTGACAGCAGTGGAACACGATTGAGGTAGGAACGGAACACCTCGATGGTCGAATCGATAGCTTCATGTGCGTACGTGGAGCTCAATCCCGGGATATTATTCTCTCCCTCTACCAAATCGAATGATATACGTCTCGTAGCTCGATGGCGGGCCTGGAACAATCTATGGTAATGGTGCTCTGACTATCGCGCAACCCGTGGCCCGCAGGCTTAATTTCTGACCCCTCAGTGCCCTTCTTAATGTCCTGGATGTACAGTACTGTAGGCCAGCCCTAAAATATCGAGAAGGCGAGCCATCCAGGCTCGGGGAGGGCAGCGTTAGAAGGGCTCAACCTAAATAGAGATGAAGTTTACGTTAGTATCTCTACTATGTCTTTCTGGATTGGGATCCCTTCGTTTAGCCTAACGACGTGTCAGGCACAGGGTACATCATTGGACTCGCGTATCCGAGAGTCACTGAAGCAGAGTCAACGGCGACGAATACAATAGTTTTTTTCTTATCTCACCATTTGGGACAACACCGCTTCCATCTCGCAGAATCCGGAGGTTTTAGTGTGACGTCAAGCCCGCTCCATTCGATGGGGCTGACGGACAGCGGCACGGTTATTTCAAGCTGACGGATTGTGTCAAAGGACAGTGTAATCGACAACTCATCAGCCGGGCGAATGGTGGCCTATGATAGGCAATGCTTGTCTGTCGCAACTCTTCCAAGCCGGACTGACAGTGCTGCATGTTACAAGTTCTCTCCCGGGAGGCAGAGAACCTCGAGCCGATGTGAGTATAAGCGTTTGTGCCACGCCAGCAGCTTTGTTGGCTGGCAAAAATCAAGACTATTCAGGTCTGGCTTGGCTGCCGCGTAAACGCCTTGCTTAAACTGCAGGACATCAAGATGGCGAAGTTCCTCATCACCAACGCTAAGTCCGAGCTGAAGGTCGAAGATTTCATGATTGAGGAGAGTAACGCAGGAAGAAGGACAGGATGAGACCGAGCAGACGCCAGTGTCACATAGGATGGCGAGGCGGACTTTTTAAAACAACTACCTCTACAGCCCGTTCTCGGTCTATGGCAGTTGGCGGTAACGAAGTGGCGACAATAACCCTTTTTTTGGTTGCCGGAGCTAGGAAGCTCTTCAGACAATGGGCAGGACGTTGACTTTTGAGGAAGGGGTGATAGGGGCATTGATACGCATCTTCTTTCTTCCAAAATGTTGTGAAATTATAGCTGCGACTTCGCGAGCAGTGGCCCCGGTCCGGGATTAAACGTATCGAATGTGATTTCTCGTTAATTGTACTTCCTATTCATAAATCGCAGGTGGTAGTACTGGCTTTCGATGCACTATCCGCACTCAAATCCTGGAGCCGGCGAGATGAAGCTTTGGCCTCCATAAATTGAAGACAGTACTTGGTTTGGGGTTACGGGAGGGCGTGTGCAAGGCGATTTGCCAGCCACATTGCCCGCTACGGTGGCGTCGCGACAGCAACGGCCAAAATCCAAGAGACATCAAACCGAGCAGAAACTGAGGATGAAGACGCTAGGGCACCAGAGACGACTGAGAGGGGTTGGAGGGGTGCAGCCAAGACGTACCTCCAGAAGATCTTAGAGGTTGTCGCGCACGTCCTGGCCCAAAGTGGCACTATCCAAGAAATAAGTCAGCGATATGAAGCGTCTCAGAGCGGGAACGGCCGTCTTTCAAAAGAGCTTAAGCGTATCCGTGAACAATTGGATGATAATCTAGGGCCGTCACAGTAAACCCGAAGAAGCCGCAGCGGCTCAAGATCGTATATCGAGACGATGCCGAACACCAGCTAGTGAAGAAAGTTGCCGAGAACATGGCCCCAGAGGCGCAGGTGCTGCGGGACGAACCGTATCCGATTAAAGTTGACAACATTAACCGTACGGCGGTCCTCAACGAGAACCGCAACATACGAAACAGAGCAGCTGAGGTAGTTGGCAGGAGAACTACAAAGGGATGTTTGAGCGTTGAGAACGACACGAACAGTGCCCTAACTGCCAGTAGGCGGGACACAAGGCTTTCCAGTGCAGGAGACCGAGAGTGTAACGGAGCGACCCTAAATGCGTTTCCTGCGAAGGGCTACACGAATCGTACAGCTGGAATTGCACGAATACTATCTGGGCCATCAGGAATAGAGTTTCAGATAGTACAACTGGGTGTTAGAAAACAACTTGCAGTACACGACAACTTGATGAACTACACAGGCCTGCAGAATGCAGCAGTACTGGCGATTCAGGAGCCACTGGCGGTGGATAATGTCGGATGGCTATGGACGGTGCCGATGGCAAATCACAGATGGACTGATATGGCCCGTCTGTCTGCAAAGACGGAAGAGGGAAGATTCGAAGCATGCTATGGCTGAAGGCTCCGCCCGGTCGTAGCCAGGCAGGTCGACGACCCCTTCCGCCAGAGCCTTGGCGAGGAGGTGAAAGGGCGGTCACAGGGCCGGGAGCTTCTCTTTGATAAAAGGATACCAGGTCGGCGCGATTTCCTTGTCGTGGTCTTTGTGGAAGCGCAGCGGGATCTACATCGGGAAACGATCTCGGCCGCCGTCGCGGTCGTGATAGCGTAAGATCCAGAGATCGATATCCCCCCAGCACAGAACTTCCAAGGTTGACTTCGTCTTCGCGTCCACTCTCTCACAGATCCAGCATATTTTCGGGCACGGCTAAATATACTGATCTGCGCTATTATCGGTCCCTAAACTAGGTACTCTTTTTCACTTGTTCATGTTCTTCGATTTGCCATACACCAACTCGCGTCTCCGGCAACCGGTCCACACAAACAAGATGCAGATAAGTGCGTCATCCAGTCGGTCAAGTCCGAGTTGAAAAGTTGTCTTGTCTCGCACCCATCGGAAGTGCGCGAGATAGGTAAACCCTGCGGGGTTCAGGACGTTTTTGTACTTCGGTTCAACTCGCAGTGCAAATCTCGGTGCAGTTTCGTTCTTGAGTATGATTCCAATATGATCTTTATTCCGTTTCTCAAGCTCTGTACCGGTGTACTTCCCGTACACAGCTGACCGCTGCCGTAGGCATTTTTGAATCGTACTCAGTTTCCTGATCGCCGACTTCCCCCTCCGCACCAGATAGCGGCAAAAGGATTCGGGAGGGCCCTTGGTTTCCCAACCTAGGGTCTTCAAAAGGGCCTTCCAGTCGGGCGCGTTGGGAAAACTGTTGTCAAAACGCAATCCATCGTCGTTGGCCGTCGACTGTATTCGCTTGCGTGTGGGTAGCTCGGTTTGGTCGAGAAGGGCACCGCTTGTTACCACGGTCCCAGTAATGCTGGAGTTCTTGGGCGGACAGTTGTGGAGCTTCTGGGCGCTCGGACTCGGGCGCGACATAGGTACTCTGCGAACCAGGCACAGTATCAACGCGGATCACCTCCGGCAATGCCCCCACAGTGATGGAGCGAGGGAGTTCGCGCTAGACTCACAGCCCTACCATGAGCACCAGTGATGCTTGGGCCCACCCGAGTTCCAAGGGCGACAAGCCGTACCAAGGGGTTGGCTCGATATAGGACCCATGAGTATGGTGAACCTGGAAAGCGTGGCGTTGGTGAGGGAAGGAGAACTGGGTGTCAAGCGCGTCCAGCTGTATCGAAGCTTTCGCCACTTACAATGCTCATTCCGCAATCTCCAGGTTGATTGGGACTGTTACTCTCTCCGGGCAGCAGCTGCCTAGGGAAGGAGCTGGCTATTTAAACCCTCGATGCCCCCGTGTCGATACCTTTCAGACTTTCCCACATTCTCCTCCCAAGACCAGCATACCTGCACCCATCCCTGTGCGGTAACGAACTGGTATATCGGGATACCACAAAGGAACTAGACGACTAGCTGAGTGCCATAGTGACATTTCAAATCCAACAGCTTTCTGGGATCGTCTGAGGCATCCTCAGTAATCCAGAGGACGTCGGTTTGAGCATTAACATGAGGCCAGCCGAACTTGAAGTTTTCAGGTTTACTACAGGTAGATGTTTACTACAGGTAGGTACCTAGGTGCCGAACGGTCCCCTGTGGCTCGTGACTGTTGCTTTAGGTACATGTAGCTAAAGAAGTGGCTTTTTCGAAGCAAGTACGAAGTACGTATTTTCGAAAAAGCTGTAGAAGTGGGGAAATATTCTTAGACCCACAACCTTGGGGATGCATCCAATAAAAAAAGAAGGCTTAGAGTGTTACACACAGATAAGCTTCCTAATCCGGAGAACGAGGTTGGGTTGGGATTGAGATGAGACAATAATAAATAAATACAAATATACAATATCCCGAACAAGTTCGGGCATTAGCTTAGTTTGGCTTAAGTAAAAGCGGTGGGTGCGCTGGTGCGTCATATCCTATCGGTACGATGCCCCACGCCAATGTCAAACTCCCAACCTTACATTACCCTAACCTCTATCACCCTACCTTGCCTACCAACCTACCTGACCTATCTTGTTACTTGTTATGCGCCGGTTTCCTATTCTCTAGCCCAATCGCACCTCGTTGTCCTCGTTGTCCACGCTGTTGTGTTTCTCTGGCCTCTCCGTCCCATCATTTCGTTATTTTGTTATATTTAGCAGAGTTGCCTGCCCTGCGGCGCTAGCCGTTCCCTTTTTCAGTTCTATTCATCGTTCTGTTCATCGCTCCCTTTATTATTACAGTACTATTACAGCCAAGCCAGATTCTACATAGTATATCCATACTCCCGATACCCCCGATCAACAGGGTTCCTATATTACAGGACTACACACATCTCACCGTCACAAGACTTTAGCCAAGCGCCTCATATATGACGACAGCTCTGTACAGACTCAAGTATTTGGTGCGCCCAATTCTTTGACGCCAACCTAGGTACATAAGCCTTTTGTGCAACAAATATTTCCTTCCCGCTGCACCTCCTATCGCCGTATCGAAGACCAAGGGATCTGCGCTTTTCTCCGCATCGCTTAACGATTTCGGCGCATCCTACATATTGACTTCCTAACCTCTCCCTCCCCCCTTCCTTCTTCCACACTCAACGACTCCAACTTTCGAAAATCTGGCAGGGAACAAGCGGCGCAGTCTCTCTTCGCAGGGAGGTCTGCTTAATAGAATGTTTGGCGGCGGCTCCAGTTCTGCTGCGGCCAAATCCGATCCTGCAGCACTCGACTCCACGAAATCAGAGAAGAAATCTCTGTCACCGGACCAAAAACACGAACCCGCATCCGTTGGGACGCCATCCAAATCCCCCGATCAAGCCACCAGCGGCGAGAAGCGCAGCGGAAATGGTAGCCCACCCGGGCGACATAATCCCGACACGGGAAATCTAGAAAAGAAGCGTAGGAGTTCCGGCGTCGGGAGCAAGGCTAGCAGTCTTATAGCTAGCGCCAAGAATAGCTTGAGTTTTGGTCAAGTTAACAACAAGCCGAGCAGTGATGCCACTTCCCATACACCTCTACAAAAGCTAGGCAAGCAAGATCAAACTCTTGCAGTACCTCAAGGCCAGCATAATAATTCCGCTGGTGAATCCGTCCCAGGTCCGCGATCTACCTTCCGCGTCGGTGTCTGGGAGGATAGAAACAAGAAATGCCGTCGTACGATGGAAGACACTCACGCGTTCCTCTACAATTTCTTACATACCCCTGCACCCGTCCTCACCCAGGATTCGGGCAACAAGAGCACAAAGTCTCAAAGATCTACATCGGAAGATTCTAATCCTCAGCCTGAAACGGGCGCACAGGACATGATAGAAACTGACAACGGTTACTTCGCGATATTTGATGGACATGCCGGTACCTTCGCCGCAGACTGGTGCGGAAAGAAGCTACATCTCATTCTCGAAGACACCATACGCCGTAATCCCAACGTCCCCATTCCCGAACTTCTAGATCAGACTTTTACCAGTGTTGATGCACAGCTAGAGAAGCTTCCTCTTAAGAACAGTGGCTGTACTGCAGCAATTGCCGTCTTGCGTTGGGAGGACCGCGTCCCTAGTTCAAACTCTGCGACCGGTTCTCAGGCCATCGCACCTGCCGCTGCCGCCGCTGCCGCTTCCAAGAGCTCGGACACGCTAAAGCCTAGAGATGCCAAGCTTGAGAACGATAGCAGCAATAATGCCATTGCCGAATCGGCCCATGCAAGATTGAAGGGTACTGCGGTTCGGCAGCGCGTTCTATACACGGCAAATGTGGGTGATGCCAGGATCATTCTATGTAGAGCTGGTAGAGCATTACGTCTTTCGTACGATCACAAGGGTAGTGACGAGAATGAAGGCAAACGAATTGCCAACGCCGGAGGCTTAATCCTCAACAACCGCGTGAATGGTGTATTAGCCGTCACTCGAGCTCTTGGTGATACATACATGAAGGACCTTGTGACTGGCCATCCTTACACCACCGAGACCGTTATCCAACCCGAGATAGATGAGTTCATTATCATCGCTTGTGATGGGGTAAGCTTTCTTGGATATATATATATATCTCTCTCTCTCTATTTTGGTTAAAAAAAATCGTTACTAATCAGTGTCTAGCTCTGGGATGTTTGTGAAGACCAAGATGCTGTTAATCTTGTTCGCGACGAACGAGACCCGGTGGCCGCGTCCAAGAAACTCGTTGACCACGCCCTCGCTCGTTTCAGCACAGACAACTTGTCGTGCATGATTGTTCGATTTGACAAGGCCGCCTTGTTAGAGCATCAAAACAACAAGGAGAATCCCATCGGCGTAGAAGGAGATAGCTCTGGTGCAGCGGGCAAGATCAGCGAAGCCGATAGGATTGTGAACTCAACCAAGCAGAAGATTGCTGAAGGTGACACTCCTGCCATTGGCATATCAGCTAGTAACAGCGGCCGAGGCCATGATCTTGTACCCATTGAAGACGGAGATTCTTTCAAGCCAACTGTCATCGAAGGCCCTGTTGAGGAGGAGCCCGCATTGATAGAAGATAGCGATGCACCTGAGGTCAGTACAGACGCAATCCCGAACGCAAGCAGTCTCGCGACTCCAGACGCAACGTCTCCGAATACTGCCGGGCCGCCATCAAAATCTTGATCCCGACACTTTCGCAGCGGAACTAGTGTATTGTTCTTAGGATTTTTTTTCTTTTCCATGAACAAACGCGGTCCTACTTTGTATCCCGCTTCCAAAAGTTGATGCCGGAACTCGACTCGCGATATACCAAGGTTTTCGTCACCTCAAAAACAGCAGGGGTATGCCTAAGGCTTTTGGCATGATGTACATATTTCAGGTAAATCTCAGTCATTACATGACCACGACGTTACCATAGTCAAGATTATAGCCCTACGGAGACAGTTGGTTGCGCCGGTCATTTCATATTTGTACTAAGGAGAGACGTCTTTATGGAGTAAACGAAGACCCGACTACTTCGGGGGACGAAAGTTAGCAGGTGGGCCGCAAAGTCTACCGGCGATGATGATTTGGCTTAGCTTTGCATGGACTTACGAAAAGGTGTACGTTATAGGTAGTCACAGCAATCAATGCCATTCGAGCAATATGAAATCTTATGATCCAAATTATCGGTATTATACAATAGCTAGATTGGAAAAGTGAGAACCTTAAGACGGTTCAGTTTGCCCATGTATCCTCAAAAATGTTTCTAATCGGCTTTTCAAAGGCAACACTCTAGCCTTGACTCATTCCTACCAGTTGTCCTCGGCAAACAGAAACTCTATGTCTCGGACGAGCAAACGTTTGGCTTGGCCGTCCCGAGTAAGGTTATCAGCCCTAAAGTTTACCGGAAGTACATATGTATTCACATCCCAGGATATGTAATTAGACTGTTTTAAGCCTTTTGTTTCCTCTCTCGTACGCACATGGTAGTATCAACACAATCTAGGATTGGGGATAGTCATTCTCCCGGATAGGGAGGTTTCCTACAAGATGTAAAGAAAAAGAAAGCAGAAGAAATTCCCGGCTTCTTGAGATATCAAGGCACGAACCAAAGACTCTAGGAAAGAAACAAATTATGTTATAGCCTTAGCAAGCAGGTAAGGTCTTGCTAGGTTGTGAGGGGGAAACTCTGTTGTTACCGTTAACCCAGTCTTTTTCGGCTTGAGATAACTTAAGGTTCTTACGTCTTATATTATTATATATGGTTTACTACCGACCTAAGATCGTGGGATAATAAGGCTGCAAGGCAAAGGTCAGCAGTCGATATTAACTTTGCATAACCCGTCCGTTGTCTGGACATCGACGTAACGTCATACCTCATGGATAGTTCAAACAAAACAAGCAGTAGGGGAAGACCTTGTTATTAGTTGGGTACCTGTACCTATGCTCTAGTTGCGTCTAAATTTTCGATGCTTCTTCTATATCTTGTTATTGGAATCAGAAGTTGGTATGCTATAAGTAAATCTGCTTGGTTCTATAACATATGGAAAGGAATACAAGTTTCTATACCAGCAGCCGCAGCATGTTTCTACGCAATGGGAAGAGATCGCTGCTTGTATTACGAACGTGATACCTAAGAAGCCGGACTTTTAATACGTACCTACATAAGTACTACATAGCTATAACCTAGGTAGGCATGTTTGATACCTATTGGAGGGTTGTCCGAAGAGGTTCAAGCACATCTCGACTTGTTTAACCAGTCCATCCTCTCATTTAGAATGGGGGATACGACATTTGACAAGTCCGGTTTTGCGGCTTCTTCGACTAGGTTCTCTTGGTTTAATACCTTAGGCGCGTAAACGTAAGGTAGGTAAGGTTGTGGGCACACACCAGAGTTTGCCAGTTATCTCATCCATCGAGACGAAGAATAATGTCCCGGGTCGCGACGATGTTACCTTATGATATGTCTAGAGGCTTATAACGCGGCATATGCCTACTCCTACCTAGGTACTTATAGATAGACCTAGGTAGTTCGAAGCCCTCAATGGACACGTAAAGCTGCAATATTAACATACAATACAGATTAGATAGGCAAGTAGCATTCATGACTATCAGTACTCCGTACCTTCACAGAATTAAGGTACAATATAATGTATTAAGACATATATATCTGTCGGCAATGAAAAAGGAGAACGCCGAAGAAAAACTTGGCGTCTTTCCCGAAAAGTTCGAGGCTAGGATATTATTAAAAAGGGGATCAATTAAGAAAAAAAAATTGAGAGAAAGAGAGATAGTCCTCCACGTTGTACCCCTGAAAAAAGAGAAACATACTGTACCGTGTTTATATAAATGCACTGTGTAAACTGTATATTTATCTGCATTAGTTTATGCAGGTTGATTGGTCAAGGGTGCGGGGCTTCGAAAGTTGCTACTGCTTCATCAACACAGGTTGGCTGGGTACATATGCACGTACATACATATGTACAACAGGCACAATCTACTAATGCAAGGTGGTCGAGATTAGCGCTGCTCTCCGTTGTTACAGATTTGGGCTAGTATTGGCCGAGATTTGAACCTTCTAAATTACTTCTTTATCAAGATCAGCTCTCACTAAGTGTTTTTTCTTTTCCTTTCGAAATTTGTTCCAGCAAGGTATCTTTGTTCTATTGTCCTGTTGTAAGTTTGTCATAGGCTTTAACAATTGGAATTCTCAATGTTGAAGATATGGGATTGGACCTTGGAATGGAGATAATACCTACCTAGGTACCTAGGTACCTTTTTGCATGTACCTAAAGATGTAGGTACCTTAGGTGAAGATGTGCATCGGCGAATGAGGTACCAATACTAGCTCGATTACTTAAAACGCATACGCACGTTTCCTAAGAGGATCCAATCTGGGTAAGGGTAATCTCCTGTTAGGTAGGTACCTCCAGTAAGAAGTTCACTTCCGACGTCCACGGTCCCCCTTTCTTCACCCGACACATTATCATTGGCTCAAGTTTGAAGTTTACCACCGTATTTTCACCCCCATTGAAACAACCTCCTTAGGTACCACTGTACCAGGTTCTACCAGGCTCTTACACATACCTAACTTCCCAGCCCGTATGGATCTCATCTCTCTTTCTGCATACCCTCATATAACATTGCTGAAGGTGAAAAGATAGAAGAGTGGTTGTTTGTCTTTTTAGTCCCACCGTTTTATTGTCGCTCGTTTAATTCATTATTGAGATTTATTTTTTACAAAGTAAAGTACACTGAAGAAGCCCTTACATCGAAAGTTTCGTTTCGGCCAGTCTCTCGTCGACATATCTCACATCTATCTTCTCTTCTATCGTCGTCAATAGTGTCTTCTGTCTGTCTTACATACCTAACATACCTACCTCATACTTACCTTACATACCTGTATCTGCATCTACATAACTGCTTGAGCTGTAGATGTCTTACTACTAGCGCTCGGGCTTCCACATCGGGCACTACCTACCACCTACCCCCTGATCCCTGATCCTATCTACATCTAGGTAGCTTGTGAGGTAGTTAGTTACGAGCAATATTACTACCTATCCTTCAACCCCCTATCGAAATTTCCCGCCCCCCGGTCGAACCCCATACCACTATCCCGCCTATTTTCGTTTCGGTCGCCTCAACTCATCTTCATCTGTGTACAGAAATTCGGTTCGAGTTATGCGCCCTGTCGTCCACGCCATATCTTTATGGTGACATCTTTGTAAATACATCCACCACCTTTGAATGGTGTTGTCTCAATGTCGAACCAGACAGCCGGTCTTTCGAATTGGGCTCTGGTATCTGGTTCCGGACAACCATCCGATTCTTCCTGTATTCTCACCTGCCGATAAGCTGGTCGTAGGCCGGTAGGATCCCGAAGCGCATATTATTATTACTTTTATAAAAAAAAAAAAAAAAAGAATATAAGTCGACAAATTTCCCACCGTAACAGTCCAAATCCTACTAGAATTAGCTGTCGTTTTAGACGGCATCTTCTAAGAAGAAATGTCGCTGAATGGACTGGACGATGCTAAGGTTATAGAAGCCCACGAATCCGCTGTCACCGAACCTGGGGGATGGTATGAAGCTTCTTTTCTTATTATTTTTTTTTCTTTCTGATTTTCTTTCTTTCTCGAACCAAAGTATTCCCCGTGTGGTAAATGTATTGTGGTCTACGTCAATGCCGCTACCACCGCGTTGTCTTTTATTCCCCTGTCTTGAATTGCTTGTTTCTCTTTGAGCTTGCGCCGCTGACCTAAGTCTGGTCCGACTAACATAGGTTCCTTCTCAAATACGCTAATCGTGACGAGGTTGAGCTTCTCGATCGTGGGAATGGTGGGATTGTTGATATCCGTGGTGCAATTGCAAAATACGAAGAGGCGTCGCCGTTGTACGGCTTCCTTAAGTACAGACGGAGGAGTGTCCTGTTAAAATACCAACCTGAGGATTGCTCGAGACTTGTCCAAGGTGAGCGAGCCAGTTAATCATATCACTATGCGCCTATTATCTAGTCATGTGCAATTCTAGCCCTGGAAATAGAAAACCATGTAGGATGGAATTGCTAACCCGACTTATATTTGCAATGTATAGCTCGTGCAACAGTGCATTTTAACGCTGTCTGTGAACGGTTTGCGCCGTACGATATCACCTTCGAAATTTCGGTAGCGAAAGACCTGAAAGATAGTAAGCTTTCTGCGGCTTGTTCGCTGCATGCGGCATCCGGTTCGGCGTCATCATCCTCGAGCTCACTACGACGGCGGAGACTAAACGAGATAGCCGAGGAAGAGGAGGAGGAAGAAAGAGAGAGGAAAAGGCAGTCAACAGTTAAGGAGGAAGATAAACGCGCATCATCTGTGTACTCGGTACCCGCTTCCTCACCGCCTACAGAACGCCCTACCGTACTCGATAGTCAACAGATCTCCGCCCCGCAAGAAACCAGCTTTACCTCAACGGTCAACGTCCCAGAATTTACAGGAGCTGACAGACCGACATCCCCTACACAATCCGAAAGCGCTCCACGCCTATCCTCCCAGTCCACACGGCCCGATTTGCATAGCTACTCGACCTACACATATGGCAAGCCAAAGGTGAAGCTCGGCCCCCGACCATCGCTAGAGACGAACAAGCGACCTTCGACAGCTGAAAATTTTCGCCCCACTGCAGCCTTGCCGGCAGGATTTAAGTTATTCTCCAAAGGAACCAAGAAGGGGGGACAGTCTCATGATATGGAACAAGTCGAGAAGACTGAAGAAGCAGAAGAAGAGATTACTTTGGATACCGCTCTCACGCAATCTACACCTATCCCTGAGGTTCCACAAGGCACTGGCCTTCAGCTGCCCCCGCGACCCGCAACAAATTCGGGAGCTTCTATTAAATCTATTAAATCAACCACACAATCACTAGCGCCCCCACCAACAAAGGAGGCGAAGATTACACCTGAGAAAGCACGACTCATGAAGGCCATGAAGTTGAGGGAAAAGAAGAAGATGATGAAGAATACTACAACGTCAACGTCAGAACAAACAACTCAGTCGGATAACCCGTCTGTAGTCGAGACCAAGGGAGAATGCGACGCCGAGTCTAAAGATTCTCTGCAAATTAAGAGCGACGCTGGTCATCGCGCCGTATCCAACGCAGACTCTGGTATTGCTATTGACCCACCCACGCCGATGACGATCAATACAGAGGATACATCCGACTCCCGTCCAAATTCTCCGACGGGTGCAACCTCGTCTGAAATAGGGGTATCCACGAAAGCGTCCTCCCTGTCCGAGTCGACACACGAAACTGTCCAAGCCTCCAAAGACATAAGGGAAGAGCCTGAGGAGGCTGAGCCTAAAGATATTCCAGGAATGGAAAACGGGCTAGAACAGACTAAGACGCGTGACACGGATGTCTTAGACAAGGGAGATACTAAAATTGATCAAGAATCCCAAAAGATTCCAGATCATCCTACACAAACAACCGAGCACTCTGGACGCGGTTCGGTCGAGGTGGATGATCGTGCTGATATTGTCTCGCCGCCCAGTCCAAAGGGTAACGAGCAACGTAACGAGAAACCATCGAACGAAGACGACACACCCAAGTCGCCTTGGAGGGTGCCTGTTTCGAAGTTCTCTTCCCACGAGACGGACGCCCCGGCCGAACAGAAATCGCCGACGACTCCTCGTCTAAAGTCGAAATTCTCCATACCGGATATATCTCTCCCCCCAGAGCCTGTTCCTGCTTTACCAAACGCGTCCGTAGAGGGCAGCAAGCAGGCCGGAGGCGAACCGCTACTAAAGACTACTTCAGAGATCCCGCTCCCTCCGAGATCAACTAAGCGCAGGACCGTCATCGGGACTATAAGAACTGATTTGACGAAGACCACGGCTCATTCCGAAGCTCACGATCCTCTTCTCGATGATGCTTTGATGGACGAGCTACAATCAGCGACGTTGCAGGAGGCCAAACCTATGCTCGTATCCAAATCGCCCATCACTCCCGTTTTCCCCAATTCCAATTCCGGCGGGCAAGGTCTGTCATTATCTCGTGCAGTTTCGAACCCGATGCGTGGCCCACTCCCAGTATCCGGTGATGTCTCACAGAGTAGCGCGAGAAGTGTGTCGGCAGGTGGTGCGGCCCTGCTACACAGCATTACCCGACAGTCGTCGAACGCTGGCCTACAAGCTAAGAAGAACAACCTCGGCTCGAGCATTTCACAGAGAATCAAGGCTTTAGAGAAGCTTTCGGGTCCTCCTGGCTCGGAAGACGTCCGTCCAAAGACCGCAACACCATCCTCGACTTTCTTTGGCGTTCGTAGGCAGAGCATCAGAGATTTGTCTAGAACTTCTACCGTAGTAGATCCCACCAGTCCTCAAGCGCAGCCCTCCTCGCCTGAACAGTTCCAAGAAAGACCGCCTAAACTGACCGGCGCAGAGAGGCGTGAGAGATCCCTCTCGGTGGTTAGTCGATTGTCAATGTTTGAAATGCCAACACAAAACTCACTTCGTGGGCGACCTGATTCCGTCCAAGTTACTGCAAGGATAGTTCGCGATCCTAACAACAGCATGCCAAGGAAACCTGAACCCAATGCAAGCGCTGATGACTACCCTCAACTCGAATTGAAGCAGTCGCCACTTGTTGTGGATCTACAGACACCAGAACCGTCAGAACCTATTCCCGAGCCGGCTCCTACCTCATTAGTACAAGTTCACAATGAGACCATTCAAGAGAGACGTGACAAGAAGTCGGTTCCCGACGATGGCGAAAAGAAGCATCGGCGTTCGTCTTTGAGTATAGTCAAAGACTTCATCAAAGACCGACGAACTTCAAATGCTAACAAATCGACGGATAACTTAGCGGTGATGTCTCCGAACGGAGCAAAATCTCCAAATAGGCCACCGTCATCCCATCAGATCGGTAGTAGCTTTGGAAGACGGTTGTCAATTTCAAGCCGTCGCTCTTCGATCAGTCGCGAGCGAGATAATTCAGGATCAACACCCATCGGGTCACCCGCAGTTCTCAGTGACAGCGGTTCCGGTGACGACGATAAGAAGAGTGAGAAGAAGTCGGAGGGGCGAGCATCTCGATTTATGAGGCGCCTATCGAGCTCTCTTAGTGGGAACAAGAAAGCTACGAGCCCGCATATTTCTCCTACTGTCGCCGAGGAAGATGCAGATCAGCTTGCTACTTCTACCACCGATGTCTCGGTATCCTCTCAACCCACTGTCGTGGCATACATGGGTGATGTCAACGTGCAGTTTCCAGACAATCTACTGTGGAAACGCCGTAGCATGTCTCTAGATACTGAAGGATTCTTGTTCCTAAGTATCGTACAAGGGGCTGCGATTAGTGGAAAGGATAAGGCTGCCGCTACCGGTGTTAAGCGTTATCACTTGAGTGACTTCCGCGCTCCTTACATTCCCGATGTCGAGATACAAGAGCTCCCTAACAGTGTAGTTCTGGATCTTGTGGAAGGCTCTTGTCTGCAAATTGCCTGCGAAGACCGAGCCGGCCAGCTAAACATTCTGCAAGGTAAGTAGCTCAAGTTATATTTAATTGGCTGTTCGTTATGGTTGGATTGTGTACTAACGTTGTCCGTAGCTCTTCAAGATGCGCACCAAAAGCACAGCTCCTTCAGACAATAGACTCTTCGAGGTTTTTATTTCTAATTATCCCGAGTGGCCTACTTCCGAATGGCAAAATTTCCTTGATTACGACAGATACCCGAACCTTTTTACTTTTACTTTTATTTTTCATCCTTGTGCCACTAAGACGCATTCTCTGCATTTCCTTTTGTATCCTTAGACATTCAGATTCACACAGTCTGACGACTCTTTTCCTTCCGACAATAATTGTCATCTCTATTTCCACTTCCACTTCCTATAAGTCAACCAGCTTAGGGCGGGCATATATTTGCTTGGTATGGATCCCGTGGAGCCGTGTACTTTTGCAGTTCTCTTCTGCTTGCCTCTATGAGGATATAACACTAGTTACCCTGGCGGGTACTGTGAGACCTGCTCTGTTCCGTTGCATTGCTAACAGCGGAGAGGTGTCGGTACTTACTATTCTACAGTCTTAAAAAAAACCTAAGGGGAGCTTCGTGGGAAACGGTGGGCAAGAGACTGAGCGTAGGACGAGTTGGTATCATTGGGCTTCTGTACATAGCAACATCATTGGCGTGCATTGCAAAGCCCGCAGTGTATCTATTAAGAATTAAGTATGAAAATCATCTAATGTAAAACCCCCTCCATTAATTGATGTCGTATTCGGTACGATACTACACGAATTTAGAAAAGACGTTACAATAACAATTTTTTTTATCTTTGTTCACAATGCTTGATGGGTAAAGGAATTGGCAGCCTTTTGTTTGAGGCCAAAGAGAGGTTGTACTGAGAACAAGGCATTGTGACTGCATTATTTTACAGTACTTACAGTATTGCTCTTTGTTCACACAGTTGTGACAAGAAGCATCACAACAACCTGCAATAACAGGACAACAATCACCTACCAGAACGCTGTGCAGAAGAGTATATAGGTAGCCAAAGACGTGGCCCGTTGTGAAGGAATGACCTCAGAACCAACACTCGTCAAAGAACCTTGATTCCTACAGACAAGAAAAGAAAAAAAAAACATTCACCTAAGTCTCAACTCAACAGATAGACTGCCTACCTAAGCTATCTATCTACATCAGACTTCCCCCTCTTTTTTTTCCACCGAGAAGCAATGGTTCGTGCCGAGGCTCCCAAGCTCCGACCTATCCTGAAGCCGATCTCTGTCGGGGCGGGCTCTTCGCCTCCGCCAACGCCGTCGCCTCTGCGGGTGATATTCGCGGCGGTGGCGCGGGACGCGCAGACGGGGGCCGCGGTGCCGCCGAGCCCGCGGACGCGCGAGCAGTTCTACACGTCGGTGAAGGAGCGGCAGAAGGAGAAGAGGCGCGAGAGGCGGGCCGAGCGGATCGAGGAGATCAGGGCGGAGCTCGAGGCTAAGAAGGAGAAGAAGAAACAGCAGCAGGAGAAAGATGAGGAGGAAGAAAGAGAAAAAGAAAAAAAAGAGAGGAAGAAGATGATCATGAAGATGAAGATGAAAAAGCAGGAGGAGGAGAAGGAGGCGGAAAAGTTGATGATGATGATGATGAAAAAGAGAGAAGAGAAGCTGAAGAAGAAAGAAGATGAGTGGAGGAAGAAGAAAATGGAGGAGCGGGAGGTCGCGAGGAAGTTCGCGGAGCTGGAGAAGCTCATGCGCGAGGCGCACGCCCGGGCGCGCAAGTTCGACAGGATCGTGGGGTTCGGCCTCAACGAGGGCTGGTACTCGAATATGATCGAGTGCATGCGGGCCGTCTATTGCCAGGGAGAATGGATGGCCTGCTGCGCTTGGATGGTATTCCGGTCTGGTAAGCCCCGACCCGTCGGCGGTTTGCTTGTACCTACCTAGACCCGAGAGATCGAGAGATCGATTGAGCGCTCCTTGGCTCTTGTTGTTGTTGATGATTATGACGATGATGCGTTCTGCTGCTCTCGCGCGGAAAAAGAAAGTTTTCTTCTTTCTGCTTTCTGCTTTTAAGGAGTTCAGAATGTTATGTTATGGTACACACTTACGAGATATGACATGTTTACTGTTTATGCGCTTGTTTAACTATTTACCTACCTAATTACTTGTTTTAGATATGTACATGTTTATATACACGTTTAGTCTTGAATATCCTACTCTCCACCTTTTTATCGTCGCCTCTAGTTTGACCGAGCAGCTCCTCGATGTATGTACATAATAATGTATGTCATGGGATGTTAAACTCGCTACGTCTCGGGGACGACTATATTGATAATTTAGATATATTCGCGACCATGGCAGCTATATCTTCGTCTTTGCGAATCGTCACCTCCCTCCGCTCCCCCGTGATAACCCCCACCAACACCATCCGCAGCTCGGTCCGGTCCCCGTTCCACGACGACGTGCTCCATTTGAGCCTCGACCGGTACGGGATAAACCCAGAGGCATCCCTATGCCGCTCCTCCAGCTCAACCAGGATCCGCATGCCGGCCACCATCGCCTTGTTCTCAAACCAGGGCCCGGATAGCTTCTGACAGAGAGCCAGCGCCCTCGTCCGCGTCCCGTAGTGGCGGCACTTGTTCGTCAGCGAGCGCAGCATCGGCTGCAGTTTGTCCTCGAAGAGGGGCGGCAGCGACTCCACGAGCGGACTGCCTTCCCCCAGCGCGGACTCCACGAGCGCGACGGCCTCGCGGCACACGGGCAGCTGCGAGTCCCACAGCACCTCGCTCTCTACCGGGTCGTGGCGGTACTGGGCGAAGATGCTGAACAGCTTCGCCTCGACCAGCATGATTTTCCAGGCTCGGTCCTGGTCCGGGTCCGGGCCCTTGGTCTCCTCGTCCACTTTCGCCTGCAGGAACTCGCACCATATCCTCGAGTGCGCCAGCGCGAGCGCCTGCTCCTCGTCGAACCGCGCAAAGTCCATCTCGCTGTTGAAGAGCTTGGTCTGGGCCGTGCGGAAACACCAGAGCATGAAGTACGTCGTGTACCGCTCGAAGCTGTGGCGTATCTCCTGCGTGCTCTGGCCGGGGCTGGGGGTGGCGTCTTGGCATAACCACGTCCGTTGGTATGCTTTGTTCTTTAATACACCGGGGTAGAATGGAGAGAGCAGGGAGTTAAATCCGGACAGGCGCGTGAAGAGGTAATCCGCCTCGCGGATGCCCTCGTCGTCCAGATTCGGCGGCAGCCGCGTTCCAAATACCATGCTGGACGTGGAACTATCCAACGCCGATATGGTCGACTGCATAAGCCGGTCGATGGTCTCCGTGTTGCCCTGCATGGCCTCGAACACGATGAGCAGGAGGCTCATGATCAGGATCGTCCGCGGGGTGATAGACGAGCCTTCGAGCTGCATCCTCCTCCGAAACTTGGAGACGGCCTTGGTGTGGAACAGGAGGGCGTCCTGGTGATACCTGGTATTCATCGCGTTGAGGGAATCCGCCGGGACCATCCAGAGCGACTTCGCGCCGGGCCGCATCAGGCGGTGGACCTGGTCCATCATGGCGCGGCACAGGGCTCCCGCGCCGAGGACGCAGTCCCGCACGCACTCGTCCCTCAGGCTCTCGCGGAGCACGGTGCGGTACCAGAAGTTCTCGTACCCGTTCTGGCAGAGGTTGCTCACCACGATGTTCCGGAACAGGTCGAAGTAGTACACCTCGTGGCCCTCGAACTCCTGCAGGTGCAACCTCGGGGACAGCTGCCTTTCGCTGTTACCATCGTACGACGTCGGGACGGCGCCGTACTGGTTCTTGCTGCTGCTGCTGCTGCTGCTGCCGTCGCCGCTGCCGTCGCCGCTGCCTTGGCCGTGCCTCGGCTCGAGAGCGACGTATTTGCAGGGGAGCCTGCTCTTCTTGCAGTGCGCGCAGATAGGCCGATCTTCGTCGCATTTGATCCTTCGCGATTTACACGTAGCGCAGCCTTTATGTTGTTTTATTTTCGTTAGGTACCGGCGCGAAGTCAACGAAGGCAAGAATCTTTCGTTGGGCGGGGGATGATTGAGACAGAGAGAGAAAAAGGCCAGGACTGAGACTCACAAGAAGGCGGGACGACCTACCGGAACGAACTTTGGGCTTGCGAGCCCGGATTCGAGGGACGGACGGGGCGGTCATACTCGCGAGCGGCTGCCTGTCGTACGGGAGATGGAGGTGAGGTGAAAGCAAACACTTTTTATTCTTTTTGATAGCGGTATATGGACTTCAGACTCTGCAACTCAGCAGAAAGGATAGTAGAATTACCATACACTCCCTCCCCACGATTCAAAAAATTAGTCTTATCCTCATTAAGGTCGGCGTGTCGCGGTTCTGCGTAGTAGTAGTAGCATTTGCGATCACTTTACGCCCTGCGCCCCTGACGGATGAACCAATGTTGCCGAGTAACAGGTAGTTTATTAGAGAAAGGAAAGGTCTAAGCCTTCAGAATTATGCAGGCGTAGCGTTGCATCGGCGCGTTGCCGGATGGGTAGGGCTGAAACAAACATAAAATGGATGCATAATTACTTGGTATATAAATATGATTTATCATTGGTTCTATCATGGAAGGATTTGATTGTGGTTAAAGCGAGTGGTGTGTTTCTAAAAAAGAATCTCCATCCTAACCTACCTTGATAATAGTAAATGTAAATCTTTGAGCGCTTACTACTAGTAACAACAATCCACTAAACAGATTATTAGAAAAGAGCAACTCATTTATTTTACCTCATTTCGACTTGTAATTATGTGTAGTCTTATTTTTCTTTTGAAGCCATATACTACTACACTTTGGGCTTGTCGTCAACCCGTAGACCGGGACTTCTCGTGTAAGTAACATTTCCTCATGGCGGGGTAATATTATGATTTCAAGAAATTGTATAACACATTAAGAGTCAACAACATACTACTAGAGTTAGAATCATGACATGCAAAGGAGAATATACATACCGGCCTACATCTCTTCGAGCTTTTGTGTGTGCTACTTACGTAGTTCGTCGCTTAGTTGCGGAGTTTTACAGGAATCTATCCGTCCAAAACTCCGAGGTCGAGGGTTACTTTCCATGATTCTATATATTTGCCGAGAGAACTCTCATCATGTTGTCAACAATGTTTACTTCCCTATAGCCTTTGGTTCCTTTCTCGACTCAAGTGCCCACAAAAAACAAGTCTCAATTACACTGATAACCACGAAATACATAAATATATGACTTAAGAAAGAAGACTGGATAGGTATAACCTTAGAAAACATCAGTCTGTTTCAACGGATATCAACTTGAGTGAGGTATCTCGCAACGTGCTAAGCTTTCCATCAGGCAATCTATCTGCTCTAGGACCAACCCGGGGACATCATGGATAAAGAAGAACTAGTTACCCACGTATCCGCGGAGTTGGGTAGATAGACTCGTAACTCTTTGAGCAGTGACGTAACCGCTCCCGTCTTTCCCGTGTTGTTCGATAGATTCCAATCGTAACAACTCTCTCGCCAAATGATAACTACTACCTACCTAGGTACCTACTGGATGCGGCTCGCCGGCCTCGAGTCTCCTAGTGCAGCACAAACCTTGCAAACTTTACGTAGTAAAAAGAGAAAAATCGTAGCGAAAGCCGCTCCGATAACATGACTTGTGGATGGTTCATACTCTTTCTTATTAGGGTCTGACCGCACTTTTGAAGTTACATGCGCGTTTACTACTTGGGTAAGCAGCAAGGCACCCTCCACTAATAAGCCGGGATAGTATCTAGTCAGCATGCGATGCGACGTCGTGCAACTTTCCTAATTGAGGAATCGTTTGCGTTACTTCTTATCGTATCTGGCAAACCCGGGCCAAGGTAGCGAGCGCACTACGCAAGTTGACGTGCTCGGAGATGGTCTCTATTCGGGTAAGGCCCTCCTCCGCTGCCGCCGATCCGGGATCTCCATAGCATATAATTCCCAACCTTGGCACACGTTGCTATCCGTCTTCTTGGTAACCGCATCGCCTCGGCCAAGAAAACATGAAGCTGCATTGGTTGTCCGTTGGTCTCTTGGCCGCCCTGTCTCAGGACGCCGGCGCATTGCAAGTAAAGCGTGAGACGACGACGACGACGACATCTCGGGATAAGCTTCAATATGGCGTCCACTACTTCGATCAGAAGATCAACCACTTTCCCGACAATGAGCTGTTCTCCAAGTCCAATCTGAGCCGTGGCACCTTTAAGCAGCGATACTACTTCGACAGCTCTTATTATAAGCCTGGTCAGTCCCAATGATGTATTATACTTGATGCATATAGAAATGTTAACTTCTATATAAGGCGGACCTGTTTACTTATACATCTCGGGAGAGACTAGTGGTCCTAGCAGGTTCTCGAATCTACAGACGGGGATTATCCAAATATTGATGCAGGCTACAAATGGCTTAGGTACGGCGCCTAATATAGACGGATAGAGTAAAGACCACGTCAAGATAATTAAGACTAACAAATGTCGAAGGTGTCATTCTTGAGAACCGTTACTACGGAGCTTCATACCCCTTCAAGACCAGCACTACGGATGAGCTACTCTTCCTCACCACAAACCAGACCATAGCTGATAACGCCTACTTTGCTCAACATGCCGTGTTCCCCGGCGTCAATGGAAGCCTCACCGCACCCAACACGCCGTGGATACTGTACGGCGGCAGCTTGGCAGGAGCTCAGACCGCCGCATCAATCAAAGTGCACGGGGATGTTCTCTACGGTGGCATTGCCTCCTCTGCTCCGATCAAAGTGAACGTAGGCTACCCCGAATGGTATAACCCCATCCAGAAATATGCTCCCCAGGACTGTGTTGCGCGGATCAATAAGATTGTCGACAACTTCGACCTCCTCGTGGCTAAGAACCACACCAAGGCGATCAAGCAGTTCAAGGCTCTGTTCGGCCTCGAATCTCTAACAGATAACCGAGACTTTGCAGCGGCTATTGCGGTAAGCTGCTTTTCTTTCGTGACACGATCCTCGACTCTGGCTGATCACTTAATTCACATAGGATCCTATAGGGAATCCTGGATTCTACCACTCGAATACGTGGCAGGAGCTGAATTGGAACTCTACCTACGGATCAAGAGACTTCTTCTACTTTTGTGGCAACGTTTCCGATATCGATCCTCCGGCAGAGCATACCCAAGTAGACTATGCCTTAGCGAATTACACCAAGGGCGAACCTTGGACGTAAGACTCTCTACAAGTCACCTTCCCCCGTCAAAGTATTGTTAAGTACCTAGGTAGCTGACGCCTTTTCCCTTGACAGCGGTCTCGGTAATTATGCCAATTACATAAAGCGGTATACCCTCCCGCTGTGCCCCTCAGGGGACTATAACAGCAATGATTGCTGGGTGAGTAGCCCTTCTATTCCCCCGTACGCATTGGTTACAAGCATGATATCACCCGTAGCTTACTCTCGTTATTATCCAGGGGACTCAAAACGCCACAGCATGGGCTAGCATAGAAAACAGCTCTACACGCTCCTATCTCTACACGAGCTGCATAGAACAGGTACCCACCCACCCACCTACCTACCTACCTACCTAACAACACATAACATGTAACTAACCGATCCAAAAGGGGGCGTACATCTCCGCGCCGAAAGAAGGCCCGTCCCTCCTATCCCGCGTCGTCGACACGGACTACGAGCAGCAATGGTGCCGCTGGGCGTTCCCGGCGGGGGCGTACAACGCGATCCCGGCGACGCCGGACGTGGACGCGTACAACGACTTCGGGGGGTATGAGTTCTCGGCGGACCGGCTGGCGTTCATCGACGGGGACCAGGACGTGTGGAACGACCTGTGCTACCACTCAAGCCTGGCGCCGCGGCGCGACCTCTTGTCGTCGTCGCCGGACCTGCACCCGGAGCTGCTGGTCGCGGGCGCCGGCCACCACTGGGACTCGTACGGGATCCTGGACGTGCGGGCCGAGCCGCAGTTTATCCGGGAGGCGCACGAGTGGGAGATTCGGACCGTGAGGAAGTGGTTGAGGGAGTTTGGTCGGTGGAAGGCGTCGAAGAAGCTGTGAAGAGATGTATATATATGGCGGGAGCTAGAGCTGGGACGACGGGTGCAAGGAGGTAGTATATTTCTAGTAATAGATGATGTTCGTCCCGTACCAGGTACCTATATGATTTAATGGGAAATAGCTAAAAAAAAAAAGGATATGAAGCAAGTATGATGAACTCGTCGTCACAGTGGTGGTGGGCCCTGCTTTCATGAGATTTGTATAGACCTCCTGAGTAGGGGCTAATTTCCCAATTTCAAGTGAAATTTTTACTCCTTGGAGTGTGTAACAATCTTTTCCGACATGTTCTGAAACAAGTAACTGATATACGTTATTTTCTTATGCGGCGAGTAAGAGGATTGGATGATATAAAACTCCCGTTAGGCATTTATACTGGTCTCATCTCTCTTAAACACCACGTTTCGTATGTTATTCGTTTGCTATCTGCTTGATCCTATCACGTAGATACTTACTATCATCTCGCCATCTCGCTACTTTAGAATTTTTATATTAAATATTAGATATGAATTAAGTGGTGGCGTTTCAAACGGTCTGGGAGGTAAATTATATCTCGTTGTGGAACTAATGAATGGGCGAGAACTGAAATACGAAGTACCTTACGTAAAGATTGTTCGACTTCCTAGGAAGTCAAATATCCCCACAATACGGATCCGTAGAGTAAACTAGCGACGTGATTGGTTGGATTGCTATTTGCGAGATGGTGTGTGAGTGTGTAAAACTAAGGAATATAACGCAAATTGTCTGTCTCAATTCTCAACAATTCCAAGGGCGCATGGCCTAATGGTAAGGCGTCAGATTTCGGTCTCCATGTTGATCTCTGAAGATTGCAGGTTCGATCCCTGCTGTGCTCGAGTTACTTCAAGCAGTTTCTTCATTCCAGAGTCCACTCTGGGATTTGTCTGTCCTTTTTTTTTTTCTTTCTTTCACTGATATTGTTCTGTATTTGACATTTCGTTATTAAGCTAAGCTTTACGTTCTGACAAATATTGCAATCCGTGGCTTCCTTTTTCTTTTTTCCTCCTTCCCTCTCGATGTTGTGTGATATGGGAATTGCCCCGCGTTTTGTGTTATCTACAAATGTAAGGGAGGCGGATAAAGAGAAAAAAAAAAAAAAAAGCGCGATGGCCGAGATCGGCCCACTAAAAAATTCCATTGCAAAGGGGACTTAGAGAGTCATGCCTTTAGGTTAGGTACTGACTGCCTGACTGACAAAAAAAAAAAATTGATGCCGGTTGAAGCCATGAGCTAAAGATTTTAGTGCATTCATCACCGGGTCCGACTTATACAAACAATGGAAAGGGTCCAATAGCGGAGGAATTGCTTCCAGTGCTTCCACACACATCGCATAAGATCCCTTGGCCGGTACTACCTGTTTCTGCCGGCAGTCATCTTACGTCCGGCTGGGGCTCGTAGCACTAGCTGTCCATTCTTTTCAACTTCCTGGGCATTGATCGCGTAGTTGAGCTGAGTTGAGTTGAGGTTGACTGAAGGGAATCGCATAATTCATATCCTTCGTTTCGAATCGCCATGTCCGCTTCTTTACCGGGCAATCGGGAGCTGCCCGAGTCGCAATATGATTTAAGCACGTATTGGGGTCGCGTCAAACAGACGGCTACGATTACAGATCCAAGGTATTATTATTACTTACTGGTTTCCAAATTCTATCTTACCGGTACACCTGAACGGATTCTCGAGATCGTTATGATACAAATTCCTCTCTAACAAGTATTCTCTTAAACGACAGGACCCTCTTCGTGGGATCGCATGGCCTTGAACATGCCAAAAAGCTGCTGGTTGCGTATAAGCAGGGCGAGATCAAGGACATGACGCCAGAGTTATGGAAGGCAAAGAAGATCGTGGACTCTACATTACATCCTGGTATGCTGCTAGTAATAAACTTGACATAATCGTAGTTTTGAACCGTCGTGTTGATTAGACTCTCTAGAAACCGGAGAGCCAGTCCTCCTACCGTTCCGGATGTCCTGTTTCGTGTTCTCGAACTTGGTCGTCACAGCTGGAATGCTCACACCAGGCTTAACGGTATGCGGTCCATCCTGTATTACTACTACTGCCTGCTGGGCAGAATCCGTTGGAAGAGATAACTTACCTGACCGTTATAACAGAACACAGGAACTGTTCTCTGGCAAATCGCCAACCAGTCGCTCAATGTTGCTATCAACCACGCGAACGCGAACAAATCAAACCCGCTCTCCTACTCCAAGATCGCCCAGTCGTATTTCCTCGCCGTCGGCGCATCGTGCTCCGTGGCGGTCGGCCTGAACTCCATCATCCCGCGGCTGAAGCGAATCTCGCCGTCGACGAAGCTCGTGCTCGGGCGCCTCGTGCCGTTCGCGGCGGTCGCGTCCGCGGGCGCGCTGAACGTGTTCCTGATGCGCGGGGAGGAGATACGCACCGGGATCGACGTGTTCCCCGTGCTGTCGGAGGCGGACAAGGCGCGGCTCGCGCGGGAAGGCAAGGCGGAGAACGACGTGCCGAGCCTGGGTAAGAGCAGGAAGGCGGCGACGCTCGCGGTCGGCGAGACCGCCCTCAGCCGCGTCTTCAACAGCAGCCCCATCATGGTCGTACCCCCGCTCATCCTCGTCCGCCTCCAGCGCACCCAGTGGCTCAAGCGGAACCCCCGCTACACCCTGCCCATCAACCTCGGCCTTATCCTCGGCATGAGCTTCCTCGCCCTGCCGTTCGCGCTCGCTGCCTTCCCCCAGCGCCAGAAGATCAGCGCTGACAGTCTGGAGGAGGAGTTCCACGGCCGCGGGGGGGATAAGGGGTTGGTCGTGTTTAATCGCGGGATCTAAGCGGAATCGTTTGGCGGGCGTTAGGTATTAAGGAAGCCGGCTGAACGAAGCGTTTCTCGTTCTCGGGGCCGAAACACACATCGAGGACGGCGAAAGGGAGAGACTGTGTTTTATTACTGCATAGCCAGGCTTTTGAGGAGGGAAAAGGAGGTGTGTTATGTAAGAGACGTCAAACGAGTATCACATAGTTTGACATCATGGGCAAGGGCATGGCATGGCAAGGCAAGGCATAGGTACCTAGCACCGAGTTATATATGACTGTGTGATGCGTCACGGACGAAACACATGGTAATCTAGTTTAGCTTCAGCTTAAGCTAGCGATCTCGATATTACCCGAAAGAATAAAAAAGAAATAAGATCAACCGAAAGAGGAGTCACGAAATGGAAACACACAGTAAAACATTGTATTAAGTAGCCCGTAGCCCGTAGTAGCAAATTTGCCTCCTTCAGGATGCAAGAGAAGGAAATTTGGTGAAATTGGGTATCCGGGTCTCGGTTTCGATCGTCAAACCGTCTTGGCGCTTTGCGTTCGTGACGCGAGCCCGGGGTGCCTTATTAGGAAGATGATATGTGCCTCGCCATGTTTTTTTTCATGGCGAGCCAGCAGGGTTTAGGAGGGGCAGAAGACCATGACCATGAACCATGGCCATTACCTATGTGTTGTTCGAATAATTGGGAATCCCTGGAGTACATACATGGCAGTATGGTGCCTGGCTAATATATCGAAATCTAGTAATAAATCTAAACACTACGTAGTGGACATGTCCTCCCATTCCACGAGGAGTCCATGCCTTGCCCTGTAGTTCACGCTACCTAGGTAGGTTAGGTTAAAGATCCTGATTTTATTTTTATTTTGTTTTTTTAAGATCTGCAGGTCTGAGCGCGACACAACTGTGTATCGTGTATCTAAGGTAGTAATAAGTGATGAGACAGGTACCTAGGGAATAGGAAACGTTGGAATAATTTGAAAGGGAAAAAAACAGAATACGAAAGTCATGTCATCATTGTCATCCATGGAGTTGTTATGAAGATGAGAGAGGGCTGTCAGACAGGCGGCACTGCTACGGGTCTGCCAAACTTACCTAGACAATGTCTCAACGGTCACTATTATTATGACCCTTCAGAGATGCTTTCGGTAATTGACAAGTCGCAAAATATAAATCGTCTTACGGGTAACAACCCTATCTGTCTACTTATCTATGTCCATATCCATATCAATCTGTCTCATTCGGATTACCTGGCGTGCGGATAAAATGCCCGCCTATTTTGATGACGAGGAGATACATAATATGCCAAACCCGGATTACCTTTTTATAGGTCTATTTATCTAGGCCAATGCCGCGGGAGGATTATATTTCTAAGTCGGCTCGGTCTGGGTTCCCGGTCTGGGAATTTTGCATACTGCTATTATAAACACTTAACCTAATGGATGGATGATGCATTGTTGTTGACAAGATTTGCGGCATCGAAACACAATACATAGTAACCGCTTGATGTTCGGCCGAAGGACCACTTACAACGCTCGGCTTCTTGTCGGATGCGGATGACTTCATTCGAACGTGGACATGCCTACTATGTAACTCAACCGCGTAGAGGAATGAATGGATGAATGCGTGAGAATTGGACATTGAAGGGATGTAGAGTAGGTAACATAATAACTTCTCAACCCGCCGAAATCCAAACCAGACCTTGCGAGTCATGATTAGATTAGTTATGTTGATTAATTTTATACGTAAGGTAAAGGATAACTTGGAGTTTTATTACTATTATAACTCTGAGCTGGACATAAGTTAGAGTTAAACAGTTCTATACACTGGAATGTAGCGGACGATTGTTAGCTCGGCTACAATAGTAATAAAGCCGTAAATTCGCATCGTACACCTGGTGTAAGCTAGGCCAGCGGTGGGTTCATTTTAATTTCTTACCTACCTGTTTCTCGTCAGATGAAAACGTTGGCCCGCTGTCCCGACTCCCTTGGATTGTAGCGTGGTAATAGGGAAGGGTTTCGTCCAGGTTTGTGGACGAATGATATTCCCTACTAAAAAAAGAAATACCTAAGAACAAAACGTCCGTGAGAAAATAATAAACTTGTTGTTATGAGATAGATGACCTTCCACTTAATAGACATGCTATGTAAATGAAGTACATGAAGAACTGGCTAATATTGCCAAACCAAGCACGCACGTCCCAGGTTGCCGGCTGACAATTGGAAGACTCACGTCGCTCAAATACAACATATGGGCCGATTATCCATAGACTAGGATTTGTGCTCAAGAATCATGGGATGCCACGCAGACAAGACAAGGAAAAGGCCTCTCTTCTGCTTACTTGTTATGGACAACCTGAGGGGACGGACGAAACGGGGACATGTTCCTTCAAATACATAGTAGGTAGGTCAGCCTGGCTGCCTGAACAGCAAAGGCCGGGGGATCCATTGAAATCGATAAGGCTGCAAGTAAAAAAAAATCGTGATACTACTACTAGGTGCAGCAGCGGCGTGGAACCGAGCCCAGACGAGCCAGGTCGTGTTGTACTGAGGTGAGGGGAAGAAGCTAATGCTGCAAGAGATGCAAGAGATGCAAGAGATGCATAGGCGACGCTAAAGAAGCAGGAGCAAGAAGCACACAAAAAGAAAAATTGGGTGAGCCAAATGTTTTAGTTACCAATAGTATGTGGCGATATTTGCCGCCTGCGCCTCGGGAGGTAGTGGTTGACGATATCGTTACCTCTTTTTTTTCTGCTGGCGGAGAAGGGGTGGTGTTTCTTTATTTTAGGGGACCTTGAATGGATCCGATGGAATATTGTTGTGTATGTAAAAGGGTAATGAGGTAGTATTTTCTGGAAAAGGGTCCACTGACCAACCAATCTAGGCGCAATCACTTCCCGCGTAGGAAAGGGCCTATTTTAGAGGAAAGAAAAGAAATCGGGGGGATACAAGCGAAACGAATTATGCTTGAGGAGAGAAAACAAAAAAAAAAACAGTGTTCAAAGTCAAGATCAACTTTTTTTTTTTAACTCTTTCTCCATCTTGATAAGCCAACAAGCCCTCGGACGTAAAAGATAAAAGAAGTTTGGCGCGGAGTGGCTACCGTTACGTACTTGTGGCTTTCCAAAAGGTGTATGCAAATCATTTTTAGTATGTAACGCGTATAACCTGAGGTATACCTTACACTTACATGGACATAATGATATAATAGACAACTGTCCACCATTCAGAATTTTTGGAGAGGAAGATTGCAAAAATATAGAAATGGACTGGACGTTAGCATAAGTAGGTAAGTACGTGTAAGTGAAGTAAAAAGGTTGCCGTATCGACGACGGGAAGAAGTCAGCAATAGGAGATAACCCTGGAGATTTTAATATCCGTTGCCCATGATACCTGATTTCAGGTACATCAGGTACATATCATCCAATGTGAGATAATGTTGTTTTTAGTGCCCGCTTAGGTAACCTTGGAATTTGGCACTCGGTCGTCGGAGGCAATGGTAAGACGAAAACAGTAAGATAATGGAGATCATACACTGTATAAACTCCACGGGTTACCTTTCGAAATCTGAGAAAGCCCAATCTCTGGCTCCTCCCCCATACCGTGCGGGGAGAGAGGTTTATTAATCTATTGCTATTGGGGTATTTGTGGTGACAAACCTTTTAATACACAGGTAATAAATGTACGTAGTGTAGGTATTGTACTTACCTAATGTACATTTGACCTGTAGCATAAGTAGGTACCTCTTAAGATAGCGGGCTAAGGGCTATGGATTGACTTTGTAATAATAGCGTGGTAATAAGTAATTCCTGGGGCGAATTAGCAGAGGAGAAAGACCCACCGATTACTTCATTCTCACCATACAGCCTAACATCGTGGGCAAGGTCCGAAACAGTAGGCAGACCCGTGAATCCGTCATGTATCCCTATGTACATACTGTATCTGCATTTTGTCAACCACATGCCTGTCACTGCCCTGTAACTGCTGTAATGTACCGCCTGTATTGTACACCTAAGTAACCAATTGTTATGAGGTATTGTATTGTACAATGTCTATTCACAGCTGTCATCACACAGCCTAGTGCATTATGAGAACCCAAGAGTGAACTCCTACGCAACCACCTCATCCTGCATTGCGGCAATGCAAGATTTCATTCACAATTCACACTCGAAACTAGATTTCTCTCTTCTTTTCTTTTTTTACTTTGGATCTCCTTGAGGCATCAAGAGTTGATATTACTCATTCTTATCTTCTAAAGGTACCTTCGACAAGTATTCTTTTCTATTATTATGATTGTTTTTATTGTTCTTCTTAGTGTAACCTGTTAACACGAATACCATGTCCAATTCCAGTCACCTGTAGCCTGTACATCCGTCACAGGTTCTTCTTATTATCCTTCGAGCTGCAAGAGCTACTACCAACCATCAACTGCCAACCGTCAACAATACTCTACCGAACAAGCATCCTTAAAAGCTTCGATATATAAAGACATTGATTACGTACACGTTTATTTATATACATAACAGCAAACGAGAAGACATAACAATTCCTAATACGCCCTTACCTTAAGGTAGCTACTCGTACTTACAACTTGAACCTTACAATTTGCGATAACGATACCACCCTCGGCTACCGAAGCCCCGACCTTGGAACTCCCGTCTCTATCATAGAGGCTCTATGCCACGGACCAGAAACAAACCTTTGAGGAGGAAATAGGGAAAAGAACAAGAGATACTAAGATTCGTTGGGAAAACATTTAAAAATAATTGTTCGCTTTGAATTGCGAAAGCCTACAACCTTAGATCTATTCGTACCTTCGTACCCACGCTGCTACTCAAGTACCTAGGTACCCTACGCAGGTAAACAGAGCCCTGGAGGTTACCTAGGTACCTTAGGTACCGTACCTACTTGTCTAATTGGCGCTGCCAAACCTTGGAAACTCAGCTTACAGAATCGGTCGCGGCGGCTGCGATTCCCTCAGCACATTGCTGGCCACTGTTTTAAGAGCGTTTTTAATTACCTAGGTACCTACTCTGGGTTTCGCTGGGGGTTAATAATCATTAGGTTAGGCCCAACGCCGCCTAATAACTTACCTAACTTACAGCGTCGACAAGTGCTTTTTCCAAACCTGAGAAACCCTTAAAGGTCAGCACAATTAGCCCCGATCAGCCACGAAACAGCGAAAACAGCGAGACTGCAGCGGGAAAAAGTACCTGCACTAAACCCCCAGTACAGTGCTGTACGCTTGGAAAGTGCACACGAAACAATTCCCAACCATTCCAATCCTAGACTCTCTCTCTCGCTCTCTCTCTACGAGAATCTTTCATCTCTTCTCTCTTACAATTTCTTGATATTGGAGTAAAATGTCAACGCCGACTACTGCAACGGCAACACTCCCTCCTCATTATCGTCATCACCACCACTCAGCTCATCACTACCCGCCCTATTCAAATTTACAGGGCGGAGTTTCGACGTATAGATCAGTTGCTGGTGCTACTTCTGCAAACCCTATCCTCCCCACCCCGGCTTCGACTGCTTCGACTGCCTCGACAGCGACGGTCTCTACTCGGCACCACGTCGCTCCTTCGTCATCTGCTTATACTACTAGTAGTAATTCATCTTACACCACAAGTCAAACAAGCCAAACAATTCAACCTCCTACAAATGGAGTAACCGCATCAGTAGCCACAACGAGACAAACCAAAGATTCACCAAGATCCAATTCTACTCCTCGGTTAGATTCAAATCACACCAATATGCCTCCCTCGGTCGCCTCCGTCTCCGCTACCTCCGCTGCACACTCCTTCGCCGACAGTCAACCGAGAAAACGTCGGCGTTCTAAGGAACCGGATTGGAAGAATTTCTATAAAAATGGCTTACCAAAAGAAGTCATTGTAATACATGACACGCCCGAACCGGAGGAAAAGAAGCATTCGGTCGCTACCGTGTCACGAACATATACGAATGGTGGTGGTGGTGGAAATGACACTACCACTCGTCATGCAGCCAAGAGACGAAGAAAGGACGAAGTTGTTCAAAATGATGATTTATACGAACCAAGTGTAAATGGTTCTTACCAGCACACCTCCACTAGCGGTTCTACTTCTACCGATCGCACGACGTCGGCCCATAACACTACAGCTGCTACTTCGCTTGGGTCGCTGTCTTCGAACAGTCAATATGACTATGAAAGTCACAATACTGGTCAGAAGAGGAAGAGGACCAGGCAACAGATTGCTCAGGAAGCAAAGAGACGGGAAGTTGAGGTTCTCGGTGATACCTTCGTCGCATACCGCCCTCCTCAGAAGCCTGTCAAGAAAGCCGGTGATGTGACTGTTAGGGTTGTTAATGATGTAAGCGATCTCCAATTCTCGCATCTGTGCGTAACGATTATTAACGTTGGATGTTTTTTGTTTTTTTAGCGTTCCAACCAGAGCGGTGCTCGAGTTGACGACGACGACGGTCATTATATTGTTGTTCCAGATGCTGATCTCACAAATCAATGTACGTTCCTCCTCCTTCCTCTCCATATCATGTTAATATCATGTTACTTATCTAATATATGATCAGATCAAATGATAAAATTGTTGGGTCAAGGCACGTTTGGCAAAGTTGTTCAGGCTCGTGACCGCAGAAGAAACAAGTTGGTCGCAATCAAAATTATCCGAGCCGTGCAGAAGTACCGAGATGCCTCTAGAATTGAGCTTCGTGTTCTTCAAACTTTGAAGGCAAACGACGAGGAGAACCGGAACCGATGTATACACCTTCGAGACTGTTTCGACTACCGCGGACACATTTGTATCGTGATGGACTTACTGGGCTCAAGCGTATTCGACTTTCTTAAAAGCAACAACTTTGTTCCTTTCCCTAACAGTCAGATTCAAAGCTTTGCTCGACAATTATTCACTAGCGTTGCCTGTAAGTTCACCTTGTCGTCGTACTATCGAATTATTACTAATTGGTCACAGTCCTTCACGATCTAAACCTCATCCACACGGATTTGAAACCGGAAAATATCTTACTTTGTGACAGCGCGTATCAAACGTTTACTTACAACCGTAGGATACCTTCGTCGTCTGCGGGCGTAAGTCGACAGGCTACTCAGCGCAAGGTCCTTCTTGACACTGAGATTCGGCTTATCGATTTTGGATCTGCAACATTCCAGGATGAGTATCATTCGTCTGTTGTTTCGACTAGGCATTACCGTGCACCCGAGATTATACTTGGGTTAGGCTGGTCTTTCCCCTGCGACATTTGGAGTATTGGGTGTATATTGGTCGAGTTCTTCACCGGGGACGCTCTCTTCCAGACGCACGATAATCTCGAGCATCTTGCTATGATGGAGAATGTTTGCGATAGTCGCATAGATACTCACCTCGTGCAGGCCGTCAATAAAATGGCTACGCGAAGCACAGGCAACGCCGCATCCAAGTACGCCTATCTTTTTTTTTGTCTTACGTTGCTAACACGGTTTCGCTAACCCATATAACAGATACTTCAAGCGATTAAAATTAGATTATCCTACTGCGGAAACTACACGAGCGTCCAGGCGCTTTGTAAAAAACATGAAACGGTTAAGTGTAAGACTTTGATCCTGGTTCATTGTCCCCCCGCCGCATCAGTCACTGACATATATTAGGATATCATACCGGCTTCAAGTCCCTTTCTTAGATCCTTCTTGGATCTCCTCCAGAAGATTTTCGTTTACGATCCGGCGAAACGAATCACGGCTCGGCAAGCTCTTGAGCACGAATGGTTTCGAGAGCCAGCTATCCCAGATGATGGCACTGAGGCGGCGAAGATTAGGTTAGAACGTATGAGAGAGCACGAGTACCATCGAGGTCCGGTTGCGGGTTAATGGTAATGGGATAACGATTCCTCTATATTCCGATGACACGGTAGTGATACCTAGGCGAACCTGTATATTTGGAATGGATTTAGGCCTAGCATACAGACAGACATTGCAGCTACAACTTGCAATTCCATTTGCTTGGGCAACGGTTAGGAGGGTAGGGCGTTCGGCCAGCATTTTGTGCTAATAGTTTTCATGGCATTGAGCATACGTTACATGAAATAGTCTATAACCTCTACGTCACCGTAGATGGGGCGACTTGGAACGTTTACTCAAATATAGATCCCAACTCTGGGGAGCATTCCATGTTGCGGGAGACCCGACATTCTCCGCTTAGTTGCTGGACGTGAGTTTCAGAATGTGTGAGCTTCGGTATACTTCAGCATAGATACCCGAAAGAGAAAGAAGTCACGCTGGTTGTTTGTGGTTTAGTAGGATAGTACTACTTTGTGAGTCTACCCACTCAAAAGCTCCCAATCTTTGATACTAATCACAGAAAGGTTGAAGGTTAAAGGCAGCGTCATGGGTTTCTTTGAACATCGTGTCGATCTTAGTCGATCCTAGCCGAGCGGCCGCCAGAATAATGTCTTTGTCCTCTGAACAACTAGTCGCCGATTTACCTATTACGGAACAAAAGAAGTATTTACAATAGTAATCAGATGGCCTGTCTCACAAATACTCGAGGGTTCGCGTGGATGTTGCCTGTCTCGTTTAACTTGCGAACAATGCTTGAAAATCCAAAGTACATAGAGTATCGATACTCCGCGATCAGTTTGCGACCACGATTGGTTCCTCGATTTCTACGAGGCTATTAAATACCAGGCACGAAGTGTTAACTATCAAATTAGATCCCTTAATATATCCTTTTAAGATATTAGAGATACACATCAGGGATGAGCATCGACTTAGATCACCCGTCGAGCGAGAACGTCGCTCACCTCACGAGTCTCCTCTCCCGACGACCCGAGTATGGAATTGCAATTCCGTCGAGGAGATGGCTAAGCAGGCAGGAGGAGAAAATAAGGAATATTCCAGAGGAATTGCTTAACAATTCGAGTCTTCTGAAGCGTCTTTTCATAAAGATCGCTGACAGAATCGACCCGGAATTGATAGACCCGAGGGCTGTGCTATGCAAGACGCATTCCGCTCTCAACCCCTGGCTTATACGTTGCTTCTTCTTAGCCGTCGCTTATGAAGTAACGGTTCACACGGACCTGCTACGCTCGTGGAAAGGCAGGATGGATTACCCGATTCTTTCTAGCTTCGCTGGCCGAGTAGACTCGATTGCTGCCTTGTGGACAGAGCCAGACCTATATTCCGAATGTTATGGAACACCACCCTTCGAGGGCCACCTGATCTTCGTCCAGTCTGGCTGTGAGGCTTGTATTCTCAGTGCTATGGGTGCTAACGCTCGTGTTCTGGCTGACTTGCGGACAACCCTTATCGACCGAGCCGAGAGGCGTCCACCGCGCCCCAACGGGCGCCGGGCTAGGGCACCAAAACTGAAGCGCTACGTTGATGATTGGATCAGCCAACTTACAGAAGAGAGAGCGACAAAGTGTATAGCCATGAGCGACAGCGTACTTAGCGAGCTCAGGAACGTGCGACCTCAACTTAAAGAGTGGCGAGCCCAAAGGAGGAAGAAACGGAGCAAAACCAAAACGGTCTATACCGAATTAAAAAAGACAAAAGATGGCGGAACCGAGTTGAAGTACGTCGCAGATAATAGACGATACAAGAGGAGGACCAAGAATGGTATTCCCGTGGCCGTAGCTGACCTAGAGGGTGCGGAAGACCAGAGGAGGGCTGCGTTGTTTAGCTTGAAGGACAACGTGAAAAGCGTCTACAGGCCTGATAGCATGAGCCCCTACTCGCAATTTGGTGGATCTGGTGGCCATCACGACGTAGCAAACGCAAGTGATGCATTACCGCTCCTTAACGACGAGAATGACTTATCAGATGATTATGAAGACGCAGAAGACTTCGACGATCTGGATGAGCTGGAAGACCACCCAGACCTCGACCGTGACTTGGAGGCGGAGGAAAGGAGCAGGCAAAAAGTAGCAAACTGGTACTCTTCTCAGGTGTTGAAATTGGATTTAACACAAGACGATACCAAGTCGGTTTTGTCCATGGCCCATCCTGCCTTCCGACCTCCGAATGAGTTCAGCCATCTCTCGGCTGCGCCGTCGCCCCTCAATATAAGGAGGGACCGCCCGCGTAAAGCACCGCCCGCCGGTGCTACCGACAGCGTCTGGACTGACGTAACGGTGTATACGACGGACAACCGCGCCATAAACACCCAGTCGGACGTCCCGCCTATACCGCGGGTCCCCTCGAAGTACAGACGCGACAGCGCGAGTCGTAATAGCAACAATATCGAGCGCCCTTCGCCGTCTGGTAGGCCCGCTACCGCCTCACTTCATCCCCACTCGGCCCTGAACGTAAGACAATCGGCCAGCTCGTCGGTGTACTCGACGGACCGGTCGCGACGGGACGAGGGAAACACGTATACGAGGATTTCTCACTCGAGATATAACGGGAACGGCTCGGCGGGGAATAGGGATACGCAAGGGTACACTGCTGTCCTGCCGAGCCGAAGCCGCTTCTTTGCCTCGACGGCGCTCGACTGGCCGTCTTCCGAGCCCGAGAGCCACGAGCGGAACCGCCGCCGCAGCCACGGCCCCAGTTATCATGGTAGTCAGAGCCAAGAGCACGGCGGTGGTAGTAGTAGTCGCTATCGCAGTCGCAGCCGACCTAGTCGCGCCCGCAGCACTACTACTGCTGCTACGACCACGGCCAGCCGAACGGAGTCGTCGCGGACCTTAGTGGCGTCGCCTTCCGAACAGGATCGGGAACAAGAAAAGGAGCGGAAAAAGGAAGACCGCGCGTGGAAGGATAGCTGGGGGATCCGGCCCGAGGACGAGGACGACGGACTAGGGCCTGAGGACTCGCATAGCGTTGCCTTCTGGCGGCAGGCGAGGTGAATGTGCGTGCCTACTTTACCTAGGTACCTCCTATATATAGTTCCATTACGAAGATTGTCCAGCGGGGTGGGCTTGTTTCGCGTTTATATTCCCGTTTGTATGCGTAGTGCCTACTCGTACCTACCTAACTTAACCTACCCTACGTACAGGTAGGTGTATATAGCAATAGCTGGCGGCCTGGGTCGAGCGGGCGAACTACCTGAGGTGAATGCTCAGGTTAGTAGGTACGTACTAGATAGCGGGACGAAACGAAGCGGAGCGGGAACGGTTCTGGTCGAGGAAATCTGCTTATGAGATAGTGCTAATACACGAAGAATAGAATGCATATCTGTTGATAATACATGTGTGTGTATGAGAGAGAGAGACAGGTCTTATGTGTTTTGAAGCTGTGATAATAACTTATGATTAGTTCGGGGCCGTGGGATCTCCTTATACTTACCTCTTACTGCATACCTTAAGTACCTACTTGATGTTATAGCGAATCTCGGGGGACTTTGCTCGAACAACCCTCTACCGAGACACCTGAGGGTATAGATTAGATTCGGATTGTAGGGCGCTTTTTTGCGTTCCCTCTTTTTCTTCTATATATACAGAGAGAAAGAAAGTAGGGTATAGACGAAAAGAAATGGATCGAGGGTATAATTCAGAAGTGATCTTAACAGGAAGTTTGTGTCATCTAAACCTCAATGCATGGGGGAAAGGGACGCGTGCGTAGTCGTGTCAAGAGTATAACTAGGAAGATTCATGCATGTTAGCTGAATCCTGAATCCCATCGAACGAATAATAATCGTACAGCAGCAAGCATATTTCCAACTAACCCGGCTTAGTTGGTTGGTACCTAGGTATGGTCTGATCTCAAGCCAGTCAGTCAACAAACAAACAACCAAACAAAACAAACCGCCGTGGAAAAGAACTAGCTACCTGCCTAGGTAGTTAACCAGTAGAGAAAATCGATCTACCTCAACTAGCCTGAAGTGAGTTAGAGAGGTTTAGGTTAGGTACCTACCTACCTCTAAGGTATTTTTCCTCTGTCGTAACCGGCGCTGTGCTCTTTTTTACGATACTGGATGAGACACCGGGGTTGGTCGGATAAAGAACACGTGATCGCGAGGCACGTTTGTTCTCGGGCGATGTTCATGATACGCATGGGGGATAAAGGATTGTTTCTTTTCGAAGTATATGTACCTAGTATATAGGAGGTACCTAGGTTAGGTATAGATAGGTGTTTGTGCGAGTTATACTACAGTATCAACTCCGTGTTAGTTGTACGTATTTGTTACCAAGTATTTGGACGATAGAGGCCTGCGTTATTGGTGTGTCTCAAGAGGGTAATAGTATCAATAGTTCTTGGGGGAAAGGGGATGTCTGTCTGAGGTATCTAACCCATGCGTGCCCTAGTCTCTTCATCTGGGTCTGAATAGCTTCAGCTGGGGGGAGGAGGGGGGCTAGAATAACATCGTTCCAAAATGCAGTCTGTTGAATTAAGTCATCACCACAATCTCAAGCTTGCCGATATAAAATTGTTGGCCCTCAGGCAAGATATACCTGCCATGGATGGATATTACATCGAACGTCTTTAGGTTAAAACTACAATTCACAACTTACGTAGTATGTTTAGGAACGTGTCCTCGATTGCAGAGATCTCAGGAACTAGACCCTTGTCTCTCTCTCTACAAGTATGAGCAATAAATAACATTCATTAGCATCCTTCGAACCATAGAAGCACAAGCTACCTCATACAGCGGTAGCAAACAAACACCACCTAACAGCATAACACGGGACTCGAATGAATTTCTTTACGTGAACTCCCTCGCCTAAGACCTTATACACAGGACCCGCACCGCACCCCCTACTCCTTCAGCTCAGCTCCACGTCGCTTACCGACTTTCCGTCAACAAACCTTTACCTCGGTGCCTGGCCTTCGACGAAGTCGAGCGCCTGCTCCCTGCTCACGCAGTTGATGGTGCTGTTCTTGTTGCGGAACAGCACGCCGTAGCACCGGTCGGCCACGTGCACGATCTCCGGGCGGAAGGTCGTGCAGATGAACTGCGTGCCGGCCTCGGCCGAGATGGACTGGAGGAGTCCCGCTACCGCCGTGCGGTACTGCGCGTCGAGATTGGCGTCGACCTCGTCGAAGATGACCATGGGGCTCGATTCCGTCTGCTGCAGGGCGAAAATGAGACAGAGAGCGCAAAGACCTATTATTTCGTATGCTCGTTAGTCAGGGGTGTAACTGATATGTTACGTTGGAAAAAAAATTGTTAACTTACTCTTTTGACCACCCGAGAGCTGCTGAATACGCTGCTGCTCGTCTGCAGTCTTGGAATTGAAAGAGACGCTGATACCGACGCCTATGTAGTTCTCCACGCGGCTTCTCTGTTCCTCGTCAGAATCATCCTGGTCAGCGCGTCGATCGGCTCTGCGCTGAATTACTAGACGGCCGTGGCCTGCAGGTACCAGACGCTGGAAGATGGTGGTGAATTCCTTCGACACCTGCTTGAAAGTGCGTTCGATCGCCTCGTCTTTGCGCTGGTCTAGGTGAGCAACTAGCTCTTCGATTGACGCCTGAGATTGATCGAGTTCCTTGCGTCGTTTGAGTAGCTGCTCTTGCTGGTTGGTAAAGCTGTTGTATTGCTCGAAAGCTTTCTTGTTGACATGCTTATACTTCTTTAACGCGTCGTTGACCTTCTTCAAACGTGAAACAACCTGTGATGTAAAAATTAGCTGACAATGTGCATGTTTATTGAGAAGAGGGTTGGACATACGGTCTTGTGATCGAGTCTCTCGTATTTCTCAAAAGCTTCTTCCGGCAAGACACCGAGGTCTCGAATGTTCTTGGTCAGCTCCGCCGCTTTTGCTGTTAATAGAGCCTTCATTTGCCTGGCCCTGTCCATCTTCTTCTCCTGTTTCTTTATTTCTCTTGCAATCTCCTGGAGTTGTGCTTCCTTCTCGTTTTTTTGTTTTTCTAGGCTCGCTATCTGAGATTCGGCAGATTCGATCTGTTGATCGTTGGCCTTGATCTTGTTCTGAACTGATGCCATCGCTGTCTGTGCCTTCTTAAGCTCTCTCTTGGCTTCTTTCAAGTTACTGGTACCACTGGAAGCAGTTTCGGACGCCTGACTAGTGAGCTGATCGAGCTTGAGTTGGAGATTTGTTCGCAGGTCCAATTCCAGTTTTCGCTTGCGACTTTCAAGCTCTCTCCGCTTGTTGCTTATCTCGTTCCATTCTTTCTGTAACTGTTGAACCTGGGCACCGAGGCTCTCGAGTTGCTTCTCCTCGTTAGCTGTCAAGACCTTCTTAAAGTCAGAAGCCAGCTCAGCTTCATATGCGCTGAGGTTGTCCTGGAACTGCTTCATGTTCCTCTCGACAATGTCTCGCCGTTTGATTGCAGCTTCAAGTCGATCTCTTTCGCGATCGACCTGGTTATTCTTGGCATTCAATTCTGCTCGCAGCGGACCGTAGCCATCTTCCATTTGCCGGAGTCTCTGCGCTAGCCTACGCTCTTCGCCTAATGCGCTGGTAATCTCCTGGTCCTTTTGCTCTATTTTCTTCCGTATGTCATTTGCTCTAGACTTTAGTTGGTCACATTCTTCTCTCCACTTGTTCACGGCCCGGACAGCTTCCAAACGCGATTTCCGCGTATCAATATATCCACCAGTCACTGCACCACGCTTGTTACTGGTATCTCCGTCTGGAGTAACACCATGTACACCATGGCTTCGCGCGTATTGACTGGCGATTGTGAGGTTGGGACAAATGATTGTGTTGCCAAATACTTGCTGGAACGCCTTCTCGTATTCGGCGTTGTACTTGATCTTGCTGAGCAAAGGGACCGCATCATTAGCTCTTGGAAGGTTTGCAATCCGTGGCCTTAATCTGGAAAGTGGCATGAACGTAATTCTTCCCCCCTGATGTTTCTGAAGCATGCTGGCCAGATATGTCGAAGTGTCGTCGTTATCGACTACGTAGTGGAACAAAGAGGCACCAGCGACCTGCTCTACCGGTAGTCGATACGCCTCGTTAACTTCAAAGAGCTCAGCGAGCGTGCCGTAGGCACCGGGAATACCTTCCTTGCGTTTTAGCTGTTGTATATATGCAAGACCCCGAGAAGTGGCACGGTCCATGGTGTGGGATAGTTCCCGCTCAGCACTGTCCAACTCGCCTTGAGCATTTGCAATGATTGTCTCCAACTTGTCGTCCTCTCGGCGGAGTAATTTTCGCTCTTCGCTGAGCTTTTCCAGGACATCTTTCGCGTTGGCGACTTCTTCGGCGAGAGCGAGGCGCTCGCCGCCAAATCTTTCATTTCTATGTCGCAGTTCCGCGATCTCATTTTCAAGCTGCTGGATAGTGGCCTGAATGGTTTTCACTTCTTCATCAGCATCGAGACGATTCGCTCTTTGCTGGCTTAATGCTATGTTGAGTTCATCTATTTCTTTTCGCAACCACGCATCCCGCTCTGCTTTGCTTTTGAATTGGCTTCCTCTTGTCTGCTTTGTAAAGAGGCGCTGCCGTCCAGCTTCCGCCGTGTCCAGGGCTTGTTTTATTTCTGCCTCTTTCTGCTTTGCCTTCTCAAATTCGGGAGTTAATTTTTTGAGTTCAGCTTCCCTTTGCGCTATCGTCGCCTTCACCTCTTCCAGCTCTGCGTCATGCTGGGACCTGGCTTGCTCCTGAGCTGACATGCTGTCTGATAAACTCTTGACAACCAATTCGGCATTTGCCATTGCCTTGGCAGTTTCTCGGCGGTCTTCGTCGAGCTGCCGACGGTCTATACGAAGTAGCTCCATTTGCTGTTGGAGCTTATGTATTTCGGCATCCAAAGTAGTGATGACTCTCATACCCGCATTGTACGTTTCGCGATTCTCGTCCGTATTCTCGATGCCACCTTGACGCGTTTCTTCTACTTCTTCTAGAGCCTCCTGCGTAGCGACTTGGTCCTTGTGATAATACGCGTACTCCAAGCATCTACGCTCACGATCCTTGTCCTGGTAGTCGCGCAACTCCTCCTTCTCTTCCTCTAGTTCGCTTAGGCGTTCCTTAATATAATCCAGCAGTTCGTCGATCTTCTCTCTCTTATTATTTGTTTCCGTCATTATCTTAAGTGATTCCGCACGGCGGGATTCGTAGACTTGGGTTCCAGCAACTTCCTTTAGTAGATTTAACCGATCCGACTCTTTCATATTGGTGAGGGCTGTGACACGTCCCTGTGGTACAATATAGTAAGGGTTCGACCTCGAGAATCCGGCGGCGTCGAGCAGGTTCGCGACATCTGTTTTGGTCGAAACCTTTTTATCTACTGAGTATTCGTCCTTCTTGAGACCAATTGTGCGGCGCAGGACGACCTCCTTATTTCCAGTCGGGAATCGGTCATCGCTATTATCGAAAATTACTTCGACGTAAGCAGACATGACTGCCGATCCGGAGCCTTCATGTAGTAGCGCCTGACGCTCCTCGCGATTCATTTGGGTGTAGGCGTCACCTAAGACGAATCGTATCGCGGCAAAAAAATTACTCTTTCCAGAGCCATTACGACCGACGATGACATTCGTACCGGGAGAGAAGGGCTCCATGACCGTTTGGTCTTTGTAGCTGCATGCGTATTAGTATGATAAAAACCGCAATCTATCGCGGGTTGTGATGGCTTGTTAACGCGCACCTCTTAAAGCCTTGTATGATAATCTGCTTTATGTACATGGTCGCCGTGGGCGCTGCCTATCGGGCAGCTCGAATTAAGTGACAGGATATTTGACGCAGGAGAGTCGTAAAATTAAAAAAAGAAAAACAAGAATGAGGGCTACAAAATTTGCGATAACGTAGCCTAGGAAAAGTTCGTTAATGTTCGTCAAACCTCGAAACCAACACGTAAAATGTAAAGCCGACGCGTTTTCGAGCGCGGTGATTTCTAGGGTGGGGGGGGAATTGAATTTAGGCGGGCTCCTTCTCTAGAGAGCTGCAGCTTAGCTTCAATGCTAGCCGCACGCTTCTAGCGTTTGTTTAGGCGGGTTAGTAAGAAACTGCTCAGATTGTACATCTTTGTATGTACCTAGGTATTGTACATATGTACAATGTAATGTACCGGTTGTAAGCTTGGAGGTTGTGGCTCTGGTGGCTTCGCAGTCACATGTTTCAGGGATGCACAAGGACGCTTAGGGATGCTTAAGGATTTGAAGATACGGAGATCCGGTGTCAATTCTTTGTCTCAGGCTCTTTTACCATGTTCCCTCTTTATTTCGGTCATCGGATTGTTCAACACCATGATATTCCCAACTTCTTAAGACCACCAAAAATATTACCTAAGTATTGTATGAGGGGGCATATCTAATGGCCCTATAAATTCATTGGGTATAATGCTGTTTCTCATCGTCCATCATGAATTTCATCACCGGAGAGGTATGTAATTAAGCTTCAATGAACCGTGTTTGATGCGGTCTAATACCTAGTAAGTGAAATAGAATACCGGTACCTACATCCATGCACATTTCGGCACCGGGTGGTTGCTGGATCAAACCAGGCCGTGTTTACTAAGTACAGTATCTAGGTAGTTAGTTATCCTTAGTGAACCGCAATTAAAAAAAAAAGGATATGATATGAATCACCTATTAAAAAGCCAACAAGAGCACAAGCGGTTGTCATCAGAGTTCGATTCTATGCGATTTTAATGCACTTTGAGATATTTCAAAACAGCCTTATCTACAGCTGCATTATTTCCCTTCCTTTACTGGCCGGATACTCGCATACTACTCGAAGTCATGGCTATGTGCATTGTGATAGGTACCTAGGTAGGCACCGGCATAAGCAGTGAATTATTGATAAGTAGACGCTCTGAACGCTTTGTCCCGGCTGCCCGGCTATGCTTACCTTTTAGATCTAGGAAGCCTTGTGTAAGGGGACACGCATTCATCGGTACCATGTAGGTAGAGGCAGCAAAAACTCCGACTCAAGAGGATCTCTCCTGTAACTGGGCTGTAGATACTTGAGGCGAGTGCGACGTAATCACCGCTCTGTGCTCACAGATTGGAAGTTTCATCAAGCTGTAACAGGAGCTCAGGCTGGTTAGATGGATATCGCGATGTGCAAATTACTACTAGCTCCAAAATATGCAAGTTGACTTCCACATTGGTGCTTTGATCGCCCCGTTGCAACCCCCGGGCAATTTAGTAGATCGTGCCAAGCTTGCGGCACAGAAACCGTAGGCTACCGAACCTGTCAATACCGACTGCAGGGCACCTAGGGTCTACTATATAAGATGATGATGAAGAAAATATGTGCCTGTTGACAACGATTTCTGGCCATAGAGAAGTAAGGAAAGGGAATAAGCCGTCTACAAGATAATCGCTATCGCACGGGCAATAGAAGCCAGTTTAGATGAGTGTTCTAGGTATATCACGTCTTCTAAATCCCTCTTCAGGGTCGCAGAAATGAACACGTATTTGGAAGTCAATATTTGTAGGTACGTAGGAGTTTGTAGACGCCAAGAAACTCGTCATTCCAACAAGCCACCATATTTTTTTCAAACAGTGGGGCTACTACGGTTTTATCCACTAGCGCGCAGCCCGGTTGAGCTAAGGAATTAAGCGAGAAGGGACGCACTTGGACTGGCAGACTGCCCATCATTGATAGACTGGTGAACTAGGTACCATGTACATAGTACACGATGCAGGACAAGAACATGGCAGAAGATCTTGGTCAACTTTACCTTACCTAGCATCTAATGCTAACGCGTGGGGGAAGAGTTTGCTACAAGTAGGTAATCTGGAAGTAAGAACTAACATATTATATAATACTGCCATCTCAAAAGAAAGTTATCCTAAAGGGGATCTTTATAGAACGGGGACATTTGTAGCCATCATCATGCTGTAATACAAGTACCTAAATACACCACAAGAAGGCGTTGGGAGAAAATATATGTCTTTTCACGGTGGAAGGTTGAATGCGTGGACTTGAGCTTATTTCGAGGCTATCACACCTGACTCAAGTCAATTCAGCTGCTGACAGCTGGTAGTAACTACTAAACTAGGTAAGGCGTGGATCTTATGGTTGGAGCTTAGACCAACAAGGGCCCCCAAGGCAGATCAAAACGTGTATAAAAGTATCCTTACATACAGGAATATTAAGGAAGCCGGTGCCCTCATCTGCGACGACTTGCTACTGCTGCACATCCCGCCATATTTTTCTGACAGGCACGACAGACCCCGGCCACCCCAATCCGCCCAACTTAAGCAACCTAAGAACCTAAGCAAGCCAAAACTGCCATAAAAAAAAAAAACCCTTAGTCAACCAGAAGGCGTGCACGCGCCACCACACAACAGATAATTCTAACATAGCAACCACCTATTTTCGCCTATACCATCTTTTAGGTTTAGGTAATTATTTCGATTACCAAACTCGAACAACGATAAACCCATACAGCACGATATAATTTATTCAATTCGGAAGTATTCTTAGGTTATCCTTAATGCTTGCGGCTTAACTTTTTTTTAATTCTTTATAAAAGAAAAGTTCTTTAGTCGTTCGTCTATCCCGCTACAACGAACGAACTTAGTTGCCGCATCGCTGATCGTTAGCATCGCGATACAACCTGCAGGGTATGTGCCTTTCCTTCTTTTTGACCCATATATTCTTTCATTCTCAGTTCTTGATTTACACGCTACCGCTTCCACTGCCGCTACCGTTACACATAACCTTGCACACACTTCGCTCTTGTGCATATACCACCACATACGCTACAATCTCTTATTGGACTTTGGTCTATTATTACCGTTATTGCCCATCTTAGTCGTTTCCACACTCTTGCCAATATAAGGCATCATAGCGTATAGAAGGGACCATGTTACTACGATTTGGTGATGGTTTCCTTCAAGAACGCTTTTGAACCAATAAGAAAGAACAAGTGTTTGCTTCAACCCGATTATCCCTGGAGAAGTGCAGGGATGCTTTCTTTTTTTTTTTTTTTGAGACCTTGTCACGGTAGGAAACAACAAATGCACAAGATGCAACAGCAGTGCCATAAGACCTGACTACTTTCACTCCGGTAGCAAGTCCAATCACAATAGCTTCCTTATTTGTACTCGACTTACAGCTCGATTTACAATAGTCACAAAGTTCCTCCACTTACACCAAACATCCCCCCGAATCCACCTACCTTAACACATTACCATTCTTGAGCGTTGGTATTGCATATTTTATTTTTTTAATTCAACATGCGGAGTACTAATTAATATCTTTAGATCGTTATTATGAAATGAATCTCTGCCGGGTATTGGCATTGTAGCCTCGGCGTAACTTCTGAAAATGGCGTCCAGGTGAGTTCTACCTAACCCTCTCACATTGTGAGTCAAAGGACATACACTGACACATAGAATGTTTTATAGGCTTGATCGTCTCGTCACGTAAGTAATTATTAAATTTGTCGCCCGTCCTACCTACAGCAAATCAATAAGTAGAGTTATTGTTGCTATTGAAGCTCAAATTATTCATATCAGCGCTTGTTAGCATTTTGACAAACTCTCTCATATGGCCCAAAGTTAAATGGGGTAGTCTAACTAACGAGCCTTGTCGGCTGTCTTGTGTATTTAATCACTGACATTTTGTAGTATCCTCGAGACAGGCAGCACGAAGTTGATTAAAGATACTGCCGTTAATCAATTAGCTGATTGGCAAAAGCAACACCCCGAGGAGCTCTTCAACCTATTATCTAGAGTTGTGCCTTACCTTCGTCACAAGGACTGGGATACTCGTGCTACTGCGGCTAAGGCACTTGGTAAAATTATTGAGAATGCCCCTTTCTACGACCCTAATGAGGATGAAGATTCTACGATAGAGAAGAAGGAAGAAGTCAGTAATGAAACTGACTTCGTAAAAAAGGAGGAAAGTGATGAATCGCCGTTATCCTCTGATGAGTATTTCAAGCCCGAGGCGCTAGATGTCTCAATTATACTCAAGTACGGCCGTGAGCTGCTAAGAACTGGTAATGTGGATTACAGTGTTGCAAGCCTTGACCCGCAAGCACGACTCGCATATCAGAAGAAAACGCTCACAGGCCGGCTTGGACTGTTGGGTAGACGTTTCGAAGATGAAGAGGTTCCGATTACTGCGGAAAAATCAGCTAGCCCTTTTACGCCTCAGGACTCTAATCCCGCTAACGGCGTGGCTCGCCAAGATACTGCTGCTGGTGTTGGACCTAACCAACCAACCGAAGAATCGGGCCTAAGTGCTCGACAACTGAACGTTCTAAAAAGGAAACGGAAGAGAGATGCACAAAAGGCTGCCCAGGGGAAGAGTGGTTTCGGCGACTTATCCATACGCCGCTCATTTACTGCGGGGTCGGAAGGGCTAGACGATACACCTATGCTAGATGCTGATACGAAGAAAGGTGGAAAGACGGATTACTTCAACCTAGATCGGCCAGCCGATGTCGATGAAGACACCAAAATTGTCTCTGAATTCAAAGGGGCAGTTGTTCCTATCAAATCAGAAATTGAAACAGAGGACGAGCTTCAAGGATCAGAATGGCCATACGAACGCCTGTGCGAATTTCTCAAAATCGACATATTCGATCCGCAGTGGGAGACGCGTCATGGTGCCGCGCTAGGCCTGCGAGAAATATTACGAGTGCACGGTGCTGGAGCTGGTCGGTTAAGGGGGAAATCGAGAGCCGAGAATGACGCGTTCAACAGAAAGTGGCTGGACGATATGGCCTGCCGACTCTGTTGCGTGCTTATGCTGGACAGGTTCACAGACTATGCATCTGATACGTCTGTCGCGCCAATTCGAGAAACCGTCGGCCAGACTCTAGGTTCATTCCTGAAGCACGTGCCACCCACGTCCGTTTACAGCATTTATCGAATTTTACTTAGAATGGTGATGCAGCAGGACCTTGATTTAGACAGACCTATTTGGGCTGTCTGCCATGGCGGTATGGTGGGCCTCCGATATGTTGTCGCAGTAAGAAAAGATTTGCTACTTCAGCACAATGACATGATTGATGGGATAGTTCAAGCTGTCATGAAAGGCCTTGGTGACAGCGATGATGACGTTCGATCTGTTAGCGCGGCCACCTTGATTCCCATAGCCCAGGAGTTCGTCAAGCTTCGACCGGGAGCTCTTGACGAGCTAATCTACATCATGTGGGAAAGTCTCTCCAGCCTGGGAGACGACCTAAGTGCCAGCACGGGCAAGATCATGGATTTGTTGGCTACTCTCTGCAGTTTCCCAGAAGTCCTAGAAACAATGAAGCGTTCTGCCGAACAAGACGAGGAGAGATCTTTCACATTATTAGTACCGCGACTCTACCCATTCCTACGACATACTATCACCTCTGTTCGTCTTGCCGTTCTGAAAGCCCTCATGACGTTCGTCAACCTCGGCACAGAATCGCAGGGTTGGCTTGATGGAAGAACCCTCCGATTAATATTCCAAAACATACTCGTAGAACGTGACCAGGAGACTCTCAATATGTCTATGGATTTGTGGGCTGCTCTAGTGAAATGCTTGGCGAGAGACCCGGAGAAACTGGCGCACGAATTTGCGCCACATATCGATGCTCTTATGCAGCTCACTCTACACCCTGTTGGAGTTTCTCGACATCCTATTCCTATGAATGGCTCGCTCTTCCTCAAACCTTCCGGAGACACGTACTCGGTGCCTGGCTCCACCCCTTCGGCTGCGCGTAAGGGTTCCGAGCCGGAGGGAGAGCGAGCTACGAAGAGGCGAAAGAAGTCTACTAAGGCGGACGATCCGCCTCCCACTGCCCATTCACACGATCTTGATGGTCATATGATGCAAGGGGACGTTGACCTAGTCGGGATCGACACACTTATCCGCTCTCGTGTCTCTGCAGCGACAGCAATGGGCTTAATCATGTCACTTGTACCTGCGCAGCATTTAGAGTCCTACGATGCCACTCTCATTCCAGGATTAACTTCGTCTTATTCATCTACCCAACTCACAGCGTGTATAGTTATAGATGAATACGCTCGAAATAGCGTTTCATCCCCAGCCGAAACGTCACGATATATGGACGAGCTTCAAAAGATTATAGATTTGGAGCGACCTTCCCAATATCGTGATCTAGTGAGCTTCGTAAAACGAGTGCGTTCACAATGCCAGCAGCTCGTGAGTATCTTCAGAGACCATGGCAAAGTGCCTCAACACAAACTTCCAGCTCTTGCTGTCGTTGTACAAGGCGAGGCAGAAGCAGGTCCAGGAGCTTTCTCTCTCGCTACAGCCGAGAAGTTTGTTAAAGAAGATTTTGAGAGGTTAAAGAGAGTTATGGCTCCAGCGCAGCGCTTGATCGCTAGTCAGCAATTAAGCGAACTTCGTGCAGCCGCTGTAGAAGTCATCGAGGATGTCAAATCTATCAAAGAGTCGCGAGATGTTCGTATTAAAGCGGCAGCGGCTTGTGCTCTCATAGCAATGAAAGTACTGCCCAAGAAACCGAGTCCCCTAATCAAAGCTATCATGGATAGCATCAAGCTAGAGGAGAACCAGCAGCTTCAGACTCGCTCTGCTGATACCATCGGCCGGCTGGTCCAGTTTTTCACCGAGAAGGGCCGCAGAGGTCCGGCCGACAAGGTTGTGTCCAACTTGGTCAAATTCTCCTGTGTTGAGGTCGCCGAAACGCCTGAGTTTCCGGTGCACGCGACGAAGACGAATGTGATCCTATCGATGCAAAAAGAGGAGGACAGAGTTGATCATGGGTCAGACGCAGCTAAATTCGCTCGTGAAGCTAAAGGTGCTCGCATTACTCGACGAGGAGCGAAAGAAGCCCTCGAGATCCTCTCCCGCACGTTCGGTGCAGATCTATTTACTACAGTCCCAAGCTTGAGGACTTTCATGGAGGAGCCTCTAGTAAAGGCATTCTCAGGCGAACTTCCTCCTGAAGCTAAGGACCCCGAAGATATTTTTGGGCAAGAAGTCGTCGATGCTATGTCAGTTATCCGAACCATGACACCGACGCTAGACAAAGCTCTTCACCCCTTCATAATGCAACAGGTACCCCTCATCATCAAGTCACTCCATTCAGAACTCTCCGTGTTCCGATATATGGCTGCGAAATGCCTAGCTACTATCTGCAGTGTCATCACCGTAGAGGGCATGACTGCCCTCGTAGAAAAGGTTCTGCCTTCCATCAACAACCCTATAGATCTACAGTTCCGTCAAGGTGCAATAGAAGCTATCTATCACTTGATTGCTGTTATGGGCGATGGCATCCTACCTTACGTCATTTTCCTCATCGTGCCTGTTCTAGGTCGTATGAGCGACTCGGACAACGATATTCGCCTGATTGCAACTACATCTTTTGCTACGTTGGTTAAACTAGTACCTCTTGAAGCCGGCATCCCTGACCCACCCGGCCTCTCTGAAGAGTTACTGAAGGGCAGAGACCGTGAGAGGACGTTTATCGCGCAGCTCCTTGACCCAAAGAAAGTTGAACCGTTCAAAATACCGGTCGCAATCAATGCCGAGTTACGTTCGTATCAGCAGGAGGGTGTCAATTGGCTTCATTTCCTTAACAGATATCACCTCCATGGTATTCTCTGCGATGATATGGGTCTTGGGAAGACGCTCCAGACCCTTTGCATCGTCGCTAGTGACCATTACAACAGAGCAGAGGAGTTCAAAAAGACTGGTGCTCCAGATGTGCGGAAGCTCCCATCCCTTATTGTCTGCCCACCGACACTCTCGGGGCATTGGCAACAGGAATTAAAAACATTCGCGCCGTTCCTGAGTGTCACCGCGTTCGTCGGACCTCCCGCTGAAAGAAGGGCCAAGGCCGCTCAGTTTGCCTCGACCGACGTCGTCATTACTTCGTATGAAGTATGCCGCAATGACACAGACTATCTCGAGAAGCAGAGTTGGAACTACATTGTGCTTGATGAAGGCCACTTAATCAAAAATCCCAAAGCAAAGATTACGCTCGCCGTAAAGAGGCTTGCTAGCAATCATCGCCTAATCCTTACCGGCACACCGATCCAAAATAACGTCTTAGAGCTCTGGTCCCTCTTCGACTTTTTAATGCCAGGGTTCCTTGGGGCCGAAAAGGTGTTCCTAGATCGATTTGCCAAGCCAATCGCTGCCAGTCGCTTCAGTAAAGCTTCCTCTAAGGAGCAAGAAGCAGGCGCTCTAGCGATCGAGGCGCTACATAAACAGGTCCTGCCATTCTTACTCCGTCGTTTGAAAGAGGAGGTTCTTGATGACCTGCCTCCCAAGATTCTCCAGAATTACTACTGTGATCTCAGCGAACTACAGAGGAAGCTATTCGAAGACTTCACGAGAAAGCAGAGTAAGAAGCTTACAGAGGAAGCCGGTCGAGATGATAAAGAAGCCAAACAGCACATCTTCCAAGCTTTGCAGTACATGCGAAAGCTATGTAACTCACCTGCACTCGTCATGACACCAAGCAACAAGCTTTACGACGACACACAGCGCTTCCTTGCAAAACAAGGCACCAGCATAGAAGATCCGGTTCACGCTCCCAAGTTGACTGCTCTCAAAGACCTGTTGGTTGATTGCGGTATTGGAGTTGAAGGTACAGATTCAAACGATCCTCTCTATCAGCCGATCAAGCCACATCGCGCGTTGATTTTCTGTCAGATGAAAGAAATGCTCGACATGGTCCAGAATACAGTATTAAAACGCATGCTTCCTTCTGTTTCATATCTGCGACTCGATGGTTCGGTCGAAGCGAATAAACGGCAAGACATCGTGAACAAATTCAACAAGGACCCCTCCTATGATTGCCTATTACTTACCACTAGCGTGGGTGGTTTAGGTCTCAACCTTACAGGAGCAGATACGGTCATATTCGTTGAGCATGACTGGAATCCCCAGCGAGATCTCCAAGCTATGGATCGTGCCCACCGAATTGGGCAAAAGAAGGTTGTCAACGTATACCGGCTGATTACGAGAGGCACATTGGAAGAGAAGATTTTGAGGTAAGTGGCTATAATCGCACCCAGTCCAACTCGTGCTAATATCTGGATATAGCCTTCAAGCATTCAAGATCGACGTAGCATCTACGGTAGTGAATCAACAGAATGCCGGCTTGGTAAGTAGCATTATTCTTGGATCGCGTCAAGGGTCTTACTAATTTACTCTTAAGGGAACCATGGACACGGACCAAATATTGGACCTCTTCAACATAGGCGATGCAGGACCGAACCTAATATCTGATAAACCTCAAGGCGCTATCGACGGGCGGGAAGAGGATATGGTGGATGTTGAAACGGGAGACGTAAGAGCACCAGGCAAGAAAGCATGGGCAGATGATCTAGGAGAACTCTGGGATAACCGCCAGTACGAGGAAAGCTTTGACTTGGACGGCTTCCTCAAAACGATGCAATGATGATTGAGGATTAAAGACTAATGAGTCTTAATAAGGCTAAGCTTCATGAGCAGCCTTTATAATAATGGCATGCCTATCTATAGGCGAGATGTGCTGGTATTGTATTGTGTATAATTGTATTATAAGATGAGGAGCTGGCGATATGATGCGGCAAATGAACTTGCAGCAGAGCTTAGCTAAATACATTGACTTTACGCACTAAAAGATGTATTGCTGGTTCGGAGAATGTTGAGTTTGAGAAATACTTGAGTGTGAAGCTCCTAAAATTCTGATCCATATTGCCTACTCAGGTAGGCATCAGAGTAGGCACGTACGATAAAAAAAAAAAAAAAAGAATAGGAACCTATTAAGTACCTTCAAATTATAGTCAAGGTCTCTAAATTCTACATTGTATTCAAATTGTGTCGGTAATGTAAACGGTACATCTTAGATTGTGTCTGCTTATAAGTTAGGCACTTAGGTGGCTTTGTTTAAGGGGTTAACTTGAACATGTGCTGTGAATTGGGCAAGCAATATTCATTTTTCTTAACATTATGCGAGTGCAAATGCGAATGCGAATTAGTACATAGTACATGCTGCAAACTGGGTTAAGTCTTGGCTCAGTGCAGTGCAGCACATTATGGTGACCAGTGAGCGACTTTTGGCCCCACCTCTGAGTTGGAAAAAAAAAAAAAAAAACTCGGAGGCCGTTACTCGGCCCCGCCCCGGACATCCGACTTCAATGCCGGCCGGACGACGGCGTGGGTGTTGCCGTCCGACTACATCGCACTCAGACAACTTGGTAGCGTATTTCGGTGTAGGTTAGTAGCGCCCCGGGGAAACTTATTCCTCAGGTACAATACAGAATTAATTCTTAGCACATTCCATGTTTGATCTTATTTTTTTTTCCGCAGAAGTATAGATTTCTACCATGTAATGATGATTCATTCGTAATCCCGAGGGGGTATTTCAGCGCGAAATCAAACTGTATTTTTCGTTATAATTTCTACGAGAAAGGCTGCGCGATTAAACCGCATTTGTCTGTAGTCAGGATCACGTTCTCTTGTCCGTAAATCATCGCGAACCCCCAGCCCCCCTCCCCCCAACACTGCCGTCCTTCCTCCTCCTCCTCCTCCTCCTCGAAGCCCTTCGCCCACCTAACACAAACGCAATACCCTCGTCCTCGTCCTCGTAACTTCAGAAACGCATGTCTACCTAACCTAACCTAACCTAATCTACCTTAATCCCCCTCCCACCCATCCATCCATCCATCCATCCCCCACAAGCCCCATCAAATATTCAGCGGCCCACAAACATCATCGACCTTATGCACCGCGACCCTAATCATATCGAACCCGAGCCTAGCGCGCATGTCCAGCGTATACATCTCGGCAACGTACAACCGCGTCCCCTCTCCCTCTTCCTCCTCCTCCTTCCCGCCCGCCACTGCCACCCTCCTCTCCACCTCCCCGTGTATCGCCACCGCGTGCTTCGTCCACCAGAAATCGTCCAGCGCGCACCGTATCTCCTCCCGCACCGCCGAGTGCCGCAGGAACAGCGCCCCCGCGTGCGCGTTCGCCAGCCCGCGCTCCGTGAACGTCGCGAGCGGGAGCCGGTCGAGCTCGATCTCCCCGCTCAGCGCGCCGACCTGCTCGTGGGAGAATACGGCGGCAGGAGGGGCATCGATATCGATACCGTTGTCCTTGTCATTATCGTTGTTGTTGTTGTCGTCGTCGTTATCGCTATTGCTTTTGCCATCTCCGTAGAATCCCCGCCGCGGCGTCTCCGTAGTCTTCTGCGTCATGAACTCGCACTCTACGATGTAGTGAGGTAGCGCGGGCCTCTTCGCAGCCCACTTCTTGAGCGCGCGCGCCTTCTTCGTGAGGTCGCGCTGGATATCTACGAGGCGCCGCTCGACCCAGAGGACGCGCTCCTCGCCCGTGTTCAGCGTGAGTTCTACTCTGAGCAATCTAGACGGGGTGTGCTCGTAGACGTGCCTACGGGTCACGGCGGCGGTCGTGCCGCCTACTTTGAAGTTATCGTAACGAGTCAATTCGTCAAGTTTTGCATTAGCTTGTTCGCGACTAACAAATGATCCGGGCAGCTGTGTCGCTTGCTCGCGGATGATATCCCTATCCCTATCCCTGTCCTCCTCAAAGTAGTTCTGCAGACGACGATTTGTTCTGTTCGGCAAGTTTGTCATGGAGAATATCAGGTATTCCCATTTATGTACAGCAAATGTATCTGAGACACGATTATCCTCCTCCACCGGCAAAAGAGAAACTTGATCAACATCGTGCTCACATCCAACTGATGCGGGCAACCTATCATTTCTGGGTCGGTCAGTATGTTGGTAGTCGTATGTGTCTGTGTATATCAAGTTTTTACGTACTTCTGTCATCTGGGTGAAGTCGAACATAGACTCAATGTTCTTTTCGCCCACTTCGTTGAAACGCTGCTTCAGGAAGAATGCGTTGGGGTCCTCGGAGATTTTATGGAGGAGTCGGATCTCCAATTCTCGCTTGCAAGCTTTGGTGAGCTTTTTTTTGAATTCAGGATCCTCCACCATGCCCACAACGACGTTATGTAGAGCTACATATTTAGAAGATCGCATCATGTTATAGAGACGATCCATAGAGGTGTGGTAATTTTCATCCTGCAATACGAAATCAATACCGGTTCATTTTTCCAGAATTCGTAGGTTATTTGACATACCTTCTTTGAATCGGTATCAGAAGGGATGAAGGACACTAAGTGTAACGTAAGTAGAAGCCTAATATTAAAATGAATTGAATTAATATGTTACATATGGGGAATACTTACGGATTTTCGTCTTCTTCGAGGTCGACGGGTCATCGGCCGCTTTTTCAGCGGCGCGCTTGCGGGCTCGAGTCTTCTTTACGACGGGTGCCTGCACGGGCTGCTCCTTGGTGTCGTCGTGACCGTTGTCTGCGGCGGCGGTGTCGACGGCAGCAGTGTCTACGACAGCAGTGTTGTCCGCCATGACAACATCACCACCAGTAGGAGCTTGCTCTGCAATAGAAGTGGTGGGTGCGGGCGGAGCCTCACCACCCTCGCCAACGACGTCGTCGCGATTTTCAGTAGTCATAATGAGAGACTTCTGATGATGATCAAATTAATGCATGTTCTCTTCTGTAGCTCTGTAATAATGGTAAGCTTCTGTACTGACCTTGTTTGATGGGGGGTTCTGTTTATGCGGATTGCCTGGAGACTTATGTCTTCCAAAATGTGGTTGTTGTGTTCAGGAATTTTGGAAACAATTGGTTTGTGTGGAGGAAATTTATAACCGGAGCCTGAAGGGTTGCCTGGTGGAAAGATCAGGCACAGCTGGTGCAGTTGCTCGACAGTTTCTGTTAGAGAGATGGAAGGTCCACGCGCATATTCCTTAGTGAATTCTCGCGCAGGTAGGCAGTCCATGCTCAAGCTGCGTCCTCCAGGAGACGCGGTAGTTCCTGTAGCGACCCCATACATCTCTAGACTATGACGCTCTTTAATATCATTGTTCCCTATGACTCTGTCCTTGGCCTCGAGTATATGGCCGTTTACACCGTCATGAGCAGCCATAGTACCCCCATTATCAACGGCAAGCTCAGTAGGCCGTTGAGGAGACGGTGGCATATGATTGTGGGTATGATGGCTACTTCTCTCCCGTCCCTGTTGAGCTGACTGGTTTACCCCCATGGTATTCTAATAATGTTCCCTGCGGTGTTGTGTTGACACTTAAGATATGTATATTAGCACCTTTGGTTGTGAGTGTGTTTTGTATGTGATATGTAGCCTTGCTAGGTACCGCAGAAGACCGAAGAGTCAGTTGCCGAGAAGACAGCATATATTCATTCTCTAAGGTAATATAAGCACATACGCCAACAATATGAATGAAAGAGGCCAAGACACGAAAACAGGTTCAAAGGAATATTCAAACCGAGTTTAAAGGAGGCCGAGTGACACCGGGGACAAGTTACATCACACTAGCAATACGGCCTTAGATATGAGTATTGACTTACCAATGCTTGGATCCTCTGCTAGCTCGTACCGGAGGGAGCTGTAGCCGACATACTTAATGTTTTCAAGTCCCTTTTCTAGGTGTTCTGACCGAATAATAGAAAGGGAACCTTGAGAAAAGTTTCGAGGGTTGACAGAGATGTCGATGCGTGTAGATGACTTGAATATAAATCTTCGATTTGACCTAGTAGGGTTAGGGCCTGGTGTTTGGATGAGAGAAGATAGAAAGATCTGAGGTAGACATCAACGGGTTAATATAGTTCTAGAGATGGAGACTTCGGGGGTAACCACGAGGAAGATTCAAGATGGAGAGATGTGAGTGGGAAGGTTGAACGGTCTCCAATGGGTACTGGGCAGGGCGATTTGTGATAGAGGTAGGTATGTGGAGCCGCGGTCTAGGAAGTATGATATTTGGGCAGTTGGCTAGGGTATCATATGGCTGGTATGGGTATAAGTTGCTCAATACGTACCTGACGAGACTAGCCGATAGCCGAGAAGAGCGTGTACTGTCCCTTAGATGTGACCAATGGTTATTTCCCTAATTATTTCTCTAAGAGTGTATGGTAGGATCAGTAAGAGCCCGAGAGAACCGCGAAAGTTGCTTTTATATCAGGTTTTGCTACTGGGACGTGCCTGTTAAAAGGACTTGGCTTGCCCTCAGCTAGAGGCAGGTGAAGGAATGGCGATGGGGAGACGACTGCCTTATTGGCATGTATAACACACGGTAGGGTGCAGATATTTCTTGTAGATGAGATGATAGGCTTTTATTGCTTTCAGTTCAAGACGCTGATGTGAACTAAAAACTGGCCAGAGGCTCTAATGTTTGAAATGGTGTGTTGAGATTAGACATATGGGTGAATACCTAATATAGAGATGTTGTTGGTAGGAACGGCTGGCACGAGTATTACCATACGGTGAATTTGTTAAGCGATATATTAGGTACCCAGGTAGGTAAGCACGATAGGATTGCAAGGGAGACACGAGTAGTCGGTATTGCTAGGTAGATTATAAGGGTTGTGGGTATCTATGAGTATGGGAAACTGCTTCTAGCTAGGTAAGAAGGAACGAGACCGACTAAGTATTCCTATTTACCTTGTATTCCGATGCAAGACTGGCTACTTGGTTTTAGATCTCGCCTTAAACGACTTCAGGGGGTCGCTTCTACGACCAGTTACCCTCCTACCCCTGCCTTTTGAAATTCGGCTCTTCCTCCCCTTTCCGTCGAGGACCTTCTTGAATGGTACGAATCCGACCTCGTTCGGAGTAATCGCCTTCTTACCGTCCTTCGGCAGTAGATAATCGGGTACGTGCTTGAGATGGGGCTGACTTCTTGTTGTTCGAAGTTCGACATCATGACGGAGATGACGAACCTCCAAAGGATTCTCCTCGAAGTGGCGCTTCAAGCTTTCGCTCTTCAGCAGTTCTTGCTTAAGCTCACGTAGTCGTGCTTCTCTAATAGCAACTTTTGTAACGGCTCTCAGAGCATCGTTCATTCGGTAGCGGAATGCCTCCACGGCCTTCATGTCGAAATTGTAAGGTTTGACTTCTTGACCTCTCTTGGCCTGCTGCTTGATAATTCTGGCCAACACCTTCTCATCATTTTCCGCCGTCTCAACGCTAGTAGGCATGTGCTTTCGGAATTTGTCTTTGGGCACAACAAAGGATAAAGCCATGCCTGTTTGTCCCGCGCGTGCTGTCCGGCCAATTCTGTGCAGATAAGAGCGCGACGACAGAGGAAGGTCGAAATTTATAACAACTGCAACATTCTTGAAATCGATTCCTCGAGATATTCCATAATTCTTATCTCGTCGCGAAGACTTGCGCTTCTTCGAACTCGAAACAACGGCCTTGCTTTGTTCGCTGCTTTCTGGCGCCTCCTTGGTAGCATCCTTGGTAGCATCTCCATGAGCCTCTTCTCCGGTAGACTCAAGCTGGTCTTTTTCCTCGCCTACTACCTCATTTTCATCGGAGGCGATGATAATGTTGTAAACTCCCCTGTTGAACTCCTCGACAGCGTGGATTCGACAATTAACTGGTAGCTCGGAATTCAATAGACAACTCCGTATTCCGAATTGTTCGAAAAACAACTTGAGTCGATAACATCGGTCAACATCACTGACAAATATAATCGCCTTGCCTTTAATTAATTCAAGCTTGACCATGCAGTAAATAAGCAGGAACTTTTCATCTTCGGCGCATCTATACAGTCATTAGCATTTTGATCCGTGGTATGAGATGCGCAACCTTACTTGACAACGAATTGCGAGACACCACCTCCATCTTCGTCCGGCTCTACCAGATCTAGAACTGTCGGATTCCGACAGAAAAGCCCCTTCAGGGTATCAACTTCCGGCGTGAGAGTCGCACTCATCAAGGTTGTTTGTAGACCCTTTGGTAGCGAAGAAGCAACATTCTGTAGATCTTCGTCGTAGCCATATGATAATACCAGGTCCGCTTCGTCCAAGACTAAGTGTGTGAGTTTCTCCACCGAAAGAGCAGAGTTTTTTATGTTGTGCCATGCCCTCGCAGGTGTCGCAACTACTATATCGGGCGAATCGGAGAGGACGGCGCGCTGGGCGGCATCGGAGAGCTTGTCGGAAAGCTTGGAGACCTTGATCTCTCTGGAGCAATACGATGTGAGAGATTCGAGTACTTTGGCGACTTGATTTACCAATTCGTTCGTCGGGACCAGTATAAGAGCCGCCGTATATGAATCTGAAGATGTCTAACTAGGGGATTAGTTCTATTATATCCTATCCTATCTAGCAAAACCTCTACAAGGTTATATTCATTCATTTATTCATTCATTCATTCATACCTGTTTGCGCTTGAGGATAGCTTGGAGGATAGGTAGGGTATAGGCGGCGGTCTTTCCCGAGCCTGTCTTAGCCTTTGCCAGCACATCACAGCCATCAATAGCTAGCGGTATGGCCTTGGTTTGAACCAATGTAGGCGTATGCCAGTTCTGACGGGCTGTGGCTTGGAGGAGTCTGCTATCGAGGCCGAGGTCTGCGAATGTGGCGGTCGTACCAGTGCTCGGTGCTTCAGCATTGGCGGTTGACACCGGCGCATCATTCTCGTCTAATTTGCGCTTCATGATGGCAGATTTACAAGAGCAATTATAAAATGTTGAAGTTGGAATGGATCACGTTGGTGGTGATAACCATCCGCTATAGCAGAGTATTACTATGTACCTAACATAGTCTACGAAGTGGGCTTGGGAAAAATAATTCCTTATCTTATCGCACGGATCTTGGAACAACTATTTTACCCTCATGTCTCACGGACCGGGGGCTGCAGGTGAGGTCCACTTCCACTAGACTGGATGTAAATCCGTACCTAGATTTATTCGCTTACATAACAAAATTATCTAAGGTAGGTCTAGAACTTTGCTCGAGCGGGAGAGTGCGTACGTACATCGGTACTTGTATTTCATTTCATTTCAAATCGCTGTCCTTAACATAAATCTTCTCCTTTTAACCACCAATGCGGAGCGCAATATTATAGCTATTACGCACAGCGCACATACCAAGTAGTAATCTCTCTCCGGCATTTGAGATCGAAGTGCCGAGGGGTAGATGCTCTTCCATCATTGGGTGGAAGTGCGCATCCCCCTAGGTACTTATGTATGTCTGAGAAGTCGACTGGATGAACCAAGCTTTTTCTTGTCGCTGATTCGAGGCTGTCGACATCCTTGGCACCGGCTGGCTCGTCAAACCTCATCCTATTGGCTGGCACCGTGGTTCGCCGCACCACCAGAGCCAAGAGTTTTGGCCAAGAGGACCCTTACGAATTCAAATTCCGATATAACAGGTGTGATCTTCCGTCTGCGATTCTCTCCGTCTGTGATTCTCGACTCTCCTTTGGCGCGACGCTGGGTACATTAGCGAATGGCGACAATTGCCTTGCCGTCTAGAGAATCGCAGAGTAAGTTAGATACCTGTGATTTGATGCTCTCGAGTTTCATCAGCCTAGTGGCAGAATTTATCAACCCCGTCAAGAGGACAATTTGCTCCGGCGTACGGATTACTATCGCCATAAGGTTAGGTACTAGACTAATATGATATACAATGGATGATAATATCGACCGTAATAGTCATGTCGGGGCCACAGTCTCAAGTTTCTGCATAGTACCTAGGGAGGTTTGGATGAAGGTTCCGCAGCAATCTCTTGTCGATTGGCCATCGTATCGCAACCCTAGGCGAGCTAGACGATGTGAGGCTGCCTTTTCCCGTGGGGTTTCAAGGATCCCGATAGATCTTCGTACTACTACTACATAGGTCGTCTCCGTTATTGTAGCCCGGCCCTTGTAGTCGAGAAGGGCCGCAGCTAGAGATGACGTTAAACTTCATTTCCGAGAGGCTTAACACGACATTTAAGCCTGGGGACTTCATCATATCCCGCCTAGTCAACCGAGATTTGATATCTTGGGATTTTGACGGCTAACGAGCTCTTTGCTTCATCTGCTAACGCAGGCCTTCTAGTATAATGCATCGCAACAACGAAAATTACAGACAATAAATGCCAAGCGTAAGTTATTAATAGTATATATCTTGTTGTTGCTTGTTGTGGTTTCTGTCTTGTCTTAGCTATTTCTGGAAACGATGATCTCTGATAGGTCTCTTCTTGGCACCCAATGTCTTCTTAAGAGCCGAGATGGGAACTCTGTGAGAAGTCTACCCCGACAGCTTGGCCACTTATTGTTTCCATTTCAACATATATCATTGTTTTGTTTACTCAACGTTGGGATGATAGATCCATAGATAGTATAATTCGTCACGTGCTTCGCTTCCGAGTCCAACGACCGGCGGTTTCATCTCTGGGTCAGCGCTGAAACCGTCACAAGGGACTACGTGTGCGCGCCTTTACGACAACCCCAGACTCGCGTATGAGATCGATCAGTGAACCGGCGTCCGGTGAGGCATTTTCCTAGCCGCGATATTTGGCCGTGTCTTGGCTAGGTGCTACCGTCGAATTATTTCGAGCTAGCAATGGTCGACTCGAAACGGATCGACATAAAACCACGGGCCTTTTTGTCAGAGAGACCCCTACACCTAATTCAACGCTAACTCGGCCTGTAATTGGTCAATCCGTCTCATATCAAAGCTTCATTGTGGATGGAAATCTTAGCAGCGAGGTACTTTCGTGACAAGCTTCAGATTGCCGCATTGTACACACACAATAAGGTAGTTCTGCTATTTCCATAGCTTGAATGCGGATCGTCTTCCCTTGTAAGATTGTAAGATGGCGTCTCCCGGGGATGCTTTAGAGTTAACTCGGTAAGAATTTCGCTATGATCTCCGGCGTCGTCTCCTTTTACACCCGTTGAGAAGTTGTATAAGTAGAGCGCGATTCTCAACTTTTCGGAATGGAGCTTTTGTGCTGGTTTATCACTCCCGCCGCTTCCATCCTCTCCTCTCCTCTCTCCCTCGCCTTCCGCATATCTCTTTTCCTTATTTTTCTTATTTAATTTCTTCGATACAGCTGGGCTGTACTAAAGGTCATAATGGTACCTAATTTCAAGAAAATTAAGGCTTTCGGCCACAAGAAGGAGAAAACCCCATCCAACTACATCGACACTGCACTAGATGGGTCGTCCACAGAACAAGACCTGGAGGCGGGTAGCTTCTTGACTGAGACTGAAAGGAATAATATTGTTGACAAGAACAATCACGGCGACAACCCGTACTTGGATGAGTACAAAGCGTTAGTGTTCCAGCAGAGGAACGGCGATATTTGATAACGGCTAACCTAGTCACCAGTTTGATTCGTTATGTCGACACATACAGAGATCCGCATGCGGAAGCGGGGGAGGAGGACTTCTCCCAGCAAGAACAGGGGAGGCCATGGTGGGCATTCTGGAGAGGTGGCAAGAGCGGCTATGCTCGCGCGTCTCTGAGTGACTTCGAGACGCCGAGCGACTGGTTGAACACAGACATCAAAGAGGGTCTCTCGTCGATGGAAGTTGAGAGAAGACGGAAATATTCTGGGTGGAACGAGCTGTCGACCGAGAAGGAGAACATGTTGATCAAGTTTATTGGGTTCTTCCGTGGCCCTGTCCTATATGGTTTGTGATACCTTGCTAATTGCCTTTTACGTGCCCATGAGCTAACAAGTTCAATAGTCATGGAGGTTGCTGTTATTATTGCGCTGGCTATTGAAGATTGGCTTGACGGCGGTATCATTATCGGTATCCTGCTACTGAACGCGATCGTCGGTTGGTATCAGGAAAAGCAAGCTGCCGATGTTGTCGCCAGTCTGAAGGGAGATATTGCTATGAAGGCACGTGTCGTCCGCGACGGCCAGGAGAAGGAAATCAAAGCCAGGGAGCTAGTACCGGGTGACATTGTAAGTTCTATTTCGGGGTCCCTTCTTTACCATATACAAGAATCTAATTTTTTGTTAGATTATCATTGAAGAAGGCCATGTTGTTGCAGGTGACGCTCGTCTTATCTGCGAATATGATAACCCTCATGGCCAGGCCGAATACAATGCGGAACTTTCAGCTCAAGATGTCACATCACCACGTCGGGAGAAGTTTGAAGAAGACGAGGGGACTCCTCATGTGGGCCATGCAATCGTTGCTATCGACCAAAGTGCCATTACTGGTGAATCCCTTGCTGTTGACAAGTACATGACTGATACTGTTTACTACACTACTGGTTGCAAGCGTGGCAAGGCATACGGCGTGGTCACCTCTGGTGCTCAAGCTTCGTTCGTGGGAAAAACTGCTAGCCTGGTTCAAGGAGCTAAGGACTCTGGACACTTCAAAGCTATCATGGACTCGATCGGTACTACACTACTTGTTTTGGTCGTCTTCTGGATTCTCGTTTCCTGGATTGGTGGATTTTACCGCAACCTCCACATTGTCGAATCGGAGGAGAGCTCAAACAACTTGCTGACGTATGCATTGATTTTACTTATCATTGGTGTTCCCGTTGGTTTACCAGTTGTTACTACCACCACTTTGGCTGTTGGCGCTGCCTACCTTGCTAAGGAAAAGGCCATCGTGCAGAAGTTGACGGCTATCGAGTCGCTTGCTGGCGTTGACATTCTCTGCTCCGACAAAACTGGTACTCTTACTGCTAATCAGCTTTCCGTCCGAGAACCCTTCGTTATGGATGGTGTCGACATCAACTGGATGATGGCTGTTGCTGCTCTAGCTTCGTCTCACAACATCAAAGCCCTCGACCCTATTGACAAAATCACTGTCCTTACCCTTAAGCGTTACCCCAAGGCCAAGGAGATGATCAGCGAGGGCTGGAAGACCGAGAAGTTTACTCCCTTCGACCCCGTTTCCAAGAGGATTACTGCTGTTTGCACTCACAAAGGTGTCCGGTACACATGTGCTAAGGGAGCACCCAAGGCTGTTTTGGCATTGACGAACTGCAGCGAAGAGCAAACTGCCCTGTTTAAGGAGAAGGCCACTGAATTTGCTCGCCGCGGCTTCCGTTCTCTCGCTGTTGCTGTTCAGGAGGAAGATGGCCCGTGGGAAATGCTCGGCATGATCTCTCTTTTCGATCCTCCTCGTTCTGACACTGCCCAAACCATTGCTGAGGCTCAGGCTCTTGGTCTTTCGGTTAAGATGCTTACTGGTGACGCTATTGCTATTGCTAAAGAGACTTGCCGTATGCTTGCTCTAGGCACTAAAGTCTACAACTCTGACAAGCTACTCCACAGTGATATGGCTGGTACCGCGATCCACGATCTTTGTGAGAGAGCCGACGGATTTGCTGAGGTCTTCCCCGAGCATAAATACCAGGTAGTTGAGATGCTTCAACAACGTGGTCATTTGACTGCTATGACTGGTGACGGTGTCAATGACGCTCCTTCCCTCAAGAAATCTGACTGTGGTATCGCTGTTGAAGGGGCTACTGAGGCTGCCCAGGCCGCTGCTGACATTGTGTTCCTGGCGCCTGGTCTTAGCACCATTGTCTCTGCCATCAAGATCTCCCGCCAGATTTTCCAGCGCATGAAGGCCTACATTCAATACCGGATTGCTCTCTGCCTACATCTCGAAATCTACTTGGTTACGACTATGCTCATTATCAACGAGACTATCCGTGCGGATTTGATTGTCTTCTTGGCTCTATTTGCTGATTTGGCTACAATTGCTGTTGCTTACGATACTGCTCACTACGAAAAGCGACCTGTGGAGTGGCAGCTCCCTAAGATCTGGATCATCAGTGTTGTCCTCGGTGCTCTACTTGCTCTCGGTACCTGGATTCTCCGTGGCACGCTTTGGCTCCCTGATGGCGTTATCCAGGAATACGGTGGCGTACAAGAAATTATCTTCCTGCAGGTATCGCTCACGGAGAACTGGCTTATCTTCGTCACACGCGGCTTTGAGACATATCCTTCGTGGCAGCTAGTCAGCGCGATCTTCGGCGTCGACATCCTTGCGTCTCTCTTCGCTGGCTTCGGCTGGTTCTCGGGCGGCCTGGGTGAACCCTCTAGCCCAGCGACGCTGTCCGCCAAGCTGTCTGAGAACGGCGCTACGGATATCTTGACTATTGTTGTCGTCTGGATTTACTCGATTGCATGTGTGATCGTCATCGCTATCATCTACCAGATGATGACTCGCATGCAAAGTCTCAACGACCTCGGCCGGAAGAAGAGATCGGCCCAGGATACGATGATGGAGAACATCCTTACACATCTAAGTAAGGTTGCGCTGGAGCACGAGCGGGATGAAAAGGGTGGTGACCGCTTTTACATTGCTCAGAAGCAAGTGGTCGAGGAGGAAGAATAAAAAGGGTTAATTAATGTATGATTATAATAAGTATCTTGGGGTTTTAGTGCGATTGATACCAAACCAGTCTTGACTAGAGGAAATTCAAATGAAGATTCCTTTTTATCTGTTACAATTGTTTTTTTTTTATCTGGCGGTCTGGCGTCTGTAGCTGTTTTTGATCAAAGCGATGCATCTTACCCCTGATTCTTCGATGTTTTGTGGAATCAATAAGATACTTAGCTGGAACCGGAGTTGCTTGTAATTATGAACATGTGGCTTTGAAGAAAGAAAAAAGAGGTGTGTAGTAGTAAGTAGTAAGTCCGTACAGATTCTATCTAACTCCTATCCCCCCTGCTCCTTTTTTTTGGCCGTTTCTTTTCTTGGGTAAAATTAAAATTATAGCCTCAACCAAAAATGAGGTATCCAAATACGAGCTATAGAAATACCCAAGGTCGTAACACAAGCATGCAAGTTTAAACCAACTAAAACATTTGAATGAACCTTTTTTGAAATCGCACAGCTTGCACTTGCATACCTAACTGTAACATATATGCCGTGTTAGGTAACAGGTACCTACATTGTTGCATTGTTACTAGGTACATGTTATCTACTTCATATAATGCATTGATGTAAGTACCCGCGGTCTCTATTATCTGAGCGAAGAGCTGCAGAAGATATCTATGTGATATGCGTGTAACTAAATCGTACTTAAGGTAGCTATTAAGGTAGCGACATGTTATACATGCCTACCTTAGGTACCTACCTGGGTAACCTAAAGTATGTAACCTAGAACAGGTACGTAAGGTTAGTACTACCTTAAGCAAGGTTAGCTAACTTATACTTTACTAATCCATTCATGCCCATTGTTTGCTTCATAAAACATTTGGTAACTATGTAAACATAACTAGTTGATTATAACTAGTCGCAAGCTGAAGTTCGAGTCCTTACCTAGGTTAGGTACCCAGGGAGGCATTGTTTAATAACAGGTAAACAATCAAGTTGGGTATTATTATGCCCAACGCTACTGCTTCAGGTAGGCTACTGTAGGTTACTGCAATTATTACCTACCTCCTACCTCCTACCATCTTACCAGAAATGTGCCTGTCAACATCCGGACAATAGGACACTTCGTCAAGGTAAGCAAGTCGGAAAGTCGGTCATGGGCTGGCTGTACGCACAACAGTTACTACTGTATTCTGTGCATAATGGTGCACACGTATCCCAGTAACTAAGATCAACTTGAGACAAACGATAACTTTGGAGCGGTTAGCGGCTGTCAAGTTATCGTGTTGGCGGGGCAACTGCGACGGGAAAAGGCTGGACAGAACGGCGGTGATTTCCTCGATTTAGCGGCGGGAACTTGTACATTTGATGTATATTTTGATGTATATTTGGGCATGTTATGGGGGGGTATTATGTATTTTTTGGTGGGGCAACTGGACGATAGCGCTTGGCTTGGGTTAAATGCTTGGGTACCCTTGGTATCCATTGGTTTATCCCCCACTCCCCACCAAGGCCAACCCTTGCCCATGTCTGTTTACCCTCCGCAGCCATCCAAATAACCTCCTGCAACCTGTGATCAAGAACCTCGGTCACTTGTTATTAACATCACAACATTTTTTTTTGTTTCCCTCTTCCATTTCTTACGGACCAAAGATAATTCCTTCACTGCTAATTATCTAACAGTGGTAATTATACCATTGATGTGTGTCTCTTTTCATTCGTACGATCGCGAAACCATTATTCTGTTTTTACTGTTTTTCTTACCTTTTCAGTAGGTCGACAACTCAGCCTGTTTCGGGCGTTACCTACTTTTCAGCCGCTTGTAAACATTACAGCTGTCACCTATTGGTGCTTGGTGCCTCAACCGTCAACCTAGCAACCCTCTATAACATCCAAATCCAGTCAAAACAACTCTTCAACGCCATCTCTCGAATTGTTTGCATCTTCGTAGGCCGCATATCCTGCACCGCATCGCACAGCCACGGGAAAATTAACATACCTCTTGTAAATCGTTTCTTTTTTTTTATATTCTCCCCCGGGAGAAATGAATTGCCAATAGCCACCAGATAATCTGCAGCTTTTACCTCTCAGTATGGCCTCTGATGGGCAACCTGTAAGTAAAAAAAAAAAACCAAAAAAAAACCAAAAAAAAAAAAAGATATCGGAGGAATAAATTTAGAAGGATGATTAACAGCTTTTAATCAATAGGTAACGCAGCCTTTGCGTATTGCTAAGAACAATAATAACAACAACAACACACCGACTACATCTCCAATTAAGAGTAGCATTCCACGTCCGTTGTCTGAGATCTCGGCCACTGAGCAGCGAAGAAACTCACCGAGTTGGAACCCGTCCCCAAAGGTGATTCCATTCTAGATCCAGTTTCAAATCCATATTGACTCTTGCTAACCCCAATCGTGTCAGAAGATGGGTCTTAATACAGATTCATCTCCATTCCAGTCATCTCCCCTGGATGGTACAACTTCACCGCGCCTGTTTTGGCAGAATCGCAATGTCAACAACCGCGTCGAAAACGATTTCTATGGAGGTCGTACTGGTTCCCCGTTGCCTACAAGGCGTTCCTCTATTGAGCGCCTGCAAAAGGCGTCGCGCGTGAAGAATAGTACTATGTTTGCTCGGGAACAAAAACAGGAATACGATCCTATGCGAATACCAGCAATCGAACGCCCTCTTGCCAAGGTCCAAGGCAATACTTTTGCCAATAACTTTCAATCCACCCACGGCCGTTCAGATAGCCAGACCAGTATCTCCCTATACACTCCTACAAAGACTGGCGCCACTCGTTCATCCCCTGCTCCACAAGCCCCAAGCCCGAGTAAAGACCAAGCGTCCCCGACTAAATCATCTCTATCCTCTTCAACCCGCTTGAAGAGCAGCCAGGATTTACACAGTGACGTTTTCACCGACACATCATTCGAAAACCATGAACTACCAAGTGGCAAGTCGCTTCACCGCCACGCTAAGTCTGTAACCTTCGATGCTGCCCCACCTCAAATTAACGAATATGAAATGGCGACCCCCGACATGTCTTCAGTGGGCACAAACTCCCGAGAAGGTAGCTTTGAGGATGACGAGGATGATGATGATGATGACTATATCTACGGCCATTATCCCGGAGGCGAAATGGATGGCCAGGATGATAGTTTCGATGCGACACTAGAAGACACAGACAAGACTCCAGTTGTTGGGCCTGATGATTGGCGCCAAGACAGAGACACGCGCTTCGATAGTAGTCCAATGCCTGAAGGTGCCTTATCACAAGCCATGTCTCCCCATTCGCAACATTCACGTACGGATTCCTCCACTTCCAGCAGTGAGCATCGACCACTCCCTCCTCTTCCAGGAATGGGCCATGCTCGGTCTCAGTCGGCATCTTCCAATGGGCTGTCTGCTACAGCAGAGCGTATGCTAGGCTCTCCACGAAGTCTCCCTTCACCACCGCCTGCTTCAATAAACAAGTCCGATCTCCAGAATATTGGCAATGGTAGCATGTCTTTGGAAGAGCGACTCAAGCTTATGATGCTGGATGAGACAAGCCCTAAGTCTGATAGCTCCGCAAAGATGTATGCCGAACAACAGCGGGAGCGTCGCATGCGGAGAGCAGGTACTCGTGACAGAGCCTCAAGTCCTACTCCAGATCATGGAGACCACGAAGACCAAGATCACGAGGATCACGAGGACCATGATGATGATCATGATGATGATAACAACCATGATGACCACGACGATGAAGGCAATGAGGAGGATGACACTGTGGGTGATCTATCTGGACTGGATATGGACTATCAGCTCCCCAGCATCTCTCGACAATCAATCCTGCGCCGTGTTAATGGCAACAGAGCGCTTGATCGAGGCTCTGAATTCACCTTCTTGTCACCGGGTCCTGAGTCAGGCCTATCCCGCAACATACCTTATGACCCCGACGTCCCCATCGCTAGTATCGAAGATTCGATTCTTGATGACGGTGAGGAATCGAATGAGGACAGTGTGGTTCATCATGAGAGCGAGGATGATAAAGGTGACGTCTATGACCTATTCCAACGGCCTGAAGACGATGATGTGGCGTCTCAAAAGGATGGTCATGATAACCGTAACGACCGTGATGAACACGATCACAGTGAGCACAGCGATGACAGCGATGACAGTGACCACGATGATGATACAGAGAGTCAATACTCGGACGAGGCCGAGAAGCCCCAGCCTGGGGATGCACAGCCTGAGGAAGAGTCCGTGATGACTCCTCGAGCAGCAAGTCCAGTGCCTGAAGGTGCTATTACCAACTTCAGCGCTACCCTTCCCCAGATATCTAGTTCCTCGAGAGAGGCGGACTTCTCTCGTAGTTTACAATCTCATATGCTTCCGAAGCCTAAGGAAGCAGGTGCGCTCACACACTCAGAGAGCCACAAAGAACCAGAGTCGCAGTCTTACGCACAACGATCAAAGACTCCAGAAAAGCTTATATCGAAGCCTGTATATGATGGCTCTGGATGGGGAGACCCTGAAGAGGAGGAGTATGTATCAGAGGAACCAGGTACTCCTGAATCTGTTATCCACCATCCTATCTCTGATTCTGAAGATGATTATGACGAAGAGATGGAGGAAGGTGAAGAGGTAGATGAGGCTGAACGAGCCAGGCAGGCTGAGGAAGCTGAGGAACGTGAAGCGATTGAGGAATTTTCCATTGAGTCGCCTGCTATTCCTGAGCGTGAGGCAACCATCAAGTCTACTTCTGGCTCCAAACTGAAGACGCGCGCCTCTGCAACTCCGTCGGATATTATTGCTATGCGTGAAGCCCGCCGACAAGTAAGCCGAGAGGTTGCGCCTATAGTACCACCAATTCCAGACAGGCATCGAAACCGGCTTTCTCGGGATTTGGCACCTGATTCCTTGGATATTCCTACCGGCGACGATTATATCGAACGGCACCCAAGCTTTAAGCAGCGTAGTTTAACTTTAGATCTCGACTTAGGTCTCAGTCTTGACCAAGACTTTGAGCGGGTCATCGAAGCACAAAAGGTCAATAACCAATTCCTTCCCCACGCATACCACTCTCTTGCAACACTTGAGGAGCCGGAAAGACAAGCGTCAGGCTCCGATCTTCAAATAACTGATAATACCAACTTCAACCTTGGAACACCTAAGACTAACATTGGATCTTCACGACAGCGAGGTTACCTTATGCGCCAAAACACAAAGCTTGTCACAGCCAGCGACAAAGAAACCGAAGAAGCGCGAGCAGGCACCCGCTCTGCTGGAAATTCTCCGATCAAACAGCAACGCCCTCAGTCTTGGACCGTCGAGCCTTGGAATGGTAAGCATAGAAAAAGCATTAAGAAGCGAAACGGCCCAAGCCTCGGTGGTCAGGCACCACCTTTACCAAACCAGGAGAGCAATTCAACAGCAATGAGTTCGTTACCTGAGGAAGATAGCCACGAGCTGGCAACCGAGGAGTGCGGCGAGCGAGGCAGACTATTTGTCAAGGTAATGGGCGTGAAGGATCTCGATCTTCCGTTGCCTAAGAGTAAGTTTTCCCCAATACTAGCTAGTAACGCGAGGTGTTTGCCAACATGAATGCTAACCTTATGTAAGATGAACGAACATGGTTTAGCCTTACTCTTGACAACGGAGTACACTGTGTGACCACATCCTGGCTCGAGCTGGCTCGTAACGCGCCGATCGGCCAGGAGTTCGAACTTGTCGTCCCCAACGAGTTGGAATTCCAGCTCACCCTTAACGTGAAGCTGGAAAAGCCTCCGCCGGAGCGCGTAACAGTTGCACCAACCAAGGCGCTAAAGCCAAAGTCATCTACTTTCTCTCGTGTCTTCGCTAGCCCCAAGAAGCGGAAGGAGATGGAAGCTCGCCTTCGCGCCGAAGAGGAAGCCTATGCCCAGGCTCAGCGCGATGCCGCTACGAAGCACAAGAGTGTTATGCCTACAGCGTGGGATCTACTATCTCCTCTGGCGGCAGAAGATGGAACCTTCGCGCGTGCATATGTCTGCCTTAAGGAGCACGAATCCCGCTGCTATGGACGACCATACATGGTGGAGATTGCGACATTCAACGAATGGGCTACCGAGGAGCCTAACTTTGCCAACAGCGTCAAGAGCAAGCGCTCAGGAGTCCCCAGCAACTCGGTCGTACGCCGTGCGCCCTACAAGATCGGCAAACTGGAGGTGCAACTCCTCTTCGTACCACGACCTAAAGGATCCACCAATGAAGACATGCCGAAGAGCATGAACATGTGTATCCGCGAGCTGAAAGCAGCTGAAGAGAGACTGTCTAGAAATTGGGAGGGCCACCTTAGCCAACAAGGAGGAGATTGCCCCGTAAGTACCTCTTATAACAAGCAGCCTAGAAGTAATTGGGTACTAATCTGACGAATCAACAGTATTGGCGTCGTCGCTACTTTAAACTTGTTGGCACCAAGCTTACGGCTTATCATGAAACAACCCGCCAACCTCGTGCCACGATTAATCTCTCTAATGCCAAGCGACTTATTGATGATCGACGACAGCTAACAGACCCTGAGACCACGGGCCGCGGCGGCAAACGTCGTCGTTCTGCCTTCGCGGAAGAGGAAGAAGGCTATATGTTTGTTGAAGAGGGTTTCCGTATACGCTTCAACAACGGCGAAATTATCGATTTCTATGCCGACACCCGCGAAGACAAGCAAGGCTGGATGAAGGTCCTCGGCGATGTTATCGGTCGAGCTGGAGAAGAGGAGGAGACTACTAACGGTCCCAATTCCCGCCGAAAGTGGTGTGAACTTGTTCTTAAGCGGGAAGAGATGCTTCGCAAGCGCGCCGAGACCAGACGAGTTCATTCGAGAACTAAGAGCATGATCGTATAAGGCTCAGATGGCTTCGCCCCCAGACTCTCACGAACGATATCTGGCGTCAGAGAAAACGACGAAACGACGATTATGCCCGAAATGATCTGTTGGACCTGCTTACGAACGAATTCATGATCATCAAGACGTACGGTACGCTATTCGAGTTCGCCCTTTCCGCCTTGCCATTGCGCCATGACTCCGGTTTTGTTTCCTCGTCGACTTGATTCTTTTTTTTTCTTTTGACGAATACGCACCGCGGCCAGTTTGGCCTACCGTAACAGATACTATACTACTTTTTCTTTTCTCATTCTGGCTCCGGAAGTACAGGATTCTTCTTTTTGTTTCATAATTCTGGTTCTTTGTATAGGTCTAATTAATCGCGACGATCGATGGTTATTTTGTTTGACCTTTTTTTTTTATCAGCCCCGCCTGGATGCTCACGCAATCAAAAAGATGTCTTTTTGTCTTTTTTCTGGTTTGTTTTATCTTTTTATTCCTCGCGCAGAGATTGGAGACGAAGAGAGGAGGACAGAGAGAGTATGTGTGTCTGTCTGTGTGTATGTTTGTGTGGAAAGGAAGACGAGATTATTTGGAAGATTAAGTTCATTCCTAGTCTTCCCCTTTCGAAGGTAATCGAGGACGAAAGCAAAGAAAAAGAAGAAAAAAGCCTGGAGCTACTTGTGTGAAGGCTGGTCAATTCCCCCCAACCCCCCTTACTACTACACCCTTACCCTACCCTACCTTACCCCCCTTCAGAAAGAGAGAGAGAGAGGGAAGTGAGATGGCATGCATGGCGCCCGGGCGAGAGGGGAGTTTTTTTTTTTACTAAGGGAAACGTTTTAAGGGTTGAGAGGATTTTGTAGTTAGGGAATCGTGCTCGTTGCTAGCTTTTTGCTTTATTTATATTTTTTGATTGATTGATGGTAATAAAATTCATTACTCACAACCAACCAACCAACCAACCTTGAGTCAGTCAAGTTCCGTCCCCTGTGTTAGTCTTCGTTCTAGTGCTAGTTAAATGTAAACAACATTAGTGATAGTGATAATGATAGTGAAATGCTAATTAATTAATGACTAGTGAGCGGGTGACAACCTAGTGGGTGTAGTTAAAGCGTAAAAAGCCTTTTTAGCGTTTATACATTTTGTATTTATATGAACTCCAGCATTCTACTATCTGAGCAGGCAGCTTGCTTTCACGCAGTTAGGTAGTACACCCACCCATCATCCCGTCATAATTGCATCTGGTAATCCTGTCATCCGCTCACCCTAACGCAATCGACTCACCCCTCTCTTCCCCTTCATATTAAGGGAGACGGGACATCAACTGCGGATTTCAGACCAACCACCGCCTCATCACCACCACGGTATATAAAACTAGGCCTACCCCCACCCCCCTCCACCAACTCCTCCTATCCTCTTCCTACCTATCGCTTGGTTTTATCCTCCGGGGATCGTATTTAATCATCGTGTTCAAACCCTTCTTTCTTTCTTTCTCGGACTGGGGAAAAGGGGGGAATAAAAGTAATTATTGGTATCTTAAGTCCTCGAAACACAGAATCCGGAGGTTTTCTTTCTTTATATATGCGGGGGGTAAACTCGGTCATGCTAGGGTCCATACGGGAGCTTTAACCAATACCTGTCGGCCTCGAACCTCAACCGCCACAAAGCCTGCAAATCGAACTTTGCTAGTGTCTTTAAGTGGTATCTGTTGTTGCTGTTGTTGCTGTTGTTGCGCTGCCGCCGCTGCTGCCGATGATGTCGTGTCAGTAATAACCGAAGCCGTGCTGCCTTTCCTGCTCCCGGGATAAGCTGTCCCGCTGAGCATATTCAACATACCGCTTTTTGTCTTTTCTCGCTTGGCTGCAGCGTTCTTGTCGCCGTCCTTATCGTTGTTTTCTTCGATATCATCCACCGGCTCTGGTAACGGAGGCAGTCCAGTTTTCTCGGGCTCCATAATGTCGTGCTGTATGGGGTCGCCAGGTAGCGGGTATGTAATGGCGACATCTCGGCTTTCCATAGGCAGGTGACTCGCAATGCCCACTGCTAATTCAACGATCATCGATGCGCTACCGTCTACACCGGCGGGTGGCGGGTCCGTCAGATATTGAAACAGTGTTGCCGTGAGGTTACCGGTAGCCATCTTAGTAAAATCTGCCTTATAGTCGTTGCTTTCGGGCGCGTGGAGTTGATGTTGGAGACCCTCCAGGGTAGCCATTCGCCAGTTTACCACTTTTGCTGTTAATGCATCGTATTCTTCCTGGCTGTTTAGCGTGTACGAAAACCTGCGGATATTCTGCTCTATTTGTTTGAGGTGGGAGCTGAGGTGGACGTCTAGGCCAGGGTGGAAGCACTTGTTAAAAATTTCGTCCACGAGCCACCGTACAATGACCGCACGCCCGACAGCAGTCATCTCCTGCTTGCCTGTCTTAATCGCTTCCGAGCTGACATATCTCTCGATCCACCCGGGTAACGTTCGCCAATCCTTACGAATGTTAAATGATAGGTTGTTTATAGCGCCGTTCAGTCGGTTGAACCGCGTTGAATACTCGTTATCATCCAGCGATGTTCGAGATTGAGACATTCTCTGGTTCGCAACCGCGTTTTGTAGCTGTTCGACCTGGGAAGTTAACTGCTCGATCTGAGCCTTGCCATCGAAATACAGCCTCTTGACGTTCTTGTATTTAGTTACTAGTATGAGGTTAGCAACCTGTTGACCGCGTTTTCAATGCATCTCTCACATAAGTCTTTGAATTGCTTCTCCGGGTCAGCCTCCCGCTCAGCGTTGCTCGATGGTTGTGGACTATTTCGACCGCCTTCGGGAGCAGCCCTATCATACTGCCCTTGGTCTTGGACGCCGCTAGAACGATAGGTTTGCGGGGTATTAGAAACGCTTGGCGTGGGCGGGAGAGGATTCATTGCATTCATGGGTCCTTGGCTATGTCTATAGACGGGCGGCGGCCCCGTGGGAGCCTCAACGGAGCGCATCTGTTTTTCGTTATCTCCCGATCTACGAGTCTGCCCAGGTCCTCCAGGTAGCGGTGCCATATTTTTGGTCTGTCCCGTTCCCACCGAAGCTTGCTGTTGGTTTTGTGAGCTCTGTAGTTCTTGTTGTACGTAATTCACGGCGGGTGAATCCTGTGCAGATTGAGAGTTGGCGGGTGTCTGTTGCTGTTGGAGCTGATTCTCTGGTTCGGAGTCAGGCGACTCATGTGACACCTGCGAAACGGTCTCGGGATTAGGCGGTTGGGAGTTCGCCGTGCTAAGATGATTGGAAAAAAGGGATGGCCGGCGATCTGACGGATATTGCTCGTAAGGAGCTGCGTACTGATACTGGGTCTGCACCGAGTCAAGAACGACCTGACCGCCGTATAATTGCTGTTGCTGTTGCTGCTCCGCTTGCGCTTGCGCGTGAGCCTGAGCCTGGGCTTGGGCTTGGGCCTGGGCTTGTAACTGAGCTTGGTGCTGGTGGTAGGCAAAGTCTTCGCGACTATATGACGAGTTTTCGGCGTCAGAATCGGAACTGGCAGGAACTTTTCTTATAGTGTTTTGAGATGGCTCTTTGTGATTCTGTGAAAACATATCTTGGTTAGAACGGGTGGTCAAGTAGGGGTCCTCAAGGTCGCGTACAGGTTGGATGGGTGAGTGGTGGCTACGCGAGCTGCTTTGGGGCGGAACCCAATCGGGGTGGTCGATAGGCCGCGACAATAAAGGGTTGCCTCTGACAACAGGGGTGTTGCTTGCCCGCTTGGATGGCCGTCGATTCAGACCAGAACTGCTGTCGTAGGAAGAGTCTTGATAGTGGTCAGAATTGGGCCGACTTGAGGAAGAAGAGCCGGAGAGGATGTTCTTAATTAGCTTCCGTGTTGATCGCTTCTGCTCAGTGGGGGCGGTTTGACTATGCGGTAAAGATGGTGGCTGGCTGGCTGGGATGGGAGAAGATAAGGTCTGAGGTAAGTTGTCAACCGAGCTGGAAGCGATGCCAAATGACTGTTGTGTCTGCAGCGGATTTAATTGTGAGTATCTTGCAGACTGAGACCTTGAGACCAATTCGGCGAAATTATCGTGGGGCTGTTGACGCGCGGTGTAAGCAGCGGGGGTTTGGTTGAGGGGTATTGAATTAGTGGATAAATTATTTTGATTGTTTCCGTACGCCTCGAGAGGCTGACCTTGACCCGCCTGGCTTTGTTGCTGGCCACCTAATGGATTATGGTGCGTATGTTGGTGCCCGCGTGGTGAGGGGTGTGGAGTTTGCTGCTTTGATTGCGATTGACCGGCCCTCGTGTTGTCGACCTGTTGATGTTGATGTTGATGTTGTAGTTGTGGTTGTGGTTGTGACAGATGCTGTTGAAAGGACTCACTAGAACCAAGGCCGATTGACGAGGCTGAAGAAGGTGTGGTATTAGAATCGTTAACGGAGACCGGCACCGGGCCCGAGTTGGTCACGGGAATTGTAACAGGAATACCTGTTCCAGATACACGACGACCCCCGGGATTCAGTGGACTAGACCCAGGCTGAGAAGCAGAAACGGGGGTAGGTACAGTTTGCTGTTGATGAGAGAGATGATGGGGCGGTGCAGTAACTCCACTGCCCGCCACCTGGTGTTGCTGAGAAGAGAGCTGCTGCTGCTGTTGTTGTTGTTGTTGTTGCTGTTGTTGAAGAAGGTGGTGGTGGTGGTGATGCTGTTGCTGCTGCTGTTGCTCGACCAGGTTATGCTGGGAACGATTACTGTGCTTTCCAATGCGACCGAAGGATGGCATAATGGTATTATTTCTTTTGGTCAGTTTACCTAGGTACTCTCCCTAAACCGAACGGAATTGGGCCGTCTGCTGCGCTCTGTCTACCTCTCTTTTGTCTCTCCCACAGCTGCAGATCTCGGTGCAGCGCAGACAAGGAGAAAGCGAGGCAAAGCACTACAGGAACAGGACCGAGACCAACCGGTTCGTACAAATAAGGATTTAGATAGATAAAAAAAATGATTAAAAAGATCTGGCTTATTTTCTGCTCGAGGTGTGTCGTCTGATTTTCCACACGCACCCCCTCTAATCAACCTACAGGGGTTTCCCGTTTTCTTTGCGGGGGGGCTGTGCTTGAAGATGTCCAGGAAGAAGACGGTTCCTCTCCTCTTTTTTTTTTCTTTTTTTCTTTTCCTTTTTTGCACTATTACTTTCGTACTGGGACCTATATTATTTCTGCTTTGCTGTTTGTTCTATAACCAGATGGTCGTCCGAATAGATTGAATTGTTACGATTGCAGAAGTTAGATAATAAAACAGGCGAAGTTTCAAAAAAGAAAAAAAATGATGATTGACCTCACTCTCGCGTCTTCTCTGTTTTCCAAGACGGCACAGTTAACTGAATTAATCCAGCCACTGATAGGCTGTGAGAATCGCGATCGGCGTCAAAAACTGCGCGTCGAAAAACGACCCAATCCGATATCAATGACAAGAGCCTCCGATGCCCAGAACAATGTAAAGCAACAAAGAAAGAGGGCTACAGGCCGAGTATTCATTAGCGACACAAAGACAGGGCGACAAGGTAATACCTAGCCCACATACATGTAGGTACAGGTATGTAAGGCACATAGACGTATACAAAGCGCCAGTAGAAATCTGGGATTTTGGATATGCAAAGCCCACGGGGCGAAGGATCGAACGTGTGAATGAGGATGGAGAGTCAATTAACAATGGAGATACCGTACAGAGTAGAAGAAGAGAAAAAAAAGAAAGGCCCTAAAACTATGGGTATGAGTAAATTGCAACAGGGCTTTCCTACTTCCTTCCACAATAGGCGATTTCCACGTATAGTTACAAGGTATAGTTACAAGGTAACTAGCATATACTTTTTGCCCAATCTAACCTCAAGTAGAAACATTTGGATACCTTAGTCAGGTACAGGTACCTAATCTGAATGCATCTTCGCAACCGAATACCAGATTAGGTCCACTACTTAAAGCTATTTTTGTTAAACGAAAAAGCATTAGCCTACACCACTTACCCCTCTATTTATCTGACCGACATAAGAAAAGGCCGCACGTAGAAAAGATGCTTACTTACTTGCACAGCGTCAGCCCCAGGTACCGTCCCAGGTTTAATCTGGCTCTCGATAAGACTAAACAAATAAAAAATTAATAATAAATAAATAAATAAGCAAAAATGGTAAGACAATAATAATGGCCATTAGCGGTCTCGAGCAGTCTTCTCTCACATCAGACATCGGTACGCCTGCATCCCTCGTTCTTGTTTTTAGAGTCCTAGTCCACTTTACAAGTTATAACAGGCTTAGGTAGCAGGTGTAGTCGCATCCGGAGATATCGTTTTGGGCATTAGTACCTCATTACCTCTACTATCCTCAGGAAGGTAGGTTAGGAGGTACTTTACACATTAAAACACTGTCACATACCGAGGAGAGGACCGATGTAAGGTAAGGTGAGTACCTAACCTAAGCTATGGCTTATTCTTTGCCAGATCGCCCCCAAGTTAGGTAGGTGCCTAATAGTTTTTGTTTTTGTTTTTGTTCAACTCAACAACGTAAAAAAGTTCATGTACAATCTGGGAATCTACCTACTATGTAAGCTGCAAGCGGGGTCTTTCTTCTTCCCTTTAGGACAGACAGTGTGAGTGAGGGAGGGCTTGTGAAGCGCTAACAAGCCGCTACTGTATGTATCCTAATGCACATGGTCTAATCTTTAGTATATGTGCTATTTATAGATCTTGTGTATGTGGTGAGACTGATTCATTCGTGGATACGTCATTGTGCTCAACCAGTAAGGGACCTATCAATTAATTGTGGGGGAGGACCACCTTACCCCTATTATTCCGTACAGGAGGCTACGGGACCTCCTACATACACCACTGGAGTTCCCGAGACAAAATCAGCCAACCTCCAAGCCGGAGTATAACATCTTGCATCGGCCCTAAGACGGTCCGCTTTAAAAAAAAAAAATGTAAGAGATAATCAAGTCAAATCTGGGGTCAACGTTACCTGAGCTAAACCACATATTTTGACCGAACGTAGGCTTAGACGGAACCTCTACGCATCTCTGTCATAAGATTGGATTCTTCGTGCTTCGGAGCATCTCAAAAAAGGGGCGTTCCGAGTGTGAATTCACCTTCGTATAGAGTTACGACCATTTTGGGGGCGCCATCAAACCACCGACAGCATCATACAGATTTCTTGCACTACTATAGGTAATAGCTATACCGAATTACAAGGAGTATTTATAGAGATAGTATAGGGGTTAACCTCCTTTTCTTCCCATGTGGCGGATGTATGGATTCAATACGAAGCACCTCGGCGGCGGTTCTCGGTCCTTGGCTAGAGCTTTGACGATCATAGGGCCGTGTGTCCTCGGGGAGTGGTCGTTTGCATCTGAAGGTGGTCTGCTTCCAAATCTATCTACCTACCTAGCTCGCAATCTCTTCACGTATATCAGGAACCGCCAATGCATGCGTTAGGTGTTGATGTAGGTAAGTGATGATGTACGATTGTCAGAGATCCCATGACGAGTGTCATACATAGAGTGAATCCTATAAGTAGTACCGTAGCGATGTAGCCGGAAGATATAATTATAACGCTTGTTCAAGAGAACATATAACTACCTACCCAGGTACCTAAGGTACCTCCTATCCTATTTATTATAGCCCTCTGTCATTAATTTACTTTGGACTTTGGTGCTCCGTCTCGCTCTCCTGCAAAATTACTCGCATATACAATGACCATAGTGAAATAAACCCTTAGCCGAATGGTATGGGGTTAAAGTCCAGACATTCGCTTATCATCCTCTTCGTCTGGTCGTTCGCTTAGGCAACCCCATACAGGCGTCAGGTAAATGATACCGTATCTAAAAATTCGATGCCGTTCGTTCGTATACGATCAGAGGTTTCGATGTTGCTCCATGGATTGCGCTTGTAGGTGTTGATTTTGGAGGAAGAAAACGTCCTCTTAAAACGTGTACCATTCCTTTTTTATGTCCTGCTCGAATTTATCGGCGGTCTCCTAAAATATCATTGATAACAGGTTAGTCCCTGTGAATGTATCAGGACTCAAAGGGGAGGTAGGTCTAGGTAGGTATTGACTTGCCTTGTAGTCCCACATCAAGAATTTCAGGTACAGTCTCGGGAGGTGTCGCCATACGTAGAAGTGATACCGATCTTCGACACACGAGAACTGCTTCTTGATGCTCTTGTAAACGGTGGCAGCAAACCAGTAGCAGTTGCTTCCGACCGGACACCAAGGTCCGCCTACGACGGTGGTCTGTTTAAGTATCTCGGCCAATCGCACCACCGTGAAGCTGTCTGTTGTGAACTTGAGACTGCGCAAGGGTAGTACAGGCCGAAAAATCGTAGAGCTGCCTACGCTTCTGCTTCCGTTGCTCTTAGTGTTTCCGTCAGAGTCTTGCTGGCCTAGAGGATGGTGTGTCGAGCCCCATCGCCCAAGCACAACCAGGTCATTAGATACGTTGCGCTCTGCTACAATACGGGTGCGGGCGCCGGTAACGGTGTTCTCGATGGCAATGTGAAGGGATTCGTGCGCGAGGGAAGAAGCAACGCTCTTCACGTGGATGACGGACTTTACTACGCAGTTTTCGTAGCATGAGGCATCTTTTGATAGGCGCGAATGCCACCTCGTAGTCTCGAATTCGTGCTCTCTATTCGAAAAAAGGTCTTTAACTAGAGACATTGTGTAGAATTAAGGAAATAGTATATAAAAAGATGGATATATGAGTGTAGGTGGGCTAGAGGGCGATGATGATGATGATGATGGAATATTATGATGAAGTGGTGGAAAGGAATTGAAAAATGACAAAAGAAATATACGTAGAACGTGTTCATATCGTTTCAATAGTAAAACAACGGTCCGTGTGCCAAACGTCAGCGCATCCGTAACCTTAGTAGGGAGGTAAGCTTTATACATTCGCCTCAAGGTAGAATTTGAGTTAGTATAGTTTCCGTACCTATTGTGGTTAAAAACATAGAACCCAGCCACTTACTTCGAGAGGTGCCTCATATACGCCATTAATTACAGGTGCTCAAATATTGCTGTCCAGTGGGTGTAGGCGTTGGCTTGAATTGGTCGATCAACAAAACGTCGGTCTAACTGTCGCTCATTCACGCTACCTACCTTATATTGTAGACATCCAACAATAAGCCTCGGGGGTCGTATACAACAAGCTAGATTAGTACCCAGATAGACCTAAGTATCCAGATAATGCTTTCCTAATCTGTATAGCCTATCCTCGTCGAAGTCTCAAGTACTACCAGAGATGGTATTCTCGTTGATTAAGCCTAAGAATAAGGTTAGAGCGTGCTCGGCTCGAACGTCTGTTATCTGCCTCGGAGCTCGACAACACTGCTTAACTTCAAATGAGTACAAGCTTAAACACACAGGAGCTAGGTATTCCACACCTGGTAGAATCGATGCCAATAACAATATCCAACTCGACTTGTATTGCATGTTCTCCTCATTAATGCATAGGGTAAAGTACCTACCTCCTATCTTGAATGATTCAAGCACATAACCATAACTACCTAACCTGCTTACCTACCTAAGGTAGATATTACCCTCCACACCTCATAGGCGGTTGAACCTACACCGTCTACATGCCAGGGTGTTGCATTGGCAACATTCAAAAATGTAATCAGGCAGCCGGTCCCTACACTCTTCACACCTGAACGCCCCATACCGATATCTCCAGTCCAAGTGCTCGCATTCATGGTACTCCCTCAAGTCATTTACAATATTTCTGATATTCGCCTCTCGAACGTCGGGTCGTTCGTTTTCTCGATAGTCTCTGTCGTGTATCTCTGCTGCCCGGTCATAGATCAGATACTCATCCCAATGACGACACCTGCAATTCTTCCAGGGTGCGCAACAAAGGTAGCAAAAGTGAGAACCACATCTACACCTGGTGAAAAAGTCAATACCTAGGTATGTACTTCGAATACGCCCGAGGTTGGCACTCACGTCATATGGAAACAGCCCTGGTTCAATTCGATTAACGACAAGCAATTGGGACACCTCTGCCACTTGTTGTCTTGGGCAAGTTCAAGCACTCGCTGAAGGTCCTCGTCGTGAGGGCAGTCGCCGTAATGCGAGGGGCCTTTGCAAGTGATGCAAGTTTTTCCGCCGCAATCGTTACAAGTTGCTATATCGCCCTCGTAGCTTTGTGGAGGTATGAATGCAGCGCAAGTCGGGTTGTGGCAGTACGTTCGACGCGGCGTAGAGAACTCAATCTCTTTGATTCGAAATTCGCTAACGAGTCCTCTTGGAAGTAAGAATTGAATCTTATCAAGTGGGATATTCTGTCGGCAACAACGAGGAGGGAACAACGACTCGTCGGCCATTGCGCACTGAAATAGTTGCACAAGGCAATCTCGACAGTATTCATGGTCGCATGGAGCTCTCGCCACTTTAGTGAAGCATTTCCTCTCTCCGCAAGCCAGGCAGGTCCGTCTTCGAGCCGTTTTCTGAGGCATACGAGAGGCTGCCCAAGATGAGCTCTCGGGCTGCTCACCAGCGGCGGTAAGAAGACTCTCTACGTCGCTGTCGCCTCGGTCTTCGTCTTCAACCCCCGTGATGTAGAGCGCGGAGAGTTTATCCATGAGTTCCAAATTTCCCACTGATTCGGAATCATCAGAACCAACGCCTTCTGCATGCAAAGTATCAGAGGAAATTCCTAAGCTCAATGCTCGCGAGATCTCCCGATCATTCCTCGCCATGAGCTCCTCACGTTGAAACTGGACAAGGGTATCCTGATCGGTTTGTATTGCCTCTTGAATGCTTCTGGTCATTTGACGATCAGAAGCAAAGCTCGCTGCGTTATTCAACTCCTCCGAGTACAGCTGAAGAGCAAACTCGGCATCAGTGAGCGTACCTTCGAGCTGCTTCCCTTTAGCAGCCGACGTCATCTGCTCCGCATCATCTAATAGGAGAGCAGTAATAAGGCACAAATCTTTCTCGTCAGCAATGACCCAGTCACGTACCATATTCTCGATAGCAGCCATTTCAATTCAAGGTTGTCAATATAATTCGTTTCTATGCGCGTTGTAGCGAATTCAAGTGTGCTTAACAGGTAATGAAGTTTGTCTTCTCCCCATGGTCGAAGAGGATGTCCGCTGTTATTATATTCAAACCTATTCTTGACTTGATCTTAAGCTTCAATGCAAATACTGAGCCTAAAATAGCTTCCTACCAATGATCATCCCTCATCGGCCATCTCTAACTTTAGCTCAACGCGACGTAAAACCGAATAAGGTCTTTGCATCTGAATTTGAGTTCGTATGAGCGAGCGTGCATCTCATAATGACAACGACTCCGACATTAGTTCTTTGATCAAATGGGGCTTCCATCATTGAAGCTCATGGTTAATTGTAGATGCATAAATGCTCTGACACCAACTCGCTTCAAGAATTTCTCCGGTATCGACCAGACTTGAGATTATTTATAGGTCACGGCAATTCACAGATACCTTCTTGCAATCCATCATAGGATAGCCTTCTACAATATTATTCTATTGAGGAGTCATTTGGCCCCTTACCTATTACCTACATACCTACCTCCGCTTCACTCGCAGAAACAACCCCCAAATCGTGAGCGGAAATATATTAACCCCTTGCTTCATGTTTACAGCCATCATCACCATATGCATGACCATGTCGATATTATTGACTCTGTCGCGGGCATATGCCAAGTTTTGCATCAAGAAGGTTCATCTTGAAGACTGTATGTATCTGGGTCCGAGGCGTTTCAGTTGAGACGATTTCTAACGATTAAAAGTTCTCGTCACTGCTGCTTTTGTGGGTTGATCTCAGCTATGGTTTTTTTCTTTCTTTTTTTTTCTCATCTGCTAATCTTCTGACCAAGTAGATCTTCTTCGTAGCATTCAACGGATGCGAATATCGTATCATTGCGAAACATGGCATGTTCGTCCATCAGTGGGAGATATCTTTACGATCCCAAACGAACTTCCTTTGGGTACCTAGATGTCATCATTTCTTGCACTGGGATACCTCGTATACAATGCTAACCCGTAAGCGGTAGCTTGCTTATCTCGACGAGAATTTCTACATATTCGTAGTGGCTTGTCTCAAGGTTTCGATACTTTTGGATTGGGTTCGCATATTCGTCCCTGTTCGCACTCGAAATACGTTCTTCTGGACATGCCATGTACTTCTATGGCTTAACCTCCTTTTTATATCACTTGTCTCATCTCTTTTAACATCGTATGCACGCCCCCACAGAAGAGATGGGATACGACCATAGAAGGAGGTCATTGTTTCAACGCTATGATACTGCTGCGTTCTACCGGGATCTTTAACTTGGTATCAGACTTCATAATTTTTCTTGCCCCCCAATGCATTATTCGGAAATTGCGCATGCCACGAAGAAAAAAGCTATCAATTTCGTTTGTGTTTGCGATGGGTCTACTATAAGTTCATATCTCTCTAAGACACGTTGGATTCTAACGATATCGATATCAAAGTTGTATGGTATTCGCAGGCTGTCGAGTTGGTCTCTCGGTAAGGGGCCTTTATCAGTGGGATATGACCTATGACCCGTCAAAAATATTCTTATGGGCAGAGGGCGAAATGACTGCCCTATTCTTCGTTGCCTGCTTACCCTCGACTCCAAAGACGGCTAGCAGCATAAAATCGAAGTACACGTCTTGGGCTTCTAAGTTTCTGGCCTCATCGTTGGTAAATGCCAAAGAAACGAAAGGACATGTCAGGAGTCTCACTTGAGACTCCTTGGAACAAAGGAGCTGTTCTGTATATAGCTTTGGCTTCAAAGCACTTGTAGTTAGAGTTCCTTGCGGAACAACGAAGTTGTTTTACCTACTGCATGCTCTGCGACGTGACAGGACACGCATCGTGGCCTCATTCAAGAAATAATTCACGAGACAATAGATCCTACAAGAAAGTGGCTGGACATGACCTTGGCCAAGTAGATGGCTCTCAACTTATACTCTTCCCTTCTCCTGTCCCTGCTATTATAGATGCGGATTGGCCTACTGGCATCATGCGTACCACATAATTTGCTACAACAGAAGAACGAGTTTTCAGTCCTCAGGACCAACAGACTTACCACCAGCCTTGGGTCTAACAATCTCTGACTCGTAGTTATGTAGGGCGCGTCAGAAGAAAATGTACTCCTTTTGTCTTGAGCACACAGCAAGGACACCTTCGCAATCCTTGGAACAGAGACAGTGGATGGGATGATATGAATTCTTTTCTTTAGGAGGGGGCGGCGGGCGGCGTAAAAATGGTTCATCTCATATTGAATGCCACTTCATCACAAATGTGAACTTGGCGGACATAACGACTTCTGAGCATCAGTTTGGCCCAGCTATGTGATATCTCTAATTATTTGTTATCTGGGGAAATATCCATTTATTATTTATTGCCTTGAAAATTACTAGAAGCATGTTGTTAGTTTGAACTCAAGAGGCGAATAGGGGCTGTGATCATTAGGTTAGGAGGTACCTACACATCTTCTGCTACCTATTTCTGTCCTTCTTTATGCAATCTCACCGACTCTTCAATCTAGCCGAATTGCATCCCCAAAGAGCGACAAGCTTAAGTTAGGTACAGATAGGTCTATGTGTCCGGTGCTAAATCTTACACCAGTTTTGTGGCCGGGTGGCCGCAGGATCTTCACGGAGAATGGAAATATCGCATCCCTGGCATTTATAGTCTGAACGGCCACTTTATCGACCATGCGCATGGTTTATTACTTAAGATCTACTATAAACCCCTTCGGAACGGGAATTTCCGTATAGATTAGCGGCAGGCAAGTGCAACACCGTCATATCAAGACCATGAGAAGCAGAACGCCCCGAATACATGTCATGGGCAATAGATAATCGAGGAATAATTGATATACGTACGTTCCACGTTTATATCATATATAGACGTCGGAGTATTCGTCAATGATCCAGGTATTTTAACGCTGAGAAATTGCCGCCTCGTTCGAACCCCTATTTTACCAAGCCTGCAGTGTTAAGCTGGTATAACGTTGTTAGAATACTCTACTGATTCAGAAGTAAGTAGATAGTGGGACATCTTCTAAAATACAATAATAGGTACTCTAGGCTCGGCAGGGTAATTTGTTGAGATTTGTTGTCGCCATCTAATCGCTTCCGGCTACCGGGAGCTCATTTTGGAATAATGCTGGCGATATATATGTCTCTTGGCGCATAGCGTAGACCCTCCGATGCTAAAGTGAGAACGGGACTTACACTAAATTTCGTACTTATTAGGCATGCGCATATTGCCTTTTAGTTTTTTGAATATATCCATTGCTCTTCTCGCGTGATATCTTACCGTATGTTCCCACCAGCTAGCATATTATAATGAATGATGTTATTTACAGATTACCTTGCCAGTCCTTATATATAGATTATCCCATAAAATAGTTGTAAATGCCCTGAGTTTATGAAGCGTTATTGTTACTAACTTACATTAGATCGCTGGGTAGGATCGATTTTTCCCAAATAGGCTCTTTTGTGGAGAATGAGGGAGATTCCGGGCTTTTAATTGGATACGACGGTTTTTATAATATGAGTGTAATAAACATATTAAATAAAAAAAGAAAAAAATGTTAAAAAATAAAGAAAATTTTATTTTATATAGTTTTATATTTATTTTAATTTTTACGGGTTTATTTAAGTATATTTTTAATTTCTTTTATTTTTTTTTTATTATTATTAAATTAATAATTACGTGTTTATGTAATTATATACGTTAAAATTGAAATTATTAAAATTATATTTTATATATAATTTTTTTATTTTATATTATTATGAATTAATAATTAAGGAAATTACGTTTAAATTTAAGAGTAAAGTTTTTTAAGGTAAATAAACTTTAAAATAATTTAATAAAAGGTAATAATTTTAATAATTTTATAAAAATGTTATAAATAATAATAATAATAATAAAACATTTTATATAATTATTAATTTAAATTTTATATTTAATTTATAGAAAAAGAAAAACTAAGTTTTTTTAATAAATATTTTAATATTTAATTTATATTATTATTATTTATTTAAAAATTAAAATTTATTAATATTATATTTTATTAAATTTAAATATAAATTCGTTATAAATAATTTATTATAATTAAAACCATTTATGCTTACTTTTTATAATATATAAATTAAATATAACTTAAACATTTTCCAACCATATAAACGGGTACTATTAACCCTTTTCTTATATAGCTGGCTGCTAATATAACTAAGACGTACAGGTATACCGCTGTAACTTCGTATCTATTAAGTACCTAACTGGCATATTATCAGTCCCTACAAAGGAACTTGAATTTCTACGGCGAGAATGCTTTATTAATGCAAGACTAGGTAGTTTGAATGTAGCTATATTTCGACGCTTAGAAGATCCACGTCGAAACCTATGGCAGTTCTTGTACCTATCCACCTACCGTAGTCATAGTTATTTCTAGGCGTATGGGACCGCGTGCTGGAATTGGAGAAGCTTCCCATGGGTCGGTGAAGTTCGGTGAAGTTCGGTGAATGTAATGCGACGGCGCTTTGATGTTCGGTCCGGATAGGCTACTTACCTATCAAGAGATCAGGGTCTGGCAAGGTTCAAGTTATCCCGCTAGAATTCATCTGAGAGCTAATATCGCCTAACATGAGTGAGATGTTAAGAAAGATGGAGCGTATTGCGGTGCGTATATTCCAGGAGAAATATAGTGTGATTCGTAGTCGAAGGCGCCAATAGACTCCGCAACGTAGCACTTAGAGGCTGAAGTATGCCCAGAAGAGGAAAAGAAATCGTTGAAACGTTGAAACGTTGGTTCCGTAGCAAAGCCTCTAGGAGAAAATGATACCTTCGGAAATGGGAGCGGAACGGAGGGGTTGCTCTAAATCAGGTGTCGGCCGGCGTAGAACTTGCATAGACGGACCTTTAAAGGCCCTAATAATTACCTCAAAAACAGCTCGGTATTTCTAACGGCCGCCCAATTGAGAGCTTGTTGCGGATGGCTAGACGGGCTCCCTTCCGGATGAAGGTCTCGGATGTCCAGACCTTGCCGATCCTCACACCAGTCCCTTGAATGCACCGCCGGATCGGAAATGTAATGAAACCCGCGTGTTAGGAACCACCCCCGAATTCTTCCTTGTCGAGATATACATCTATAGTGCCATAGCTGAGGTACCCAAAGTACCTACCTAAGCTGGGATGGGGTAGTAGACGAATGAAAAAGAAGACGACGGGACGATGAAAGCGACGGGCCGGTACTAGCGATCATGTTTTGCTCTTATGTCGAAGGTACAAAGCAGGGGGGTAACTGATGGGGAAATGTTCTAGAAGCGAACAATCTTAAAGACATAAGGGAGTTCCTCATTCCTTACCTGAGTATTACTACTTACTGTATTGCTATCATGTATGCAAGACCCTTACGGCCAACTCCTCCCGACCTAGCAAATGAGTACCTACCTAGGTAGGTAGGTATTACCCATTGAAAGCCACCGAGCCGGAAGCTATGCCGTCCTATAAGTTGGATAGCATTCAATTAATCTACCTTGACGTAAGGTCATATTCTCTTCGTCATGAAACGCAGCAGATCATCATCATGTCTCACCAACAATTGGAGGGAACGCCATGTGGCTTTGAGAGTGGGGTCTTTTTCTCGATGAGGGAACCGGGGATAGGGGATAGGGGATAGCCTAATGGGAATAACCTCGGCGGTTCTCCGATGATAGGAGCGTTGCGTGCTCTGAGTCGTATCCATCGTAACCCTGTCAATAACCTTTTTGGGCGATCAAGAAGTGTCAAAAATTTGCTTTGTCGGATTTGATGATCTGAGTTGAAACTTGTTTGTTGACCAGGATAAGTGGCTTTGGTACTCAATCGAGAGCAGACTTGGTCATAATGAGCGAGCTTCTCGAAGCCCATGAGAGCACCCATGCAAAAAATCAGTCGAGGGTTGTCGAGACGGTCAAGAAAGTTTTAGGTTTCATTTGGAGTAATTGGCTGGTGCTGGGATTTGGCCTTGCTTGCGTTTTAGGATACTTCTTCCCCCGTAGGTCAACAACTTGAATATTGTCCTGGTACTTTGCTGGGGTTGCTGATCTCTCTGAAGATGTTGCGGCCCGCGGTGGCATTATTCGGTCAGAATATTCCATCTTGTACGGAGGTATTGCATTGATCTTCTTCATCAACGGGATGCAACTCAGCCCAACGAAGCTTAAAGAACATGTGACAAATTGGCGTTTGCACATTGTTGTGCAAGGCATCAATCTTGTTCTCATACCAGTCATTCAATTGGGTACGAGATTTTACCTATGTTCCGCTGATGGCTTATTTTGCTGATATTTTCTAGTCATCGTCCATATTATAATAGCTGCCGGAGGGGTAAGCTCGGGGACGATAGATGCTAGCATCCTCGTTGGAATGGTTGTAGTTAGTTGCATCCCGACGACTATCGCATCTAATGTGGTAATGACGAGGAATGCGGGTGGTGATGAAGCTGCTGCTATCATTGAAGTTGTAATTGGCAATGTTGTTGGATCCTTTCTCTCGCCGTGGCTAATCTATGGATTTCTTCCTAACGGAAGCGAGTTCGATTCACTTAAACCGGCGAAAGCAAATACATTAGGGCCGATGTACGCCAACGTCATTGAGCAATTAGGGCTCAGCGTCCTCGTTCCACTCGTAGTTGGCCAGGGCTTAAGATGGACATTTCCGAAGCGGGTGCCTTGGATACTGAGTACATTTTACCTGCCACAATTCTGCTCGGTATTGCTTATGCTAGTAGCCTGGTAAGTACCTCCTATACAAGGCTAGCCGGTGTTGACAACTTCGACTGACTTATCCCACCAGGTCGACCTTTTCAGGAGCGTTCCAGACGGGGGCACTGACTGCTCTGCCTAAATCGTCTGTGATATTTAACGTTTTTATAAACATAGCAGAGTATATCTTGTTTACTGCTATCTGCTTCTGGATAGCATCGCCACCGGAGATCCTTATTAAGGGAATTAACGGCTACGTTGCTGACTCGCGTATAGGCTCATATCTACCTAAGATTATTAGAAAGGCCGTGACGGCGAGAAAGATGCCAAAGGAACTTGTTGTTGCTGTCTGCTTCTGTGGAGCTGCAAAGACCACGAGCGTAGGCATCCCGTTAGCTGCCGCCATGTGGTCTCAGCTTGACAACTTTACCATCTCGTCTATCCAAGTGCCAGTACTGCTGTATACGGTAGAGCAGGTGTTCATTGCACAATTCTTCACTATCTTCTTCAAGTGGTGGTTACATCGAACCGATAAGGGGCTCCTAGATGCCGAGTCAGCTATGACTCGAGAAGAAAATCAAGCTATGGACGAGGTAGATAGCACTCGCCAAGACAAGGGGAATGCAAACCGTGGTATTCCGCCCGAGTCAACCGATGCGAGCTTGTTGGGTGAGAAAGAAGTTTCATGAAAATGCGATTTAGTAAGATGAATCATATATGGGGTTCCCCTAATGGATGATTTTATTGACCAAATGTAGGTAGGTAGATACCTTACGCCCGTGGGAGAAATAAATGTGTTTGGATGTAGATGTGGTAGTTGATAAGGTACTGGAGAAATTTCCGTGACCTCGATGATGAGATACTTTTCTTAGGTCTTGCATAGACTTTACGGTTTATATGGTTAATTCAATACGTCATATTTAATCTTTATCCGTGTAACGAGGAGATAGGCACCTGCAGAATTGCAGGTCGCAGTTTCTATCTAAAGGTGACGGGAATTACTACCTCATTACCTCATTACGTGGGGCCAGAGTTATCAGCCCACTTTATAACCACTTATAACGCGCCTTTCTCATTGAACGTTTCGAAACATTCTGGAATCATCACCCATGATTTTTCAACAACAAGATCATCGAATTGGAACAGTACCGTCCGTTCCAGACGATTCCAGCTTCTACATATAACATATACCATACACATACACATATTAGAATTTATACTAGCTAATCCTCAACTTAATCCTTAACCAAGAAAACAAAAAATTTAATAATATCTATCTTATTGCTGCTGTTTCGTTCATTTGACAACTTGAATTTTCTTGATTTCGCTCAATTTCATTCCTAACAACTTCAGTTCCTAAGAGAGAGATCCATGATGAATTCTGACAGAACTTTACGAGGAAGTTGCCACTGCGGCAGAAATCAATATACAGTTCTAATACCCGGGGATTCTTCTGGAGGAGCTCAAGTTCTCTTTGATTCGAACATAGGCCGTAGTAAGTACTTGAAATTTAATGAGTGTACCTAGTTGATCATCTCGTCTAGCCAGCCGCAATGTATGTGCGGAGAGCTAACGCTGCATATGAATAGGAATTCCGTCGGCAACGCCATTTTCGGCCTTCCTCAGAGTTCCGCTTTCGTGGTACCACAGCCAAACATTTCCATTCTTCCCCGACGAGTCTCGGATTAATATAAGACGTGTCTATTCACATCCCACCGAGCAAAATGCTATGCGACAATTCTGTGGGTTCTGCGGAACTCACTTGTCATATTGGTCCGAAGAACCTAGGAGCGAGGCCGACTATATTCAATTGACGCTAGGTAGCCTCTTGGACGAAGACCTCCGTGACCTAGAGGATCTAGGATTGATCCCCGACGAATCTGAATCGGACCCTATGGAAATTGTGCCTACCACTACTACATCCGACCAAATTTCACAGTTGACCGGACGGGATGTAGCGGGTATTCCATGGTTCGAAAGCATGATTCTAGGTAGTCGTTTAAGCAAGCTTCACGCTACGAAAAGAGTTAGGGAGAGTCGAGACGGAGGGGTTCGAGTTGAGTACGAAGTTACGGAATGGACAGGAGATGATGCGGCAGAGGACGGGCAACAGCATGCGGGAATATTCTATGAGGCACCTACGACGGGTAAGAGAAAACGCGGAGAAGCTGATGCCGGAAAGGGCGGAAATACTTCCTAGGACATCATGATTTTGATCGCTCGGTCGCCGTGCATGCGGCCGATCGAATCTACCTGCTACTGGATGATACAGCTATAAGGCATTAGCGAGAAAAAAAAAAAGGGATCGGCTTGAAATAGGATAAGTATTACACCCATCGGAAAGATGCTCACTTCCTCCTGTGTTCTCTAGGTAGCGGCAGCCGCTGCCTTTTATTCCTGCAATGCGGCGACTGGATAAGTGAATCCTACACTGAGGCTTATCATTATTCGCAAGGATACATAGTAGTGATCTGTCAAATAAGATCTAAGCTTCCGTCTAAAAGAATAAGTTATATCGAATAGGGAATCATTTCGGTCAGGAAAACTGGATAAGCCCGGAACAGGCGATTTTCAAGCCATGGAGTAATTATGGCCGAGATATTTGTGCAGCAACCAAGATGGCAATCGGTGAATGGACATAGGAAGATAATTCCGCAAGATATCGTATAAAGAAGTCGTTATTGTATTAGTATACGACAATATTGATCTCCGGGACTCGACATGAACCAACCGATACCAAAATTGAATTAGAGGTTCAAAGTTGATATGCAGCTATAATTTTTTTTTTTCGCAAGTCAGATATCTCGCCGGTCGTGGGCTGACCTTCCATGTGAAAAAAGGATGTTGCACCGCATTCCCACGAAGCAGGCGGCCAAGATCGATCTTTTGAATCGCTAGTGCTACTCATCAATTCGTGACTATCCCGAATCCAAGGAACACCGCTGATCCAAGAATGGGGACTATCGTGTCTACCCACTCGGCTGTACCGCCGAGGTTTTCACGAGCCCCTGGCTTACCCTGGCTGATCCTGGCTGACCCTGGCTGCATAAAGGGCCAAGACTCAAGAACTCAGACAGACATGTACACTTCTGGTGGTCGGAGTTACGGGCCGTCGCTGGGATCTAATATGTTTCCGGCACATGACGAGTTCGTTTGTGGGGGGACATCCCAAATCAAAAACTGGACCCTGTCTCTTCGCTCGTGTGCTTACAAGCTCCAATTACCCCGCGGCGGAGATGCTTGCTATGGCCTATGTGGGTATGAATGGTTTGGAGAAACAGCCATCATCGTACAAGCCTGTTGTTCTCGGTCGTCACGGTCCGATACGGGAGAAAGGGGAAAGTGCCGGTCATAACACTATACGCTATACATCGAAAAGTAGACGAGCTCACCTCTAGAATACCTAAAGCCTCACAAGGGTATAAAGAAGATGCCAGCCTCCATTCCAACGTCGAGCAGTCGTTCTGCTCGGCGTGATTCGAGTCAACAGTTAGCATTTTCTACTTGTTATAACTCGTTATACCCTTCGTGAGATTGTTTGCAGACTTGGCTGGGTATCAGAGCATATATCCGTTTTTCCTGGACGAATTCGAAACTCTAGTACGCTCCTGCGTATAGCCTAGATACCCATTTATCGCCTTTGCAATTTCAGAAACATTTATTCAACATGTCGTTGCCCTCAGATTTTCTCTGGGGCTTCGCTACGGCAGCGTGAGTACTATCTGCCAAGCTCTCCTCCTCCATCAGATACAACACTCGTACCTACACACTAAGAAAGATACCTCTGCCGCTAACTTCAGCTGTTCTCCGCACGTAGCTACCAGGTTGAAGGCGCGATAGAGCAGGATGGCCGTGGTAAAACTATCTGGGATACGTTCTGTGCTATCCCGGGGAAGATCGCAGATGGAACCGACGGATCTGTTGCCTGCGACTCGTATAACAGGACTGCTGAAGATATAGCCCTTCTAAAGAGACTCGGCGCTACTGCTTATCGTTTCTCACTATCGTGGGCAAGAATCATCCCCCTCGGCGGCCGGAACGACCCGATTAATCAGGCCGGTATCGACCACTACGTCAAGTTCGTCGACGACCTACTTGAGGCTGGTATCGTTCCTTTCATCACATTACTACACTGGGACGTCCCAGACGCGCTTGATAAGCGGTATGGAGGTCTTTTAAATAGAACAGAGTTTCCACTTGACTTCGAGCACTATGCCCGTGTTGTTTTCAAGTCGATTCCTAAGTGCAAACATTGGATTACATTCAATGAGCCTTGGTGCAGTTCTATCTTAGGATACAGCACGGGGTTCTTCGCCCCTGGTCGCACCTCGAACCGAGCCAAGTCCCCCGTCGGTGATTCCAGCCGAGAGCCTTGGATCGTCGGCCACAACCTCCTCGTTGCCCACGGCAGAGCTGTTAAGGTGTACCGCGAAGAGTTCAAGCCCACCGATAAGGGACAGATCGGGATCACCCTAAACGGCGATTACACATACCCCTGGGACCCCGAGGACCCCAGAGACGTCGAGGCTGCCAACCGAAAGATCGAGTTCGCCATCTCGTGGTTCGCGGACCCCATCTACCTCGGCAAGTACCCCGACTCGATGCGGAAGCAGCTCGGCGACCGGCTGCCGGAGTTCACGCCCGAAGAGCTGGCGCTGGTCAAGGGCTCGAACGACTTCTACGGCATGAACCACTACACCGCGGACTACGTCAAACACGGCGACGGCAACCCGCCTCCCGAGGACTTCCTGGGTGACCTGTCGACGCACCCGTACAACAAGAACGGGGAGTGCATCGGGCCGGAGACGCAGTCGTTCTGGCTGCGGCCGAACGCGGAGGGGTTCCGGGGGCTGCTGAACTGGCTGAGCAAGCGGTACGGGTACCCGACGATCTTCGTGACGGAGAACGGGACGAGCATCAAGGGGGAGAACGACCTGCGGGAGCCCGAGATCCTGGACGACGTGTTCCGGTACGAGTACTTCCGGGACTACGTGGGCGCGATGGCGAAGGCGTCGAGCGAGGACGGGGTCAAGGTCAAGGGCTACATGGCCTGGTCGCTGATGGACAACTTCGAGTGGGCCGAGGGCTACGAGACCCGGTTCGGCGTCACGTACGTGAATTACGCGGACGGCCAGCAGCGCAAGGAGAAATACAGCGCTAAGAAGATGAAGGAGATCTTCGACGCGGTTATCAAGAAGGACTAGGTACCTACCTACCTACCTGCCTACCTACCTAAGCGATTAAGGGGGGAAGGGGGGAGAGAACCTCAGGGGAGAGGGGATACCTTTGGGTAGGTACCTAGGGTACCTAACCTACCTGAAGCAAAGAAAGCTGCGGGGTCAAATGGTCCGGAGGTTTCTCTTTTCGGCCTTGAGCGAGTATGTGGTGTGTGGTGTGTGGTGTGTGGTATGTGTGTGTGTGTATGCGTGTAAATGGACCTCGATACCTCAGGCAATTTGGAGTATATAATCAGGGATACTACTATGGTTACCTACCTACGTTTGTTTGTTTGATTTTTTTCTTAATTATTTACTTAATTGTTTATCGAAATATTATGACACGTGTCTCGCCATGTTTTCCCTTCCTTCTCCCTCGCTCTGTCGAGGGGGAAGGGTTAGGTAACCATTGGAAATCATCTCGTTACATACCTGGTACCATTGTTGCCCACTCGTTGCTGGCTTGGTAAGATTGGGCGCGAAAGACGTGCTTACTGACAAATCGAATTGGCTGTCTACCGTGAGTAGCCGAGGTATAATTTATTGTTACTGCCACTGTTACTCGTAATTTCATTAGAAACGGCCGTGGGCGTGGGCGTGGGAGAGGGCCATGTCAGAGTTTACCGCTACCGGTACTATTACCCTCGGTAGTGCGTCGATGATACGTATAAAGTGAGCTTTATACCTATCTGCAGGGATGGAATGTATATAGTTATGCGGAAAGACTTAGTGGTATATTAATTAGAGGTCTATCGAGCCAAACCTTACCTAGTAGATATTGTAGTTATATGCGTTGGTATTATACCTAGCATAGTAAGCCAATAAAGAGCCACGTCGTGATCCGCCTTCAAGCACATATATAGTAGGGAAACGGTATTCACGGTATAGGTACATGTGCCTGTTATTATATATGGGATCGCAGGCCCAACTGCCTGGTACCGCGGGTATATATCGATGTGACCCTCCTTTGTATTAGATAGACGTCTGAAGACGATCCCGAAATAGGCCCTTGAGCTCGTACGTATATCACTTAGGTAAACATTTGGCCTGCAATACTCTTCATCTCTTCTATTTACCCCCACGCATTTTGGTTTATTCTCCAGGAGAGGATCTTGAAGAAAGGATGTAGCTCGGCTACGCAAGGGTGTTACCAGAGGTAGAGACAGAGATGTTGTAGAAAACTGGCATGGCGCCAGTGAACGAGGCATGTTTTCTATCAAGCTCTTAAGTCAAGCTTAGAACCAACTCGAAGTATACCTTATATATAGGTAGGTAGGTAGGAGGTAGTTGGTGCTTTTCTGAGCGTTATGTCTATGCTATAAGCTTAAATCAGAATTCCTTTTACTTTTCTAATATTTATTCACTAGACCCTTCGCTACTGATTTCAAGAAGCCATAGTCATTATATCATGCCTCTTATAGGCCCCTTTACCTTCATATACCGTATCGAAACAGTTGCCTAATTCCACCTAACTCCCATGTTATACACAAACCGTTCACCACACAACCAGACAAACTAGCCAAAGTCGTAAATGCTTTCTCTTCCCCCCTAAGGCTGCCTCTTCGCAGCAAGATCATGCAAGTCTCCCGTCTCGCCGACCTGCACTCTACCGCCCGAGCTTTGGTCCGCTTTCTTGGGTCCGGTTTTCACGGCGCCGTCGACCCTGTCCTTGAGCTCCTCGCCGTGGGATTCGATGTTGGCGCCGAGGTCCGACTGGGTGGTATTGCCGTACGTCGCGGACGTCTCGTCGATGATGTTTCTGGGGCGAGGCCAAGTTAGTATCTAAGTCATTGTATTATAACGAAAACAACAGATACACTAAAGACATCCGTTCCTAAGAGCTATGGTATGATATAAAATAAGAGGCAGAATATCAAAAGGAAACTCGACTTACTGTGCCTGGCCGTGCTGTTTCGAGTCAAGAGGTGTCTGTTCAATTTCAGACGAGTGGCCTCCTCGTGAATCAGTCATCTTGGTGTGCTTGAAAAGATTAAAACTATATTCTAGTATATGAGGTACATGTATTAAATCTAGTGTAAATGGGTTGTAAGTGGGCAGATAGTTAGCCTGCAGGCGAGCAAGTCTAATTTATATTTTGGTGTTTGGATCGACGGCATCCATGGCGTTGCCATATGTGGGGGATGGTTTTGTCTACATTTGCAATGACGTATGCTGAGGTCATATCCATGCACATACGTTCCGTACCTACATGACCTTACTTACATCTCCTGATCTCGGTACAATTGTCATAAAAAGCTGCTACTTTTGTCGAACGTGTCACGGCACACCTCATAGTAACACCAGAATCAGGGCTGGCATTAATATCGAAAAGACCTATGAGACTGAAGTTTAGATAAAGTGTCGTACCCATCATGACTTACACGTGGTTCTACAACGGCAGCTAATGCTTGTTATAATGCTGAAGACTTGGCAAAACTGACGTTTAGGTAAGCCAGACACTTCTTCCTAAAGTTCGACGATGATTCGAGCAGAGGTATTACATCAGAGGATATGATGTTATTGTCTCACGTAGGTGGCTGGGGTCGACAAGATGCTTGCCGCTAGGCTGTCTCACTTCCACATCTTCCAGCGCCAAATTCTTCCCGGGATAGTTAATACTCTTGAAAGTTCTCATTTGCTCTTTTTTCCCTCGTCCGACTTGGTTGATGCACCATTTGATGCTCGAAGAGAAGCAATGTTATCGTCAATAATAGAGATTTCGGCGTTTATCCGGAGGATTTTCTCTTCGAGCATTTCCTCATACTCTTTGTCTGTCAATCGCTTCATGGGACTCCATTTTGAATCAAGCCAACTCGACTTGGCCTTGGAATCGCCTTTCGACCGGCCCCGAAAGAGTTCGGCCGCATATCCACCGGCGGCTCCAAGGGTACCAAAAACTAGCATTCCGGGTAGGATATTCTTAGGGCCTCCTATATAATAGTTAATATATATGAGGAGGAATAGTTAGTATTTTTAGACAATGGGAGGACTCACGAAACATGCCACCGATCATCCCAGCCACCCCGCCAGCTACGCCGTTTGACTTCACTACATCTGACGTAGTGAGGTTTTCCCTGCCACCCCAGGCATGCCAAAGAAGGTGTTTTGAAGCTGCATACTAATTAGCAGGCAGAAACCCATAGTGTAGGTAAAGATCAATTCCCACCTGTATAAGTTGACCCGAGAGCGAACCATTGCAGACTAGCAACTATTGCAAATAACGCTGGTGGCGCTGATCGAAGAATACCAGAACCAGCTCCAATCACCAAGCCAGCACCGCCTAAATGAAGTTAAGTTAGCAAGTCTACACTGTTATTAGTTCGCTTGTTGGGGGATGGGTTTTACCGGCTATAACTCCGACTTGCAATGACCTGCTTCCAATTTCCATAAGCTCATTTGCGGTAGGCATTTCTCTATCATATGGAGTGACAGGCCTGGGATGAGCATTTGCATTCGAGGCCGAGGGCCTATGAGGTGTTGGCTGCTGTGGTGAGGAAGCCATGTTTGTAGTATAAGTTTCGAAATAGCAGATATATATCTCCGCTGGTTTAGAGAAATGACCCTTAGATGCACATGTATTCGTCCTCGATGTAGTCGTTAATGCAGATCAAGGACATGAATAGACTCAACAATTAACCCAAGATGGTTGGGTGTTTCTATTCTATATTTATTCAGTGTCTTGATATGCAATCAGACAACGCCAAATTTGATTGGAGGTTTTCTGAGCTGAGGTTCGTTAGAATTTTAGGGAGTTTAAAGATGAATTCCACCCGTCGCAGCTATCGGCGGCAATGGGTACTTAGAGGCTAGGTACCTGAAAAGTGGCCCAGTAAAATCTGGCCAATGAGAAACAATAGAAAGTTACGGCACTCGCGAGCATGCCCTCCAGCCCGCATCCCCCCAGGTCTGGCTGGTCTGGTAAATGTGCCATACCTTAGGTAGGTACCTAGGTACCCACGTATGTACATTAGGTACTCAGATAGGTATAACACATAGATATGTCATTTTGTGTACCCTAATGTTCAAGATGGTAAACCAGAATACCGGGTATGGAATAAACATCTGCATAAAACGGTTTGAATCGCTTAGGCACTGTACTCTGAGGTATGCATAAGGATGCAGCGTTTAATACATTAAATTTATGGAATACCTCTTATCTGCGTAGGTACCTTAAAAAGGTATCGAGCCATAAGCCAAAATTCAAAAACCTTACGGTATCAGAGTATCCGTGCCTTACCTACCTTAGGTAAACATAGGGACTGAACATGCTAGACCTAAGTGCACGCTAAACACTTAGAAAATACCTAGGATTAAAACTAAAAACTTTCCCCTCCTTAATACAGGGGTACAACAATACAACCGCACATAAAACACAATAAATGTGCGAGTTTCGACTTGACGGAAAGCTGAACCCCGCCATCACAATTGAAAAATTACTGGTACTTGAGAAACTTGTACTATACATGTACGCCTAACTCTCCCCCATCTCTCGTCTCTCATACGTTGCGAAGAGAGAAAAAAATTAAAAATTAAGCTAACCCTCCCGGCTTTTTTTTTTTTTTTTTTTTTCACAGCATCCATTTTTTCCCCTTCCAGGTCGAGGAAACTTTTTCGGTTCCCTTTTACTACCAATCCCGCAAACTCTGGTTACTCCTTGTGTTGTCCCCAATCGTCTTGTCGGTCAGGCAACTTGTGAATTTCACCGCTGCCTTTCCGTCTAATCCATATTATCTCATCACTTACCAGCTTAACCGAAGAACTAAGCTTAGTTTCTTCGGCCATTCATTTCCCGTCTGCGCGCGACGACCTTGACGAGCGTTGCGCGTGGTTAAAACACCGCAATCATGCGTATGTTGTCGCCGACTAACCTCATCCTACTATATAAGATCACATGCTGACAATTGATGTTCTCCAGCGCCTAAAAAGAAGGAACAGCAGCAGAAGATGAGCCTTGGGGCTTTTCTGCAGGAAGAGAGTCAGTTCACCCTCTACCTACTCTCTCTCTCTCCCTTTTCATCCCGTCTTTCCACCGCCCACAATATCGTCATCACATAAATAGACCCCGATAGCCTATAATCGAAACAGAGAGACGAGAACGAACTACTTTACTAACATTGAATAGGATACGGTGGATCGTGGGCTGATGAAGTTGAAGACTCCTTCGGTACGTCACAATTCCTAACGTGGATTTAATTTTATATCTAGGCGTAAAACTTGGCTAACTCTTCAACCCCAGGCTCCCAGCCTTTGCCCTCTACTGAGCGACGCACTGGTTATTCTAGTTACGGAGGCTCGGGTAATGATCGGGGTAAGTCAAAATAATCATTTATTGTCCAGATTATTGATCAGTTATTAACTTGTACTTCCTCAGGCTATTCTCGCGATTCCTACGCAACTCAGGGTCCCGCCCAGCTCCCGACTAAGCCCCCTTACACCGCTCATCTGGGAAATCTATCCTACGAAGCTACAAACGAGTCTGTTACCGACTTTTTTGAGGGCTGCGATATTACCAGTGTCCGAATCATCGAAGACCGAATCGAACAACGCCCAAAAGGCTTTGCTTATGCAGAGTTTGCGAATGTTGAGGGTCTGAAGAAGGCCTTGACTCTCGACGGAACTAGCTTCCAAGGCCGCACCATCAAGATCAAGATCGCTGACCCTCGTAAGTCCAAGTGAAAATATACTAAGGTGAATAAGTATTAACTATTTTCCAGCTAAGGACCGAGACAACCGTGGCGGCGAGTCCGCTCGCGACCTCAGTAGCTGGGAACGAAAAGGACCTCTGGCAGACCTACCGACTCGTAGTAACGATCGACGTCCTGCCGAGTTCGGAGAGCGCCGAGCACCTACTTTCCGAGACGCACCCGCTGATGATGGAAAGGTTCGTGATTTTGGCAACTGGGAGCGCAAGGGGCCCCTATCACCACTTCCCCAGCCTGAACGCCCCGAGGGATCGCGAGATAGCAGCCGCCCCCGAACCCACGATGCTAACCGCGATTCCTTCCGAAAGGATCGTAGGGCATCACCGGCTACCTGGGGTGAAGGTCGCCAGGAAGGCTCCCGGCCTCCTAGAGAATTCAAAGATAGACCCGAGCGCCCGGAGCGCCCGGAGCGCACTCCAACGGCTGCTGAGCGCGATAATCAGTGGCGCAGCAATATGCGGCCCGACCCTCCCGTGAAGTCTCCTGAACGATCTCGTGATGGATCTGAGGCACCCTCATCCCCTGCTGCTGGGTCCATCGCTGGCTCAGCTGCTGCTCCCCCTGCCCCCGCAGGTCGTCCCCGACTCAACTTACAGAAGCGAACTGTATCTGAGTCTCCAGATGTGGCATCTCCTGGACTGCCATCCGCGAGTGGCGATTCTAAAGCGAGCCCCTTCGGTGCCGCTCGTCCTATTGATACGGCGGCGAAAGAGCGTGAGATCGCAGAGAAACGGGAACAACAGTTGAAAGAGAAAAGAGAGGCGGAAGAGAAGGCAAAGGAAGAGCGACGTCTTGCTAAGGAGGCCGCAGCAAAGGAGGCCGCGGAGAAAGCTGCTGCCGAGGTAGAGAAAGCAAAGGCTGAACCAGTCGAGGAAAAGACAGAGGTCGCAGCCGAGGCAAAGGAGGAACCAAAGGATGGAGGTGCGCAGAACGGTGGGGCTACGGAGCAAAAGGTACCAGTTAGATCTAAAGAAGGTGCTCCTAATACCAAGTCCAGAGCAGCCGAGAGCGGTAACTGGAGAACATCATCGGGAGAGCAGCGCCAGGGTCGTGGCGGGTATGTCAACGCCTCACGAGGCCGTGGTGATGCTCGAGGACGCGGTGGTGCACCACGAGGACCTCGAGGAAATTACGAGGGCAGAGGTGGTCGAGCAAACGGCCATTCGGAACCTCGTTCTCCTCAACAGCCTGTTCAACCTTCATCACCTGCTCCGGAAGCTGAAGCCGCTCCGGCTGCGGACCCTGATGGTTGGACTACGGTACCAGCAAAGGGCCGTGCTCGACGCACTTAGGCAATCCTAGCACTGTACAAAAACTTTTTCAGATCTTCCATGCTCAGGCTCGTGGGAGGGGGGAGTTCATTGGCACACCATAATATCATGGACTTGCAATACGAAGAAAACTTGTGACCCCTTTTTCTTTTCGCCATTACCCCCTTTTTATTACTCATTGTGACAACTGCACTACTGTTACGTACTTACGAGTTAGGAGTTTAATCTACTTGTTGCGTCTTTCGCCTCCCATGCCCTACCGTATATACCAATATCCCCTTCTTTTTCTGCGAGGGATGTCGTCGGTAGGATCGCACAGGAAATTTCACGGTTACACCGCATATGTACCATTGCAAGCGGATCCCGGGAATATGTTTTGAGCTGTTATTCACATGCCGCATGCATCTCCATCTTCGTCGTTTCTTACGTCGGCGGTATTTTTAGTTACTCATCAAGGATGATGGGTTTTTGCGTCCCGCATAGAAGAATGGCAAGGTATGACAAGTGGGAATAGTTCGGGTGCATTGTTCGTCTATCTATTCTATCTGGTGTCTGCGCTGTGCGTTTTGTTTTGTTTTGTTTCGTTCCGTCTGGCAGGATCAAGACTAGGAGTGGAAAGGCGAGTCGAGACGAGGCAAAGGAAAGAAAAGCAAAAGAAAGCAAATCGGGTAAACGGGACAGAGAGAGAAAGGGAGAGAGTGACGGAGGGGATTGTCTTATGCCACGCCATGTTTGATGCCATGACGTGCCATGATAAAAATGCGTTGTTCGCGTCTGTTGATCGCATATTTGTGCGTTTCTTCTTTTTTTCGGATGCTAAACAAAAGTCCTGTTAGTTAGGAGTTTGTGGACCGGGTCGGGCACTTCCCCCTATTTTCTCTCTTCTGTGTTTTTGTCGTTTTATGTTTTCTCTTCTTTCTTTCTTTTTTTTTTTTTTTTTTTTTTTCCGATTTCACACGTCTGTCGGATGAAAAGGGAGGGGAGGGGAAGAGGAGGACCCATGCTAGGCCTAGCATTATTGGCACAGTCTTCTCCCCCTTTACGGATCGCCTATTTCTTTTGCGAGGCTGAGCCGTATAACGGGCAACCAACCCCAACACCCAACCCCCCCTTTTTGTCCCTGGTCTGCTTACTGCATTGCGAGGAGGTAGCCAGATAGGACAACGGATATTGTTCACATAGACGTCGGGATAATGAATGCGAAAATGATTTCTAATAATTGCTCGTGCTTGAATGACCTTTTCCATACGAGATATACTAATTAGCTGCATTGTGACGTCTAACTGAGGTTGAATTGTCAAAACAAGGTCATATTAAACAGACAACTCGCGGATATACTGTAATTATCGCATCCATTCTCTAGCTGTACCATCATCACATATCTCTCTCACAAGCGCTACTAACAAATAAACCATCTCCCTTGAGTTCAACTTCACTTCTTGAAAACCTGCTGCCCTAACCTCTCAATATCCCTCCCCTCGGGCGTGTTCCTCCCCGCAGCTTCCAGAAGGCGAGTCCAAGCGTCGGCGTCCTTGGCCTTGACAGCCTCCTCGGCGGCCTTGACGCGCAACCCGCACTTCTCGTACATGGTGATGGACGCGCCCGGCTCCAGGTTCGTGCACTTGGGGATGAAGGACGCCGCGAGGCGCGGGTTGCCCGCTTGCAGGATCTGGTTGAAGAACGGCTAAGGAGGGAAAAGATAAAAATTAGTGATAAGTGAAAGAAGAGGGGAGGGGAGGGGATGATATGAGAGGAAAAGAAAGAAAAGGAAATATCAGCTTCCTTACCTCCCAGCCAATCGGGCTCTTCCTACTCTTAGCAATATCCTCGATTTCGTTCCAGTCGCGCTTCGCAACAAGGGCTCGGAGTCTACGAAGCCGGAGTTCTTATTAGCTACCATTTCTCGCATAACAACACCACACCACGATTAGATAGATAAATAAAGACACGAAAACGACAAAAAAAAAAAAAACTCACCGGATCCACCAAGCCACTCTCTCAGGGACTTTGAACTCGCTCTGGATCTTCTTCGCCTTATTATGGTACCCGAGGCGTATCAGCTTGAACAGGGTCTCGTTGACGCTCAGGCCGGTAAACGTGTCGGTGAGGTCGCGGTCGAGGGCCTCCTGGGTGCGTAGGAGCTGGGCGGCCTCCTTGAGGGCCGCGAGCTCGAAGTGGTTCTCCTTGGCGTCGGCGAGCAGCTTGGCGGCGAGCGCGATCTTGTCGCCGGCCGTGCGCGCGTCCGGCTGCCGCAGCGCCTCGCCGACGAACACGCCCGCGCCGTCGACCCGCCGGTCGTCCTGGTAGTACAGGTCCTTGAGGAGCGCGCTGTCGTCCTCCAGCGCGGCCGAGGACTCGACGAGCGCGGTGGCCGTCGGCCGTGCGTTGATCACGCGGAAGAAGGACGCCAGCGGGAGCTTCTTCTTCAGGTGCAGCAGCACGAAGAGGATCAAGTCAGAGTCGCCACTCTCGATGGCCTTGTCGAGCGCGATCTCGTCTTCTTCCATGCTTAAGAGGAGCGGAACTTGTCTCCCCGCGCGAGGCTCGTGGTTTAGCAGTTCCGTAGCTAGCCGGCCGCGACCCTCGTCGTAAGCGGCGCGGGCGATAGCCTCGAAGGAAATGCCCGGCTTGCCCGAAAGCTTTTCCACCACCATTCGGCAGATGGTCTCTTCGTCTTCTGTACCGATTCGGACCTTTGCAGAGGCCCAGTGGACGAATATGCGGTCCGTAGGTAAGCGCAGGTACCCGGCAATCCGTAGAGCTAGTAGGTATTCATGACGGTTTATGAGCCTTTGAATTAGTCCTTCGGGTGTGAGGCGTTGGTATTGTTCGTAGGATAGTGGCAAGCCGACTTCGTAATAGCGCACAGCATTGATTACTCGTAGCGTCTCGCACATGTCAACGAAGTCATCACTATTGTATATATCTAGTACTGACTTGCCGAAGGAGGCAGCTTTTAATAGTTGCTTCTGCCAATAAACATTGAACTCGTGTCCAGCAACAGCAACACACGTATCGACTGCTTCAACCAGATTTGGCCTTATAAGTTGGATATTGTCATCAGCTTTTGGTGACTGGTTCTCGAGCTGTTCCACAGCATCAAGTAAAACAGACGCTGGCGACTCGCTACCGAGACGGAACACTTCATCCGTAACGTCTGGCACTTTTTGAAGGAAATCGCATACATCGTTCGTGATAAGCCGCACACCGTCGTGATCTATCATAGGTTAGAAACTGCTAGGACAACACGGGATTTTCATAACCGACCTGCAATTACGTGGACGCGGCCTTCGTAAACAAAACTCGCCGCGGCGTTATTGGGTCCCACAACGTTCACTTCATCTTCCCATGCGATGACAACAGCATCGTTACCGCACCATTCTAAATATTTGGGCGTGAGCTGGGACTTGGAATCATGCTCACTTAAACGGCTCTGGAAATCAGCCGTGATGACATGGGCCTTGCCATCCGAAGCATAGAGAGCCGCGAACTTTCCGTTCGGGGACACACTGATGTGCGAAAATGGACCAATATCAAGGAATCGATCTTCGCATTCCGTTTTATCCACCACGTAAACCGTTTTACCAATGCTTAACAGCACTTCCACGGACCTAGACAGCGCGAAGCTTGGGGAAATGATGGCCCAAGCGTGAACTTCTCCCTCAGGCGGGGATGCGAGGGCTTTTGGCCGGGGCTCATCGTATGAGGACACAGAGATGAGGATATTATTAGTAAGTAAAGCCACCATGCCGTGGTCGTAGAACCGACATGAGTGGACGCCGAAATCTTCGGCTTCACGACCGAGGGAGAATTGTGTAAAATCACCCTGCAAATTGTAATAACATCTCACGGTCCCATCGTAGCTGACAACTAGGAGTTTCTCGTCTTCTGACCAGCCAAGACCTTTGATGGAGCCCTTATCCCAAGAAATGCTCTTCAGCAGCTTGCCAGCGCAGCTGTATACGTCAATACTAGGCTTTGACGATTTTGAAGGCTGGTAAGATATGATTTTAGTGTCGTCTCGACATATTGCTATCCGACGTTAGTGAAATTCGATATTTTGTGAGAGTTAATATGCTACGCGGTGTACAAGCTTGTCTTATACAACCGACCTTGAAGGGCGAGATGAGCTTAAAGAAATCATTTCAGATTCACAATGTTAGATAGACAGCGAGCTCTTGATATTTCTCATAGAATTATGGAAAAGAAAGAAAGGAAAAAAAAGAAAGAAAAATCTGAATGAAAAGCGACTTACCTACAGCGCCGCCGTACGGGGCACCAGCAACGATATAATTATCCAGGTCAAGATCCTGGTCGAATATCGCGGTATACAACTGGGTCTTGCGGTAAAACCTATCTCCCACTCTTTCCCACCCGGCGGTCGGATGCGTCGCCTCCATAGTTATTTCACTTCATCATCCCAGTACCGAAACCAAGTAAGTCAAAATCTGTCCTTTAAGAACTTGAGAGTGCAGTACCTATGTATTGTATAAATGATGGAAGCTGGAGGTAAAGGCTGGTACCTGGGAGCTTGGGAAATAACACCGGGTAAAGTTCGGATTACAAGGTACCTACCTCTTACTATGTACATTACATGTAGGTACGTACGTAATTGCATCTAACGGTTTGGATCTTCACATGCACGGCTCTGAGCAGCTAAAAATAAGACAATTTGGTTTGTGATCTCATCTAGAGTAGAGACTGGATTCCAAAGTTCTTTTTTTTTTTTTTTCCTCGGAGGTTAACCATCTACGAATATTGAACGCGTTTTCAATCAGCAAATAGTAAGACACCCCACAACCTACCTAGGGTAAGGAAGCTATTACGATTCCTAAAACGCTTCATCATCTGAGATACCTAGGTAGATAAACTTGCAAGATACCCGATAAGCATGTTGTGAAATACTTGATTTATTCTCATTTGTTAGGCCTATGGGGACTTAGGTACTACCTCAGGTAACTATCCTCTCTACGAGGCTATGACGTTGCTCTATTTGAAATAGTCTAACCCTCAAGCGTCCAAGTAAGGTACCTAGTATTTTAACCTAGGATAGGAGAGCTTGGTTCTATGACTAAGTCGAGACGCATCACGATGAGCTTCGCAGCGACGTCTGTCTTTATATTCTCAATAATTACTGAAATATCGTTAGACCCGGATCACAACACGGCTGTAAAGGTAGCAACTTACTTATACGCCTCTTTTTAAATCATATGGGGGGCTGGAATAATATGATCCAGCCCGCCGGTAATGAATGCTCTTCGCCTTCCTAAAACACCAGAGCATCTTTAGGGGTATCCAGTAGGTGTAACACTTCGTGCATACTATGCTATGTGCAGTGGAGATAAGACTCCCCCATCTCAAATATTCATCCCTGATTCTTGCGGCCATATCGCTTTTCCATCATTTTCTTGTAATGGCCCTTCTTACCGCTCTTCTTTACCTCTTGGATCTGGCCATACTTGCTCTTGAATTTGCGAGTGGCATCCTCAGTCTCCAGGACTTCCTCGAGAAGAGTACGCTTCCTCTCCTTCTTGGTCAATCTGGCGTTGAAGAAGTCGGTGGGACCTTCAACTATAGTCCCAACCGACGAGAACTGAGGTACGAGGGCCCTTGTGTTGTCCTTGCGATAGAATCGCTTGGAGTCTAGAACATCACGCATACGTAATAACTGTAGATCTTTTTTAAGTTCGGGGGTAAGATCAGTCCGGGGAAGATTAAACCACGAAGGTCCAGCATCTGCCTTAACAGCCTGAGAACTAGTCAGCAAAGCGCTTTTACAGAAGCCGAAACGAATATTGGAAGCAGGATAAAAGAGTCAGAGTAACTATGATATAGATCTATCATTCTGGCGTAGTGGCATAACCCATAACGGGAACAGCCACTACTTCAATTAAATTGGGATATTAATTTCATCATGAAAGGGTCGTGCCGATAGCAACGCAGATAAACCAAGGAATTCAAGTGCGACGTACCATTTCTTTTTTAGATTTTCGAACCTCGGGCACTCTTACCGACAACTCTTCGGACTTGGATTTGTCCTTGGAAGAGACTAGAGATGCTACCTTTGGCGCTGAGGAGTCTGGTTGGGAGGCCTTCACGACATCCGTCTTGTTGGGTACGGCGACAGCTTTTTCATCTTGTCCCCGTTGTTTTGTTTTTAATCTTTTCTCAGCTTCTCGAAGAAGCTGTTCGATCTGGTCATCGGAAAGACTTTTCACATTTACTGTTTCTGCCATGGTGGGCAACAGCGCAAATTATTGATAGGATGATCAGTCCTCAAAGTTTGAGAAGATAAAAAAAATAAAAATAAAAAAAAGTTGGAGCTCCATTCACGAAATAAAATTTCAACGGATTAGTTCGGTTTGTGGCTAAATTAGGTGGCCGGTGCGTGCAATGTGGCTAGTGTCACAAAGGTTATATACATGTACGAAGTACATCGTACATCAATTTACCACTTGAGTAATCGCACTGTACCTAGGTACCTCGGACTTTGCGGTGTTAGTTGGTTGGCCGAGGTATTGTATGACAAGGTGGTAACACAGCCTATCCATAACAGCAGACCAGACTTACCCGTCAAAGACTTCCGGCAGCACACCATCTTCTGATCCCTGCAGCCACCCCCAACCTGCCCTAGCCTGCCTGCCTGCTTAATACGTAGAGTCTCTAGCTGTCTAGGTAGCTGATATTGAGTTTGCGCCTTCTGAAGTCGGCGGTCGCTGATGCCCAACCATAGTGCCAGCGCATTGATTTCGTATCGAGGCTGCCCAGTTTTCGCAGCCAGCCCTACCAACGTATAAGCACATCGAAGATCTAAGCATTTCTAGAAAATCCATTAACGTCATTGCCCAATCCCGACCAACGCATACATAGAGCTAATTTATTAGCTTTGGGTTGTGAATCAGATCATTCTAATACATAATACAGTACAGTACATATCACATATCGTACCTACCTGTATACATCTGCCTATACCTACCTCAATCCATACATCCATACATGTACCTAAGTATGAACTTACATACTGATAAGGTACCTACCTGCACATACATACATAACACACGTTCATAAAAAGTTCACAGTCATAAAACATTCCATCCAAGTTCAACCTCTTTTTTTTATTGTTTTTTCTTCTTCTTCTCTTCCATTACTTCTATTTGTATTCATTTGAACTCAAACCCGACTTGTTGGAAAGAAACTCCGGGAAGAAGTAAATAAAACATTTTGAGTGGACGGGACGGCGGAATACCTTAAAATTCAAGTTCAAGTTCAAGCTCAAGCTCAAGTTCAGGCTCAAGTTTAAGGTCTTGACCAGGAACCGAGCTCGTCGAGTTAAAGAGAAAAGAAAAACAAAAATAGTGGGCATCTCGGAGCGAGCCGCAAAGGTAAGCAAGCTTTTCCAGGCTTCATGGATTAAAAAAAGAAAAAAAAAGGAAGAAAAAACGGGAACGAATAATAATCGAAGAAGCTGACCAAGAAGTAAAAAAGTGAAAAAGATACACACCCATTTACAACCATTTACACACCATTTCTCGACCAAAATCGCACAAACAGCTTTTCCTAAAGTCAAAACCATCGCCCAATCAATCCTCTCTCTTCGAAACCTAGTCACCTTCTTAGTCACCTTCCTAGTTACCTCCTAGTCATTCTCCCGCCCCCAACCTCCCGTCGGGCCAATCAATATCTCCAATCCCAAAGGGTCTGACTTAGAAAATATACTTCTTGTTACATCACCACGCGCACCAAAGCTTCGATCTGGGGCTCTGTGTAAACAACACAAACAAGCCCTCTAATTTTTTTTTCTCCGCCGTCGGGAGCCTATCTACGTACGGTGATACTTAGCAGCGTTCTCGGCAAACGAACAAGGACCACTCGATAAAAAAAAAAGATCATTGCTATCTTTAGGGTCGGGCGCGTGCGTGCAATACAATACCATCGCGCAACGACTTTTAGTTTGCCTGTCTGCTCCGGTTAGGACTTGTTGTGTTTATTTCGCGCGCCTTTTTTGAAACACTCGGCGTAGTTCTACTTGCGTCCTTGAGGTTGTAAAACCAGTTGCGCAATTTCTCCAAACCCAAATACCATGGATCAATCCTCATCAAATCACCCTCAGTCGTCGAGGGGAGGAGGCGGTGGAGGGGCTCCTGGATATGATATATCCCACGGAGGTCACTATGGTAAGTACCTCTCGATTGCACTCGTTTGTTGCGAGTTGCCTTTTCTTCGTGCGACGTCGCTAATCATCTCTCCTTCTAGGTGCCAGTGCAGCAGTAAGTCCCACCATTCTTCCCCTCTCCCCTCTCCCGTTTCCCGTTTCCCGTCTCCGGTCTCATCTTCCATCCTCGACTCCCGCCTCTCGTCTCTTGTTACTGATCCTTCTCTCCTCTCCTTTCCTGCGCTTCTAAGAACTATGGGATCCTTCTTCCCCATATTGATATTTATTATAATCCTGTTTGACTAACATAGTCTATCTAGCTTGCTAATTCCGGTTTTGCACCCGCCGAGCTCTACACGGGACCTTGGGCCAATGTTCACCAGGGTTTACATGGCCAGTACAAAGATATCCTAACGACCTACTGGCAAAATACCATCAACCACCTCGAATCAGACCAGCATGACTACAAACTACACCAACTACCTCTTGCTCGAATCAAGAAGGTCATGAAAGCCGATCCCGAGGTCAAGATGATCTCCGCCGAAGCCCCCATCTTATTTGCGAAGGGGTGCGATATATTTATCACCGAGCTTACAATGAGGGCGTGGATTCATGCGGAAGAGAACAAGAGGCGAACATTACAGCGATCCGACATCGCCTCCGCCCTCGCCAAGAGCGACATGTTCGATTTCTTAATCGACATTGTTCCGCGCGAAGAGGCGAGTCACGCTAAGCGCGCTAACCCCGCCCAGGCGCAACAGTCTCAAGGCGGCGTGCCGCCCGCAGCCGGTAACCACATGCCGGGATCGCACGGGATGCCCGGAGCTAACCACATGGCCCCCGGCGACTACGGCATGGGCAGCCACGCGATGGGGTCCGACCAGGAATACCGCGGACCGCCCATGTATAACCAAGTCCAGACCGGTCCCGGTCCTTACAGCCAACAGCCCCCCCAAGCCATATACGGAGACATGGAAGGAATGTACGGCTACCCGGGCATGCCCCAGCAGCCGTAGGAGGTTAGCGGGGCGCCCCAGGAGCATGAACAGGACGATAATTGCACCAACACCAAAGTTAAACGAGTTTACGGTGAGCCCTAGGATGGTGAGTTCCGAAACGAGGGATCTCGTCGTTTTATAGATCCATTTTACAACTACTTGGGATTTTGAGAATTTTGCGGGGGAAGGGGGGCTGAAGGTGAAGATGGATGGGAAATATAGGATCGGGAAAGGAGCGAGCGAGGGATGGGGATGGGGATGGGAAACAGTATCATACAAATTACAGAAACGACGATCCGTGAATATTACAACAACCTACTACTACAACTACTAGGCGACAGACACAACGTTCTTCCTTTTCTTTTCCTTTTCAACAGTACGGCGTAGGGGATTTATAGGTCAGACACACTGGTTTTCTCTCTCTATCTGCTGTTCATTTACAGCGTTGTTTAGCGCAACGAAATGCAAATTCATTTTATACACGCTCTCAGGTATCTTATCATCTGATACACGCGCGCCCCTCCATAATGTGATGTGATGTGATGTGCGATGCGATGTGGAATAACATCAAGTTAATGCGGTGGTGGTGGTAATGACACGCACATTTCGTCCGAACTCCTTTTATTTCGTACCGAATCGCGACGACAGGTTCGAGGAGAAATTGGCGAATCGCTGGGCCGTCTGGCCGGGACCCGAGATCTGCTGGGTAAGCCTATTTTTGGGGGGGAGGGAGTTTGTACGTTAGCAACGATGCCATGCGAATCGTAACGATTAATAGTGAACGAAGAAAACACAGGAGATGAATAAACAAATAAAAGGGAAAAAAAGAAGAAAAAAACACATACTTCTCCAATAAGGTCGGGCCGCTGATGGCGTCCACGCGGCCGTACTTCTTGTTCCGGGTCGAGATGTCGAAGAACTCGTCCGTGTTGTCGGACTGCAGCAGCTGGATGGTCTGCTCCAGCTCGTCGAGGTTGGACCGTAGCATGAAGCCGTTCTCGAGGCCGTCGACGAAGGTGGTCAGATGCTCGACGTCCATGGCCAGCGCGGCGACGCCGTTCGGGTTGATCTTCTTGACGTCGGGGGAGAGCGGGAGGGCCTGCGAGTTAATTATCCTGTGTTAGAATTGCATACAACTCGATACGATGATGAGGCTGGGATTGAGATGGAGAGGTTATGTTATGTTATGCTACTGACGAGAATCTTGTTCGCCGCGTGGCTGAGCGCGTCGAAGTATATAAGCTCCTTGATCTCCCTGGGTAGTCCCAACAGCGTCGAGTTCATGATGTTGGAGAGGTATCTGGTCAGAGTCTGCATGTAGTTACTTGGTTCCGTGGGTTTGTTATACGCCGTCCAGTCGTACTCGGCAGTCTCGACCAAGTCGTCGATTTTGGAGTTCACGAGCTCGAAGATGCGTTTCTCGGCCGTCTTCTTGTTCTCCCTAAACTGCTCGGTGGCCGCCAAGGTCAAGGGTCCGCCGGCAGACCCCGAGGACCGGGCTCGGATTAGGAGTTGCTCCAGCTCCTGGCAGGCGATCTCGAAATGCTCCAAGTTGATCAGGATTTGCACTATCTGGCCGAGATACTGCGAGCTGAGCCTCTCTACCAGAGATTGGCACACTTTCTCCGTGAGAAGTTCGTCGAGCGACTTGCGCAGCGTATCGTCGATCTTATTCGGATGTTGGAAATGGTCATCCGAGAAGAAATAGAATTGGTTAAGGAAGTTCCTGATGTCAATACAACACAACGGATACATTTGAGAGAAGGGCAGAACGCATGGAAACCTGTGCCAGTTAGGTCGTGATCTAGTGAAAGACATATCAGAGACTTACGTGAGCTCCTCGATAGGTTTATCCGGAGTAAACCAGCTGACATTAGCAACTTTCTCATATTCTTCTCTAGTGTTGATGGCCATCGGCATGTAATCATCAGTAGATACAATCTTCGGAGATAGTTAGTAAACCACTGTCTTCCTCGCAATAGACGAGTACGAACCTCTTGAAAGTCATCGCTGAATCTTTTCTTCAGCATTTCGGCATATCTATCAAAGAGATCGACCAAAAACTCGTCTAGTCTTGAAACGGAGTATCCCCATCCCTAGAAAGAGTGTTAACTCGGTATTTGAATATGGGAAACTACTCTGCTAACCTCCATTGTGAGGATGAAGAGATCGATTCTTCCCTTGGTGTTCAAAAGAACTTGGGCATCGTTGATATCGCTTAACGCCTTGTTCGTTAGAGATATTGCCGTAGAACACATCGAATCCCACAGTTCCTCGACCTGGAAATGTCAGTGTTATCAAACCAATGAGCATCTGACCGATCTTACATCGATAGCTGTGCGCAGCTGGGGAACCTGTCTCATCGTTGCCTTTTCGATAATGGCAAACCCAGCAATACCTTCCAACAAACTGCTCAGCGACGACTCGTCATCGGTAATTAAGCTCACAGAGCTCGGTAGAAGTAATTCTTTTTGTCGTCGTCTTGTAGCGGCGTATTCCGACCGAAACTTGTCGCTCTGTCCCAACGCCTCGTGGATATGCAGAGCTTCGAAAAGGGGTGTGAAATCAACCTTTAGCTCCTCGTTGTCTAGCACGTCAAAATCCTCGCTCTCATCGAAGACCAGCTCGATGGCAGAGTTCAGCTTAAATTTATTCAAAAACTCGTCTTTCTCCGCTCTCTCTCGTTGTCGTGTCCGGCGCATCTCGGTATGATAGAATGCCACCTCTCCAAGGAACTGCGACGTTTCTCTAATTCGGAATAGCCAAGTGTTGAGATCTGTCATGACTGCCTCGGAGATGGTTTTCTGTGATGCGGGTATGGATTTCTGTATCAAGTTGGCGAGTTGGTGTTGGGTGGCATAGTTGTTCTGTATTATCGGAATGAGGAATTCGTTCTGGAGGTCCTCGAGGGACTTGAGCGCGGCGTAGTACCCTTTTTTGCGAATAAGCTCATGGGCGTTGTTGACGGCGTGTAAGATCTTCAGAGATTCTTTCAGAGCGTCTGATACATCCGAGATATTTTCTCTAACAGCTCGTGTGTTGACCAATGCCTGTTTCTGCTGCGCTAACTTCTCCGTACTAGCTTGAATAGACTGGTTCAACTCGAGGATGTCGGCCGTCAAAGCAACAGTCCGCTCGCGAACATTTTGGAGATGGTTGACGGAGTCCAGGAACTCCTCGTGCTTTGTCAAACCTATCCTTTCGATCTCGGTCTCCCGGTCTTCGGCATACTGCGATAGATTCTGCGTTAGGGTAAGCGCTCGACCGGTCGCCGTCGCATCTTTCAAAACGGGTATCAGTTGATCGAGGAATTCGGTGTCTGAGGTAGATAAGATGATCTGTTGGACGGCGGAGCTGTAGTCATCGTAGTTTTGTACCCTTCGCGGCATTCTTGCGGTAGGAAAAAGCCCGGTCGCATCACAACGCGGCCAGGGAAACCGTATAGATCAGAGGTCGTTCAGCAGCGGAGAATGCTTATAGGACAAGGGCAAGCCCTCATTGTTGGATCGTAATCTCGGTACTTCAATCAATTCGTTTTCGTTCTTGGATATAAAGCGATTGTGTATATTTGATGTGTTCGCGGGAAGATGACGCGGAACAGCTACATACATGTATGTACCAGTAATGATGCCTGGAGGTGTCCCTGCATGTGATACATGTAAGCCTTGTTCATTCAGCCCCACCGCCACTACCCCATCCCCTAAATGCGCTGATGTTCAATGTTGCTTCAGTGTTTCAACGCTAGGCCCACTTCCCCATATCAACTGTGGCTTTCCATCTGTGGCGCATAACTTCATCTTATCATCAAGCCCCTATTTTTGTCTTCTCGAAGTCGAAACAGTTCAACATATCCAAGTACTTGACAGCCATTTCAAATCAAGCTCATAATGTAATGACATATAGTGACCAATATACGGCCTATTTATCTATCGTCATATAATTAGTAGCGTAGACGAGGAATATGCTACTCCTTCTTTCTTCATCTCACGAGAGATGCCAAATGCCGAACAGTCATCTAAATCCATAGCCTTGGTCTTCGAACATCACCAGCACCGTACCAGATATAAGGTCGCTCAAATATCTAATCGAAGAACATAGAATAATGCACCACTCATGAGAATATAACAGTATGATTAAATGCGGTTGTTAGGTTAATCCCATTTTTTAAGACATACCCCTTTTTACTATTTTATGTTTACGTTGAGATCGACATTGTTGGGATTTTCAAAAACAAAACTTTACTAACAGGAAGTAGGAAATCCTTACTTGATTTCCGATTTTCGATTGCTAGACAATCCCAACACCCAGAAGCCTTCCCATGATCGTTACCATGCCATCATTCTGGTTACTCCTAAACACTCCAGAGTAAGGCTGCGATTGAGCAAACATTTTAGATCTTTCCACATTGAGAGTGTGGAAAGATATTTTTTCAGGGCTAAGATTTTAACTGATCAAGGGGAACCAGTACTGTAGGTTTGATTTATTCGTGATCACAGTCTAAAGTCTATTAAGCAAATGGCACGTTTAGGAAGGGGGACATGTGGGTCGGATTTGTAGTGCAAACACCAACGATACTCCAATGGTGTAAGTACCAGGTAGGTAGGGAAATATACTTCAGACTAATTTGCTCAAAGTACATTGGACATTGGTTTATGGTTTAGGTATCTGCGTAGAAAAATGCTCGTCTGGACGTGGAGGTAATTTCAGCCAGTGCGAACGCTGTTTGATAATATATGCCTGACAATACGGTAGTCGCGTCTGGTCTAGACCAATTGCACTTTGACTAGATTACCTAAAGTTATTGGCGCAGCGCAAACAGGCGCATGCAGCAATATCTTTACTTATAGCAGGCCAATGGCGTGCTCAATAGAGGCAGGTTCTACGGTGTAAAGTACTTAGGTCGTGTAGAATAATGCAGGTACATACCTACTTACATATACAATCTGAAACCAGCACCTTCTACACGAACGGCGAACCTTACGTAGGTAATCACGTACTGGAAGCAACGGGTCTAACGCGCTTTCCTAATCACTATTTAATCAAAAATTATTCGTGGCAGATCTTTTCTACTTAATCACACATTTTCGTACAAATTCTCTCGTTCTCCCACCTTTCCTCCCACCTCTCTTTCGACGACCAACCTACTTTAGGTACATATAACCTTCTCAATCCACTCACATACCCTTTCCACCTTGGACCATTGTCACGTCTTGGGGTCAATCTGGATTTCATCAGTTACACGCCATCGTTCCGAACTTCTTGTCCTTGGGGAAAGTCGTTGACCTTGGAACGGTATTTCGTCCAGAACCTTCTTGACACATTCAGACCCCATCCACGACATTCTTCAGTCTTTTTTATATTGGCGCGGATAGGAACTTTACAGATCACTTAGACCTCGATTGAGATTAACGGTAAGCCTGATTGATAACTTCGTTATATACCGACTAATATCTTCACCCGGCAGTTTTGCACTCAGTTGATGCGTCTATCACGTTGTTCATTTCGCGTCCGCTAGCCGACATCTCCGTTTCGTATAGTATAGCGACAATATCCCATTCACCCTATGTGTGTATGGTTCGAAACCCAGATCTTAAATTGACCCTACAATTCTACAATTCCATTGACTTTAGGCCATTTCAATTTTCCTTCTCTAGGAACAATTTGAAGATTTCATATCCTATCTTTTTCTGCCCACAGTCCCGAGTTTCTTAGAAACTATAAATTCAGAGTGAGTCTTATCTTTTTAAAGCGTCAATTATCTCGTGCTGCTTGGTATGGTACCCACATACCTCATTCATCGATAAGCTTCGTTTCCATTGTGGCATTGCCACGCACCGGGATCCAGCAGGTGAAGAGAGGTTCATAAAGACGCATTCTTATATCGTCTGGAATAACTACTCTCTTTCAGACATCTAAGTTGAGTCGTCATTTCCAGTTTGCCGCCCCTCTCTTCCAAATATACTGCAAGTCCTTCGCCCCCAATATCCTCATGTCACAATTGCTCCTCCTTTCCCATTACACACATGGCATGTTCAATACCTACCACCTTGAGACTTGTCCAGTGCGAGGTCAATTCAATGTACTTTGGTTGTCCAAGACCCCACTAATGGTTTGAATAGCAGCCATATTCCATTGGCTTGGGAATTGCGTCCATAAGGGTTTGAGGTTACAGTAAAGCTTTAAGCAACACTGTTCCTGCCTGGCGAACCCGTCGCCTGTACCAATCTCTGCAACGAGGTAATCGTCGATAAAGAGTTGACGACACGAGTAGTGATACCTCTTTAGGTTTGTTTCTGTCAGTCCCCCCCTTTCTTTTTTTTTTTCTTTTTTTCCATCGTCCAACTTCCTCATTCCGAGCCCCTACTCTCAAACCTTATCAAACTCCACTCCCATCCAAATCCCCTTCGCACGATTACCCACTTAGGAGGTTTACTTCCCCAACAGCAATATACTCTACCGTATTGCGTTTCAGTCTTGAAGCCTCAGTTCTTGTCAATAACACTTATCAGCAACCATTCGAAGACCTTAACCCCTGAATCTCAAATTCCTAATATAACCAATCGTTTATTGGGCCAGATATTCTCTGCTTCTCTCGCTCTATGTATCCTTACAACCTACTCATATTACCTAGCACGCTTATATTTACATGACGTTCCAGTTAGCCATGATCCACACTTACTGATGCAAATTACAGAACTCTCACAAGAACTCTAGAACGGGAACCGGTTATCTATTAAAGACACCCTCACGTTGTTTTGACAAGATGAACGTACACCAGGCTCGTGAGGGCCACTTCAACCCGGCCTCGCCCCATTCCTCCAGTGGAGCTGCCGATTCGTTCAAGGGCACTCCTGACACTCGGCTCACTACCTTTTCTCCTGAAGACGGCTCTGCTCGATCCACACGAGCGCCAGGATCACTCAATGCCAGCATTCGCGAAGCTGGCCCTATCAAGTATGGGATGAGTGCACCGCAATCAATTGATCGATCAAGCATAGTATACCGTAGCAATCTTCATCTAGACAAGGATCCCTTCGTCGGTCCTACGGATACTAGTTTCAAAGCAAGGCAAAAGTTATCGCCCACCGCCTCTGTATTTTCTCCTCTGCCTTCAGCAATGCCCGCTCGGGGTTCTGCATCTGAGCCTAAGAGAATGGATGCATTCTCGGAGAATCTAAGCCAACACTATGCTCAAACTTCGAGACTCTCCTCGCCGTCAGCGAATGCCCCACACTCTAACTTCCTTCACGACAAACTAAGCACCGACTCTGGAATTTCACGATGTCTAGTTATCTCTACCACTAATGGTAATAGACTAACAGGAACTGAGGTGGAACTATACCTATCCGTAAGATGCTCCGTTGGCCGAGATAGGTACTCATATATAAGCTAACGATTTGTAGGAACTTCAGCAAGCCGGAATTCCGTTTCAAGGAAACATGCGGGTTTGTGAATGTGGCGACCAGGTGTTCGTCCAATTTTCCAACATCCGCAGCGCCTGTACCGTGTTCTCCAACTTGACTATGCGAACTTACAATTGGACCGTTCGTTCAGTCAGTCCTAGAGAGTTTTCTTCGGTCGTTGAGCCCGGTGCCGGCTCTGTCACTGCGCACGAGGGCCAGCTCTACCTCAGTCTATTTCCGCATCTACCCAGTCGCATTACCACCCTACAACTCGAGAGCTTTTTGAAGGAACTCTTACAGTCTGAAGGAGACTTGTTTGCCTTCAAGATCCGAGATGGAGTGCAGGGCAGTCTAATCAGTGCCCTCGTCGAATACTGCGATAACGACATGTCCCTTCGTGCTGTCTCCAAGTTCAATAATGCCGTTGTTGAGGTGAGAAAACCTACCATTGGTACATGAAATTGATGTGCTAATACATTCGCAACAGGGTTTTCAGATCTGCATTACGTTATACCGACCTGACTTGAGGCCCATCACGGCGCCAAGTGGAACCAACGGTTCTGCTCGGGCTGTGGTCTCGCCAACACAACTGGCTACCGGCTTCCGACGAATGTCTATCGGAAGAACACCATCAGTTATTCCAACTGCGACCAATTCATTGTACAGTACGCCAGCCAGACACAGTATCTCTCAGAGTGGCTTCCAGTTGCCGTCACCTTATGGTGTCGTCCCTCTTCTCTATACCGGACTACCCATCACCCCTCCGTACATGATGGACCAGAGCTCGCCTAGAACTCCTAGCAGCATGTTGTCGGCCAGTAATTATTCACTGGCGAGCCCCACGCTATCACAGCACAGCTCCTTTTTGTCCACTGACCTCATGACGCCGAGGCAGTTCCAAAACTTTGGCCGTTCTGATGGTCGCAGACAGAATGCAATGCGCATTGCTCGATCTCCCTACTATAACCCCGCTAATCACCACAACCATGTTGACGTCAGTCGCATTCGGGACGGAATTGACGTGCGTACAACGGTAAGCTACCCAGGCCTAAAGTTTATGATGATAGGAACTGACCCAACAGATCATGCTACGCAACATACCTAACAAGGTTGATCAAGCTCTTCTAAAGAAAATCGTGGATGAGTCTAGCTGGGGAAAGTATGATTTTATGTATCTGCGCATCGATTTCGCGAACGATTGCAAGTAAGTAAATCTTTCAGTGCGAGCAAGGAACGTCCACTGATCAATTATATAGTGTCGGTTATGCGTTCATCAATTTTGTCGATGTAAGCTCTATCCGCCTCCCCTATGTGAAATTGCTATCGCTAACCCGGGTTTAGCCGTTAGATATTATTGATGTAAGTCTATTCATAAACAAGTCTTGACTGCGCTGACATCTTTCCAGTTCGTACATGCGAGAGCCAATCAGCGTTGGAATTGCTTCAAGAGTGATAAGGTTGCAGAGGTCTCTTATGCGAGTGAGTCAAATGTACTGCGTTGACTTAGTCCGTATACTAAATAGAAGCATAGCTATCCAAGGCAAGGACTGCCTCGTCCAGAAGTTCCGCAATAGCTCGGTGATGCTTGAGGCACCTCATTATCGACCCAAGGTATGTGTCTCTATTATGAGAATCTTCTAAATAGTCACTAACTATTTAATAGCTCTTCTACACCTTGAACGGCCCTCACCCTGAATTGGCGGGTGAGGAGGAGCCATTCCCTGAGCCTGACAATCAATCGAAGATGAAGAGAAGCTGTGAAAACGCTGAACACGTTGGTATGTTAGATCTACACAAATCTCCGTTATAACTTGAGAGTATAATTACTAATTGTACTCAAATAGGTCTGTTCACTCCTAATGCAGGACAGCATTTTCGTGACGAGCAACGACGCCGCCGTTCTCAATTTGACCGTGGAAATCCCCGACTTGAGGAGTATGACTATGATACAGCTATTTGCCGTCAGAGTTATTACCCTTCGCAGTAGGCTCCTAGAAGCTTTTGTGGCCGCCTTATTATATGGCGTTTATTTGATCGTTTCTTTTTCTCATTTTCGCGTCTTTCGGTTTCGTCTCGATACACACCGTCTACGGATCCTCAACACTGCGAGGGATACTGGAGTTTTGAAATGTTTCCTTTATTATCTACGACAATATGCTTGCTAGTAAGTGTCGTCCTTTCTTATATTGTCTAGCATGGATTGAACTAACTTGCAATGTAGGCTCGACGATGCCTTCACTGTTTTCACGCCATCTCTTAGTGGTTCTATTGGTGCTGCATGGTTATGATTACGACGGGGGGGGGGGAAGCCTGTGGTACCCCCTTACTCATAATTCATAACAATGCAATAACGAAGGAAAAAAAACCGGAAAAAGGAGAAATTTATCGCGAACGCATGGTATTAGCCATGGGAGAATCATAACGACCTGAATTATAACTTATTGTCGAATCTCGCCAGCAAAGAGAATCGACAATATTTCTGCTCTACTGGCAACAGAGCCGCACTTACAACTTACCTTCACATATCCGATCAGTTTCCGCAGCATTTCTGGCATTCGCGGGCAATATACGAAAGGGTAGTTGCGTTGAGTCCTGAGATCTTTTCATCAGACTTGCAGCAACAAATTCAACTACCAGAGAGAATACACCCGAAATATGCGTTGGCGTTTTCATTTTCGTTTCTTTGATGCGAAATTTGGGAGACTTTGAGTTTCTAGATCAATTATTGCTATCGAGTTATATCACTCGGAAAAATTTCCAGCCTCTACATTGTTTCAGACATCTTTTGATGCGCCCCCGGGTTCATCGTATATAATGGAAGATCAGTGCTCCGTTATACTCGACAGCAGCCATCTAAACCACTGGGAGAATTGGTGCCGCCATGGTTCGGGTTTATGGCTGGTCCTCGGTTTAGATTGGCCTGGTTTGTTAGACTGGGGGGGCATCACCTTTGGGAGGACAAAAAGGCGTTGGGCGGGCTTTATTCTGCTGGAGGAAATTTAAAAAAGGAGAAAAAAAATCGCGTAGCTTTAGCATCGTATAGGGGGAGTGGCGACTGCTTTTATGCTTATTCTTAGCATCGGATCTTGGGCGTGATAGGCAATAATAAAATAATAAAATGCATTTCTCGCAAATATTCATCGTGCTAGTGGTGTTTCTTCAAAAAAAAATTATAAATCATGGTCTCATTATTCATAGCTTCCAGGCCTTTACTAATTGAACTCTAACTAATTAAGTCTTATACATGTTAATCGGGATCCTCTGGCAAAGTAGGCAAAGGCTTCTGCGCCGAAGTAGAATGCGTCAAGGGAGGCCTGCTTGATAACGGAGGAGGTATGTATTCGGCACCGTCGGTCTCCGACGACGGCGTCAACTGCCTCTCCGACTTCCTAGCCAACACTTCCTGGTAACTCAACGCGGTGCTCTTCCCGCTATCCACCGCCGCAGCAGAGTAATACTCCCCTTCTCCTTTCCCCTCCCTCTCCCTAGACGGCGCCATGGCCGGCTCCGAATCGTACCCCGCGTCTACGCCGGGCGGCGTAGGGGCGCGGAAGAAGCTGCCCGAAGGGGGCTTCGACGAGGTTCTATCGGGGGAGGAGGGGATTCGATGGCTTACAGTGGACTCGGGGGTGTCATTTACGTTGACGTTAACAACAGCGGCAACAGCGGCAACAGCTGGTCTAGAGGATGAGGAGCCGCTCATCCTCCGCGGACGATGGTGGTGGTGCAGGGAAGAAGAAGAAGAATCGGGGGTCTGGGTTATGATGTGGCGCTGCGGGGTGCTAGGGGCGGGACTGTCGACGCCGGGGGAAAGTAAAGGGGTAACGTCGCGACGGTGGGTTCTAGGGGTAGACGGGAAGAGCGGGGAGGCGAGCCTACTACTACCGCCGCCGCCGCCGCCGCCGCCGAAGAACTGCGCCGGGTAATATGAGGACTCGGTGGCGGCTTGGGCGAGGCCGCCGCGGGAGAAGATGATGAGGAGGAGGCAGCCTAGGAGGAGGACGCTCTGGACGATAGCCATGCGTTTCTGGAAGATGACCTCGTCGGCGAGGACGCCGAGGCGGGAGGACAGGGCGACGATCTCGCGCTCCGACTGCTCACGCTGCGTCTCGAGGGCGATGACGGTTGATTGCCAGATCTGATCGTATTGGACGCGGACCTCACGCAGCTCGCCGAAAACCGTCTTGTTGAGGGTGTCGAGGAACAGGTCTACTTTGGCCACCTGGCGCTTCTCGAGGCGCGCCAGGGCTTCCCGCAGGAACCGTGATTGCGACTCGATGTACTGTAGAGACAAGGTCGTGTTGGACTCGAGAGCTTGTATGCGTTTATTAAGCGCCTTGAAGAATGAGTCCTGGACGGTAGGGGCTGGGGCAGCGGATGAAGTGCTCGTAGTTGTTTTATTGCGTGGTGTGGTCGGGGAGCCGGAGGGTTGACTTTTAGATGCGGCAGCTCTCGAAGACGGCGGTTTTATAACAGAAGTAGAGGCGGATGTTTTACTCTTGGGAGGTGACTGTACGCTAGCAGTCTTCGAAAGGTTTGGAGATGTGATTGTGGTAGATGTGGCGGTGGTAGTTGTTGGCGTTACAGTAGCTGATCTTGGGTCTGGGGATGGCGTGGAGACAGGTGTAGATTCAGTGGAATTCGCGAGAGCCGTACTCGCTGCCGTTTGACTTGAACTGCTTGGGTACGCAGATCTGATCGACTTCGGCGTTACCTGACTAGCAGACGGCGATGTTGGAGTCACTACTGAAGAAGGGCTTGAGCTAATTGAAATTGTCTGTTCGACAGTCCTCAAGGGTTGAGGTTTAGCTGCTGTTTTTATCTTCTCATTTTCCTTGCTGCGTTGAGACATGTAGTCGTCTGCGCCAGTTGCTCCGCAGGTTGCGTTATTGGGGTAGTAATGGTAGAAATAGTGCTTGTCCCAGTAGGGGATGAAGCAACTCTGCTCTGGATATAGATGTATTACCTGATCCTCATGGTGGATGGGTTCGGCAGCAACTTCAACTTCCTCAACTGGGACCTCGGTCTCTTCAACAGTCTCCTCAGGGGGCTCAGATATTGCCTTGTCCTCTTCGGGCTCGATATCAGCAGGGTCAGCTTCTTTCCACGAATCGAGCATGCGTGTGCCGTGGACACGCAGCAGGGACATGGGGCAATAATACTCATTGCCATAGTGGCTCAGAATCTCGATTCGTAAATACTTGGCCCAGATCTGAGGGTTCTCGACTAGGAACGGCTGGATATCTCTGGAATTACGAGCCTCGAAGATTCCTAATACCTTCCACTTCTCTAATTTGACGGGATAGCGATCGCTTACACTAACTCGAAAGTGGCGTATCATGCTGGAGAAGAATTCGAAATTGGCTATCACAACAGTATCGACTAGGATGTCATCGCTCAGCTCGATAATAACAAACTTGTTCTGCATGGCACATTCAAGGAGCATGTACGAGTCCTTGTTTTCGACTAGGATGGCCTTGGGGTTCTTAGCACCAGGACTCGCCTTTTTCACCGTCGCGCCAGCGTCGAACGAAGCATACGAAAGCCTCTCCTTACTCGTCTTCCCGGCATCTTTACTACGATAGCCTTGAGCTAGCCCTTCGTCGTAGTTGACCTTCTCAACCTGCTTTTCTTTCTCCTTCTCTTTCTGGGAGGGTTTTGTCGAGGACGCGATCTCAGAGATCTTATCAGAGTATGCGTCGAAGTCGAGCGACACCTCACCTTCGTCTCCAAGACTATCAAAATCCTCTCCGGGATCCGCTTCGCCTTGAGTTTCTTTGCTCTTGCGCTGCCTCGGCTCTAATGCGTCCTGCCCGGATTTCTCGAGCATCATAGCCTTCCATTCTTCAAATGACATGAAAGCCCCGGTGCTAAGGTCATTTCCATCAGCATCTAACTCCTGGTGATGGATGGCATCATCGGCGCCGGCTGTCGAGTCGACGGGTATGGAGGAGGACGAGGTAACAGTGGCGCTAATGGATGCGGGAGTGGAGAAAGATGAGGGACCGGAGGTGAGACACTGCTGAGGTAAAGTATGGGTGATATAGTTCACGGTCCTGAACTCGCAGGTAGGTTCGGCTGAAGTGATACTAGAAAGGGGTTTTGCGACATCGTGGGTTGTCGAGGTACTCGAGGTACTCGAATTAACTTGGCCAAATGCATGGCTTGCAATTAGAAGCAGCAGAAGTAAAGAGGTATTATTTACACGTCGCCTCTCGGATGCGAGCCACATTGCAAGCGTGGTGAAGACTCGCGTCGTCGATCAAAAAGACAGTCCATATGGTAAAAAAATAAAGAAAGAGAGAAGATGCGAAGAGAAGGTGAAATGTTGTAAATTGCAACAAGCAAATTACAAGTTGTCGATTTCTCAGAAGGCATAATTTGATTAATTTGATGTACATCTTTGAGTACAAAGTACAATACAAAAGTACATTTCTCATGATTTATACTTAAAGTGGTTTAGATTGTTTGATTTCGCTTGGACTTTCCAGATTTTTAGGCTCATTCTGGGGGAAGGTCCGTGCTTCTATCACATGTGGGGAGCCCAGGTGCATAAACCGGACCTAAGTCTACTAGGTGTACATTAGTGCATTCAGATGTGCCTAATGTAATACCTCTCTCACAGATCTATACGGATAGATGTTACAGCTCCTGGACGAACCAAAGGGGTGACTACCTTGGTTCAAAATCGGTGTTACACAAGTTACACGAAGGGGGAAGGAAGCACTCAAACACTCAAAAGTCGACCATAGCAACACCAACTTAGGGCAGCAGTCTCTACCTATCAGCCTACTTCAAGGTTAAGGTTACCTAGATAGGGTAGTAGCAAGGTTAATAGCGAGGCAATAGCGAGGCAAGGTTTATTACACAGGCTACCTCTTACACGAATCGCTTTTCTACATCCCAATTACAAAAACTGCCACATTCCCTCCACCTTTTTACATATTTCCATAACTACGCTCGTCGCAGATAGCGAATCACAAATTCGACAAGATGGTGGATATTACCCTATCAACCGAAGACGAGCAAGCCCTTGGCTTCAAACGGTTGAGGATAAGCAACAAGACTTCGAATAGTTTACTTCTAGGCCTGCCGGTAGAACTGGTCTCCTACATATTATCCCTCCTTGACCCCGAACATGTTACGCTCTTTTCTTTAACTTGTAAGGCCGCCTCTATCCTTGTCCGAGGAACCGACTATGGGAAGATTTGTCTCGCTTCTGTCCATAGCGCTTTGCACACCAACTCGGGTCTAGCCTCTTTCCAGAGAGCTACGTTCCTTCATCACTTGGCAAAGGATCTCCCGCATCGCTTCGTCTGCAAACGCTGCTCCAAGTTTCACCAAAAGCTCGTCAACCTTGCAGAAGAAGGCCCAGATGCCCTGTCAAACTCTATCTCAATCCATCGCCAAAAGGACCTTATGATGTTTGGCCCGCTATGGCCACAATACGCTTTCACCCGCGAGCACGGTCGCCAGGCAGTAAGGGATAGTAGCATCGGTTCAGAACCCAACTATGCTACTTCTCATTTGGCCATATCCACTGATTGGAAGCTGAGGAGGCTAGGCACTTCCTGCAACAACCCCGATTTCATCCACGGATACGTCAAGTTGGACACTGAAGCAGTAGTTGTAAACGGCAAGCTATACTTTCACAAGATCCAGCGCATAGTGCTTCTCCCGGATAGGCTCAAGCCTTTTCTTACGGCCAACCGGTCTTCTCCTATGGAACAAGTTTTCCAGTCTTGCTGCCACGGGACTGAATTCCGCGCTACGTTTCGCCCCTCCTTGGACATGTTGGATTGGAACGGCTTGCGTGGCAAGAGTGTACATGATACCATCACTAAGTTCGCCAATGTGGCACGTGCCGGGCTGCCACTTCTCATGCCACTTTCCGGGCTGGACAAAGACACTATCAAGAGATATCCACCGCTTCCCATTCCGCATGCAGGCTGCAAGCACTGCATGACCGAAGAGCTCACCACCATCCATAACCACGGCCGCGACGGAGTCGAGATAGTCAGTGACGTTTTCCAAAACCTTGGCAGTTGCACCAACGACGGCACGGATAATGAGTGGGGATACTGCTGGTCGGGCCTAAGTTACGACTGCCGGACCCTCAAGTCCAGGCGAAAGGAGCACCCCCTAATTCATCCGGGCGTATTCCCCACTCGTCCTGGTGCGAGTGCTAGGGATCATCCGTCAGCACCAAATGCTAAGGATATCTGGGAATTACACGACCGTGACCGAGAAGCTAGATCACAGTGATTACGAAGACATCCGGGGGTTTCCGATGCATTGATGGTTGGTGGATCATAAAGGACGGAGATATGGTTTGGCATGATTACTTGGCGTTTCTAGGTGGCTGGCTGGCCGGCTGGTCTTAGGGAGAGTCTAGCTACCTTGTAGGTATATATGTTTAAGTCCAATGTATAAAAAGTCGTTTGATACCTGTAGGAGGTACCTAACCTTTTGATACGGCGAAGATACCGAGTAAGAGAATGAGGACCAATTACTTACTCAGTTACTCTTCCGTACTCATAAGCCCTTCTAAGCAATCTTTCCTATTAATTTGCAAGAGGCTGTTTGATGGCCTTGTTCTCTAAAAAGGTTTCTAGAATGCTCGTTTCTTACACAATACAAAGTCCACGCGATGTACGACCTATCCCCCTCGCGCTCAACTCTGAAACATACTTTAGGTACCTAATTATGTTATTTAATTCAATGCTAACGTGTACACAGTAGTTACACACACATTTACCTTTAGGAAGTAGGTACCTTAGGTACCATACCGGCAGATAGTAGGTTTGTGGAATCATTCCAAAACCCCCCCTAAAAGCCTCCACCTATAATAATCGTTGGAAATAATCAAAAACATTCCACATATAAAATCATTCCATATGAAAAGGTATTTTGTAAAAAAATAAAAATTTACTAGCTGTGGGCTTCGAACCTACTGTGACGAACTTACACTTAAGTCCATCAGAATGTAGTAACAGGGGTCTTGATTTTAGGTAAATAGTAGCGATATAAGTTAAGTATTAATAAAACGTTAAAGGTATTTGTTAAAAAGGTTTGGAGTTTTTCCTCTTATATAAGTTAGATATAAGATTTAAATTAATAACTAAGGAAATATAAATAAATGATTAAATATATATTAATTTTTATAATTTAATTATCCTTTTTATTTTACCTTTTTTAAAGATATTATAATATAGTTAATTTAAGTAATTTGGTTAATTTAATTAAATTAATTAAATTATATAAAATATTTTTTCGTAATTAAAGTTTATTTGTTATTTTAAGGGATCCCCGCTCCTATTATTTAAATTAGTACGTTTTTTAATAAATGTTAGTTCGTAATACTTACAGCCTTAAAATTGTTACACGATTTTGTGTAAGTAATTTTTTTTATTTTTATTTTTTTATTATTTTTATTTTTATTTTTTTATTTTTTTATTTTTTTATTTTTTTATTTTTTTATTTTTTTATTTTTTTATTTTTTTATTTTTTTATTTTTTTATTTTTTTATTTTTTTTATTTTTTTATTTTTTTATTTTTTTATTTTTTGTTTTTTATATTTTTTACATGTTTTTAATAAAAAGTAAATGTATTTTAATTAAGTTATTTAAAGTATTACGATTTATTTAATATTATATAATTAAACTTTAATTAATTTTACTTATTATATAATAAATTTTTATATTTTTTTTTTAAAAAAAACTTTAAGCTTTTTTAATAAACATTTTAACATTTATTTAACATTTAATTTATATTATTATTATTTATTTAAAAATTAAAATTTATTAATATTATATTTTAATAAATTTAAATATAAATATTAATATTTAATATTTTTATTTATTTTTACTTATTTTTGTTAAATATATAAATAATATTAATATTTTTAAAAAAATATAAAATTAATAAATTATAAAAATAAATTATAATAAAATTTAAAAAATATATATTAAAAAATAATTAAAATATTTTATATTTATTATATTTATTATATTTTATATTATTTATATATAAAAAAAAGAAAACCGGTAAATAATTTAAAAAATTATTAAGTATTATCACAATTACATTTAATAACATACCTTATAATACGTATTATAAAATTTAAAAATTATTATTTTTCTTTTTTTATAAGCGTAATTACTTATTCCATAAATAGAGCAAGGTAATTAATTTAGCTAAAGTAGCCCCGGGGTATTATTTAAAAGTACTTAACTTAAGCTTTAACGTTTATTTTACCTACTTCTGCTTCTGCTTCTGCTTCTAGATCTACTTCACGAAAAAAAGTAAACTTTTCTTTTTAAAAAAAAGAACAGTAATAGAAAAAAAAATAAGTACTTTGTTTGGGGTTTGTGGTACACATGCCAGTTCGTTTCCTCTTTGCCCGTCGCCAAGTTGTAAGAAGAGAGAGAACCACACCACACACCTGTCCTTGTACGCCTTAGTTGTTTCTCTGTGCCGCTCGAAGGGGGATCAGACCTCTTTCCCGGCCCAGTCCCAAAAAAATCTTGCTTGACTCGCAAAAATAACAAACAATAATGTTAGAACGGTACCGTCCGGGAAAGAGAAAAAAAAAACACGATTATTTGTTGTAGCTTCAACGACCCGCTCGACTATATCTTGGCAAGTCGTCTCGTAAATACTCATTGTTCCCCGTCACTCTGACCACCCCCGATACCCGCATTGCCCTGACTGGCCCCGTTCGTTACCAACTTTATCCTCGTAGTATTTGCTGAAGACTGAGGCGTTCCCACGCTTGTGCTAGGGGCTACCGAACTATCTTTTCCAGATGGGTCCTCGAGCTCGGCTAGTTCCGGATGTTCATTAAGCTCCTCCTGTGCTCGGTCGTTGAAGAATTTCTAGGCTCGGTTAGTACATGATTGGTCAAACAAAGGTCGCATAGGGCTTATCTAGACTTACCTCCATGACAATTGCGTCTGAGTAAAGAAGACTTCCGTCTTCGTTATACGTTTTGCAATTGTTGCACATCAGGACAATATCCTTACGCATGTCATTGATACTATTATACTCCTCTCTCTTGATCTTAGCCTGTATTTGGTTCATACAGATCGGATTCTGGATGAGGACATAGTAGTCACCATAATCGCGTTTGGATGGTAGCTTAACAAACGGTCCTATAATTAATCGCTTGGTTGGCTCATCGTCGTCATCATCATCCTCGATCTGATCCTCGGGAGCGATATCGGCTTCGAGATTCATCAATCCGTCGTAAAGGTTGCGCAGACTCCTCTGAAGAACTTGTCTCAATTCAAAACCGAGACGCGAATCGCTACCGTTGCCCATTGAAGCTCGAGGGCGCCCTTGAGGCCCGCGCCGCTTTTTGGCCGGTGGTTCGCCGTCATCATCTTCAGCCTTACGTTTCTCATTTTTACTACCGGGCTTGCGTCCGCGCTTCTTGGGCGGCGTGTCGATTTCCTCGGTACTGGCACGGCTCGCGCTCGGAGAGTTAGCACTTGATGCATTAAGTGCCGCTAACCTCTTGAGCTTGTTCGTTTCCCGCTTGTCCTTCTTAGCTTGTTTACGCGCCGCGGCAGCCTCTGGAGTGTCTTCGTCATCGTCGACGGCCATCAGCCATTGCTCCTCTGTGAGGCCGTCATCATACTTGACACGGGTTCGCTCTCGCGCACCACGGCCCAAGACTTCCTCTGGCTCATCGCCAACAGGATTGCCCTCCATCATGTAGATTTCGGGAAGCTCATCTTCCGTCATGAGTCGCGGGATACGTTTTGAACCTGGAGCGTTGCCATACAGAGGATCCGCTGCGCGTTCCTCGTCGATCTGCTGGAAAACGGTAACTTCGTTCTCACTTCGTGCAAGAATCATATTCAACTCTTCGTCATCCATTTCGTCTTGTTCACCGGACTCAGCCAAATCCGCAGATTCCAACAGCGTCCGAAGCATAGCATCACGATCAGTCTCCGATGATTTGTTATCGAATCGACCGGCTTGGATAACCTTTTCATCCATATCGAGCTTAAACTTGGCTCGCTCCAAGATCTTTTCCTCAACCGAATTCGAAGTAATGAGACGCAAAATACGGACTTCATTCTTTTGACCAATACGATGGGCACGATCCTGGGCTTGCAAATCCTGGTGAGGATTCCAATCCGAGTCGTAGATGATAACTGTGTCGGCGGTTTGTAAGTTCAAACCTAAACCACCTGCACGAGTAGAAAGTAAAAACATAAAATACGGCGAATCCGGGGCGTTGAAGGCCTTCAGAAGATCGGATCGCTCGTCGGATTTGGTGTTACCGTCTAAACGTAGGTACTGAATACCACGGAACCTCAGGAAATCTTCCATAATATCCATGATGGCTGTCATCTGAAAGAACATCAAGACACGATGTCCTGTGGCCTTGTATTTGGGTAGAATTCGATCTAGTAGTTCGAATTTACCTGCTGTTCGCCATAAAAGGTCGTTACTGGTATTTGTAGGATTCATTTGGTTCTCTACTTCGTCAAACACAAAAGGATGATTGCAAAGTTTTCGAAGCTGCATAATCATATTGCTAAGACCTTGGGTCTTAGTCTTACCCCCCTTTCCGTCGCTGATTGTAATTTTCTGATGTGTGACCATCTGCTTATACAAGCGAGCTTGGAGGGCAGAGAATTTGCATTTGATAACTTTCTCGGTCTTGTCTGGAAGATCTTTTTCGACGTCCTTCTTGAGACGACGAAGCAGGAACGGTCGTAACACTTTGTGGAGACGGCGAATGACAAGGATCTGTTCTTCTTCATTCAGCTCCATCTTGTCTTGCCCGCCAGTGTTCGCGAACGGGGTGTTGAACCATTCATCAAAGGTTTTAACTGATTTGAATATGTTTGGGAGGACGAAGTTGAGCATCGCCCACAATTCACCTAGATTGTTCTGAAGAGGAGTACCGGTAAGAATAAGACGAAATCTAGTACTGTAATACTGAGAGATAGTAGCACTCAGCTTTGAATTCGTGTTCTTCATACGATGGCCTTCGTCAATAATCATGTGAAACCACTTAATCTTGCTCAAGATCGGGCGGTCCTTGATGATATATTCGTAAGTAGTCAGGAGAACCTGGAACTTTCCTTGACGAATCTTCTCCTGCTGCTGTTTTCGCGCATTCGGAGGTCCCTTGTAGACCACGCGACTGACAGACGGAGCCCACTTCTCAAATTCCAGGTTCCAGTTTGTCAAAGTACTCAGAGGTACAATCACAAGATATGGACCTCGCTGAAGCTTGCGCTCGATGAGATATGTGATTAAACTGATGGTCTGGATCGTCTTGCCGAGACCCATTTCATCAGCAAGAATACCATTTAGGTTGTTGTTATAAAGTGACAACATCCATTGAAGACCCTTGAGTTGGTATTCCTTAAGAGTGCCACCGACAAGAATACTAGCCTGCTCTGTAACCTCTTCCTTAATACGGTGAGCCACGGCATAGTAATCAATTTTGCGGCCAGCCTCTTCGTCCTCTTCGTCAATTTCGCTTTCTTCATCTTGCATAAATTCACCCACTTCATCGCCATAGCGTTCCGCAGCTTGTCGTTGTTGTGCTTTAACGGAGGACGCCAGCTGATGTAAGAAGCCATCAGTCTGTCTGAGAAGGTGTGTGATACGAGTATCCTTCGCCTGATCAAGCAGCTTAAGGTAGGCTTCTTCGTCGTTAGCTTTAAGAGCCTGGAGACGCTGCTTAGCAGTACGCTCGATACGCTTCTGCTCTTCCTTCTCGATGTTGAAATGATGCATGTGCATGGCCCTTCCCATCCTGGACATCTTACTCCTGGCGGCTTGGGCTGAACTAGCAATTTCGGACTTATGGTGTTGCACAGATTGGAGGAAGTCGATGTGCTTCTTCTTCTCACGACTTTCGCGAGCGTCTCGCTGCTGCTTCTCGAGCTTCTCGGTGATGCGAGCCTCACGTACGCTTTGCTTCTTGGTCCGTCGGTACTGGCTACGATTAGTAGTCATTGCTAGATTATCATAATGCATCATCTGGCGACCAATCTTTTCGCGTAAAGCGCGCTGCTTGGCGTATAGTTCTAGTGACTTTAACTCTATGATAGCTTTCCGCTTCAATGTGTCATCAGGATCGAGGTTTTCCTTAGTGGTGTCCCAATGGGCAATATTCCCAGGCAAAGCCTTCAACTCGGCGTATCTCGCCTTCATGCGATTGAAGATAATGATCTCTCGCTCATGCCTCAACTGCTCAAAGTCGACCCCAGTAGGGAATATACTAGGAATTATAAATCGCTGCTTTCGTTGTCCATGGTCGTAGTAGCTGATGTCCTTGCGAACAAGGCCGCCCTCGTATGGGGATTTAATTGTCTTAAAAGTTCGGCCCTTTGGTAGCGAAGATTCAGACTCGACATCTCCCTCGGGAGGAGCAGAGTCAGCCTTTACCGGCTCGGGTGCGGGTGTTGCGGCAGCCGGAGCAGAAACAGGAGGCTGAGTGGATTGTTCAGCAACTGCCTGTCTTCGTTGACGCTGCGCATTCAATGCTTGTTGCATCTGGTATGGCACCCCGGTATTCTTGCTAAGTAACTTAAAGGCTTGGATCTGTTGTCTAAGTAGACCTAGCTGCTGGGGGGAGAATTGGGCCATCGGGGACGTCGTCGAAGGCGAAGAGGTAGCTGGCTGGGCAGTAGGGCCTGCGCTGGAAGGTAACGCAGATGTACTCAAAGCAGCTGACGAGGGAGGTTGCGTGGTATGCGGTATGGGTTGTTGCTGCTGTGGTCGCGGACCAGGTTGATTCCCATTGACGTTGCCATTAGGAATATTGTGTGCCATCTGGGCAGTTTGCATCTGCAGAAAACTCTGCTGTTTGCGTATTCGCTGCTGCTGTTGGAAGTTCATCAAGAATTGACTTGTCTTGACGAATTCGGGGTCATTCTGAGGAACGCCTTGCTCCTTCATCTGCTGGTACCTCTATATCATATGTCAGTATACGGAAGGCAAAAGGCAAGATACAGGGACGGCCTCGACACAATATAATTGGAAGGCACATTGAATGGGGTCACGAACCGTGTACATGTCCTGGATCTGTTTTTGGTTCATCTGCGCCGCCATAGCAGCCGAAGCACCAGGATGGTGGACGTTAGGAGGAGTCTGAACAGATGCCATATTGACTAACTTGAGGGTAGCTCGATATGGATCCTAATAAGATTTATTACTCTCCTAACCACTTTATGAGCCGTTCATATCTAAGGTACGATACGACTACAAAGACGGGGTGGTTATTATTCGAGACCACCAAAAGTCGAAAAAAAACGGTATTAGAAAAAAAAAAAAAAAAAGAGCGACTGTAATGAAAGTTGGTTGGTGATGAGAAATAGTGGTGGTTGAGGGCCGGTGTTGATTAACCAGCACGTCGCAAGCGTTGGCCCGAAACGAATATGTGGTGATGCGCCGAACAACAATTGTTCGGAAGCCAAAAATTGGGTTGGGAATGACGGATGTCGTTAGGGGTGCGCGAAGATTCCGGTCGCGGCGCGGTTTCGTCTACCGGAATGCCAAAAAGAAAACGCGGTGGGGATCAGCAGCAAAAAGGAAGGAAATTCTACCCTTTTTTTTTCGCCTTCGCGGTCGCGCGGGGGGACGTGAGTCGAAAAGGCCAACGGGGTGTAATGGTAAGTGGTTGGCTGAGAGCGCGTAAAAAACACTGTAAAGGGGGCCTGTTTTCGGCGAGAAAATCGCGTAAAATAAAAATTGGAGGTCACTCCGGATACTTGTCGATGAATTTAGACGGGGATGGGTGATGCGGCTCGCTTTTTTCGATGCGCGATTGATGGCGTGGAAAGAGATGGTTTGATGAAAGGCGCACAACCGCACAACAAGTCTATCTCCCTTTTGCCTGTCACCTGAAGGAAAAATGCACTAGCGACCCCAGCCCACAAACTGACCAATCGGTCTAACGATAGCCCGCATAATCCTAGCAAATTCTGACTAAGATAGTGGTCAATGCGTAACTCTTAAAGAATTTTTATTGGCTCAAATCCATTTTTGTTGTATTGCATCTCACTGTTTTAAGGTACCTCATCACAAGTACCTCGTTACAGCTACCTATCCGTACCTAATGCATTTGCATTTACATCCGACTACCTATATGTATGCTGTTAATACACTGTAAATATATTTGTTCAATAAGCTCTGCTATATTAAACGAACCATGACAAAGGCCAAGATTTTTTTTTCTGTTTGTCGGGTTCATTCATCCCAATCGGGTAGTTTGTTTTCTTGGAAATCATGTCGTGAACCCTTCGGTTTGCCTATGGTATAGCGTTATCCTGATTCTGACCTAGCAATCTGATACTAATGCGGCTACTAAGAGCCTCTTTTGTTACCAGTTACCAATTGAATAAATCTGACCTGTCGATCTATGGGCCTACCTTTCATACATACATTAGGTACTACTATGGTAGTAGGTTTCTTGTAAGGAATGCCAGGGGTCCTGGGGATCCTACCCATCCCTGCGGATACCTAAGGCTTCATGAATTTATAAAAGGTGCCTAACCTAGCTTCCTAGGTCGTTTTTCGGATAAACAGCTCTAAAAGAAAGTTATCTCTTATTAGGAGCCGGTCCTTTAAAAGAGCCTTGGCGCATCGCTCTATTAAGTGCAGGTGGATATCCGATATCCTCTCATCTCTTGGCCTTCTTCTTTTCTGGTCCTTCTACCTCTTCGTCGTCACTGACGTCGGCATACTGTGTCACTGGCTGCGTACTCTTCCAGGCCTTTGTAAAAACGGGGTCCTTTTTCGCTAAATCTGCATACTTCAAGAGCGCTTCTCTAGGATCTTCGTGCAACATACGACTCAATGGAATATTCTCCGAGATATGCTTTTCGTCAGGCTGACTCCGCATAAATGGTGTTTGCTGAGGCACATGTGGTCTCCGAGGGTCTTTCGACTTTCCAGATGCTGTAATGCCTGTTTTCCTAGTGCCCGGCAGAGTGGCCGGGGTAATGATTGCGTCCCCAGAGAGTCCGAGGGATTGATCAGTGGTAAATTCTGGATTGTCATCTATGTGCCGTCTCTTCGGCGCGCGTGACATGACATCTACCGCACCTCGTGTCGACATTGTAGGATTATATAAAATATGTGTTTCCGCATTTGCGGAGCCAGTAATGATCTGGTTGATCTTCGGATGCCAGTCCACAGTTATCACAGGCGACCCTGGCGTTACTGGGGTTGTATATTCCGGCCGTAGATTTCCAGGGTTTAAGATGTGAAGATGTCCCGTTGCCGAGCCCGTAATAATACTAGTAGAATTTGGTGCATACTTAATGTTGGTGGTTGGGTAATGATCTGATGTAGATGGATGCTCCACGGTCACAAGAGGCTCTTTAAATTTCCGCGTATCCCACAGTTTGATCAAGTTGTCGCCGCCTCTCGTCACCACCATTCGCCCGTCAGAACTGATATCTATTCCACCGGTCCAGGTATTCGGTTTATGAGCTTCTCTAATCTCACCCGCCGGTCGTGTGAAAGGGCCGTTTCCACCCCACATCACAAGTGTTCCATCCAGGGCTGCAGAAATAAGGATGTTATTGCCCCCCTGAGCTGGACTGCCCCAAGCAACGGCAGTCATTCGCGTCCTCCCTGCAGCACCAGCAGCTTTTGACTTGAAGACTATTACTTCCTTTTGGCTGCGCTTGTTGTTAATGTCCCATATACGCAATGTGCTATCCGTCCCAGCCGTAACACATAGGTTTCTGTCTGTAGGATGCCACGTGCCTGTTGTGACCTCGGAAACGTGGCCCTTGGTATTATTCATATCTCGAAGGTACATATCGCCTTTGACAAATTCCGTAACGATATCGCCATCTCGAGACACGATTTTGGCTTGGGGATGTGCCGATATGCAGAGGAAGAGACCCCCGGCAAGAGGGTTGAACTCGACATGGTGTATCGGGTGCGACTCTGTACTTGCAGACGATGGTTTAGTTTCGTAAGGATCGACGCTCCTGAAAGCACGGATCGTAGTCGGGGTTAAGGAAGAAAGATCGTGAAGCTTGACAGTGCAATCAATAGATCCTGATATAAGTCGTCCGCCCGCCGGGTCTAACGAAAGCGTGGTAACAGCGCGATCATGAGTCTTAATGACCATCTCGTGAGAAGTCGGATACTCGTCCTCATCATACGAATCGTCCGAGTCGTCGTCGCTGTCGCTGTCGCTGTCACTTGTGTTCTTCGAGTCCGATTCCCGAGATTTAGGATTGGGTGCCGTTGGCTCGTTGACGGTTCTCTTACTTCGGTCGATTTGCGCGGCGATGTCAGCCTCTCGATGTTTCTTCCCGAATGAAGTGGGCAAGAACGCGCGCATGGGGTCATCGTCGGGTATAGTCGGTCCTTCAACCTGGATCTCCTCGTCGTCACTCATTGTAATGTAAAATTCAATTGTGGAATTATGAGTTTGCAGGTTGTAAAGAGGAAATGAGTTGGAGACACAAGGCTGGCATGTGATAGGAAGCAACCTGGAAATATATCGGTACTGTTTACTATGGTAGGTACTTGGTCCGACTTGACTTATATTAGGTAAGCTACCAGGTAAGGTACCTTTGTTAGGTCCCTAGGTAACCTATTATCCTAATATTACCTAAGGTAACCATCGCAATTAACATCCCCTTTGCGCTTGAGATGTGAATTATAGGTACATACCTCTTGCCCAATTCGCGCGAATGTAGCCAGCCGTTTTTGAAAGACGCTAGTTTTTAGTCTTGCCTCTATCTATTCTCTATCTGTATCTCTTTGAAATCATCCAATCAAATATCTACTTCGTTATATTTCCCTGTATTTATTAATTCAACCACCGTACATACCTAGGTATTCCCTCCTCTTCCTAAATTTGGTAGCTTCCATGTACCCCAACTGCGTCGATCACTGAGCAACTTCTCTCCATTACCTACTTACCTACCCTTTTCTACCTTTTCTACCTTCTATTACCTATTCTAATGACCTCCTTTTTCTTTTGACCTAAGATATTCCTTGTGAACCAGCTTCAGGTTCAACCCGATGAACCCTTTCGGAGTCGGTATTCACGGACATCCCGGTAACGATCTGGCGCAAATTAATTGCTGCCAATCGAGGACGACCGCTTTCTACCCTGCAATTGTATACAACCCAAGATTTTGCAGTATCGCTACCCTAGCCTCGGTTGTCGCGGCCCTCCCAAGCACGAATGTCGAGCTTGTCGACCGGAAGAACCAATGTCAGTATGGGTTGGGCCGTAGACGACGCGCCGAATGATCACAAGGATGGTTCAAATTTAGGCGAATGGAGTTCGCTGATTGGCATCATAACGGCAATATCGGGCAACGTCTTGATCGCCTTGGCTCTCAATGTCCAAAGATATTCGCATATTAAACTCCACCGTAAGCGAGTCGAAGCACGGGAACGGGCGAGGCAGGCTTCGAAGAGAGCAAGAAACGGACATCATAATGGCTATGGAACAACCGAGGCATCCGTCGGCGATGAACAGAATCATAGCGACGAAGCAAACGACACGGCCGGTGTGCATTCACTTTCACAGTCGATACAATCGGTTAGTTCTAACGAGACTGAACGATCGCGCGACGGTGCCAAGGCTTCTACCTCCTATCTGAAGTCCACGTCCTGGTGGCTAGGCCAAGTCCTTATGACCGTTGGTGAGATGGGCAACTTTTTAGCCTATGGATTTGCGCCAGCTTCGATCGTGTCGCCGTTAGGTGTCGTAGCCCTAATATCAAACTGTGTCATCGCGCCTATCTTCTTTGGTGAAAGGTTCCGAAAACGCGATTTCTGGGGTGTGGTGATTGCTGTTGCAGGTGCTGTTACGGTCGTGTTGAGCGCCAAGCAAGAAGAGACAAAGTTGGACCCGCACGATGTTTGGGATGCTATCAAGACGATGGAATTTGAGATTTATATGGGCGTTTCTATTCTGCTTATTATAGTTCTGATGTGGGCGAGCCCAAGATATGGCAACAAGACAATCCTTATTGATCTGGGACTTGTCGGATTATTCGGTAAGTTTTATACAATTTCCCGTTCATAGGAAATTCGGTGCTAACCAAAAATCAAAAAGGGGGATATACCGCTCTTACAACGAAGGGTGTCTCTTCCATGCTTTCATCAACTCTTTTAAAAGCGTTTACTACTCCAGTAACATATGGCCTCATAATTATTCTACTAGGGACCGCAGTTATGCAAGTCCGATATGTGAATAAGGCACTACAACGATTCGATTCGACACAGGTTATACCCATACAATTTGTATTATTCACTTTGTCAGTAATTATTGGAAGTGCTATTCTGTATCGAGACTTCGAGCGCACAACGGCACAGCAGGCCGTTAAATTTATTGGCGGTTGCCTTCTCACATTCTTCGGTGTCTTCCTTATTACGAGCGGCCGGCCGCGGCAGGGAGATACGGACGAGCTGTCGGACGACGAAAACGTGGAGGAGACTATTGGTCTCCGAGACCAAGAATCGTCCAGCTCTTACACTAACCGGGGCGAGCAGCCCAGATCAGACGAACAACAGCCAGCTTCATCGCCGCTATCAAGGCGTCCGTCGCATGTCTCGCGAGTCAGTTATCAAAATGCAGGTGCTAAACCCTTGCCGCAACCGCCAAGCAAAACCCCCTCAATTCGCAAATTTGACGGGGCAGCTTCGAGAACGTCTCTTCACCCAGCGCCAGCTGAGGCGGCGCCACTGCTCGATAACCCGTGGAGGAATTCCCTTGATGATCGATCTTTCCATCCAGGTCTATCGCTTAGATCGTCCGCGGATAGTGTCCCGACGGTGAATTCGATAGCCTCTGCCATATCAGAACCCATTCAATCTACTACGAGCCTTCCTCAGCCAGTTGTCCCATCATCATCTCCAGATCGACCCACGACTCCACGTGCTTCTCAGACTGCTAGGCCACACAGCCATCATTTTTCCAATGCTTTCATTTCTCCATCGCCGCTATCGTCAACCGTCAGTGCCGTGGTATCTGATGCTCTCCTGCGTAATGAAGAGAATCCGAGTGGCCGGAGAAGATCTATCCGGAGAGCGAGGCCTAGTATTAGATCGAGTCTGTTTGTCCCACACAGTGAGGACGACCTTAACTCCGCAGCCGAGCCTCTTCTTCAAGATTATCGAGACGAAGAGGAGCTTTCCTACCAGGACGATCCCTTGCCAATCGACCTTAAATCGGTCCGAGCACGAGCGCGCAGCTTGAGTAGTACAATAGGAGAGTTCTTCGGACGCAAGAGGAGGAGAAGAGTTTCGGATCCGGAATCAGTCACAGAATACGAGAGCGCGCCTAGCGATACCTCGCGAGTCGATCAAACGGCCAACAGCTAGAGTTGGGCGCTGGCCCATTTACAAAAACCACATCCCATATTAATACATTCCCCAGTGCCGAACTGACAATTCCTTTGTGGGCGGGAGCGGGGGCGGCATTGCATTGGATAAGGAGTTTGGTGTTTTCTCATCGGGATTTGTCGCCAGAGGCGCGCGGCTCTGTTCATACCCCAACTCGTACAGGGTTCATCAGCTTTTTCGAACCCCCACGTAGATCTTTATTGAAGATATTAATTGAGATATCCCATTTGTTCAGGCGCGAGAGTCGGTAGGATTTAAGATTTGATTTATCATTACGGCCATATATTTTACCACCTATCATAGTCTAATTGCAGCATTTACAACATTAATATTAGGTTATTTCGATGCCTATCTCATGGTTTCAAGTATCTATCTCTTTGTATAAATGTTGCCGACCGCGTTTCTGTCGGGAGATCCTTGCGATGCGTTGTCATACCTCAGAATCGACAAGCCCCTTTACAATGTGTAAGAAGTGACTGCGTGGATAGTCTGTAGTGTTAAGTGTCCAAGAAGTATAGTAAGCCCCCCTTATTTATCTACTTCTTGCCCCAAGGACTTGAGGTACCCACGTAGCTGCACGCAAGGTCAATACTACTTCCGTGGTTCTATAGGCGACTGTTTTTAACTCTAAAGCTTTCCCTCTTCGGCGGCGAGAGTACCATATAGATCTAGGATTTAGGAGAACAGCCAGCCCAGCCCGTCAGCCAAAATAGCCAAGTCGGTAGAAGCGTATCATATGATATACGCGTCCTGCCTCAATATATATATCATCAAGGCCAACGAAGCAGACTTGTAGAATCTCCCTCACCCCCCTACTGCAGCTCCACTGTCGGCATCTAGCATGAACCCGGGGCTCCAATACTCCCACTCGTCCGCCTGCTTATCGACCCAGAGCATGCCCTCGCCGAGCAGGTCGTCGACGGCGGTCTGGGCGCGGGCGCGGGCCCAGCGCAGGTTGACCATGAGCATGGAGACGCTGACGTAGCCGAGGACCTGGGCGGCCTCGAGCACGGCGCTCTGGTCGGTGTTGAGCTCCTTGGGCACGGAGCGGATGTACGGCTTGCTGCCGACGCGCACGACCGAGTAGCTCGAGCCCAGCGGCTTCAGGGTGCCGACGGCGCGCAGGACGTCGTCGTCCGCGATCTCGGGCGCGCCTTCCATCCGCCCCCGCGACAGTCGCTCCCGCAGCTCCCGCACCCCGATCAGCCCGCCGTTCTCGCCCCGCGTGGCCCCGCACACCTCCACCACCCGCACCGCCAGCTCGAAGTAGAAGTCGTTCACGCTGCGGCCCAGGAGCTGCGCCCACAGGCTCGAGGAGGAGGACCCCCCGCCGTGCGAGGACGAGGCGAGCGGGTCGACCCCGATGGCCGCGCACATGCGCGCGAACTGCGCGCGGAAGGACGGGTCCGACCGGATGTCCTTGGCGTGGGTCTGCGCGAACTGCTGCAGCAGGGAGCGGAAGACGGCGAGCTGGGTCTCGAGGGCCTGCGCGTCGTGCGAGCGCAGCGAGTTCCCGTGGGAGGCGAACTGCGCCGACGTCAGGCGGGAGCGGTCGAAGGCGGCGAGGCCGACGCCTTTGCGGGACATTGGTCTTGACTCTTGTGGATGGATGTGCGGTGCTTCCGCTCTGGCGAGCAGCTCGGCTCAGCTGGCTGTGCTTTCTGATAGCAAGGGTGGTGGTAGTGGTGGTGTATCAGTATCAAATGGGGTGGGTGGTATGAATGGAAAGTAATATAGAAAGGGGGGCGATATCTAGGACCTCCCCTGGTGGTTGCTGTAAGTTGTTATAATGTTATATCATCGACTTCGAGTGGTTAGAGCACGTGAACGAGGTTATGTTCTTATCAGTGAGACAAACAAATATGGGGTATCTGAGAAGGAATAAAAGGAGGTTTTACGACTACGTGAGAAAATTCGATTCGAATCGATTTGAATCTAGGAATTAAAGAGATGTAATTTTCTAAATAAGCCTTTATCATGTCGAGGTATAAGTTCGCGATATGGAGGGGCATTACGATCCGTAGGTAAATGAATGACTTATAGGAGGTACGTACTTTGTACCCAACCTTGAATGATTACCTAACCTAACATAATGTAAATAGCTTACATAAGAACGCACATGCCTGTAAGAAGGTTGTAACTAAGAGGTACATAGCATAGTACAGTTGCCCCACCGGAAATTCTTCGGTTCCTCTACCTCACCATCCAGGCTCCCCTTCTTCCCCGAAACGGCCTTAGCGCATTTTCAGGGCACAAACCCTTTTTCGACATTTCGGCAAAAGAGACGCGAAATTTGTTCCTCCCCCCATCACCAATTCGACACTTGACCCTCTCGTTGAAGCCTAGGCATTTTCGGTTGCGAATACCTTCAACACCCAACCCACCTCCAACACACGATTCCGCAACCATGTCTACCCAAAGCGTCCAGTGCTTCGGCAAGAAGAAGACGGCTACTGCTGTCGCCCACTGCAAGGTTCGTCTCTTGTTTTTTTTTTTCCTCCGTCAAGATGCAGGATATAAGTCGTTAATGTCGCCGTCGCTGGTGGATGGATGGATGGAAGAGACGAAAGATTTGTTTTTTGAGATGGATTAGACGTGCTAACCAAGTTTTTTTTTCTTCTGTTACAGGCCGGCAAAGGTCTCATCAAGGTCAACGGCCGACCGCTCTCTCTCGTCCAGCCTGAGATTCTCCGATTCAAGGTACGAAACGAATATTTATTTCTCGAACTCGATTACCTCCCCATACGCATACCCAGTACCCAATTTCTTGGTTACAAGAAGTCATACTGAACATTGGGTTCCGCATCTTGAAATTCAATACACTTAGATATGACGAAAAAAAAAGAAGAAAAACGATTCCGATAAAAAGATTCGAGGACATGGAAACTAACACCGAGAAAAAAAACTAGGTCTACGAGCCTCTCCTAATCATTGGCCTCGATAAGTTCGCCGAGGTCGACATCCGTGTCCGCGTCACCGGCGGTGGTCACACCTCGCAGGTTTACGCCGTCCGCCAGGCCATCTCCAAGGCCCTCATCGCCTACTACCAGAAGTACGTCGACGAGCACAGCAAGAACCTGCTCAAGCAGGCCCTCGTCCAGTACGACCGAACCCTCCTCGTCGCCGACAACCGTCGGTGCGAGCCCAAGAAGTTCGGCGGTCCCGGCGCCCGCGCCAGGTACCAGAAGTCCTACCGTTAAACGATGTTTCCCTCCCTGTCCTTGGGGGAGGGTGGTGTTGTTACCCGCGGAGGGTTCTTGGGGGGATGTTTTATGGCGGTGGGAAGGAAAAAACGAAGCCGCTGGAATCGTCTTGTGGAAGGGAAAAGAAGAAGAGGTGCAATGGCTCCTCTTTTTTTATATCCTCTTTTTCTACGCGCGCAACGAATTGGGACGGCTATGGTCGGTGGTCGGACCTCTGGAGTCTTAAGAAAAAGGAAATCCTTTACGAGGGCTATCTCTATTACTACTAGTACTGCTAGTGATTATGCCTTCTTCTCTCTATTATCAATGCATTTGCATGGCCTGGTTGTAAAGGGATTAGGCGAATGAAACGACAAATCAATTTTTTCTGCAAAAAAAACAAAACACAAGACAAAGCAAAACAAAACAGTAAAACGTTCGTGCTGGTCTGGAGAAGACTTTTCTCTAAATGGTTTAATGCGAGATGATGTCCAAGTGAACTTTTAAGTCGATCAGGAACCTGTAGTGTAATGCTTACCTGAACTGAAGTATCGCTTTGAGTTGTCGTGTCTCGACATAGGCTAGATACCTATTTTACGCTCTACGACGAGATAATAGGAGAACTTTCCCAAAGTCCCAACCTACGGGGAGATGAGAAAAAGGTAATAACTACTAGCTAAGCACAAATTTACCATGGTTTGTAGTTTTGTAGGATGCAACATAAACCCGTAGTTTATAATTCATTCGTATGCTGTACAGAGAGGTAAAAAGAATAGGTACCTTAGGTAGGTATCTTAACTCATGAGAATCAGGGGGTAAACTCATCAAGAACAATAACCCCCTAACCTAACAGGAACCTCCTCCTCCTGTTCTTCTCCTCTCGATTAGTCCCTTCACAGTTACCCGTAGTTAGGTATAAAAAAAAGGCAGTATAATACAATGAAAGACCATAGTACCAGAAGCTACTTCAGGCACCTATACAGCATAATACAACACAATCAAAACGTCTATTCCTCTCCCTCTCCCTTACCCTATCCCTATGCTCATCATCCTCACCCCCACCCCCATCCCCTTCTCCTTCTCCTTCCCCTTTCCCATCCTCACACCGAGTACTTCTCCTGCTCATCATAGTCATCCTACTTATCATACCCTTCAAACATCTCCAACTCCCCGTCCCCGTCCCCGTCCCCCTTCGTCGCAGTCGCAGTCGCAGTCGCAGTCGTGATCGTTCTGATTCACCCCCCTACGTATCATCGTCATCTTCTTCTTCCCACGACACGAGCCCAACCTCCCTCCCCCCGCCATCCTCCAGCCTCACCACCACGGGCGCGAACTCGCCCCTCTCGTCCTCGTCCTCGAAGTCCGACACCTCGGCGCTCACCACCTCCCCGTCCTCCAGCATCACCGTCCCCGACCGCACGTACTCCTCCCGCAGGTCCCACCCCAGCCTGGCCCTCAGCCACGCCTCCAGGTCCGCGAACGCCTCCCGGACCAGGCGCTGGTCGGGCGTGACCGTGACGCCGTCGCCGTGGGGTGGGATCGTCTCGTCGAGCCGCGACGCGTACGTCGTCAGCGCGCGCCGCAGCCGCCGCGCGTTCGTCGGCATCATCTCCAGCACGTCGCCGTCGAGGTGCCGGTCGTTGTACACGAGCTGGGCGTGGAAGGCGCGCAGGAGGCGGGCGGCGAGAGCGGGGCGGGCGGCGGCGAGGGCGTAGCAGCGGAAGACGAGGCGCGTGGCGTAGAACCACCACTGCTCCAGGCACGAGTAGTTGCCGAGGAGCATGCCGGACAGGAAGGCGAACGACAGCTCGCCCGCGAGGTCGTCGGAGGGCCGGCCCGCGAGCGCGAGCGCCTCCAGCACGAAGGACGTCGGGTCCAGCGCTTGCCGCGTGCGCTCCGGGCCCGTCGCCGAGGCGCTGACGAGCGGCGCGCTCGTCGCGAACGAGAAGCGCAGCTGCGCCTTGCCGCTGGCGTACAGCCGGGCTTCCTCGGCGAGGGTGGTCTCGCCGGCGACGCTGTCCTGGGTGGTGACCTGCCAGCTGCGCTGGGGTTTACCCGTGATCCTGTTGAGGAGGTCCGGGGTGATGGCCGACGTGAGGTGGGACCATATATTCTCGTTGCTCAGGAACTCCGGGAGCCGGTCGGCGGCGTTGCCGTTGTCGACTCCGACTCCTCGTCTGGGCGGGGCGGAGAGCGCGCCCGACGCGGTGGCGCGGAGCTGGTAGGGCGAGAGGCTGGTGAAGATATGCTGCAGCGCCTCCTTCTGGAACCTGTCCTCGGCCTGGCTCGCCGGGTCGCTGAGGACTTCGTTGAACTTGTCCCACTGCTTAACGTAGACCTCGCCGGGCTCCCAGTCCTCCCGCTCGGGTGTGACGATCCAGTACGCGCTCCGCGAGGACGTCAGCTCGGAGGGCGCAACCCAGATCAGATGCGCGCCCGGCGGGATATCGCGGAAGCCCGGAAAAGGTTTTTTCGTCGAGAAGGACACGGTGTCGCAGCCCACGGTAAAGCCTGCCGGCAGGTCGTCTAATATGACTACATCGCCGCCCGTAGGGAACGGGTGCTTAGGTTCTACGGATGAGTCCATGGCGACGTCGGGAGTAGTAAGCGGCGTCTCCAGATCCGAGTCTTCTCTCGGTTCCGTAATTCGAAGAGAGCCCAGCGGTAGAGTACCGATGGTAGGAAGAGACTCCACGGATTTGGATGGACCAATGGAGCGAAGACTTAGGGCTGATCTGGCAATGGGAGACCAAGGAGAATAAGTGGAATCGGAAGTTGAAGCTGAAGTTGATGTTGATGTTGATGTTGGATTGACGTCGACCGTCTCCCCACAATTACCCGGACTTGATGCAACTTTTGGTGGGTCTAAACCCGGCGTCGAAGAGCTTGAGGGCATTTCCGCAGCCGGCATGATTTTAGTTAGTGAACAACAGGAATCATAAGAGTAAAGATATCGATTTATCATTCAAGTAAAAAAGATTAACTCTAAATACGACTGTCCAAAGGACAAAACACTTGAGAATCGTGCCTAACATATTTTCTCTCTCTCTCTCTTTTCTTTTTTTTTTTTTTTCGTTTTCGAAGATGGAAATGGCGGGAATTTTCTAGGTTAAGGGAGAAGAGGAGGGAGAGGGGATGGGATTTTCAGGGTTCCTTCCTGAAGCAGAATGACGTTGATGCGTAGGACCGAAGGGAAGGCACGGAAGAGAAATTATTTATTATTACTATTATATTGAGACAATACACAGTGGACATCTCTCGTACCTAACCTAATGCTACCGAACTACGTCATGCGGCCTCGATTCCACCTGCTTATCGAACAACAACCTGCGATAACCGCTCCTTCACCAGACGTCACTAGTTATAAAAGACCCGAAAGCAACGGTATGATGACAGTTGGAGCTTGTCTATAGAAGCCATCGGGACATCTGATGTTTCAAATTTGGTCATTGTACGTACGGAAAGTATCGATTGCCGTGTTCGATGCTACACTACAGTCTATGGTAGTAGCCTTAGGTAGGTATCCGCATTGAGATGATGCATCAGCACTGACTGATAGCCAGCTTTAACCAGTAGAGTGAATTTTGCCTGTATCATCAACCAATGCTGCCGAGGGGGGTTAGTAGGTAGTTATAAGTTTATTGTGAGTTAGTTGCCACTATAGCAACCAACTACTTGAGTGTTGACTTATACCACCAGTGGTATAATAGCGCTATGAACCGTTTTAAAAGACTTACTAATTATGCGTACCTTTTATGTATACGTGTAACTATACAATTATTATACATGTATACGATTATCTCAGCAACTATCCATATCTTAACCCTCGAAAAGGAAAAACACTAGAATTAAAGAAGCAACGTCCATTGGAACAATCTAGCTGCCCATCTAAGTCTGGGAGGAACGCTAAAACAATAAAACTGAAAATAAATAATTAAATACTAGCTAGCTAGCTACCTAGGTATGTAGTGTATTATTATACATATGTATTAGGGTAGCCAAGTCCAAACCTGGTTTCCTGTCATGTCTGTCACCGCGCTATCTAGGGTTACATCGAGCGATGTTTTAAAAGATACCCCTAAAGTTCAGGTCCTTCGGTCCGCATACGGGACGGGGGATGGGGGATCACTTACATACGTACGTCGTACATGCGTTAGGGGCCCGGGTATGGGAAGTTACTAAGGTAGCCTAGCAAAGAACGAATCTAGAAGCACATCAGCCTTTTTACGGTATTAGCGGCCCGCTGTGTTTTTTGGGGGGGCGTTTTCTAGAAAAGGGTAGGGTATAGTATAGTAGTATGGTTCGGTTCGGTTCGGTTCGGTTCGGCATGGGATGGTACGGTAGTATAGGTTTTAGTAGTTTGGTTCGGCCGGGGGTGTGTGTGTGTATGTGTGTGTTTTTTTATATATATGCGGATTAGCGCGGCGTCCCAACGGCGCCCGCATCGCGCTAAAGCCAGAACAACCCCCCTTGTCTAGTCCGGCCGCAGTCTTCCACACCAACACCAAAAGGCCAGCAGCCAGATCCTAAAGCCTCGTGGCCGACTTTGTTTAACTACTTAAACTACCTTATGTATACTAGACAACTTAAAGCACCTTGTTTTTCACTCCCTGGACCGTCCCGTTTCGTATTAACCCAACCTGGTATTTTATTTTATTTTATTTATTTTTTTACCCCCCGGGGGGTAATACAAATAAGACGCCTGTAACGTCGCTACACTAATGTAAGGCCGGTCCCGACCAAACTAAAGACCCAAATCCAAGGGCTAGATTTAGTTGGATCGGTTCCAAAGTTCGGTTCGCTTATGCTTGCTGTTATACACTATGTCACTTACTTACATTGTCTGTCTTACCCGTGGCGCTGGGTTGGCCGCATAAGTACCTAAGGCGTGTCGATGCGGGAATGGTCCCAAGATCATATACATTAGGGCATACCTATACGTCGGGTACATTATGCCGGGTCTATAAGTACATGGCCTAGTCTGTACTTACACGACAGGTATTAGTATTATATAAGGTACCTACCCAGGTAATTAGACGAATATTTGAGATACAACGAGGTCTGCAGGCACCTGATAGATAGTACATAGTACATGATTCGGACAAGTAGGTTCTAAAAGACTAAACAAAATCTTTAACTCAGTCACAGCCTTACGAAGCCTTGTGACCCGCAGAATCGGGTAACTTATACACTTTCCCTCGAGAACCAGTTCAGAAAATCAATCTACATAAAGCAACGCCCACCTAATTTGACACACACACACACACACACATATATATATATATATAAGGTAACTAACTATATATAATGCGTATGATACTATGTACTTACGCATATGTGCAAGAAATATATTAGGTCATACCGCTTTCCCCGGATTCTGTACTATTGTGCTTCCCAAGAATAGCTATCCCACCCTTATTATATCCGCGAATACCTAATATAGCTAAAAGCCATCTTAAGTCAGGTAAGTAGTTTAGGTAAGATGTAGCTAAATACTACCATACGAGCTTAGAAAGTAGTTTTACAAGTAGCTACTTAATAAACCTAGCACCGGGTATTAGTAGCGCGATGGCTAGTGACGGTAAGATCGGTGTCACGAAGAGATGAACGATAACTTTTTTTTTAATGTAACAACGAACTAGGTAGGATCGGCTGTGCGTCTAAGCTGGGATTCAAAATATAACGGTCTTGTGCAACCACACCAATATAAATTCCCGACCTGCGCTGCCTACCACTACTACCTCGCTAACAGCCTTAGGAAGCCTCCCTCATCTACATACAATATACTAAACCACATGGATGCCTCGTGGCTATGGTGCCACAGGGAAAAACTAAGGTACCCTAAATTAGAGTCCGTCTTTTTTTGGGTTTGGTTTGTAAATTTTGTCCGCTCTCTTAACCTCATAGCTTAATATATAATGATCCACTATAGAGGCACATATACAACTTATGGTAAGGGGCAATGATCAGATTAGCAACACTGACCGACTTATAAAAAAAAATCGAAAAAAAAAAACCGAAATCTATCACATAAAATAGGACTGCATTGGATACCCTTAATAAACGCAGCGTTATTATTATCCGTGTATCTAACGTAAAACGAAAGATTCTCTTGGCGATGTCGTATTTGTGGCCCCTCCTGGAAGCTGACTCTAGAGACACATAATGTTCGAATTATGCTCTTCCATAAGGGACAATCGATACCTCCGCACTGCAAATACATGTCTGGCCGAATATGTGTGAGAAGAAAAGGTATGTCGGGGAGCCTGAGCCACGGGGAGCAGTTCTTCGCCTAACAAGCCGACCATTAAAACAAAGCCACGCCATGACACAAAATATGCCTTGGTCCTTGAGCCTAGAAGCTCTAATCATTTGTTTCGTAACCCACCCCTACCCAGACACCCAACCCAATGCAAGGCTCGTCTCCTCCCCGCCCTCCCCCGTCCGAGGCCCCGATGCTGTTATGCGAGAAATCAATATTGGTCATCAGAATGCGTGTGCTGCGAATCATCCACTCCGATTCGAGCAAAAAAATACTCCAAAGGCAATGCTGTCGTAGAAATGACCATAATTACCACATCTCTACCATCCTATCGAATAAGAAGACGTAATGTTTTTGTTGTGCGTGTGTGGGTGTGTGTTTGGGGGGGGGGGATCACTACATATCGTACACTGGGCCGAAGGAGCTGATTTATAAGCTTTTTGAAATCACATTCTTTAATAAAAAAAAAGGGAAAGGATGAAGTCGAATCATCCCGACAAAACAACTTCAGAGGTTTAAAAGCGCTACCTACTAGTAGCCCGTGCTACCGAGCAGCAGCATTGACGGAATTCCACATCCTCATTCACGTTGACTATAGAGGCTCTGGTTTTGCGGTCCGTAAGGCGATGCCGGCTGTTGGTAACCAGAATACATGTGGTTTGTAGGGCTGTACTCGGGAAGCGGCTGTTGCGGCACAGTCGCCGACGGAGGCGCAGGATACTGAGTTGCCTGATAACCGATGGGAGGGAGCTGAACTTGTCGGCTAGCAGTGTACGATGTTGGTGCTTGACCCGAATCGCCTGCTTGAGGATCGGCACCTCCGTTCTGAGCTTGGGCAGCAGCGGCAGCAACATGTCGCTGGCGTTCTGCTTCCTCGGCAGCCTTGCGGGCCTGTTCCTCCTCCTTCTTCCGTGCTTTCCATTCCTTCCGGATTTCTTTGAATTCTGTAATTACCATGGTTAGCAAGCGCCTGGGTACATTCGACCTCATTATGTTTCCTGAAAAGAACCATTGCTAGACCTTATCTAGGACGAACTAGGTTAGAGGCTCGGCCAATGGCTAGGACGGTAGCGTCCCATCCTTAAATAAGGTTACTAGTAAAGCGTAGATGCTATAATTCTAAAAGGGCTCTAAAGCGAAGCTTATTGTCCCTTCGATTTTACACCACGCCTGGTAACATAGACAAATATAGAAATAAAAACTTTACCTTCGGGAGTACGCTTTTGTCCATGGCTCTGCATCGTGACATGGGCATTCAGATGGTTAAGGGTGCCGTAAGCCTTTTCGCATCCGCTCCAACCACATTTGTACATACGCTCAATTTCTTCATATCGTCGTCGAGGTCGCTTATGTTGCTGAGCTCCGGGAATTGGTACAAATGAATAGACCTGCTGTCCACCATACTGTCAATGAAATCAGTTATTTCGCGTTATCATTATTATAGGACCAAAGAACCAAATGTTCTGAAGTATAGTCTCTTCGCTACGGCTAACGGAAACCCGCTGATTCCCGGTGCTGACCGGGGGAAATGGAGAAATGTTACCTACCTGAGCTGGTCGTCCGGGCGCGTTCGTTGTGGGCGTGTGAGGATATACTGAGTGCGGGTGTGGCATCTGCCCAGGCGCTGGGTGCCCATAGTTCCCCCAATCGGGTCGTGGCTGCGCGTACAGGTTACCGGCGCCTTGGGGATAGTTATGCGACATATCTTGCGGAGGCGGCGCGTAGGGCGAGTATTGACTCGGAGGCGCGTATGTCGTAGGGCTAGGTGCCGCGATAGAGGGATCTATGGGTACATCGTTGTCAGACTTGACTTGTTGGGACTGATGGTTGCGTCCATCTTGCATAGGCATGGACGGACTTGTTGGTGTTTGCGCCATACCTCCGCTGCTGCCAGTGTGGTTGCTCGCTGGATGGTATTGACGCAGACTATGCTCTGGGAAAGAACTAGTCGACCTCGCAGACTGCGGGTATGCTCCGTACTCTGAGTTCGGCGTGGCAGATGTAGGATAACTGGCCCCCCGTGCTTCCTGATTACTAGAATAGTGGGCAGCAGACGCGTGATCTGCAGAGGAAGCTTCAGACTGAGTGTCGCCGTAGTTACTTGGATAGGGCGAAGGCAAACCTGACTGCGAATATTCGGGGACGCTCCGTTCCATGAAGTAGTCGGTAATTGGTAGGTAGTTTCTAAGGGCTGCACCCGAATTCTTATTCCCAAGCTCGCGCTCGAGGATACGCGGTGGTGATAGCGATGCGCGGTTGTCAATAAAAGCTTAAGACCTCGTCTGGCACCAAAAAGCACGACTGCTGCTGAGCACGATTGGATACGAACGGACCGGGGAATTTTAGTCCTCGAGCCAGTATCGAACTTCAGCAGGGTAGCAGAAAACGGTGTCTTAGATCGAGGTAGTGCTTTGGTAAGAAACAAGAAGGATAGAGTTGCACCAAGGGGGACAAGCTGAGGCTGCACTGGCGTATTTGTTGGCGGCTAGTTTGGTCATCCAACGGGGGCACTGATCCAAGAGGAGATAGGCGTAGATCTTTCCACTCGCTCAACTTTGTAGATAAAATAGTCTCTCGACTAGGTCCACCAACCCACAAGTTGAGATCAGCCACCAGGTCTTTGCTGGAGAAAAACAATGCCTAGGTAAATGAAGTAGAGCTAATGACTAAAAAATCGTAGTCCCGCCTTCGTATGGGGCACGAGAAGTTGGGGGCCAGTGTGCTTTTGAGTTCTTCTTTTAGATCGCGGGCGCCAAAAGGTAGTGTGTATTGCACGACAGATTAGCTGCACCCGCCAGGCGTTCGCGGCAGCAAGTAAAGGCCAGGCTTATGAGGACAGGAATTGGCGAGTACTTGCTGCGCACGATCTGATGCAGGGTGCGATCTGGTTTCCCTTGAGAAGAGACCCCCTTGTGCTGCGTTATGAATGCGTGAGGACCTAGTGGCTTATGGGGTCTGATGGCCCAACTCGTGGTGGAGCAGAAAGATACTTGACTAGTTTAGTTCGAAGTAAGATGGAGGGAGCGTTGAAAAAAAGTCAAGCGATTCCCGAAGCTGTCTAGACCGGGAGTCTTAGCGTCTCTGGTCAGAGGTATCAAGGATTGCGATTGGTGGCAGGGGCCTCAAGGTGAGTTTGGTCCGGCGTGGTGCTAGTAGAAATACTAGATATTTCGGAATGTCGAATTACAGAGCCGCTAGAAGATCCCAAGCTCGGCTAGACTGACTCTTATTACTGTTTCCTTACGTCGCGAGCTGGATATTGACGACGTTTGTTATGAAGGATATGGGATGTTATGAATGATATGGATGTTATTGGGGGGGTTATAATGGGATTATATGTGTGTGAGAGTCCAGAAGGAATCCATGTAAAAAGGGCTGAAAAACAAAGTGTGGGTGTGCGTGTAAATGTACTGTAGGTACAGTTCCCCTGCACTTATTAATAAAGGCTGCAGGAGCTGGTATGTTGTTAGCAGCTTGCAAGTAACAGCAAGCACGCTATTTAAATAATAATACCGGGGGTGATGCCTTTGTATCAGGGCACCTTTTTTCCAAGGAGTTGCTCGTGAGAGGAGTAAGTTAGGTACTTCTCAACTTCTCACTCACACACAATACGATCGCCAGCCTGAAGCAGTGACGTGCAGTCGTGGTTATTTAGGATAAGTATCGTAAATAGCGGAAATAGTGCGGGCAACCTGGTTTTTTTTTTGTAAGTCCACAGGTACGGTATGTAAGTAAGTAGTTAGTTCGTGGCAGACATGTATTGTACTGCGTTGCTTAAAACTGTTAGTAATTTGCTAGCGACCAGTGTCTCGCCGTGCCTCGCCAGTCGTCAAGTTGCCAAAAAGGCTAGAAGCTGCCCAGGTGATCGTACTAGTGACCGTCGCGGTTTAGGGTAACCCCCAGTGACGACACAATTTGCGTGCGGTGCGCCAAATCATAAACTTTAGTCTCTGACCCGACCAGTTCTCGTCCAGACTCAAGTAAGTTTAGATTGGGCTTAGTGACAATTAGTGCCGAGGGGATGGGAGATGGTGAATTTTTATATGCAGAATGCGGGCGCGAGGCACAATCTGCAGTGCTCCAAGAACACGCGTGGAGGGTTGATTCAACGTGCAACTATGATTGCCGAACCAGAATAGAGGAATGCATGTACTGATGAATGGCTGGTTTGGTTTGGTAATCGTTAAAAGGTTGGGGAAGAATGGAAGATTCGGGGGGGATTTCTCAGTGTCGATTTTATTTGATTATTATTTTTGAAGTGTACATCCAGTCATGTACTTTGGAAGGCCCGGGCCCACCTAGCCAATAATATGCCGAGTTCCTACAGTAGGTACTTGCCAAAGCAGGGGGGCAAACGACCAAGTACTGAGAGACTTCGAACTTTTACATGGAAGGAGGGATACAAGAAATACATACCGTACCTACCTCATACATCTATCCACATACTTTTTTTTTGGTACTACATACAGTGAGTGAATTGAGTAGCTTTTTAATTGTTTTCTTTTTTCCATCTTGCATTTGATTTTCTTTTTTTACTTTGATTTCCCATGGCAATGTGATAAGCTTTTCCCTTCTTTCTCTATCTCTTTATTTTTTGCCATCTTCTTTTTTTCTTCTCTCCCTCTCTCTATTCTGACGAGTCCTAGGTAATTGAAAGAATTTAATTTCACCACCAGTTTATCTTCTGTTTCGTAACATCGAGTCCATCCACTTCGACCTCGAGTCAAAGCCACTATCCAGCAGAACAACCCCCCCTCGCGACTATCAAGAGTACATGATGTATCTTTGCAGTTTGGTGGATTTCACTGCTCGGCAAGATACTTGCCTAGAGCTGAATATTAAACTTCCTTTCCCTGCTTCTTGAAGCCCCTCTCTCGCGCCTCTCTTGCCTCTTCCGACTTGCGACCCGCAACCGTCTATCTATCCAAGTTGTATCCATTATGTATTTCTCTCATGCGAAATCCACAAAGCCGAGAGAAAGCCCTTCGAAAGTAGCCGTTCCAGCACAACGCGTTCAAAATATACTACAGTGAAATATCTTTCCAGACAATTCCTTGAGTTGCTTAGACCCTAAGATGATAACATTCGATGTCCATGATGTGGGAAATTCAGCTAAGAGGCGCAATGTGGAGAGGCTAAAGCGGTGTAGGTACCTACAAAGTACTGTATGTCGCACCCAATGAGCGTGTAGCAGGAGGCGGCGGAACCACCCACAAAAGACCCAGTATCCCTGATAAAGCCAGTCGCAGCGCGAATCCCTGGTCATCTTCATTAGTCAACACTATTTACTGACTGGGGTGTAGAACCCAAGTACCATGGATGATGTATTTCTGCGTTTTATGCAGAGTGGATATCGATGAGGTTACTCTTAAGTAAGCGTAGGTACTGCGTAATTCCGTACTGTATTATGTGCGAAGTACCCACACTATGCCTTACCCACACAGCGGTTTTTTTGGGGACTAGGCAAGGTGAAGGGGGATCCATCAGCTTGTTCCTGTCTAGGCTGCAGATTTTACTAGGACAGGCTTAGGCTCTAGCCTCTAGGCTCGTCAGTTGTATTTTATTCTTTTTCTTCTCCATCTTGGAAAAAAAAAAAAAAAAAAAAGGCCCACATCAGCTAATCAATCTTAACCGCGGGAATCCCTGAGCTTTCAAGAAGCCAAGACCTAGGAGTCGATGCGAACACGCATATTGCGATGATGCATAACGTGAAATCGGATCGAATAATAGAACATTGTTCCGCTCTAATGCTCTATTAAAGACTCCAGTAAAGAGTCATGGTGTGCGCATATATACGGGACTGCATGCGCTGCTATCTATTATACTATCATTATGTAACTCATCGTCAACTTCCCAGATCAGAAGTACCTAGTGTATGAAGTTGTTAGACATAGATTTAAGTATGTACGGAATAGGTACATTCTATTTACCTCGCAGAGGTCAATGATTAAGTCTAATTGAATAAAGTATGTTGCTATAATTCGCCATTGCGTTTGTTTTGACGTTGAAAGAGCTAATTTGTAGTATCACCAAAATAGCGTTATTATAAATGTTTATTCTCAAGTAACCTACCTATACAATGGTACAAGGATACAATTTCGATCGTGTCCTACGCGGAATTATCAGTTTTCGATTTTGCTGCAATTCAGTTTCTCTGTCTCGTTGCCTGCCCCGAGTTCAACCTCCTTTGCCGACCACTCTGGGCCGATGCCGCAACTTCAAGTTTTTTCCCTCCCATGACTTATGGATGGATCCCTACAGGCACTGATTCGTGTTCTATTCCCTGTCATACACGATGCCAACATATCCACAAAGGTACTTGTATCATGTAGTCGTTAGGTACCTACTATGTATGTATATCATGTATACAAATATTTCTCAACTTCACTTTTTGAACCTCGGTCACGACCTAATGATGGGTCTTCAGGATGGAAGCAGATACCGGGACAGATACCAGGACAGGGGCAAATCATAAGCTTCGCCATTACGATAGCATCACGATGCTACGCGGGGCTTAGGGAAAGGAAATGAACACCTACATACTGCTGCAACATGTATTGTGTGCTTGGCTGCTTAGATTGAAAAGAATCTCAACTAGGAGCCACTTTAATGGACAGATATTGGGGCCACAGTATGAGCTCGGGCACCCAGGTATTCCGCAATGGTGATGATGAAGGCAAGCGGGGGTCATGAAAGTGGACAAGTGAGAAGGGAATCTTGGTACGCGCACCCAATAAACATACGTTCGGATCCGAGCGGTCGGTCACTGCACATCTGATTCGCAGACACAACTTGACTTTGTGTGAGAGATACACAATCTGTTTGATTCATACGTCTTCTTTTCCAGGTTTGAATTTTCCGAATGATTGAGCCATGATATGTATAGTTGTTCGGCAAGATGAGAGAAGCGGAAAGGAGAGTTCTTATTACACAACCCGCGTTTCGTTCGTGGTACAATTATTTTTTAACCCCCGCTGAATCCTGAATTATATATCATGGGAACTCATATTATTAAAACTCTATCTCGATCCTCCAATGCCCACCCTGATAGCGTGTAAGTCGGACCGTAGTATCATCGTAATACCGCTGTGGAAAGTATAAAGATGAACAACGTTGAGGGAGGTTTTATCGATCACGGCCGCTCGCGTGGCATTAA